TTATAAGTTTGCTACTATCTTAATAGCTATTAAGAAATAAGATACTAAATTCTATAGTCTTACTAGCCTTAAGCCTAAGGTTTAGGTTTCTAATAATACTCCCGAGCTAATCAAGGTTTTTAATAACCCCTACTTCGAAGGTACTTACTATAATACGACTATTACCTATACGCCTTCTATAAACGGTATTATTAAGCATGCTAGTCGTACTATCGTCGAAGGCGCCTAGATATAGCTGATTAACATATCCCTTCTAGAGGAACTATAGGATTATAGTATCGATTCGGTAACTTAGATTCTTAACCTCTTGCCTATACCTTCTAAAGGTAACTTAAGCCTTTACGAGATTATAGCGAGAGAGCTAAACTTAGCTGCTAAACGTAAGGCCCCCTATATTAAATATCTCCGAACGTTTAGCTATGCTGCCTACGTATATAAGAAGGGCCCTCGACGCCCTATACGCTTTGCTAAGATAGAACTATAAGCAATTAAGGGATTCCTCGTCGGTTACGGTTCTCTTCGTAGCTATATTTACTACGTTTACCTGCCTAATCGAAAGGAGGTTATTCGCTATAGAGATATTCGATTTCGTAAGGAACCGTATAAGACAGTATTGCTTCTAACTATTAGCATACCTAATATTAATAAAATTAAACATAATACTATGTTTATTAAACTAGATATTATTATCTAGTATACTATCTATTAGAAGCCTATTAAAAGTAAAAAACCCGTAACTAGTAATCCTAAACTAGATAAGACTATCGTTAAAAAAGCGATAGTACCTACTAATATATATCTTATATCTCCGCTACTAGAGAACCTATTAGAGACTACTACTATACCTTATAATAGTATTACTAACGAATTAAATAATAACGAATTCGTCGCTTCCGTAGAAATAATAGAAACTAATTACTAAGACCTTGATTCCCTCTCTACGATTGTTAAGGAAGTAACGAGTCAACCGGCAGAGTCCTCTCGACCTTGCCGCGCCTTAGCCTAGCAACTACCTAGTTACTACTAAGCTGCTAGTAGCGTACGCTCTTATATTAAAAAGACCTTCCTATCTATTAATATTCTAGCTTTACTAACTTCTTATTAATTTTCTCTTAGTATGCTTTCTACTACTACCTTTTCGAAAGTCTTACCTAACGGCGTAGCGATTCCGAAGTCCTACCGCAAGGCGTAAAAAAGCCTATAGTAGCCTAAGTAGGAGCAAGCCTTCGAACGAGAGATAACTTAATTTACGGAAAAGGGGGTTTACAAAGTCGTTTACTTACTACGTAATGCTAAAGTCCTGCCTAGCAAGTAGGTATATAATATCAAAACTAATAAAAACAACGAAATCGTACGCTATAAGGCTTGATATATAGTTTATAAAAACTACGAGAAAGGTAACTAGTTATTATAAGAGGTTTACGCTATAGTTACCTCTACTACCGCAACCTACCTTTTCTTCGCAGTTATCATACTTCTCGATCTCGAATATAAGTATATAATTTCGATACTACTTTCCTAGCCGCCTCGATTCTAAAGGGGGTTAAGGTATACGTCTAGCCTCCCGCTAGCTACGCTACTATAGATAACAAGGTTTAGCTACTTTATAAAGTACTTTATAGATTAAGAAAATTACTACTTTAGTAGTTTCGACTTATTAAAGTAAAATAGAACGAATTAGCTTTACTACTATTAATAAGGAGGTTTATCTCTTCGTTAACTATAAGATTAAAGCATACGTTCTTATATACGTCGACGATAACGCTATCGCTACTCCTAATAAGTAAGTTATAATAGAAGTTTATCGTCTCCTCGAGAAGGTTTGTTCTCTTAAAAACCTCGGCAAGGCTACCGATTTTCTTAGTTTCTAGATTGAACGCGACAAGGCTGCTAGTAAGATTTTCGTTTCCTAAGCTAAGTATGCAAAAGCAATACTTTAACGATTCGACTTTAACGGTTTTGTTAGAAGTATAAGTATATTATACTTCTATTTTACTTATTTATCCTATTTAGTCTTATCTAAGACTTAGTAGGACTTACAAAAGTAACTAGCTAAGAATGGCTGCTTGCTAGTTTAAACATATGACATTCAGATCCCTATGGAATACTCTCTTTAACCTTATCTAAAAGTCTATTTAGTTAAAGAAGATTCTAGTCTGATTTATAAGCTGCTTTATAAGCTAGTTGACGTATATACTTACGTATACTAAACCTAGCTTATAGCTTCCTATATTAGCTATTATAGGCGACGTTATACTACTATATAACTAGCCTAATTCTCTCCCTTAGCTAGCTATTAGTTCCTCAACCAACTCAGCTTCAATATAAGCCTATACATTCTTTACTATTAAAGCCCTACTTCATAAGTACAAGTTCCCTTACTCTAATACCCTGTTATAAGGATATCGTACTATCTACGAGATTCCTACCTACCGTTCCAACAGGTTTAAATACTGTTAAAACGTTTATAACGACTATTAACGATCTGCTTATTACCTAAGATAAGAATAAATACTTACTTAATAATAATAACTTTATATCGAATAGACTAGCTACCTTAACTTCTTAGTAGCTAGAACTTATATTAATATAGCTTATACTATTAGTAAATTATTATAAGCGAATTTAAGGCTTTCTAAGGCTTATCTTCGTATTATTAAGTATTTATTCCGATACCTTAAAGGTATTATTTATCTTAGTATTATACTTAAAAGTATTTTTATAATTAATAAGTTAAGGCTTTATACTATTATAAATACTTCTTTCGCTAATAATAAGCTATTATAAGTCTTAATAAGTAGTTATATCGTCTTCCTTGCTAGTATGCCGATTGCTTAGAAGTTAAAGAAATAGACTTTCGTAACTTTAAGTATTATAAAGGCTAAATTTATTAATCTTATACCTATAGTAATTACTATAAAGTAGATTAGACGTTGCCTTTCCTAACTACTTAGCAAACCTATTACTATGCCTACTATTATATTTACTAATAGTACTAACGGCTATGATAACGTTATAAACCTACTTAACAAGGTACGAACCCGCTATATCGACGTCTAATATAAATAGATTATATAGGAGGTTTATACTACGAAAAGCATCGAACTCCGACTTATCAAGGGCGCTGATATAGCTGCCGATAGACTTACGAAGCTACTGGTTGCGGTTAAACATAAGGAATTCGTTCGTTTGTTAGGCATAGCGGAGGGATTAGATTAAGAAGGGGATTTTAAGACTATAAGACTATTAATATTAAGACTTCGGGATTCGGAGGATTTCACAGCCTCCTATTAGCTAGGTTTAACCGGTAATTAACTAAGTTTTCTAATAGTTGAGAACTCCTCGGATTTGGAGGATTTGGGACTTTTCCTGTATTTCCTATTATTCTACTGCTTTTTCGCTGAGGAGTCTGAGAGGGGGTGTGGGTGGCAGGCCTCGCCGGCCCGTCACGTGGGCTGACGGCCGCCACCACTGGTCTTAGCCAGCCTCCACAGCCCTCTAGCTAGTTAGTTAGTTCTTCAACCAACAACACCACTTTTCCCATTCTGAGCGTTCTGTGCCGGTTCTCGCCCACATGTTTTCATGACTCTTCAAGAGCAACCTTCGCCTAACTAGAGGCCTGTCCTTCCGGATGTAACATGGGCCAACAATGCCAACAATTCAGACCCCTTTATTGATTAACTTCATTGGCTGTCGAAAAACACCGCAAGAGCTATAGGCAGGTTCAGATATGACTTAGCTCGCTGAGGCCGGGTTGGCCTTAGGGAAACTGGTTTATGCCTAACGAGGTCAAGTCAGCGACTTTTTTTTTTTTTTTTTTTTTTTTTGCCGTTTCAGCGCCAGTAACCCCTCCGCAAGAATTATCTGTAACCCTGTCTGCCCTGGCAACGCTCATTGAAGACGTCTGAAAGCCTCGGAAAAGACCGAATTTGTTATCACGACGCTGAAAGATAGAACTATCCTGCTTGAACTTGGTGTCGGTCAAAAACAGGTTGCAGATATAGTCTGATGTAGAAAGTAAAAAGCGCGAAAGATAGGCTGGCTGTTTGTGCCTGGAGTGTGCAAGGTCAGGGCCTACAACACCACAATGGTCCCACGTGGCGGGGATGTCCGACAAAAGATTGGTTGTGTCTCAGGTCTTGCGGTAAGGTAGGCCGAGTCCCACACCACCAGCCCTGCAACCACTCTCGCTTTCCACTCCGACTTAATCTATCAACTTGATTTGTTACAGGATGATTGAATTGCTCAGAGCTAAAGGTTTGTTTCCGAGGCTTCCATAATGAAGTTCTGATTTTGGCTCTTTTACAATGCCTAGTATTATACGTTTGTGTGCGACTAGATTTTTGGACTTGTACAATGCAACACACTAATTGTATTCAATGCATTATATGGAAGACTAGAGCCCGAGGTTTTGAGAGCATCCAAAAAGGCCTTGAGTCATTCTGTCGCACTAAATTCGCAATCTAGCCTCCATTTGACTAAATCATTATTATCCACCCCTGCGAATCGTTGGCTTAATTAGGGACCAGTAATGTATGAAAGTCCCAGAGCATCTCGTCGCCCTGTGCTGTTAGGGTCAAGATAAGGTGCCTCGCCGATTCCGACTGCTCTGTTTCCAAATCTGTCTCCCTGCTCATCATAGTCAAAAGTTGCGGTGTGGAAGGTGCTACGGTTGTCCCAAATGGCTGTGGGGAAAATTAGCACCAGATACCCTTTTTCAATGCTGGATAGTTATTAATGAGCTTACCGATATCATTGCTGTTCTGCCACTTGAAGCGGACTTGAAGGTCATGGTTCTTCTGCAGCAGGTCCAGGAACCAGTCAAGAAGGTGCTTGCTCTCCTCCGAGGTGACGCCGTTGATGTGTTTAACGTGGCCGCCGACAGGGAAGACACTCTTCCACCCGGAAACAGGGTTGGTTCTGACAACAGGGTGAATGGCTTTGAGTACGCTGCCGATGTTCTTTGGGTTTCCGCGTGGCTTGTCATATAAAGTGAAGCCACCGCGCTCAGCGGCTTGAGCGAAGCCAGGTTGCTCGAAGGTCACAGTGAGGCTTTCGAGGAACTTTTGATAGGGGGCACTGAGGCGGTCGTAAATCTCGTAACCAGATGCCCACAACGTGTCTACCGAATCAATACATGAGCTTTGTCTAAGTCTTAAAAAAAGAGAAAGTGGGCAAACAACTTACCTCCGCCAGTCTTTGGCAGCTGAACAAGGCGCAGAGATGAGTAATCGGCTGGGACAGGCTCGAAAGCAATATCGCTGTGCCACTGAGCAGTGCTTTGCTTCTTGGGACTGAGCTCCTCGCCCTCCAAAGGCTTGCGGTAGTACTTCTTATGCTGCACGGAGCTGATAGTGCTGATCTCGGGATCGGACCCACCCAGTTCTCGTTCAGAGTTAAGAACTGGGTGGATATGGAGCCCGGATTCCTTGGGCCGGCCCGTCAGTTCTCCGAGCCGGAGGATGAGTTGCTTTTGCAATTCATTGGTCAGGTCGTCTTGAGCCCGGAAGAACACGACGCCACGCTGAGAAACTTGGATTTTGTAAGCACCAAGCATGATAATCCTCTATTTTGGATGGATGCTTACTTGTTATGGCGAGGTCACGGATTAGCTCATCAGAGTTAGGAGCGTTGAGCCACTCTACCAAATTTGCCTTGGGAAACTCGCGGCCAATTATGGGCGTGACGTCGAACGACTCATAGTTGTCCAATGCTGAGGTTGTCTTTAACGGTTCAGGGTACGACACACCCTTGGTAATCGTGTGGATGGGAACTTCTGCTTCAATCGCGGTAGGCGCCATATTGATTCGATCTTGCTCCGAGGCTTGTTGTTAGCAAACTTATTGCAATGAAGACTGCTCTGCTGTTTCAAATTATCTCTTTCTATCGACAAAAGTTGAAGCATTATATAGACTCGGCGGGTCATCCGACCGGCTCGCATCTCACACAGAAGCATTTCAAATGTTGCTTTCCTCGTCGGATATGAGACAGCCTCACATTGAAGCGACATCCGTAGAGATCTCCAAACCCCGAGAAACCCCGCATTCTGGAAATGGAATCTGATTGAGCTCGGCGGGATGGTGAAAATAGGTAAGCTTATTTCGTGATTGATCATCCCGTTTGCGCGATGGCGTGGATCTGGGACGGATGATGTGATCACCTCATCTGGCTGGAAATAGCCAATCACAACACGTTCATTTCATGCCAACAACCTCTCCATGTCTGGTCCCTCTTCCAAGCTGAGAACATCTGTAACCATTGGATGGCCATATTTTTGATTCATGCGTGGAGTTTAATACTGGTAGTGTCAATGTAGATTTACCTAGATGTTGAAATTCGTAGTCTGGTACCTTGCCATAAACAAAATGTAAGGACGCGGGAATTCTATAATTCACACAGCCCAATAAAAACTCGCAAATAGATTTATGTGAAGTTTCTATCACCTTTTTAAACTGCTGTACAGTTGTTTTCCTTTATTAAAGGTTTTTGGTGCGCTTATCATGCTGTGATGGTTTGTCGCGTCAGAGCTGTACCCGATGACGAGCATCCACATGCCTATGGCCACATGACATTTTCAACGGGCATCCAGGCACTAAAAGTAGGACAGCGGTTCTCGCGAACCAAATACATGCATTCGTAAAGGGCATACGTTTAGAGATGCATCCTACTTATTTCATACCATACCTTATCAACAGGCCGAGGGCTCCCGAACAGAAACCGTATTGAGCAATCTCGCCCTGCATTTTTGCTGTTTTGAGCACAACCGATAACCTTTGTTACACAAATCTCAAATACGCTTAACTCACGAACTATCGAACTCGTGTCTTTTTGTGGGATACCTGGCGGAAAATCGGCACCTTGAAGTGTAACCCACGAAGCCCATGTACAGTTGTTCCATAACAAATGTGCTAGTGTGTACTGGTGTCGTACCGCAGCAACAAACTCGAGCACATCAGTATTTTCCCCCCTTGTGTTGGCCCTCTGAATTGGATGAAAGCTATCCTGTAGTCCAGGGGTTCACTAAGTATCGGCAGTTTTGTTCCGCAATCCGACTGTAAGAAGCTGCCCCAATTTGACGCCTTTGGGCCACTTCACACGTTATCGCCTTGTCTTAGTGATCCGGACTCACGGGGACGTAATATTGTGGATCGAACTCGCCATCACGACCTGCACACATCATCCTGGTAAGGCGACATTTCCACGACACAGTCTGTTTGTAAGCGAGATCCGGCGACCCGCCCACCTTTTTCGTCTTCTTTATAGCACCAGACGATTCTGTTCCGGAGAAATACATCGCCCCTCTGCTGCTTTCAGCCCTAGTTTTGACAGCTATCGGATATTTCCGCCGCATCATACGCCTGATTGGTGATTATGGCAACGGTCCTAGCAAAAGACCCTTTTCGAAAGGGTGATGCTTCGGTAGCATCGATGTCTATGGAGGATATTCCTCCTTTAGGCGCACCCAAAGAGGAGAAACGATTTTGGTTCCAACGAGATGAGTTCTACGATCCTTTCGCCATCGCTACGCAGGTACCTTGTTGAATACATTGTTGGAAGTAGTGCCACTGGAGACTTATCTTTCTTGATTTCAGGCTAGCGTTTTTGATGACCCAGATACGGCTGAACAGTACCAACCTCGGAAGGACTGGTATTTACCAAGTTCCACATGGGCAATGTTGCCGTATTTTAGAGTGATAGCTGATTTAGGACGTTAGGGAAAACATTCACCGTTTTGATCCATTAGCTAGATGGACATGGGCAGAAGAATATGCCTTGGTCCGAAAGGTTGATTTTCGTATACTGGCACGTCGCATCCGCTCTTACCTCTCCCCGGTCAAAACTGACATTGTTAGGCTTGGGCTTGCATTATGTTTATGGCGCTTGAACTTGACAGGGCCAATATCAGCCAAGGTTCGTGAACCTGCCTAGTGGTATGATCTCTCAACCGTAATATAGGCTAACATAAGATTCTTTGCAAAGCAAACACTGACAATATGCTGGGGGATCTTAATATGACCACTGATGGTATTTAGACACTTCCTACCAAACATACAGGCAGCAAGCTAACGCAGCCTCGAAGATTTCAATCTTGGAAACACCGTCTTCAAATTAGCCTTTCTTTGTGCTGAGTTACCATCACAGCTTGTATCCAAATGGGTCGGCCCAGATCGATGGATACCTGCACAAATGGTGTTGTGGAGCATAGTGGCCAGCTCTCAATTCTGGCTCGCTGGGCGTGACTCCTTCCTTACCTGCCGTGCGATATTGGGTTTGCTACAAGGAGGCTTTATTCCTGACGTGAGTTTATCATTGCCAACATGAACGCTTTTTGAACTAGAGCTCAGTCACTATTTCAGGTCATTCTGTACCTGTCATACTTCTACAAACACCACGAGCTCTCCCTACGACTTGGGCTTTTCTGGACTGCGATGAGCACCGCTGACATACTCTCGGCACTTCTCGCATACGGGTTACTTCACATGCGCGGCCTTCAAGGACACGCTGGATGGAGATGGTTGTTTCTCATCGAAGGGCTCATGACTCTTTTCATTGGTATCTTCGGGTTTCTCCTTATGCCCGCTGGGCCCTGCCAGACTGCCAGTTGGTTTCGTGGCAGGAATGGCTGGTTCTCAGAAAGGTCAGTAGCCATCTTTTGAGCTGCCCGAGTCAATGCTGATCGTTCTACAGAGAGGAAATAGTCCTCGTCAACAGGGTGATTCGAGAAGACCCTAGCAAGAGTAGTATGCACAATCGCGAGCCGGTCACCCCACGTCTTCTGTGGGAGAGCATCCGAGACTACGATTTGTGGCCGCTCTACATATTAGGTCTTACCTTTCAGATCCCAATGACGCCGCCGCATCAGTATCTTACCTTGACGCTGCGCAACTTGGGCTTTGGTACCTTCCAAGCCAACTTGCTCTCTATCCCGTACACAGTCGGACACAGTATGGTTCTTCACCTTTTGAGAATTCTGAACGCTATTGACGTTTGAATTAGTGATGACTATGCTTGCGATCACATACCTCGCTGAGGTCTTCAAAGAACTTACATTCATCTCTATGTCAGGTCAGGTGTGGGCCTTGCCTTTCTTGATATACCTCAATGTGGTCGATACAACGGAAGTCAACAAATGGGTTCTTTACGCAGTAATATCTTTGTTACTAATTTACCCCAACGGTTAGTTGTACATAACATTGTAAGAAGATTACGCTAACAAATATACAGCTCATCCTATTCAAGTACGTCACCTCCATGGTTACGTGGACCTCATAGCCTTCTCGGTTTCTCTCAAAGGCATAGTTTTCCAGAAAGCGTGGCTTACTAACTTACTTTCAGGTGGGATGGAATAGTCGAAATTCGAATAATGTTGGGTCCCGAACAGTCTCTGCCGCCTGTTATAATATGTTTGTCCAAGCCAGTGGTATAATTTCCTCCAATATTTATCGCTCCGGTGAGTTCCCATTATTCTCTCTCTCTCTCTCTTTCTTCTTGCCATTTCAGGTACTCATTAATTTTAAGATGACGCACCTCTATACAGGAGGGGCAATAGAGTGCTCCTCGGGGTTGTCTGCATGAACTTGGTGCTATATCCTCTCGTCAAGAGTTACTACGTATACCGTAATAAAAGAAGGGACCGGAAATGGAACGGCATGTCACAAGATCAAAGACTTGCTTACCTGGCTACCACCAAAGATGAAGGCAGCAAAAGACTGGACTTCCGTTTTAGCCACTGAGTCAAAGTCCACAGCTGTTAGTTCGGGAGACGTTGCTCAATGATTGGAATATTCGCAACGCGACTGAGAATGCTGTATTAGTAGCATGTGCTATATAATCAGTAGTTTTTGTTAGTGGATTCAATGATAGAGATGCTGTTGTTGTTTAAAGTCATCTTGGGATATTTCGAAGTTGCAATCAACACTTTCAGCAGCACAAATCGGCTGTGAAAACATTTTTGGATCTTCGTCTGGATAGTATTTTCCCCTCTTTTTCTACTTCAATCATCTCGATCACTTGCAGAGCCTGCTCCTGACCTAGGTGGCTGACTAGGCTAAGTAGGTATAAATAACGGATGCATTCTCCAGGATTTCTTGGGGAGCTAAGTTTTACTTTGATGGCTGTTGATCATTGGTAGAGCAGGCCACTGGATTGTCGCTGTAACTTGGGCCGGAAATGTAAATGAACAGAAGCTTGACGTCGCCGGAGTTCCTGTGCTGTGGGGAACACGTAAATGCTAGTACAATTAGTTTACCCCGCACTCCACATGACGTTTTGTGGATTTAGTCAGTTCAAGTTGTTGAGAATATCTTTACCCAACACGGACACATGCCGGAACGCCTTCACTCCCTTTACAAAGAATCAATATCATGCCTCACCAAAGGTGCTGTGGAGAAAGGTATTTATTTTGACTGAAAATTATTCTCGTATGACACACAGTCCTTGTTCCAGGTGTCAGGCTTGACAGAAAACCCCGCGCCTCGACTTTTCTTGGCTATGTCCGGTGAACAGATTAGCACTTACATCACTCGCGAGCCTGGACGTAGCTTTGCCCCAGGCATGTAGTTGTACCATTGAAAGCTAACTACATATAAGCCGCATGCCAACTGACATGCAGGTCTTGGTATTTTGCCTGCTTAGATCAAATAAGGATCAGACCATCTGTCTTGAAATATTTGGTATAAACGAAGAAAACATTTCTCGTCTCCCTTGGACTTAGTAGGCTCGCAGTCCATCAATGCAGCCAGCAAGACAAAATTATGCATCTGCTGTAATATTCGAGCCCCATCTACGTGGATATCAGAACTCAAACGTCTGGACTTTCATGAAGTTTTGCAAACAAAAGAGCTACCTAGTATTTCGTCTGGGCTTTTGCTGGAGATTATCAACACTAATTTTCTACCTTATTGAAGTGACGTCTATGGCTGTCAAATACGCAGTATAAAGGTTGTCAGCTACACTGATGATAACCGCAAGCAATACATCTTCTCGAAAGCAATGATGTCCGTGGCTTCTAGAGCCTATCAGCTCTACATTGGCATGTACATAATGAGAATCGTTAGCCCCCATGCGTGTTTGACACCGGCACTGAGAAGGGCCCAGAGCTAGAAGCTTAGTTGCCTCCGCCCCGGATTATGGGTCTTGTGCATGCGTGGCGTCACCAGCATTAATCGCTTCCGAGACACAGCACCGCTTCTCGTTTGCAGGCATATTTCTCACTTGGGGGCCGTGACGCCGGATGCGGGTTTCAACGGGCGCTTGTTGTGAAATGATGGTATTGATCGCTCATTTTTTTGGCCTTATGAAGGCAAGAAAGAAACGTATGGAAATTCTATAAAACCATCAGGAAGAAGACCAATTTGCATATGTGTAAGCAAAATCGCCAATGAATTCTCAAACTTACTTTCTCATAGCCACAAGTGCTAGCAGTTCAGGGAACACCACTTTTCATATCCACACTTTGGATTGCCGAGGTGCCTAACAATCAAAATGATGAGTCCTATGAAAGCAATGAAGAAGCTATCGATTGATGGCGGTAATGACAACACTCTCCCGATGCTCACTACCGAGGACAACATGAAAAACAGGCTTGTGTCGATGCTGGGAGAGTTTGTTGGCACATTCTTGTTCCTGTTTTCAGCATTTGCCGGAACACAGGTTGCCAACATGTCTCCAGCCCCCATAACATCGGAGCCAAACTTACCAGCCATCATTTTCATTTCCCTCTCCTTTGGCGTCTCACTGACAGCGAACGTGTGGGCTTTCTACCGTGTCAGTGGAGGCCTATTCAACCCAGTTGTAGGTAACACCAAATAACCAAAGGATCTTTCGAATAGTGCTAATATCATTTCTCATAGGTCACTCTCGCACTAATGCTCTGCGGCGGCTTGCCAATCATCCGTGGCCTTCTAATTCTACCGACTCAACTCGTCGCCGGAATCGTCGCTGCTGGTCTTGCTTCTGCCATATTTCCAGGTCATCTAGCAGTTGATACCGTTCTAGACGGAGGGACAAACACCGCGCAGGGCTTTTTTATCGAGCTAGCTCTCACAGCCCAGCTTATTTTTGTAATTCTTATGCTAGCTGTTGAGAAGCACCGATCAACATTTTTGGCCCCCGTCGGAATTGGTGTGGCATTCTTCCTCTCAGAACTTGTTGGTAAGTGTCACCAGGCTTTTTGGCGTTTTTGCATCCGAAGTCATGCTTACTGTGAATTTCAATTTAAATAGGCGTTCACTTTACTGGTGGCTCATTGAATCCCGCCCGATCTTTAGGGCCTGCTGCCGTGAACGGCAAGTTTCCTGGCTACTTCTGGATATACTGGCTTGGCCCCATACTAGGGTCGCTTCTGGCCTGCGCGATGTATACTCTGTTGCGTTGGTTGAGGTACTACGAAGTCAATCCCGGCCAAGATGGCGATGGAAAAGAAATGGATGTCGAGGCGATGTCACCGGTAGTGACTAGATAATCAACAAGGGACCGGCGAAATGTCACAAGGGTGGCGGCACTTCTCCGACTAATTTCACATTTTCAAAGCTATCCGCACAGTACATGATTAAACCACGCAAAGATACGCCCGATTGCGCAGCCGCTCAATGAATGCCCTCATAAAACCGAGCAAAGTCCAATGAACCACTCTTGCTCCTTTCCGAAAGCATCCCCACTGCTGCCGGTCTAGGATGCCCAGTAGTGCCTTGGCCAATCATGAATATTACCGCGATGCAAGCATGTCTAGTCCTGTTCCACCGCTAACCCAGCGTCCTCGGTAATACATCTGATTGGCTGCTAACTTCCCGGTCTCTTTCATCTTGGTGAGCATCAGTGCAGTTCTGGAAAGACATGGCAGCGAACAGATACAGGCGCAAAGCGTATGAAATCGTTGTCTCTATTTAATAATCTATTTTATCACTGTGTTTCCTAAGACTGAGAGGCCTGTTCATACACCTATACCATCGTCCTATTCTTATTCCTAGAAAGACTCTTTTGGTAACAACAAACTTGTTTCTGGATCAAATGGGGTCTATTCCAGCTGAGCAGAAACATGCCATTGGCTTTGTGGGCCTCGGTGCCATGGGCTTCGGCATGGCTTCGAATCTTCTCAAAGACGGCTTCGACGTCACTGGCTATGATCTTAACCTGGCAACTCTAGAAAGGTTTGGCAACTTGGGAGGCTCAGTCGCAAAGACAATTTGCGCTGCCAGCAAGGGCAAACCCTTGTTTTTTCTCATGGTTGCCACTCCAGAACAAGTCGATTCGGTCATGTTCACTGACAAAGATGGTGCCATATTTACACTACCTCAGAGAGCCATAGTTTGCATATTTAGTACGCTTCATCCCAGTTATGTCACTGGCCTGCCTCAAAGACTAGCAGCCTACGGAAGGAGCGACATCAGCTTGCTAGACTGCCCCGTATCTGGTGGCATGGTCGGAGCAATCAATGGTACCCTTAGCGTAGGTACTCCACAAGCCTATTTTCCGTGAAAGGAAAATGAAATCAAATCCGCTGCTAATTAGTATTATTAGATCATGCTGGGTGGCGATGATTCGATTATTCAACAAGTGGAACCTGCACTGAAGGCGGTATCTGCCCCTAATCGTCTTTTTCGCTGTGGGCCTCTGGGTTCAGCTAGTGCTGTCAAGATGTACGTGCTTCTCTCGCAACAAGCTTCACGATGGTGAGCCCTCAATTACTGATGCAACAATGTAGGCTTAACCAGCATCTGGCGGGCATTCATGTCGTCGTAGCTGCGGAGACCCTAGCGTTTGCAAAGGCAGTGGGTCTTAGTTCAAGAGATGCTCATAAGATTCTCATGGAATCTGCTGCTTCGAGCTGGATCATGGGCGACCGTGGCCGGAATATGCTTGACGCTAACTGGACCCCGAGGTCAGCTGTTTCCATCTTTGTAAAGGATATGGTAAGGATCCAGCTTGCTTTCTTCGCCCTTTTACTTCAGGAAATTACAGATAAGCTGACAAATTTTCTTCGTGTTCTTTTCAGGGCATCGTAAACGAAGTCAGTGACCAACTGGAATTCTCATGCCCCATAGCCTCGGCCGCATATCTCGTTTTTCTAGAGAGACTTGCCCGCGGAAATGGCGGTCTTGACGACGCCAGTGTCGTATGCAACTATGAGGACGTGACTGGCACCCCAGTTTTCGAGAGCCAACGAGACGAAACTTTGACTTTAGAATCCGACATACCAGTTTATCCCGGAATCTCAACCATCTTTATCGCTGAAACAGATTCAACTTCAAGCATTTTGGTAGAAGCGACCAACTCTCTTACAGTCATATCGCCAGATAACTCAGAAAAGGTCATGAAAAGACTGAATGGACTGGCCGACAAGAGTCTTGTAGGCCTTTGTAGTCTGGACAACTACATCGGCATCGGGGAGAACATCAGGTCAAGTCACCCAAGCTTTCAACTCTTTGATTACAATCTGGTGCCTTCATCAGATTACTCATCATACCAAGTTAGTACCCATGCGACACGAAATCATCGATGTGAAGGATTTCTGGCACGAGTAACAACGCTGACAACTAGAAGCTCCTATTTAGCACAGATGATGACTACGCAGTTATCATTCAGCATTTGAAGTCTGTGTTGCCACTTCACATCAAACCCGTTCCCATCCAGGGTGGCCTTGGATCGGCGTCCAAGATGTACGCTGTCGTAAGACTAGCCTCGCTGGTCCACATAGTCGCAACTGCAGAATGCTACTCTCTAGCTCGAGCGCGTGGTGTGTCCTGCCAGCTCGTCTACGACCTAATTGCAGGTGCCGCGGGTTCGAGCACCCAGTTCAACCACTTTTACCTCGACATGCTGCATCAGACTACCACCGAAAAGTCACAATCTGGGCTTGATACTTTTGGAGAAGCGTTAGCAGATTTGGTAAGTTTTCATGAATGTTCAAAACTTATAGATGGGTTTAAAAAAGCTAATCAATGGTGATTTTGCTTTTCTAGCAACACATCAAACGTATTATGCGTGGTCTGAAATTCCCAGGTCGTCTATTGGATGCCGCCCACCAAGTGTTTAAGGGTACTGGCGGTAGGTACAATATCGGCAACGCATCAGTTGCAGCCGTTGTTGACTTCTGGGAAGGTGGCAAGGACCGTCAATAAATCGTTAGAACAAATTGTTCACGACGTTTTAGGCCCATTTTACACCTTAGACCGCGCGGCCATGTTTTGCGGCTCAAATATGACTTTAGAGAACTGGGTAACCATCTGTGTTGCGACTCATCCAAGCTCTTTCTACAGTATATTTGCTATCATGGTTTTGACATGTATATAACTTTACCATCTTAGGAGAATGGGTGACGCATTATCATTGTCCTCATTAGCCCAACTACCTGGCTCGCCCTCCCATATCCCCTTCAGTTCATCCGCTAACACGCTCGTTCTTCTTCCCGTTTTCTCTTGGCATTCCATAATAAGCTCAAGTGTTCTCTGTCTCTCTTCCTTGTCCTCCGTGAGAAGTCCCGCAATATAGAGGCACTGGCAAGAGAGTAAACCCCAAGCGCCGGGAACGCCCGACTGAGCGGTTAGGAAGATCTGTTTCCGTGAGTGTTCTATAAGTTGTCTTATGGACAAGAAGCTGCTATTGAGAAGTCCGCGGCCTCTAGAAAAGCGCGGCATGTGGTGGAGAATAAGGATGATCTTGCTTGCATGATAAACTTCGTGTGCGATTGCTGATATGAACAGTGTGCATTAGTATCCAATTGTAAACGTCTAGTGTATTTGTCTTTTTTTTTTTTTTTCGTAAACTTACCACTTTGGGAGAAAATGAACCACAAAAATTTGACAACACTTGGCCCATCTCCGCCATCGGGTGACTGTTCTATAGGAAAACAGTGCATTTTGGTTGGGAGCTTAGCTTTCCACGAATCCAAAGCATGATTCAACTCGGCGGCTTTCTCCTCACGAGCTTTCAGCCAGTCGTTATAATCATCGTGGCCAGGCCCATCGTTGCAAAAGTTAATGCATTGTCCGAAAATGTAAATGACCCTATTGGCAATGTCTTCGGGCTCCAGCTGCTCAAAGGATTCTAGAACGGGAGGTTCCCAGTAAGACTCATTGAGCGACATGCAACGCCCAGTTTGTAAAGCTGCCCATGTCTCCTGTCGGTACCAAGTCCAATAGCAAGATCCTCGGATGCCGCAGGCATCGCCCGTGACCTGACGCGACTGAAGAAGCGAAGCAACGCCGCTTCAGACAAAGGCCATAACCGACATCGATCCAGACAGTGCGATGGCTGCCTACGTCCCCAATACCGCCGAAGATAAGAAGCTTGTCTGGAAGATCGATCGTCAGCTGATGAGTGTTATTTGGGTCATGTATATTTTCAACTACTTGGATCGGGTATGTTGTTGAACTTGTGCTCCTGCCCCGATATATGACATTCCTTGCTAACACGTCGTTAAACAGACTAATATTGGTAACGCTCAACTCGCCGGCCTCAGCGATGATCTGAATATGAGTTCTCAAGACTACAACTGGGCTTTATCTATCTTCTTTTTCGGATATGTCCTTTTTGAGGTTCCTTCAAACATGATCCTCTCGCGAAGCCGTCCCTCCGTCTTTCTTCCATCTATCATGGGCTTGTGGGGTGCCCTTTGCTGCTGCATGGCTGCAGTCAACAACTTCGCCGGCCTATGCGCACTGCGTTTCGTCCTTGGTTGTGTTGAGGCCGGCTTTGCTCCCGGTGTCCTATTTCTCATGTCGACATGGTATACAAAGCTGGAGCAGGCTCGTCGCTTTGCTGTATATTGGTCAGCGGCGGTAGCCTCCGGCGCTTTTGGTGGTTTACTCGCTGGCGCCATTACGTCTGGCCTCGATGGTGCTGGTGGCTTGGAGGGTTGGAGATGGCTCTTTATCATTGAGGGAGTTGCCACTGTCATTGCCTCTGCCTTTGCCTATAAATTCCTCTTTGATTTTCCCGAAACTACTAAAGGTATGTTCCCAACGAACTTTTATTCTCACTATACCAGACAACATCCGAACTAACTGCCAAACCAAAGGATTTACCGAACGTGAGCGCGAGCTGCTCATTGCCAGACTCCAGTATGACGGACATGCTGACGTTGACAGTACATCCCACGTGAGCCCAGTGCAGGCGATGTGGATGGCCTTCAAGGACTGGCGTGTCTGGAGTATGGTGCTCATCTACAGCATGATCGTTGGTGCTGGAACCATCTCTTACTTCCTGCCTGTCTTGACCAAGAGTCTCGGCTACTCTCAGGTCACTGCCCAGTACATGACTGTCCCAATCTACATGGTGGCCCTCGTCTTCGCAATTGCTTCAGCCATCTCATCCGATTACTTCAAGGACCGTCGCTTCCACATTGCTGCGTTCTCAGCTTTGGGTCTGGTATCCTGTATTGTCGCAGCCTCTGTGCTAAACCCGACTGTGAGATACGTCATGCTCTGCTTCCTGGCAGCCGGCGTTTGGTCCGCGCTGCCTATGGCCCTTACCTGGACTTCCAACATCATCCAATGGCCCCGTGAGAAGCGAGCCGTTTCTCTTGCAATGGTTAATGCCATTGGAAATCTGAGCTCGGTTTACGGCAGCCGCATTTGGCCCTCATACGACGCTCCGCGATACGCCATTGGTTTCGGTACCACAGCTGGCTTCTTGTTTCTCGCCGTGGTGCTTGCTATAGTCATTGGATGGGCCTCTATCAAATGGCCTCACGATGCGTATGTAAGGAAGCAGATCGAAAAGGCTCAGGGGTCTGCACCATCACCTCTACCGGTTAGCGCTGATTCCTGAAGTGTTGGTATTGGTCTCTCTAGAGAGGTTTGCTCTCACTGTAGGCAATATGTGTTTGGCAATGTTGGCTCATTAAGCATGTTACTGGGCGTGTTGTCCAGGAAAGAACATACAACAGATCAAGAGTGCATTGGGTCAAACTACTAGCTGTCCATATACCCAAAAAACTCTCTATATTTTCCCATCTCCCTTAATTGAGACATCTTTGTTGCTTGTTCTCTCTCTCCGATTGTGGTGATTATTTGGGGTTTCTTAAAGAGACATGATGCGAACAATCATCACACTACTATGCTCGCCAGCCTCAGCATTTGATCGTTGGACCATAAAACAAGCCCTAAGATAGCCAATGTATCAGATTTAGATGCTCTGCTTCTTGTCATATCCTAAGGCCTTACATGGCTACTAGGCTTGGTGGAAGGCATCCCTCATTCATCTTCAATGCCAGGAACCTTGACGGATAAAACCCTCGGTCTCCACCCAATGAAATCTCAGTTGAGCTTTTTGAGGCGTAGCAATGTGGCAAAGATTGACATTGGTGAAGTGTGAAGCCATGCAACTTATATGGACAATAACACCAGCGGGTTCGAAAACATGCCGAGTTTTCTTGTCGGGCTTGGCCAGACGCTACCAATGTAACTTTTGGCCACTTCCAAGCACATATTACATCAGGCGATGCCGGTGCCCCGCGGCGATCAGTGAGATGGTGGTCAGGCTTTAAGCCTAGGATTGAGGGACAAGCCTGCAATGCGCCGATCAGTCAGGGGCCGTCGAGGAATCACCATGCCGGGTTGCGGCACGTACCTTCCTGACTTGCAGGGGTCCGCCAGATCCTTTGCCCCAAGGAGGCGGTTCACAAGGCATATAAGGCTGACTCTGTTTTTACGTACCGCAATCGGCATCCGATTTAGGAAATTAACTTGTGTTTTTACGATGTAAAACTTGGGCCATCGTTCCAGTACAACAATCCGATTGGTCAACATGATATCAAAATCAATCATCGGTCGTTCGGACATGTCCGTAGGAAAGCTACTTTGCTGTACGTTGTGATTCAAGTTCCAAGCCCCATCAGGACTCCTTTGCACAGCATCTGAGGCCCTTCACTTCTTGTCAGCCCTCGCAGGGCCCTATCAGTCCCAGAGAATCATACAAGTAAGCCTCGAGGGCGAGAGTATAAGTTCGCATTGTGGCGATTTTTGCGTGAGCAAGGGTCCAAAAGCTCATTGCAGTGCATTCTCATTAAACTTGGAGAATGATCATGTGTGAAGTGGCTTAGTAGCAGCTTTCTCTTCTGATTTGGCTTTGATCGTGACTTGAGCCAATTCTAGCCCTGGGCATCTCCGCCTCAGAAACAAAGGGGCATCGGATTCGCATAACCATTCACATGCACTAATGCCATACACCTGAAATAGAAGATCAACACCAGGATACACTGATCGCGTTAACTGGCCAATCAGAGCCCTCAGGTGCCTGGATGATATTAGGTGGATTTGAAGTTTGAACCAAAGTCAGTACGATTCTAAAGATGCCACCCCGAGGTGACTGAGAAGTGTTTGGCAGGGATTCTCAGCCATCGATCCGAATTCTTCTACATTCATCAAGGTTACATAGATTTCTCACATGACCTGTAACTTATCTAGATGGCAGCCAACAAACCGGGCGTAGAAATATGCCAAATGGTTCTAGTCAGGTTTGGGGATATGGCCAATCTAGTCGTTCTCGTAACGGAAATAGCATTTCATTCGTTTCCTCTTCACATTCAACAAGGCTAATTATGAAATGGTCGTACGTCTAAGCTTAAAATTGACCATTCCTAATCACAACCGCGTGTTGCCAGCATATATTGAGCTATGTTCGGGTAGATGGTGTGGAAATGCTGTTCATGAAACACCTCTATCTCCTCGGCATTGATTGTCCTTGAAGGCTACCACCCCCATACCCTGACTCTCGAACCTCTTCAGCCATCCAACGTATATCAAGCTAGACGTTCGGCCAGTGGCGGCGATGTCCAATACAGACAAGTTGGCTATTCCAGCCAGCCTGACCATTCGGAAGTTGGATCATAACTTCAACAACGCCGAGGGAAACATTCTGTTTTTCGATCAAATTGAGTTGCTCACTATGTCAAATCCACTTTGGCGTGAGTTTATCGGAAACCGAATGGCTCTGGAGCGGCGCTATGGTGCGCTTCTTCAGAAATACGAAGAAGCCTTTTCGTAAGAGCTCAAGTGGATGAGTCATGTTCACCAGCTAATTCATTTCAAGGAATTATTTTAGAGGTTACTTTCCAATGGACTATCGATCGACTGGTCACGATGCTATGTTGCCTGACAGTATTGTTAAACTTGTGTTGACTTTAGCAGAGCATTCATTATCTGCAACGTCAACCTCGTCTGATAGTGCTTCAAGTGATACCAAGTCCATTTTTGAAGAGTTAGGCTGGGAAGATGTTCAGGCAAAGAATCCCTGTTGGGCGCTCTTGTCAGACACCTATGCTGCTGCTGTTGAGCCCCCATTAGGAGGTTCGGTCGTAAGAACATCCAAATGCGAAACTGAATGAATGAGACCGGCTAACACGGAAATCGATAGAAATCAGGACCTCGCTTCTTTAGCTCTCGAAAACACCACGGAAACAATCCCATAGTCCTTCACGTGGATGGCGTATCCGACCATGAGTTGAAGAACCAGCTAATCGAGGCCAAAGAAAAAGGCTGCATTGGAGTAATGGTAGAAATCATCGAAAACAACTACAGCGGGCGTGTTCTAAGCATCGAAATTCTCCGACGTCTGGCCGCACTATGTGCAGAGGAGAACCTTCTGCTCGCTGTGGATGAGACCCTTACGGCCATCCGGTGTGGATCTCCTTTTTCCTTCCAAAGAGAGGAGTATTTCGACCTGCCGTCGCCTGATATCGTCTTCTTTGGCAGATCTATTGGTGTACAGGGCACTGCGATTGCGTTTGATGGCCAATTCCTCAATAGATTTGGCATCCTCGAAGGTTCACGCCAACGGGCGATCCGGAAATGGCAAAGTCAATTCCACAAACCACTACCAACCGCAGAACTTGTCCAGGCAATCTCTACCTTGAAGATATTGATTCAAAGAAACTTCACCATGTTAAGTCGCATTATCGGCCAAGCGATCCGGACATTCATCCTTGAGCAGGTTGCTAAGAAAGGGCAGGACTTTCAGTCGCAGGACATTCTCGGAGGGCTGGAATCTTTGATATTCGTCAGAAAGGACATTGCCGGTGAGTTCCTTGTCATGGGAGCTAAAACCGGGCAACCGTGGGTTCCGTGGGTGAAATGGCTGCCTCGGCTCGAGTCTGACATGTCTAGGAGTGAGGTGCTGGAGGAGGTCATTGGGTGTTCAAGCGAGCAGGCTCGCGAAGACCTCTCAAAATTACTTCTTCAGAAGGGTGCAAAGCCTAGTTGGTGCTTTTGGTGTGGAAATCCGACCACAAGTAAAAAGGACGATTGGTGCCAGCGGTGCTGCATCGGTGTCTGTGACCAAGAGGTTTGCGGTCGTCATTTATCCCACCATACCCACGTTTGACGTTGGATTGAGCGATCAACAGACTAAAACTATCAGACAGAAAACTAAGTTGACATAGGTGAAAGAATGCAGGCATGTTCACTCATCAAGTCGGAAGATTTTGTATCCTGGGGTACATAAGTTACCATTATTAAATACAAGGTACCTCCTTACAGGAGTACTTCCACAGCACAAACCGGAGGCTGGAAACAAACAAGATAGAACCTTATAGACTACACTCCCTATTTAAATTACTGTTTGAGTTTATTACGCATGTCAACTACTTCACGTGGATCGCAAGCTGAGCCGACCCAAATAGTTTTCAATGTCGGATTGGTATTTAGGTACGTCAAGACCTGTCAACTAGAATGTAACACGTAACAAAACCGCTAATTTCGTCAAATTCAGCATATCATTCATCTAGGGATAGTATACAAGCGACCTTTCACATCACGCTCTCCTAGCCTTTCAAGGCCCTTGGTCACATCAACAAAGGGAATCTCTTGCAAAGCCGGCTTTAAAACACCCTTGGCCAGGAGATCCAAAACTTCGCGAAACTCCTGAATGCTCGCACTCGTCGAACCCCGCAGCGACACATTTTTGGTAACAAGAGACGTGGTGGTGATTTTTACAGTTTGTGCCGCAAGTCCAACCAGTACTACACAACCCCCAGGCCTGACCGACTCAAGCGCATCCTCAACTGTTTTCTGCGCCCCCGCAAAGTCCAACACGACATCAAACGTCTCACTCTCAAATGTCTTCAAGTCTGTAGCACAATCGATGGCACCGGCGGCCTTCGCCTGTTCGAACTTGGCGGCATTCAAGTCGATGCCGAACACTCGCGCCCCCCGTAGCGCTGCAACGGCAACGCCGTTAAGGCCTAATCCGCCAAGGCCGATAACAGCAACCGTCATGGAACTCGAAACACGGCCTTCAGCAACGACGGCGTGGTATGCAGTCGCTATAGAATCCGTCGCAACAGCAGCCTCGGCAAAGCCAACGCTCTCGGGGATTTTGACTAGGTTTTTTATCGGTGCAACAGCGTATTCTGCGTATCCACCATCGCAACCAACACCGAGCGCTTCATGAAAGTTTCTCTCCTGAATTGGGTGGCCTACGCAGGCTACCGCAATACGGTCGCCGACTTTGAAGGAAGTTTGGGAGGAGTCGCCGAGGGATGCAATAACGCCTGCAACCTCGTGACCAAGGGTTATAGGGAGAGCGCACATCCAGGCTGCGCCGCCTCCATGGAGCACGTGAGTGTCTGAATGGCAGAGACCTGCGGCCTTGACGCGAAGAAGGGCGTGGTTCGAAGGTGGACTTGGAACGGCGACTTCTTCGAGGTGGAGGCCACTGTCAGCGCCACGAAAACGGAATGCCTTCATTTTTGAGGGAGATGTCATAATGAAGAAAAAATGAAAGATTGAAATATGGTGATTAGAATCATCAAATTAAAATCCAGTCAAGGTCATAATTTTGCCTGACTTATATGCTTCCTCAAATGATAGACTTTCGACGTTTTCCCCCTTCTAGATGCATTGAAGGTGCCTTAATTCCCCACAACCCATTGTGAGTGAGTATGCTTCATAATGACTCATAGCGGGCTATAGTTAAATAGCTGTTATGATATATGGCTAGTTATCGAAGGGTTGTCCGTGCCATCCGGCGGCTCAAGGCAAGGTTGAGCGGGGATGGGAGAAGGCTTAGCCGGTCAAGAAACGTCTATTCTTTAAGCAGATTTGAGATACTTAAACTGTTATTTGACAATCTTTATTCGTATCTACTATAAATGCAAAGAGACACAAATAATTCAGTCATTGGCGGCAAGCCAGTAGCAACATTGCCTTGCAAGCGTTGAAAAGTCTCTGGTTTTTAAGGTTTATTGTAGTGAAGTTTTTGGTGGACTCAACCCGCTAGCTACCCCAGCTTCAGCTCTCTTCATTGGCAGGCTTTGAACGGTTGATGGGGCTGTCCCGCTCCTACCTTCTGCGAACATTTCGTTACGATTTGTCTTAAACCAATGAAATTCTTCTGTACGGCGCGTTATCAACTTCTTTTTGGATATGTTCGCTAGACATTGGAATTCTGTCTTGCGAAACTTAAACATCTCTTGATTATTGACAGGCATATGGCTGATAGCTTAACAATGGCGCTCTTCAATACTGTTGCGTTTGGCCGCTTATAATAACATCAATCCGACATATTAGGCGCAGGTCAAAACAACCATTCCACAGAACAAAACAAAAGCTTCAGCAATGACAGATCCGTCGCTTTCATTCCCTGTTATCCAGTCCTTAGCCATGCCGAAGTAAGCTGCCAGAGCAAGAGCTGTGTGCTGAGCAATCATCTTCACTTGTTCCTTACTCCATACGTTCGTTATTATTCAATCTAGCGAGTCATCTTGTAACAGCTCCTCAAGCTCATTGATGGCCTAAAGGTTATCTTGGAGTTTTTAGGTAACAAGAAGTCAAAGCCGGTCGAATACGGTACGGATGCCGCCAAGGATGATAACGTGTGGTGGAGGTAGATACCTGCTAGATGGGCGAGTACAGCATATGGTGTAATGGATGTCCCAGCAACTTCTGTCATGCTACCAGGATTCCACTCCTGTTATTTACGTTTTGCATGCTGGAGTCACAATACATACACCAAGCTTTTCTCGAGGGATCCATAGCACGGCATGAGATTCTGGATGGGCTCCGAGTTGCAATCAACAGGATAAATGATCCTCAGCATTTCTATCTTCGCTATGTACCTGTAGCCAACAAAATCCAATCTCTCAATCGCCCCTTCACTCGACGATTGCTTAGTAGACCAGCTTGACCGGGGTCTTGACGTGGGCAGCCAGGGGGGTGGTGCCGTTCATGTTCTGGGAGATGGCCTGAACAAAAGCCTGAGAGCTGAGGTCGGCACCAGCGGCGCTGGTGTGGGTGTTGTCCTTGATGTAAAGCGCGTTGGTGGCAGAGGCACCCAGCTTGCGGTACATCTTGCTGACGGCCTCGTGGTGGTCGACGAAAGTGACGCCGGAGTCGGCCAAAGCGTTCTTGGCCACCAGCTGGTATCCAACAAATCGGGACGGAGTTCCAACCCAGGTTCCGGTCGACCACTGGTTCTTGGGCGTCTGGGAGCTGAGGATGACAGTAGCACCCTTGGATCGCAGGAGCTTGGACGCTTGGATGATGTAAAAGACGTAGGTGTAGACGGTCTCTCCGGTTTTGTCAGAGACGCATGTCTCGGTGCCCTGGCCGGGGCAAACAGAGCGGCCGTTATCGTTGGAGCGGGGCGAGCCGACGTCGTTGTGGCCGAACTCAATAACCACGATATCTCCGGCCTTGACCTCGTTGGCGACGTTTTGGAAGCGGCCCTCGTTCCAGAAAGAACGAGAGGAGCGGCCACCGATGGCCCTGTTGACGACAGCGATGTTCAAGTACTTGGAGACGTACTGGCCCCAGCCGTCCATCTGAGAGTCACTGCTGCGAGCCATGGTGCTGTCACCACACAGGTAGAGGGTTGGCGCGCGAGCGGCAAGCTCGGCTGGCTCAGGGGCTGGGGCGGGAGCGGCCGAGGTCTGCAGGGCGCCAAGCGCCAAAGACGCAAGAAGAGAGTAAAACTTCATGGCGGTAAGAGGTAGGTTTGGGAGTTCCTAGATTTTGGCTGGCAAGATACAAGCTGAAGAGACTGCAGAGGAAAGGGATACAAGAGGACCTACCTAGATATAATGACCGAAAACAAAGGCCCCTTTAATATAACATCACAGAATCATCACGATACAGGCCAGCAACAACCCTTGTCTGCAATACCCTCTATTGATTCCACGACTTCCAGTTTGAGCTTGGCGTAGTCAGGTTCCGCTCCGCTCGGCCGAGCTCGTCTTTGGATTATATTAAATACTGCCAAGGTAGCAGGACGTTCTTCCGCCAGTCGGGGCACCTAGAGTAGTCCAGATCCAGCCGTTTACTCTATTCTCAATGTCACATTGGGTGAGTATGGGCCGGTAGTTCAACTTTACTTGAGACTGTACCACGGTAGAATTGCAAGGGCTGAGGGAGGTCCCGCTGACCAAGGAGCTGGACTGTTTCCTATGACCATGTGTAGACTGCCAAGATGCAAATACGGCACGTTTATTCCTATTTGGCACTTGTGTCCGCGCCTAAGCAGAGCCCCCTTGCGTGCGTTAGTGTCTTGGCGAAATGGCAGGAAAGAAAAGAACTCCCGACCGAGAACTCCGATCTCCGCCAATAGCGATGAGCATGTATTGATAGTTGGCACCCAAGTTGCGGGGAAGTGCCGATCTGACCTCAAGACCCCTCCGATTTGGGGATGTCTTGTGATGGTTCGGTAGAAGTTTGTCGCGAGAACTCACATTATGGGGTAAAGCGACAGAAGGCGTAGAAATACACACCGTGGTGGGCTTTAGCGGGTTGTCAAGATCCCTGTCACCGTAAACACGATCTTTAATCCCAGCTTTGTCCTCAACTTCTGGCACGCTCCGATGTTGCATTTTCTCCCTGAGCCTATTTGAGCTTAATTTCGGGGTCCTGGTTGATGCAAATTGTATTATCTAATCGTTTACATCGACCACGGGAGGATGTCCGTACCATCCGTACAATTAATATACGCGGCCCAGTCGGCTGTGGCCGAGGGTCAACCTTGACGCGGTCCAATTGTCTAACTTTCTGTATCATACCCACAAACTGTGCCTGTCCTTATCCCCACAGTCAGAGTGCACGCCATTAATCAAATCAAATCAAGCTTAAAACCGTAAACACAATATCGCGTCATCCAAATCATAGCTAAACAAAAACTCAAATTCTCGGTTGCTATCTGTAGATGTATTACTAGGTATCGAATGCAATGTATTGTTCAACTTGGCAAAGCAAATCTATCCAATGGATGGTCGCATCTCACAAGAAGCTAATGACTCGTACCTGTCTGCAGTATACTCAGGGTAACATGGTAGTCTTGGCAGGCCCCGGAATCCCGCAGAGAAAGCCAATGAGTTTACCGGCCAGGGATGATGGTACTGCCATATTTCATTCGTAACCCCGTCCTGTAATGTTCTTCCAGAAGCATAATAACAAACATATGTCCTTTTGATTCTAGACAGAGATGGAATCAGGCAGCTTGTAAAGTTCGCCAAACAATGGAAAACGGAAGTATTACTTGAAACTTTTCTGTAATATCTTGCGGTTCGTGTAACAGATCTCAAGAAGCATAACCGTAGATCAACAAGAGAAGAATACCATGCCCTTGATGGGATTTACAACACCAAAAAAGGCGATGCTACACCTCGACACCGTCCAGAGCTCGTAGAGTCTACAGCAGGTTTGTGCTAAGTAACTCCTGGCGTAAGAGCCTCTCTGCATCATGGGTAAATTGACATTTATCCAAATAGCTAACCTAGTCGTGAGGCCCACTAAGTCGCGTTCTTAATGTGGAAAATCGAAAGCCTAGCTCACTTTGGGCTTATTTTTCTACATTGTGATGACACCCTCAAAAAGCTAGAGCATAACCACCATTTGTGCCATTGCATTATGGATGCAGAGCACGTTACACTGCCCATCCTCCTGCTAAGGGCTAGCCTTATGTTCTTCCAGGCTCACTAGGCACCGCGATCAATTGTCGCCGAGGCTGTGGAGTCTGGCTCAGCCTCAGGGAGTCGACCAACGCAGCGCTGCAACTCATCTTCGGGGCGGGTGTCAGCTATGTGGCTTACGCCTTGGGCTTTTGGCTGATCCCACAGCCAGTTTCTTGGGTTTCAGTAGCAATCTAAGACTGTTGACGGAGCACAGAAGCTAGTTACTAGAAGATGTAGGCTGCCTCCGTACGACAGGCCACACAACGCCAATCCCAGCGCCTAATGAATGGAACAGAGGCAGATGTAGGAAGACTTTTTTCCATCTGCCACTAGAAAACATGTGCAAGCTTGCTTCCACCGGCTGTGCCGTTGTAACAGTCTATCAGTAGGTTAGACAAAATGGCCGATAGATGCAATGCGGCGCTGGGCTATCGCAACCACATTGATGTGGCTGCGTTGAACCGTTAGAAACCACAGTTATGCTACATCGCAATGACATTGATGTGGTCAACATCTTGAATCTCCATCAGACGGGTGACTACTATGTCTACCCTAGCTGAGAACTCGTCGCTAGTGGCTGTTTTCTCTCTCAGAGACTGGTGCTATCACATGGCCCTCGTTATAGATGCGCCCTGGAGTAATGACTGCTAATACACATGGCATACAGGCCATGTAAAGCAAGTTATTGTGCAAGGAGGCACCGTAGGCACAGACCTTATCAACAGATAAAAATGATAATAATACTATGCCTGTCATCTTTTATTTGCCAAACTCGTCTTCAGAAATCCCAATACTAGCACACCGCCAGTATCACCAGTTGGGCAGACATATCATGGACTAGTAAATGCAACTCGGTCACCACCAAGATTGTGACTTCTTTCAAACATCTGTAGTATTTGACGAGACCAGAATTATGAGGAACACCGCACAGAATCTGGGTGCATTGGATTTGGTCTTCTATAGGGCGCTAGGGACAGCCACAATGGTGCTCAACCGAAGCACTGGGCCTGTTGAGGCTGACAGTTTGTGAGCCAACCGCTTGGGGCTTAACAGCGCCGTCTAGCGATTAGCCCCAAACTAATGGTTCCATAAAGACGGGTATGTCTTAGCGTGGCTCTCAACTGCATGCATGCGACATTTGGCTCGAATTTACCCTTAATTCATGATTGGTTTTGTGAATTCGTGTTGTCTTGCTTGATACCATGACTCAACATAGCGTTTCCTGTACGGGTCTTCTTAACCGAGTCAAAGAGGTAGACTACGTAAAGTTCACATGCAAGCAGATCTGCAAGACCCCACCCCCATGTTTCGCCAAGTATTCCAGAACTATATAGTCAATACTTCTTGTATGTAGTAAGCTTAAATTAAGGTAGTGCCCATTGAACACAGCAGCATGCAGCCTAGGCCCTCGTCCAGTTGTTACCGCAGCGGTGAAAGTAGATATTTCATAAAGGCACCAGGCCTCTTTGACTCCTAGCCAAAAGCATTTGCAGTCACAATAACCCTGTTGTCAGCCTCACTTCATGAACAATGCTCTACTACTACGGCAGAGTTTTGTGGCTTGCCAACTCTATTCCACATCAAGACTTTTTGCTAAAAGCTTCGAAGGCTGGAGCATCGGAAAATTCTCAGCTAGTATCTAGCAATCAGGATCGTGAGACGAAAACAGCGCCAGTGGTTCATATGATCTCTTCTTAGCACAATTAGAGCATCTAGAAAACGGATGCCAAGCTTATCAGCCTCCAATTCTCGCGAGAAATAGCAAAATTCGATTAGCTTCACAGTCGGAAGGACCCTCAGCAACAGAACCTACCATATGTAAATCTAGGAATATAAAACCCTTGGTACATGTAAAGGGCAATGGTTTCAATCTTCAACCTTCCAAGCATTGCACATTTGAGCCAATCCCCAGCATATCACCGGCATCATGAAGTCCATTCTCGTTCTTGCTTTTGCAGCCCTCTCTCTCTGCAGCCCAACACCATCTGACCCAAACACAGTCTCTGAAGACCACCAAGACACCAAAAGAGCCGGTACGACTCGTCCAGATTTATCTTTTGCTGCATGCTTTTTACACGACTTGGAGAACTGTCTAACATCTGAACAGAGTCACTCACAGAAGGATATTGGTCTTGCACCGTACCAAGCAACGCGATTTATAACAAAGTTCGGCAGCAGAATAATGTCTGTAAAAAGAGTGGATTTTCGATGCAATACTTCATTAAGCTCCCCAAGGAGAATGAATATTCCTGCTCAAAAACACTACCAAAAGGTACATTTTCCTCGTCTTATTCCATCAGCTTGATGTTTCTGGTTCTCTCAAAGAAGAAGGGCATGAATGATTCTAATGCTTATGCAGATTGGACATATGTCTCTGTTCGAGATGGAAACTACGGCTGCGACGTCGGCAGATCCGCTAGGCAGTATAAAATGCGTCAGGCGACCAAAGACCTGTTGGCGTGCAGTATTCCCGACGGCTTTACATATGTTTCTGTTACAGATGTGGCAGATATATGTGAAATCGGCAGATCCACGAAACAATATAAGCTGCGCCGCCCGAGCGACGACCTCTTGGCCTGCACGCTCCCCAAAGGATACACGTATACCCAGCTCCTGGACGTTTCAATTTGCGATGTCGGAAGGAGAGGAAAGCAGTATAAGCTCAAGTTGCCGACCCAGGGGCTAGTTGCTTGTTCTATCCCAGACGGGTGGGCATCCAGCAAGGAAACCCAGGTCTTGAATACTTGCCGTCCTGGTTCAGTGTCAAGCCAGTACACTTTGAAGAAGAAGAAATAATCATTCATGGTGTCGAAGGTGCTGGGCTTGATCAGCTGGACAATGGACAATCAGACTGCACGTGTAACCGTGCGGCTGCGAGGTGCTGGGACAGTCATCTAACACGACTATCGGTTAGTTTGGCTAGGAAATAATACAAGTTTACCTAAGTAACTTATAATGTGATAATACTTTCATCTTGGCCAAACTTGTGTTGCTTCGCCTGTTGTCAAGATGAGTCTTCAATGCGAAGTAATACCTTACCCTAGACGACTCGACTATTCATATTTCGTTCAGTATTACAATGCCTATCACAAGTAACACATTATCCTTACATTAATTCGTAGATCAGATTCGAGTTATATTGCTCTAAAAACACTGACAGAATTAGGCCATAGACCTGCGGTTCGCCTGTAGGGTCTGTTTATGTATCAATTGGTCTCATCGCTGGCATGGCTGAACTAGCAATTGACCCGGATTGCCATGTTGATAAGCATCAGCCACGACTTGGAAATGAGATATAATAGTACCATGGTTTAAACATATGTAGCAAATAGGAAACCATGACTAATTGCGGTCACGGTCAAATATCGTCCTTTAAATGAAATCCACCAACACAAAGCTCAATGTTCGTCTCTGATATAACCTTGACAGCTGGTGACAAGTGGCACGATGCTCGGTGGAAGCCCCACACACGGCGACTGCTGACGCCGAATGCCGAACTTTTTTCTCCACCATAGTATCCCGATTCCAAAAAATTTCCAGCCCGCCGCCTCCAAAGAAACCTTTCGAAGGAAACCAGCAACCAGCACCGCGAGCTACTTGGCAGACGAGATGGCGCCTCCAACGAAGGGACCCGGGAAGCGACCCAAGACCCTGAAGAGGGATACCAAGCTGGAGAAGAGGAAACAGCAATTGCAGAGCATCGAACAGCTCGAAAAGGCCGTCAACGACTTTGTAAGTTTTCACTACCAGCCAGTCCACTGTGCAATTGTCCTCTGTCATGCGAGACTTCATACTGACCAGTATTTCTTCCTCTCCAGGACCTCAAGAGCGAAGTGAAAAACTTTTCCGAACTCCCCCTCTGCGAAGCGACCGCGACTGGCCTCGAGAAATCCCACTTCCAGACCCTCACCGACATCCAATCTCGCGCCGTGCCCCTCGCCCTCAAGGGCCATGACATTCTCGGCGCTGCGAAGACGGGCAGCGGCAAGACGCTCGCCTTCATCATCCCCGTGCTAGAGAAGCTCTACCGTGCGCGCTGGACCGAGTTTGACGGTCTCGGCGCTCTCATCATCTCCCCGACGCGCGAGCTGGCGGCTCAGATCTTTGACGTTCTGCGCAAGGTCGGCCGCAACCACGCCTTCTCCGCAGGTCTCGTTATAGGTGGTAAGAGTCTGAAGGAGGAGGCGGAGCGTCTGTCCAAGATGAACATTCTCGTCTGCACGCCCGGTCGCATGCTGCAGCACCTCGACCAGACGGCCGGCTTCGACGTTGACAACCTCCAGATCCTCGTGCTTGACGAGGCCGATCGCATTCTCGACATGGGCTTCCAATCTGCCGTCGACGCGCTGGTGGAGCATCTCCCTACGACTAGACAGACTCTGCTTTTCAGCGCGACCCAGAGCAAGAAGGTTTCCGACCTTGCGCGTTTGAGCCTGAAAGACCCGGAATACGTCTCCGTGCACGAGGAGTCTACACCAAAGAACCTGCAGCAACACTACATCGTCACCCCGCTCCACGAAAAGCTCGACACACTATATGGATTCATCAAGGCGAATCTGCGAAGCAAGATCATCGTCTTCTTGTCCTCGGGCAAGCAGGTGCGGTTCGTGTACGAGAGTTTCAGGCACCTGCAGCCCGGTATCCCCTTGCTGCATCTTCTCGGAAAACAGAAACAGCTTCAGCGAATGGAGATCACAAAGCGCTTCGCCGAGGCGAACCACTCCTGTCTCTTTGCGACCGATGTCGTTGCGCGAGGTGTTGATTTCCCCGCCGTCGACTGGGTCGTCCAGGTCGACTGCCCCGAAGACGCGGACACCTACATTCACCGAGTCGGCCGTACGGCAAGATACGAGCGGGAAGGAAAGGCAGTGCTGTTCCTCGACCCGAGCGAGGAGAAGGGCATGCTGAAGCGCCTCGAAGCGAAGAAGGTCCCCATCCAGAAAATCACAGTCAAGGAGAACAAGAAGAAGAGCATCAAGAACCAGCTGCAAAGCATGTGTTTCCAGAACCCGGACCTCAAGTACCTCGGCCAAAAGGCCTTCATCAGTTACACCCGGTCAGTGTACCTGCAAAAGGACAAGGAGGTATTCAAATTCGACAAGCTCGACCTCGATTCCTTTGCTTCCAGCTTCGGTCTTCCCGGTGCGCCGCAGATCAAGTTTCAAAAGGGCGGCGACGTCAAGAAGCTCAAGAACGCGCCGAGGGCAGGTATGTCCAGCGGCGAGGACTCGGACTCGGATTCGGACGCGCCCAAGAAGCCCAAGAAGAACGAGGTGCGCACAAAGTACGACCGCATGTTCGAGCGAACCAACCAGGACGTCCTCTCAGGCCATTACACCAAGCTCGTCGCGAACGGCGAGGTCGACGGCCCCGCGGTCAACGGCGACGAAGAGGAGGACGACTTCCTCACGGTCAAGCGCGTCCTCGGCGACGACGAACTCGACGAGGAGTCCAAGACGGCGCCCGGGGCCAAGGCCAAGGTCATCTCTTACGGCGGCCAGGAATTCATCGTCGACTCGAAGCGTCGCGAGAAGGCGCTGCAATCCAAGAAGAAGATGCTCAAGTTCAAGGAGCGCGGCACGAAGCTCGTCTTCGACGATGACGGCAACGCCCATCCCATTTACGAGCTGCAGAACGAGGACGACTTCGTCAAGGAGGGACCGGCGGAGGAGCTCCGCCAGAAGTTCGTCGAGAGCGAGGCGGCGCGCGTCAAGGAGGCCGATGTCGACGACAAGCAGCTCGCCAAGGACAAGAGGAGGGAGAAGCGGCTCAAGCGCAAGCAGCGCGAGGCCGAGGAGCGCGGGGAGGGTGCGCCGCAGCTGGTCGAGGGACCGCGGGTTGGCGGCGCAGACGGCGGAGAGGATCCGTTGGCGCTGCTGCGGTCGCTGCCGATTGCCGGCGATGGGGACTCGAGCGGCGGCGAGTCGGAGGACGAGAGGCCGAAGAAGAAGCCCAAGAAGTGGTTCCAGGAAGACTCGGACGACGAGAGAGAGCAAAAGAAGAAGGCGAAGAAGGGTGGCAAGGTCCTCGAAATCGACCGGGAGCCCGAGACACTCGAGGATCTCGAGGCCTTGGCTTCAGGCTTGTTGAATTAATGTCCCTGATAGACGTAGATACCCTAAGGAAAAGTAATTTGTCATTCAAGCATTGCCTATACATATTCGTGTCGTGTTCAGCCATTCATATTTCACCAATGATGCCGGTCTCATGCGTGTAAGGGGATTTGATCCAGTGTTAGAATTAAAGTATATCATTCCATGTCATCAAAACCATGAAGAATCGCGTATTTTGGTAAATACTTGGTTTGTTTGTCTCAAGGACTGCATGATGAAGTCCAGGGGTATCACCAACCCCCAACGCCAAAAAGCTTTAATCCCGTTTTCCCATAATGCAAAAGAAGAGTCATAACCCACGCTAATGGCCTCTTTCACCCAAAAGAGCGGCTAACCCGATGAATAAAAAACAACGCCTTCCATGAGATCAAGCCTGTCTGTCTCCAAAGAGACGAGCTCTGTAAATACATGTGTGGTCAGCACCGTGGTTACTGACTGCTCGGAGAATGATATGATCTGTTGCAGCCCCAAGGTTCACCAATTCAGGGCTGAGCTGGTGTACGTGAACTCCGTCGAGCGCATCGTTGCTCTCGTATGTGAATTGGCCGATCTTAACCCAACCATCGCTTAGCCACTTTTGGCGTGAGGCTGCCGGGAAGTGGCTGGCAGAGAAATCTTCGACGCGGCTGCGCAGAGTAACTTCGGCGATGTAAGCCCAAACTTCCATATCCTTTGGTCGGGCTTCAGGATTTAATGTAGCGCTGGGCAGGATGTGTTCAACGACGACATGCCGAGGAATAATTTCGTGGCTGAGCAGGTAGGAGATGAACACGCCCAACGACTGTCCTTGCTTGTCTACAGTCGTCTGACCACACCAACACTCGCCTTCATCTTCCCAGCGCAATAGAGTTTTCACTGCTCCCAAGACGTATGGGCTCCGCTTGGTACTCGCTAACCAGGCAGGAGAACCAATCTTGCCCTTTATAGAGGGTTGGTAATCCGGAGAAGTATGATCAGGGTCAATGACCACGCCGTTGCCAATAGTGAGATAGTTGACTTGCCGGCGGAGCTCCGAGATCCAGTTCGCTCCAATCTTGCCCTTTGCCAGGGCTTCCAGTCCAGCATTTGCGATGGCCTGGCGAATCATCTCGTCGACGATGTGAACCATCTCGGTACGAGATACGCCACTTGGCGGAGCTTTGCTCATGGCAAGGTCGACCGACTGGCTGATATATTCCTCAAGCTTCTTCTGTAACTCTTGGGCTTCAGCCTTGACTTCGTTCCGATGGGCGGCAAACTCTCCCTTGAGGTGTCTAATGAATTCCTCCCGCGTGACGACGACATCTTTGGTGCCTTTTTCCTTATATAGATCTTTGACATACTTCTCAAGCTTGGCTTCCAAGTCCTTCTCGATTTTGTCGGGAATTGAGGTGCCAAAAGCAGGTTCCAGGATTTTGGCCACCTGCATATTGTTGCTTTTTAGCCACTTCTCCCAAGAGTTGGAAAAGCTGTTTTTGACGATACCCTCAACGTCGGTAGTTGAAAGACCCGGCTTGGGTGGTGTTGCCGCATTTTGGTAGACCGAATCTTTCTTGAGTCTATCTTTGATTGCTCGCCAATGCTCGTCAGATATGAAGTGATAACCGCCATGACCTCTGTCCAGAGTTAGAACCTCAGCATCGCTCTTCATCAAGTCCCTCAAAGCGTGATAAAAATCTTGTGATACCACAGGCTGGCCATGCTTATCAAGATCCATGTGAACAACTTTAGGTATAATCTGTTGCAGCCTGGAGAGCGAGCCTTCGTGGAGCTTGGCGGATGTCATCAACTTCGTGATTTCGTACTCGTGATCACGCTGTCGTCGTAAATACTCCCTCGTATCCTCATCACTGAACATGGTTGACGGCCGCGTCATCCACAATGGCATGAATTGACCTAAATTATGGGCAATATCTGAAAAGCCGTACCATTGAAGACCACCGAGGCCTAGGGCGGGAACCGAGGAGAGCCCTGAGAAGATTGTCCAACCAATGAAAGACGCAAGCGCGAGGCCGAAAACTGCTCTGATAAGCCAAGCTTCAGGCGAGAAAATGAAGCTGAGTATGTCTGCGAACGTATCGGCAAGCGTGAATAGTATCCATGATCCCCAGGGAAATTGCTTCATAGGGACCTGACGCGGCAGCCTCCTCGGCCGTGGTTCTGATCCGTTCAGAGAAACATCTGATTCCGGTGTGTCGGGACGTGCCGTATTTGTCCATGTGTAAAGATTCTTGTACACTCGAGGCCACGCTTGAAGACGTGCTTTGCGCACGCTCCGGAGAGCCTGCTGCTCTGCCTCATCCTGTTGACGTTCCAACTCTACCTTTTCTCGCATGTCACGGGTAAACAACCCACCCTGCTTTTGCCCTGTTGCGTAACGATCCTGTTTGTGCGTATTGCTACGGAACTCGGTGATACGCGGCTCAGCGCGAGTACGAGGTGGCGATGTTTCGCGGAAAGGGGGCTGTACTGTCGGCCGAGAATGAGCGGCCCGGGGGCTGGCAAATACAGGCTGGCGTGCTGGACCGGGCCGAAACGGACTGGGGCTAGATCGAGCTGGTGACTGGTGAAACAGATTACGATTGACATTGGAAGGCTCCTCAGCATGTGTCCTTATATCAGGCATGGTGCTCATTGCTCGAGTTGATTGTAACCTAGAGGTAGATGAGACGGCAGGAAGACTGCTACCTCGCTGAGAACGAGCAGGGAGGGAAGCATCTGTTGTAACGGGCACGACTTGAACAACAGCTGGTTGAGCTGGAGATGCAGCTTGAGGAGACTGTTTCTGTGGCCTTAACCGATCTCCGGTAGGGGTACGGGGAGGCTCTGGTGGAGTTGAAGGTAAGGAGGAGTTGTGAGGAGGTCGGACATCAGGAGCGGGTCGGTCGGCGACCTCCACGACAGGCGACCGAATAGGTTCCTTCGGCTGGTCAGGCCGGTTGAACGATCGCGGAGCCATGGGCGGGTTGTGCTTTGGGGGGCGTAGTAAACGCTTTGAGGGGCTTTTCAAGGCAAAAACGTTGTCCTCTTCAGCCTCCACAGGTGAATCTTCTTCAATCGTAGGGACCGGATTATCATCGACGGAAGAAAGAGACTTGGATGAAAGCGAAGCAATAGTCGCATCCCCGAACAGCGAGCTTTCTTGGCCGAAAGTTCGCACAGAATCTGGCGTGGGCGCTGGATCTTCTGACCCAAGTCGCCTCGTGGCAAAGCGATCCGTCCCTTCGGCAAGGGCGCGATGAAAAACTGATCCTTGGCTGGCAGGTGGGAAATGGCTGTCGCTTGTAGGCGCGCCTGAATTGCGCCATGTACTTTTGGGAGCTAACATAGAAGCCGCACCTTCCGAGCTGTCTCTACTGGCTCTCCCTGTTGTCGGGCCTGGTGGCGGAAGATCGGAACCTTTGGGAGGGGCGGCACCGGGCAAGAGCCTTTTACTACGGCGCGTACCAACCGAAAGATCTGCTTGGAATGAAACAGATTCAACCGTTGGGGCTAAGTAGGACTTTAGTAAGGGATGTGAGACTGCGACAAGGCGAAACCGGAATGGCCCGCACGTGGCAGAACTTACCAGTTCTAAGGGGACTGCTCCGCTGGGGTGAGTTATGAGCTCTAGGTAGTTCTGGGGTTGAGTCCCTTGGTGGAGGTGATTCAGAATCCGAATCAAATTCGGGCCCGAAGTCTGGCTGAACGTCCGGTTCTGGTTCCGGTTCCGGCTCCGGCTCCAGCTCTGGCTGGAATCGGCGGTGAGGCTTCGGTTTAATACCGAGATTGGATTTGATTCTCGAGTCGCGATCATCCTGATCATCCTCGCTGTCATCGTCGTTTAGGGCATCTTGGACGGCGTCTTGAATATTGCGAACTTGACCCCGCCTATTATTCCGCGGGATAGTGGATGGCGCCGAACCGTACGATGTGTCGAAGCGGGAAGGCAAGGACGGGAGGTCTTTGGTGATGGCAGCAGTGCCACGGATAGACTGCAATTCATCCTCATCTCGACGAGGTTTTCTTTTCGGAGGCATTTTAGCCTAACGCGAAAGGGATATGTCTATATCGGGGATTAGTGGATATAGTTGTCGGGGCGATTGCAATGAGAGAAACACCCAGCTGTTGAGAGCGATGAGTGAGAGGGTAAATGATGAATAGAGTTGACAATGTGTAGCGCGATAAGAAAAAGAAAGGTGAAAAAGAAAGCGGAAAGTTCAATGTTGGTGAAAAAGGATATGAGAGAAGGAAGAAGTTGAAAAGAAGAAGTAAACCATGAGAGACAGTAATGAAGAAAGAGCTCATGAACAGAGGTACGAGGGAAGGAGCAACTCACATTATTATCTGGCGCAAAGAACATGCACAGCGGTAATGGGCTTGCTTGTCCGCAGTAAAGATAATAGCTCAAGCTGCAGTATGAAGCTTGTATCTCATCAACAACGCATAGACTTCCATGAATTCTCTGGTCGGCAACAAGGGAGAGGGCCACCAAAGGAAAATGGTAAGGGATTGTTGCGAGGTGGATAAGTGATAGAAGAAGCCTTTGTCAAAACTGCAGAGAGCTGTTTTTGGTATTTTAATGGTACCAACAATGGAAAAGTGAAGCTATTCCAGACTCAAGACCCGCCGGATCGGGAAGGGAGGGAGGCGGGTGTCAACAAAGAAAGCAGGAGCAGTCCCTGGCCGTAATGACCATCTTTCCCTGGCAAGTCGCGCACGCGCCGCGGTGTGTGGTGGGAGGTACAACCTTTGGAGGAAGGAATGTTGCTACCGTTTCGCTTTCCACGGGTCAATGAAATGTTGATCGAATAAGGCGATTCATGCGACAGCGATGAGGCAAGGCAAGGGGCGTCTCGAAGGGTCGTCGAGTCTTTGTGTGAGCTTGAAAAGTTCACCTTGGAGCTTCACTCTGGAATGTTTTCGCGACGGCCGCCCGCCACCGGAATCGATTGCCAATGAGGCACGGACCCCTGCAGCGTGTCCGTTGCCCACGCGCTTAAGGTTGGCGGTGGCCCCGGGTCGGACAGCTTTACGCGCCGCGCAGGTCTGTGTCTTACATAAGCTTGAACCTTAGCTAATCAGGAATTTGAGCTTTTATCACGTGAACGATTCGCGCCCTTTGACAACCTCAGGCAAAAGGTGTTTACGTAAGAACGAAATGGAAGCCAAAGGGTCTTGCGCGAATTCGACCTAGTACGTCACTGACGAATCCTTTTCTCACTGTCCCACCTCGCTGTTGTCGGCCCATCCTAGCACGGTCAGTCTTGGAAATGCCACCGACATCTCCATCATGTTAACGAATTCGCGCAAACTCGGGGCGACATTACAATGCGCCAGCCCACAGACGACTGAGTCGCAAGAATGCGGTCGCCTCGCCTTTATGATGCAGGTAGCATTGATACCAGACCTCGCCCGAGCTTAGTCTCGAGCTTTGGTCCCTGACGTCGATGATCCGTGTCGACTGAGAACTGGCTTATTGGCTGGCAGCTCAGCCCAAGTTCCGGAAAGGCAGGGTGAACCCGCACAAGAGCTGAAGAATATGGCGGCGGGGAATATGCGCAGTTTTCGTATTTGGGTAACCCTGTTCTACTTGCCTTAGCTCTATCAATAGCCGGCAGTGACAGGCAGCAACGGCAAACAATACGGGAGTTCCGGTTACGAACACTCCACCGAAAGTGCACAATCATGATAGTCTTCTCTGAGGAGTCATTCGATTTGTCCTCCAAACGAGCGTTTACACCAAAGTCAGTCAACTTTGGGGTCGGAAAGGAGGAGTGGTTCGCCCAGTTCATCGTTAGCGCTTCAAGCGTATCAACCCACCCACGTGAAAGTTGGCAAACAACAGACGACAAGACCCTGTCGGGCCGTCCTCAATACTGAAGATCAGAATCCACGGCACCGCCATCCCCGGTCGTTACAGGTTTCAAGTGCGCCGTTTGAGGCTTAAGAAGAAATTACTGGCTCCGCAGCCAGCCACGACGCTGCAAATTGGTGCCACCCCCGCTGCCAGACCCCGCCATCGTCCACATTTGGCGCATCTAGATTGGCTATTGGGACCGTCAGTCCAAAGTCACCAAGGTGTCGTAAAAGGCCGAGCCAATTTCTCTCCCACATCCATCGACCAGCGAAACGTTACAGAAAGACGAGCGGATTGTTATTATTATTGTGACCGTCGCTCAGCCTCCATCTCCTAGCTTTTTATATCAAGCTGCCCCATCCTTCCTTTTTTCCTTTTAAAAGAAGTTTGGACTTGCTCGACCTTTGACTTGACAACTGTCTGATACCCCCACGGAACTTGGCAACACAAGTTCCCCCGCCATCTGCTGACTTTAGGCTCTCTCTTTCTCTCCAAATCAACCCCTCACCGCATCTAGTTGCGATCAGCGCCAACAAATTTTCTTCACCATGGCGATTGGAACTGTCTTGGTCACCGGGTAAGTTATTCTACCTCTCCACCCTGTACGCTTTCGGATCGTGCGACAACTTGCGGGAGGCTTCCACAAGTGATTCTCTAAGTTGCTGTCGCATTGTTGGCGCAAAGCTAGGAAAACGAGGCGAAAGGCTAATCGCACATTCCCGTGGCTTGCAGTGGCACCGGCTACATTGGCTCTTTCACCACTCTCGCCCTGCTTGAGCACGGATACGATGTGGTTATTGTCGACAGCCTCTACAACTCCTCCAAGGTCGCTGTCGACCGCATCGAGCTCCTCAGCGGCAAGCGACCCCACTTCTACCAGGTCGACGTCACCGACCAGGCTGGCCTCGACGAGGTCTTCAAGAAGCACCCCGAGATCGACAGCGTCATCCACTTCGCCGCGCTCAAGGCAAGTCTTCCATGCCCAGGTTGAAAGGGGCGCAAAGGACTAATACCAGATTGCAGGCCGTTGGCGAGTCTGGCGAGATTCCTCTCGAGTACTACCGTGTCAACGTCGGCGGCACTGTCGCTCTTCTTCAGGCCATGACCGACAACAATGTCCCCAACATTGTCTTCTCCTCCTCCGCTACCGTCTACGGCGATGCTACCCGCTTCCCCAACATGATTCCCATTCCCGAGACTTGCCCTATTGGCCCCACCAACACCTATGGTCACACCAAGGCTTTCGTCGAGCAGATCATCACCGACCACATCCAGGCCGAGCGTAACAAGCTGAAGAAGGCCGGCAAGCCGTTTGAGCACTTCAACGGTGCCCTTCTGAGATACTTCAACCCCTGCGGTGCTCACCCCTCTGGAATCATGGGCGAGGACCCCCAGGGCGTCCCCTACAACCTGCTTCCCCTTCTCGGCAAGGTCGCTACCGGCGAGCGTGAGAAGCTCCTCGTCTTCGGTGACGGTATGTAAACTAGCTGCAAACCTGCTTAACAACCTACTGACGCAAGCAGACTACTCCTCGAGAGATGGTACCGCCATCCGCGACTACATCCACGTCGTCGACCTGGCCAAGGGCCACCTTGTCGCCCTTAACTACCTCCGCGAGAACAAGCCCGGTGTGAAGGCGTGGAACCTGGGCTCCGGCCGCGGTAGCACCGTGTTCGAGATGATCAAGGCTTTCAGCCACGTCGTCGGCCGCGACCTCCCCTACGAGGTCGTGCCCAGACGCCAGGGTGACGTTCTGGACCTTACTGCCAACCCCTCGCTGGCCAACAAGGAGCTCAACTGGAAGACTGAGTTGACGATGGAGAAGGCTTGCGAAGACTTGTGGCGCTGGGTCAGCAACAACCCCAAGGGTTACCGCCAGGACCCCCCTGCTGAGCTGTTGGCCAACATCAAGAGCACCAGCTCATAGATGGGGACGAGGAGAGAGACAGAGTGTGTGTGTGTGGGTGTGTGAAAGAATAAGCACACCTGAAGATCAGCCCAATTGCGCATAGATGCTGGACCATTTCCATATTGCACATCATAGACATGTTAGAATTAGTGCTATTCCAAGCGACAGCTACGATACGACGTTGATCATATATAGAATTTTAATGAAAGAAAAAGAAAAAAAAGTTTGAAGATATCAAAAGTTTGAGATGACCTGCTAGCGTTTCTATGATTTACGCGTGTAATTTTGCTTGATTGATTTTTTTTTAACTATGTATATATGATCAAATATGTGCATTAAGTCAATCAATCTTGAGCAGGAGCTTGCCGGTAGTTTTGCGGCTCTCGAGGTCCGTGTGCGCCGTCTTGACCTCGCTGAGCGGGTAAGCGTTGTGGATGGCGACGTGGAGCTTGCCCGAGGTGATCATCTCAAACAGCTCCGAGGTGTACTTTTCCAGCTCGTCCCTCGTCGCGACGTAGCCGTTCACGATGGGCCTCATGACCTTGAGGTTCTTGGGGCCGAGCTTGAGGATGTCAAAGGGTGGCACGGCGCCCGACTGCGTTTGGGCGTTAGTTGATGCGGCACCACCTGGGGTCATTTCTTATGAGAAGGAAGTAAAAAAAAAAAAAAGGGGGGGGGGGGGGGGGGGGGGGGGGGGAGGGGGGGACCGGGACAACATACCGCGTTACCAAAGATGACCAGACGGCCCTTGCGCGCCGCCATCTCCAGGTCGCTATCGAAAGTGGCCTTTCCGACGCCGTCAAAGATGACGTCGACGCCGTGGCCGCCGGTGATCTTCTTGACCTCCTCGACGAGGTTCTGCGACTTGGAGTTGACGATCCACTCGGCGCCGTTCTTGCGCGCCAACTCGCACTTCTCGTCGCTGCTGGTGGTGCCGATGACCTTTGCGCCGACGGCGCGGAGCATCTGGACGAGCAGAAGGCCGACGCCGCCCGCGGCCGCGTGCACCAGGACCCATTCGCCCTTTTGCACGACACCGGCCTCGCGGACAAAAGTCCACGCCGTCAGGCCCTGGAGCAGGGCGGCAGCGGCCTGGTCGGTGGACACGCCGTCTGGGATGCGCTGCAGGTTGTCGGCTGTGACGGCGGAGTAGGTGGCGTAGGAGCCGAAGGAGCCCATGTAGACCACGCGATCACCGGGTTGGAAACCGGAGACTGAGGGGTGAGCGGCGACGACGGTGCCGGCGCCCTCGCGGCCGAGAATGTTGGGGAGGGGACCCTTGTACAGACCTGTACGGAAGTAGGTGTCGATATAGTTGATGCCGGCGTACTCGTTCCGCACAAGGACGTGGCCCTCGGAGAGGGCGGGCACGGGCAGGTCGGTGTGGTACTCGAGGACCTCGACGCCGCCGGTACGGGGGATCTGGACACCGTTCATGATGGTGGGGAGGGAAGAGGCCATTGTGAAGTGCGGGGCTGGTGAGAGGTCGATGGACGGCACGGGGGATGTACGGAAAGCACGAGACTGTCCTTTGGCTGGAATTGGCGAAGCAACAACGGGTTTAATACTGCGGCGGCACTGAGCGGTCGTGAGAGATTGATTACAAAGCTGAGATGTGAATATTCTCGGGAGAAACAGCTTGTGGATGGACGACGATAAGGAGGAGGGGTATCTCGGGGCGAGGAACTGGGACATTGGGGGCTCAGGTGGTGCAATTAAGCGGGGTTATGGTTTCTGGCGCGCGCCTCTTGACGCGTTTGGGCTGCACAATGGATGTGAATTGGCTTTCCGATACGGCAGGGCAAGAGAGCGAAAGACATTTAGTAAGCGAAAGCACACGACTCTGAAGGTGAGTGAGGGGTCGAGTGTTATTGAGAATGGAGTGTGTCGGGAAGACCAACAGTGTAGGCGGGTTTCAGTTTCGGCATTGGGGGGCCGGAGCCGGAGCGGTGCTGATAAATGGACAACGCGGGGCTACATCTTGGCTCTTTTGGTGTGTTGGTATTGTGGGGGGTTTCTGGTGAGAGTGTCAAAACGTCATTTTGATATGTTTGATTATGCAACACAATAGCAGAGAAGCTAAGGCCAGTAGCTTTAATAATGAAATGGTTTTTGTTTTGTCGAGTGTTGTTAGTGTATGAATTGTTTAGTATGGGAGGCAGATTAATGCTTGCCCATGCATTGGATGAATAAATCTGATAGTGTTTAGTTACTGAATTCCTCTTGGCAGGAACCGATGGTCGCAGCGGTTGCAAGCTGCCCAGGAATGGCAATCGAATCATGAAGTGCTTGACGCTCTCTGTAGGGCAAACCCAAGAGCCACCATGTCTGTCGGAAGCTTCTTTTGGTGTGTCGTGGGCTACTACTGTAGACACACGGTTGAGTGAGGGAACCAGCATGTTCCCTCTTGAGAGAGTTCAGGGCGAGAAAGAATGGAGCCAAGGCTAGTCAGTTACCGACACTCAAATAGAGAGAGAAGGACAGCGCATCAGTCAATGGCGATCGGGGCGGCCGGATGATCGTCAATTGCTCGGGAGGTTTTCCGTAGCGGGGTCCCCAGATAGTGGGTGTCAGGATTTCCTTTCTGCAGCTGGTATAATATCTTGGAGACGTTCCTATGGGCATGATGTGTAAAGTTGTGTGTACATAGTGAAAGGGCTAGTCAGCGAACAAGATCCGTCGCAATGGATGGCGTCTTCGATTGAGGCTCGGCAATCTTGGCTTTTGGGGCAAGAGCAATGATTGGATTGGGGAACGCGCCCGGACTTGCGTGTTTTGCATATGGCCAGAAGTTTGTACCTGTAGAGCAAGAGCTCCCTGGTGGCGGCCATAGTTGATGGGCGTCGGCCACGTAACGAGGGTGGACGGGACCGATGGTTTGGCAGGTTCGCCGTTGAGCCCGGGCAAGAATCAAAAGAACGCACTTGCTCAAAGTGTGCCTTGCGGTACGTACTGTCTTCTGTCCATGACCAATCACCGTTATTGAATGCCCAATGGGGAAAGGGGGAAAAGAGCTAGGGGTGCCATGGCTCCTTCTCGTACCCGGCCAATATTCCCCCAATATTCTCCATTTCCTCACTTCGGTGCCCCGAAAAATATCTCGTTTCCCGGTCCTCTTTCCATAAACCCCAGAGTCCAAAATCTAAAAATTCCAAGGTCACAATCCTGGAACCACTTGGTGGCTAGTCTAGCCTTGGTGAAGCTTTTTTAGGGCGTTCTGGCCCTTTTTCCATGTCATCCATAGAAGCACCTCGGTGCGATAGAATTGCAGCCAGAGACGGGACGACTGCGTATCCGCCAATCATAAAGACAGGAATTTGGATATTACATGTTTCGTCTGTTGAAGAAGAAGAAAAAGAAGAAAGAAAAAGAAGAAACGATATAGAATACCGGTAGATTCGCTTGTCAATCACGGCAGAGTGCTTCCATACGACTTCCGTGCCGCTTTCCAGACGTATTCTCTCTCCACCTGTCGGCTGTCAAGGATCGTCAAAATGTCCGCGTATGCCCTGTGGCATCCAACGCCTCTTACAAGCTTAAACGAGGAATAGCTGGCCATCTCACGGCCTATTGCATTGAACTACCTTTGACTACTTGCCTTCCTTTCTGGTTCTCCTCCTCATGACCGATTCTAGCGGTCAATCATCTCCACCCATAAAAAGCATGTTCCTGGATCATTTTTCCCGCAAAGCTTCAGCTTCCATGTTTCTCATGACGCCTTGCTCTGAAGTAACTTCATGACAAGACCACCAAGACCGACGCCTACAGCGACGTCATGGCACAATCCCCCCCGTCGTCTGACCTTTAAATCCATCTTCAATTCAAACCCCTAGTCGGATCCAGCAACAGACCAGCACCCCTGGACGGCAGTGGCGCGGCACCAACGCGATCTATACTATAACCCTCGTCGTGTACTTACGGTCACGGTACTACGGTACCACGGCACTGCGGTATACTGTGGTAGGGGGACCATACCGTAGTACTTAGGGGGGGAACCACAGGCGGGCCAAGATAGATGCTGGAGGGACGAACAGACGAAATACACTGGGATCCACTCTACTGAAACGCGACGCATTGTCGCCACAGGGCCACCGGTACCGAATCCACGTCTCTTTTTTTTTTCCGCCGCACTCTCTCCTAAAGTTGGCTTCGCTCCTCTTCCCTCTTTGTTCTCCCACCACTGCAATTGGACACCTTGGACTCTTTTTGCTGGGGAAACTCTGCGGGTGCTGTTTGGCTGCGCTGTCCCATCCCGTCTGGCCCTTCCCACCCTGGGTGGCTACTTTAGCTCTGAGCTGAAGGTCCGCAACGAACCAGAAGCCACCAGACGCTGCGACGACGACGCGGACCCATCCAACCATTCAACGTCCCTTTTTTTTTTTTTTTTTATCTCCTTTCTTAGCCCTCACCCTTCCCATGGGTTTTCCTACCCGTCACTTGTCGAGCTAGTCGTCGATCCTGGATGCTTGCTTTCAACTTCTGTTCATGCCATCGAAGCCAACGCAGCCCACCGGTTGCCACCGGATCATAGGCCGTCTTTTCCGCTGACTGACTATTCCATTGACTACGCAGAATCTTGGGACGAAAACGAAACTTTGGACCGCACGTCTCCTCTTCCATCCACTCTCACTCATACTTCGTCTAACCTCACCTCACTTTCCATTATTCTCACTTACGCTCTTTTCATCTTGACATCTCTCTCAACCTTCAACCCCGCCTCTGTACGGCCGTCTCATCGCCGCTACTCAACATTCGGTCTCTCTCACTCCTCCACACCACTCCGGCCCCCCGATGCCGACTCCGCCAACTGAGGATGACCGCCAGAGGCGGATCATCCAGTTCGCGGAGGAATGGGGCCTCGAGCCCCCGCCATCCCCGACGCCACTGACGCGGCCTTCTAGCCCCCCCAGCTTCCGGAGTCCGGAAGACGACAACAAGGCTGAGGAACTCCTGAAGCGGAAGCAGGCCTCCATCGGCCGTACTGATTCCACCACCAACCTGAGACGCGCCTTCACTTCCAAGAAGAAGACATGGGACTACAAGGTCGTCTTCGAGACCCTGGACCAGCACATCGCCGACCGCGGCTCACCCGGCGTCGCTGAGGCTCTCATCACTCTCCTCGTCTTATCCGGTGGTGATGTGAACATGGCTCAGAAGGCCAGAACGAGTTTGTTACCGCGCCGCAAGAGTCTCGACAGCTTCGGTGAGCGTAGTAAGTTGCTGCAGCACGCCGTCCACAACGGCCAGCTCGATATGATTCAGGTTTTGCTGCCTCATGCCGACAACTTCGCCCTGGATGCTTCATTACCCTTGGCCATGCGTGCCGAAAATGTCGAAATCGTCGAGCTGCTCCTGCGTTATGGCGCCGGCATTCTCCAGAGCAACGAAGCTCAAGAAGCTTTCCGGGAAGCATGTGCTTCCGGCCGCCAGGCTGATCTCATCGCTACCGTCTTACGCTCTGAGGGACGGCCACCTTCTTCTTGGCTGTCTCAGTGTATGGTCGATGCTACTAAGGCAGGATGCCTGACAACTGTCCTCCACCTGAGTCGATCAGATGCCGATGCTGATTTCAACCAAGCTGAGGCACTGAAAATCGCCATTGGACAGGGCCGCCATGACATCGCTCTTGCCCTCATCATGGGCAATCACCCGCCGAAGCGCCCCGGACTGGATGAGGCTTTCTCACAGCTACTAGATCACCCTTCAATGAACCCTAATGACAAGGTAGCCGTCGCCGAGCTTTTGCTCTGCGCTGGCACTGATGGTGATGGACCAGCCATGGCGCTCATTCATGCGGCAGCCTCCGAATTCGAGGACATGGTCAGTCTTTTGGTGAAGTACGGTGTCTCGATTGAGTACCAGGACGCCATGGCGGTACGAAAAGCTATCCAGAACGGTCGGGTGGACGTGGCACACACTCTTCTGAACGGCTGTTCTGAACTCAGTGCAACGCATGCATCTGAGTGTGTTGAGTTGATTCCAAGGAATATGGCTGTGGAGAGCCGCCGCTTGCTGCTCGATCTTTTATTACGAAGAGGAGCAAGCGGAACTGCGCTCCACGACATGCTTATCGAGGCAGCAGAAGCTGGTGACTTTGAATCCGCCAAGTTGCTCCTCACCCCTGTGTTCCCCGGCGGCCGCTCTATTGCCGAACATGACGTGAAGAAAGGACCGCGATCCATGGTGTATGACCGCCACCAAATTGCATCAGTCGACCATAAGGGAGGACTAGCTCTGCAGATTGCGGTCATGAGAAGTGACGTTGCCATGACCAAGGAGATGCTAGGGAGCAACCCGTCTAGCGAGACGCTAGCCCAAATTTTCCCTCTCACCAAGACCCTGTCCCGCCAAAACCGATATCGTATGGTTGAGTGCTTCCTTACAAGCGGCCTTACCGGACCCATAGTTCATGAAGCATTGCAGGAAGCCATTGATGAGGAACCACCCCACCGGGATGAGGACCTCATCGGTCTCTTCCTCAAGTACAACACCGACATCAATACAAATGAGGGATCAGCGTTGGTCGCTGCCGTGATGCAAAAGGATATGAGACTACTGAACGCGTTGCTGAAGAAGAACGTCACGCCACAAACTGCTGCCAGCGTTCTGCCCAGAATCATTGCGACTCAAGATGCCAAGGCAAGGTTGGATATGGCAACTCTGTTGCTAACATCTGTACCAACTCTCGACCCAGCCAAGGTTTCACAGGCGATGCTGAATGCCTTAAACTACCGTCCCGCAGACTTGAAGCTTCTGCAAGTACTGCTGCTTCAGGGCCGGGCTGATGTCAATGTTGATAATGGTATCGCCATGGCTTCAGGTATGTTGTCGCCAGCCAACATTGTGATTTGAGTACTAACAAGCTACGTAGCTATCCATAGCCATGACCCTCCGGTTTTGGACACCCTCTTGAAGCACGGCAAACCATCTCCACAAACTGTTAGCCGAGCTATCAACGAACTATCACAGCTACCGTCCTCGGAAATTAAGGCCGAGAAGCTGGAGATCTTGTTGTCCAAGACCAAGGACAAGGCCCTTTTCAACGACGTTCTTGTCAAGGAGGTCCATTCCCTTCTTCAAACGCTTCCTGAAAAACGAGAGCTGTCGATTGTCAAGATCCTTCTAGAATCAGGCGCCGATGTCAACTCCCATAATGCCGCTGCTCTTTGCCATGCGGTTGCTGCTGGTGACACACAAATCACCGACCTCCTCTTCGCTGCCCACCCAAGTCCGGCATCATTAGCATCGGCCTTGCCGCACGCCCTCCGTATCGCCGATCCCATGGACCGACTAGATTTCTCCCAAAAGTTGCTCGACGCCGGCGCTCCCAGCGCAGAGGCAAACCGAGCCCTAGGCTTTGCTATTAACACCTACACCAACGACATTCCATTGCTGAGAACGCTATCGATTAATGCTAACACAAGCGATGGAGAGGCTTTAGTTGCAGCTGTTAAGAAGGAACGCCCTGATATTGTTGAGCTAGTCTTGCAGCGAAAACACCCGGTTGCGATCATGAACGATGCCTTTGCGGAGGCAGCCATGTTGTCAGACAGAGACGCAAGAGCGGCTATCTGCATGTTGTTGTTGGAGCATGGTGCCACAGGGACGGTGCTTTCCGATGCTCTCCTTGCTGCTGCCGCGGATGGTGATTTGGTTTTGGGTAATATCCTCGTTTCCCATGGCGCCCAGATCGATGAAGAGGCAATTGTCGAGTCGTGTCGTTCGGGAGCTGCCGACGTGCTGGCTATGCTGCTCAGTGGGAGCACCACACCCAAGAAGTCCACCATTGAGAGGGGCTTCCAGGCTGCCACCGAAGTCGGCAATCTCAAGACTCGTGCCGCCATTCTGCAACCTCTCCTGTGTCACGGTATAGATGGAGACGCGCTTCACACACAGCTAGCATCCGCCGTCCGGTTTGGCGCGGAGGGTGAAGACCTGGTCAAAATTCTGCTAGAGGCCGGCGCGGACCCGAATCACAATAAAGGCGAGGCAGTTTGGGCGGCTACAAAGTGTGCCTATCTCAGTAGTCTGAAAATGATGCTGGGATTGGTTGACATTGGCACAAAACTGGTGAGTTATCCAATGAGTCTGTCTAAAGCTTCTTTCTAACATCAGTAGCAACACAAACCGACGCCTGCAACTCTCAATAGAGCTCTGAGGGCCGCCTGGAAACTAGGCCGTGAGCCTCGCGCCGCCGCAATCGAGGCCCTTTTCCGGGCTGGTCTTCCCATTTCGGATGATCTTCACGTTGTTCTGAACCAGGCTGTTAACGAAGAAGAGCCCGACTACAAGCTAATCAAGTCGTTGCTTCGATTTGGTGCCTCCCCGATTGCAAATGACTGCCAAACTCTCATCGATGCTACGAGGAGAGTGATGGTGCGACCATTGGCCCTGATGCTTGAGTCTAAGATCCTGGGAGAAGACCTCAACCTTGCCATCAGAGAGGGCTTCACTAAGGAGAACTCGGCAGAGTGGTTCACCGAAGGCGGCTTCAGCATTTTGCACAGCTTCTTACAAAAAGGCGCTCACGGCGACGGCCTGAGCTCCGTTCTTATCCAAGTCGTTGACATGCCCCTATCTGAGTCTGACGACAGCCTGAGTCTCGCCAACGGCTTTGTTGACATTCTGCTCGACCACAAAGTCGACGTTAACTACGACGGCGGAAAACTGCTGCAGTCGGCGGCCGCCGCTTCGAATTCGTTCCTGGTTAAACGGTTACTGGAGAAAAAACCAAATACAGAGTCAATATCGCGCGCGTTTTATCGTATTTTCGACAACCCTTCATCCGAAGACGAAGCTTTGGAGCTAATTCAAATGTTTACTGAATATGCCGACGGAGAGACACGGCTGGACGTCATGTACACGCCCCCAGACTCGATGCCTCTCCTTTTCCTCGCCTTCTTGCAACATCCTCGGTCGATCCGGATCACAAAGGCGCTGTTGGATGCGGGCTACTACTACGACCAGATGATGCCGTATAAGGTCATGGAAGACCTCGAGGAGGAGCCCATTACGCTGATGATGTGGGCCCTTCTCCAACCACAAAAGAAGATTAGCAGTGGCATCATTCAGATGCTGATCGAAACGGGCGCCAAGGTGAACTTTGAGAGCCGTGTATCTCAGACCACGCCGCTTATGTTGGCGATCCGAACTCGGCGCCCTGACATTGTCAAGATGCTGCTGTTGGAGGATGCAGAAGTAGACGTGTGCGACATCAAAGGCAACACGCCTCTGACCCTGTCGACTGAGGCTGGAGGCGAGCTTGCCATCAAGATGATGTCAAACCTGCTTGCCGCCGGCGCTTCAAAGAATGACGGATCGCTTCACAATGCTGCGCGTGAGCTCAACCTCGCAGCTTGCCAGGTACTGGTCCAGTACGGCCACGAGCCCGACTTCCCAAGTACTCTCCACGGAGGCAGAAGCGCGCTAGGAGAGCTTGCCAGGCATGCTGCCGACAGCGGCGAGCTTACTGCCGCGCGCCAGAAGCTGATGGAACGAATCATCAACTTCCTCATCGAGGCCGGCTCCGACATCACGCTACGGACAGAAGGAAAATCTATTCTGCTTCTCGCATTAGACTCCAAGGAGCCGCTAATCACCAGCCGTACCCTTCTCAAGGCGGGCATGTGGAAGTACATCAACAAAAAGTTCAATCACTTCACGGACGGAAAGATGACATACTCTCCCACGATGTACGTCACGCATGTCCTACCCAAGACCGACCAGCAGGAGGCGCTCGTCAAGCTCCTCCGCGCAAACCGTGCAGAGGATGTTTACTATTCAAACATGGGCCCCCAGCCGGATGGCGCCGTCGGTATGCCCGAGGATATCGAGGCGCAAGAACGGACGCGCAGGGCCCGCCTCGACCGCATCAACCTCGACCAAGAAGACCACGTCCTCTCGATCGCGCGAAACCGCGAGCTCGCCACGGTCCAGGCCCAGATCTGGTCGGCGCAGGCCGAGCTCGAGGACTCCCGCCGCAAGCGCATCCAACAAGACGACCTCGTGGCACTCAGCGAACGCGCTCGCGCCGAGGAGGACCACTTCGCCGCGACCATGCGCCGCAAGCGCAGCGAACGCCACGCAGACCTCGAACACCAGGCCGCTCTCACCGAGGCCACCATCTCGCGCGCCCGGGCGGTCGAGATCGCGGAGCAGGACCTGGCGATCACGCGGCAGTCGATGCTGCTCGAGTGGGAGAAGCAGATTGCGACGGAGAAGGTGGACCACGCCAAGGCGCTCAGCGCCATTCGGGTCGCGGAGCGGGAGGACGTGGACCGCATGGACCGCGAGGCCGAGGAGAGGCTCAGGGCCCGGCTGGCGGAGCAGAGGAGGCTCGTCGACGGGCAGAACCACCTGGCCAACCAGCTGACGAACGCCGGCGTTAATGGGCGGAGGCAGATTGGGTATATTACCGGGGAGATTAATTAAAAAACACATCTATGACGGGATCTAGTACGTAGTATAGGGAGAGGGGGGAAGGGACGGATGCGGGATTCTTTTTTGACGGGTTTCATCTGTCGGTTCGCGATCAAGTACAAAATAAGTAGAAAGGGGGGCGGGCGTTTGCGGGGTTACATTGCACATGGGGTTGTGTAGGCTTCTTAGGATAGGGACCTGGCAGGCCTTTTTTTCTTCTTTTTTCTTTTTTCTTCTTCTTCCTTTCCTTATGTCTTGCCTACGGTCAGGTACTCATAGTATATTCCTCTCCTTTGTCAAGCGAGTAATGAAACCATTTACAAGATTATACATGTCATGTGTCGATGATGATGATGACCCTTCTTAGCCTCCTGTCAGCCAAGGACATTAGTATATAAAAGTGAAGGAAGAGTCCGATTAGACGGACTGGCCTTGGTAAAAAGAAAATGTGGGACGAAACGGTTCTGTAAAGACGTAGGCAAGGTTAAAAGGGGCCCCCTAAAGAATCCCTCCATTCATTAAATCTTGGGTGAGTGTGAGTGTGTGTTTGTGTATCTAAACGTCGTCGTCAAAGTTTGAATATCCCAAATTGAATCACACGGGTGTTTCCTGATCGTCGACTCGCATGGAAGTGGACGCCATATCAAACGCAGTAAAATGTTGGTCGTTACAAGATCAACATGCAGAGAGTTTGAAAAAAAGAGGGGAGCATCGCAGCGTCGTAACCGTCAGCATCATCTCTTTTGGCCCCCTTGAGTGTTTTTAAATCGTCTGCCGTGATGATCAACGGCTGACTTGCCCAGGTTCCCGGGGGAGGGGGGTTAAACCTGCGCCGTGCGCGGGTTGCTAACTGTCAGGTTCACGCTTCGGAGGAGGCCCAAAAGATGGTGCAGGGGGAGATGGAAGAGGTGATTGCACCACGAACCCGGTTTTTTCGCTTGGACCTCTTGTTCTTGGGAGAGTGGCACCCGGACTGGGGGGGGGGGGGGGGGTGGGAGGATGGGTCGCAGGGCTTTTGTGGGAGATGTCATTACTCGTGAGCTTTTTTTTTTTTGGTGGTGATCTTGAGTTGTTGCTCGCGTCCGAGGGGATCGCAGGGTGGCGAGGCGAACGAGGGATTCCGCGATTACCACGCTGACGGGAAGATGACGGGTTTCGATGTCGACGAGTATTTGCCCGTGGTTCTTGATCGAGGGTCGATTTGAGGGGAGAGAGTTGTTGTTTTCGATGCCATTCTGGTGATAGAGGGGTTACGAGGCAAAAGTGAGGCTTTCGCGTAGGGTTAAGAATTTCCGAGGAGAAGGTTTGCGGACATTCGGGCCGTTGTAATACTTTTGCGTATAAACGACTTACACGAGGTTTGGACAGCGGAAAGGTCAAACAGACAGGCGATATGTCTTGCATGCTTTTCTTTGCTTCTTTTTCCCCCCCCCCTCTCAGCTTGAGTTTCTTCAACGGGACCGATACCCGTGGGACATACACCCAAGCAAGCTCGTCTACAGAGTGCCTCGTTCCCCGTCAAAAGTTAGAGTGCGTTAATTTGAACGGTGGGACTGCCACTGCAGTCCTACGAAGATCTCGCCCACTTTCCGCATCCTTGACGCTCCTTCAAACAAAGAGTGGTTGTGTCGTTTACGTAGCATGAGTTGTAGCGGACACATGACAACTACCACCTCTACAGACGACATGTCGTGGGAAAAGCCCAAGAGTCTGTAAAGTCACGTTAATTCGGATCTGCGCCCTGCGAAAGAGTTCGTCGAGTAAATCGCACGGGTCCACTTCTGCCACCCGCTGACTTTCACCAGGTTCACAAAAGTTTTTTTTTGTTTTTTTTCAGTCTTTTCAAAAGCTAGAACAAGGGTAGAAGCACGTCAACCCGAAATGGAAGTAGTGTAGAAGTATTCCACAACGCCTCCAAAGTATATTTGATGGACGAGCAGCTCTCTCTCAGCCGCAATATTAAGTGCTTCGTGGGTTTCGGGGCAAGATCTGCACCCGGGCCAGTCTGGACTCTTTCGCGGGCTATCACATCAGAGTACATCTTGTTCGGAATAGCAACCGGAACTTTGGACTGTGGTATACTGGCGGCTTTGCCATTCGTAAGTTTCCGTTTCAAGAGGAAAGCAAAACACACGGAACTCTGAGACTATTAAGCATGTAGAATTTGGAATGGATTAACCTTATATTTCTTTAAACCTGCGTTGGCACAGAATGAGTTCAGAACCACCACGTGTTTTGTTTCCGGCTTTGTTTCTACACTTCTACTTCTCTTCCAGTGGGCCATCCCATCTAAGTAGATGACGAAATGGGGCAAATGCGGTGACAGGTGTCAGATGGAGCCCCCCAATCCACCTGTCACTAATTATCATCGGCTAAAATGACACAACGACGACGAGCATCACACCTGGCTGACTCGGGTCTTGGGCGGCTTGTTCCATTACCATTTCTTTTTTGGCTGGGCCACTTACATGCCTTCGGTGAAGGTACCGAGCAACCTTCCAACAGGCTCGTTTTGCTCGCACTTCGTCAGAGACCCTCTTCTCAAAATCACCTGCATCCGAGCGTACAGCACGGATACAGATTGGCGAGATTATTAGGTGGAGGACAGAGAGATTGCCAACGGTTTTTCATCACTGCGCCGGCCCTTTTTTCTTACGAACCGTCTTCGCAAACTGCTCGTACCTCGTAATTCCCCAGGCACTCATCCTCTTTGAAAAAACTATAACGGGGGGAGCTGTGTTGCCAAGAATCTCCACGAACTCCTCGCTTGGCCCATGGCAGCTAATGGCATTCGTCGAGCTTACCGACTTTTGCCCCTCCATTTATGCTTGCTTAAGACGGCTTGTATACTTGCATGCTGCCGGAAAGCCGTCACATTTGGGTTCAAGCCCCGAGCATACGAGCCACGATCTGAATCGCGACGAACGCCTCCGAAATGAGGAACTGTCTCCGCGGCCTTACGCGTAAAGGAACCGCCTTGGACGCTGCCTCAAGCGGTGAGTCGGTCCATGTGATTCCCTATCGAAAATGGCAAAAAAAACACCGCGAGCCCGGGTTCTGATAGCTGTCAAGATTTCAAAACAAACAAATTATAACCTTGTGATTGACTCGCTCATGTCTGTACAGCACAACGTTTTGACAAATGCGTCCATTGAGGGGTTCCTGAAATCTCAAAAATCTGGTTTTGGCCGTGATCTTGGCAGGATTACCCCGGCCGCCTCACAGAACCTTAGACAACCTGACAGTGAACTTTTAATGTATTGTCTCCCTAGTCTAATCACATAGAGCTTCGTCACTTTGTCGATAACATTTCTAACGACCGATTCATTGAATTCCCGCGAAGAATACAACTACCTTCGCTGAAACACGCGGCCCGGGGAAAACCCGTTGTGCAATGTCGACTGACTCGGGGCTCACGTCACGCGGCAAGGTACTAGGATGTTAGCCTGTGCCTTCATTTTTGCGATTGATATTTCCATTTTCTTTTCTTTTTCTTTTTTTCTTCCCCCGCTGTGTGTCATTCTGCTTCTTTTCGCAAACCCATCTTGGTCTAAAGACGTGTTACTCGGAGAGTAGTGTGTAGTAACAGAATGTCATCACCACAAAAAGGTTAGATATCTGCCGTGGCCTTGGCTGATGATCTAAACGGTCTGATTTAGCCTAGCGCCCGGTCACTGCGAGATCGTTTGGACGGGATTCAGCCCCGTGCCCCGGACGACGCCAGCGCTTGCTACTAGCAGTGACAGTCGAACGTGTTAGAGACTGGTGGATGGTGACATCGCGGCTCTCGTCCATGCGTTATGCACAGAGGGTGTTAGATGGGGTGGGATCTTGTGCAAATCTCCCACGTTCCAGCAGGCTTTGGCGTTCATTTATCGCGCTTCCCATTGCCTGCCGCTATTAGTGCCATAGCGGATCAACACATTTGTTGCAATCGTTACAGTAAGACCTTGTAGGGTTGGGGTTGCAATCGCACGGACGTTATATGTCGGGGGGAAGCAAGCACAATGTGGATGGAAAGATCAGCACACTTAGCCTGGGCGGGGCTTCTTGAGAAGAGGCCTGATGCCTGTCCCATATTGGCTCTCAGACAGACAGATAGACGCTGTTTAATGTTCTTTCTACGCTCGAATTCCAGCAAACCCCTGCCTGCTGGAAGAGAAAGGGGCATGGTTTGAGCGGTGGAGTAGAGTAGGTTGCATCCCCGCCTATGGTTTGTCATTCATGACCCAGAGCAAGCTTCGGCATACGTTTGCAAGGGTCGAAAGCGGGTTTCTGTGGTGCTTTGATCTCCTTTGTACGTCTAAGAAACTTGCGGGCTTTAATATTATAATACCACGGATCCGGGACGGGAAACTTACGCTGGCGTGGACGTCTTTTTTTTTTTTGATATCCCCAACTTTTCTCGTCACTGTAGAGAAAGGATGGAGCTTGCTCTATCCTAACTTGATACAGACTTCGATATCTGCAACTGGTTCCCGATCAAAGCACTTCTCAGTCTACTATCATTACTAGTCTGATGTTTTGATTCTACGGCGTAGTCCTAGCCATGGACGGACAAACCATCCAACGCCTGTTTGGCGGGGGTCACGACAACTCCCACGAGCCGGAGCCACTGGTGAACAAGCGCAGCACGATATTAAGCTTGGTCATCAGCTTCCAGGTATGCCGTCTTCTTGAAATTTTGGGGACACGGTTTGTGACTGATATTGAATAGGTCATTTCCTGGTTATTCGTTGGCTTCCGCTTGCACACGCGGGCTCGGGTGGTCAAGTCCTTAGGATGGGATGACTTTTTCGTTGTTTTATCGTTGCTGAGCATCACGACAGGTACGACTGGAGTTTGCGTGGGTAAGTAGTTTGTGCTTCATGTCTCAAAATATTGTACTTTGAAAGTTGACATTTGGTAAAGCAACGAAATTTGGAATGGGGAAACACATGTCCACCCTTTCCTCAGAACAAATCCGAAACTACCTTCTCGTACGTCTTCCCTGGCAAGACAATATAGATCACAGACATCAAATGGCTTTGTAACTAATACCAAGTTCATTAATCAGACCTTTTACGTCGCGAACGGTTCTTATCAGATGTCGACCGCCTTCATCAAAATTTCGCTTCTTTTTCAGTATCTTCGCATCTTTGATACGCCCTGTTTCCTCCGAAAGGCCTGCATTGCCACCATCGTCTTCATCGGTCTCTGGGCTACTCCTTACTCTATCCTCGGCTGGATCCCTTGTTACCCAATTTACGCCTACTGGGACTGGCGCTTTTCCGCCACCCGCTGGGCTTACGGCTCTCTCGATCCACACGTCTTCTTCGGCACCTACGCGAGCCATGCTACAGTAAATGTGTTTTTGGATCTTGTGGTGCTTGCCATACCGGTGCCACTGTACTTTAGACGCCACATGCCGCTTAAATCCAAGCTGGGATTGCTTTTTCTGTTGACTATTGGTCTCGTGTGCGTATCCCCCCGATCCTCAACGCTGACGCCTCAACTTGCCCATTTCCCATACTGACCCAGGTTTACAGTGTAAATGGCATCTCGGTTGTTCGACTTGTGACCCTGATACAGCACCGCGCGGCAACATACCCTACCTTGGACTTCACCTGGTACGCGCCGATCAGTATTGTGCTCTCGTGCATCGAGGTCGACCTCGCCATGGTCGCTAGCAGCGTGCCCATCTTCTGGCCCGTTTTACGCAGATTCCGTGACGGCATTTTCGTCACAAAGGAAATCGAGGTTACGCGGGAGACAAGAAGGCTTGATAGCATTATTCTCGAAGACGACATGGAGCTGGAGCCGGATAGGAGATCGAGGGTGGGCAGCGAGGCGAGTTTACGACAGGACGCGGCAGCCACAGTACGAAGTGAGCGGTACGCGGACGAATTTGTTCTCCAGCAGGTGGACCCTTTGAGCAAGAACAAGGCTGTAGTCACACAGGTCAAAGCCGGCGATGAGGTGGATTCAAAGTGGTGGCAAAAAGGAGGATCATAGGTTTCTCAAAGTTTCTGGAAAGTACAATTTTATATACGAATTAACAACCAAACCCTTCCAACATGTGAAAGATACCTACCCATTGACAAAACCAGTGAAAAGCCCTTTGGTGGTATATCATGTGTAGTATAGGCCAAAATTTGCCCGAACCAGGGCAGTAGCAATACAATCCTGCTGTGAGTAAAATTCGTAGCCTGCCTAGTTGCAGAGCTAAGTAATGGGATCGCTCCTGCGGTACTACCTTCACAATATTCAGTATCCCCTCCGCTGCAAATTCTCTCGGGATTAGAGGACCTAGGCTGAACCCCTTGCGCTTTGATCTTTCTCGTGCACTCACCTGCCTACCTCACGTGGCGGAAAACTCAACTGCATTCATGCTTCCGATAATAGCGGAAAAACGATCTAAGAAACTTACCCTATTGAAACGACGCAAAACCGCGGCTATTTAAACGAGCTACTGCTGGCAAATTTTCTGTGGGAATAGAAGACTGACGGTGACTTGGTTCTCAGGCTGTGGAGGGCCTCTACCGCAACTGGCATAACCACAAGTTTATACTGACGTTGCGAGTGGGTAATGCCGAAGCCGCTTTTAAGTCTACAGCGGACGAATAAAATCAATTTGTGGAACAAGGGGATGCAAAATAATTAGGTTTTCGTAAGCCAACATACTGATCGGCCTGCATATAATAATCACCACTTAAAATATTCACAATTTTCTTTCTCCCTACCGGCATGGAGAACTGGATGACGAATTTGAAAATTCGAAATTCTAATATTTTAATAAGTCCTGTGGAAAAGAATCACCAAGATGATTCCATGTCTTTAGAAACATCAGCACAGAATATTAATACCGGCCTACACCGGAGATTTGAGTATTAGACCGGAGAGTTGAATAACTTAGCACTGTTTAATAAGGGCAACAAATAATGTTGAACGACCTAGCTTTTTCAATGAAATATTTGGTAAAAGCCCAAAATATTCTGTTTCTTCTTTATTCCATCCGGAATGATTTTGTCAATGGAAGTTGCACATCCGGTCGGGCGGGGCGCCCGGCCGATGCGGGGTCGGACTTGGCTGCCGCTGCGGGGTCGGTCCAGTCAGCCGACGCCGGGGGATCATCCAGGCCTGCACAATGTCATACGATACGCGAGATAAAGCTTGCATGAAAACACCAACAAGCGTTGGTTGCGCTCGTGTTGGTGCTGATCCTGCCTTGACTTCTCTGAACTCGTGACAAATGTCCCATGTGCCATCGTATCAGTTAGGTTCTTGGCCTTGGACTTCGTCTAGAATTCCCCTATCCATGAGTCTAGGTGGGCAAGTTCGCAAGATGCCTGAGCAAACCAGACACCCGGGCAATGTCGGTGAGAATCCCCGATAGCGGGGACCGTTCCCATTGGGCCGCTTCTTCTCGAATATCTCATGCTTGGAAAATGATGCAGCTATCTCCCCATGTGCTGCTTCTGTAGCCGCAACGCATAGCTTGTGTTTTATCTCTCCACTTCCCCGCGATCCGCTAGTTGGGGCAGCCTAATTCCCCGAATTGCGAAAATGATATAAGTCAAGGGCAATAAGAAGCGCCAACGCGCATGGCAAAGCCAAGGTCGACGAGAGCTATCCTGCAGTTTATTTTCACATCCAGACCCGAAGCACACAGCTAAAAGCCTTTCAGCAATTGCAGATAACTCAACGCAGAAGCTGATATCTTCAGCTTGTGCTACTAGCGCATCTACGATGGCAACAGAGAAGATAGTTCCCACTGCAAAAGAACTAGAACAGTTCGACCTGAGCGATGCGCACACCGTTGAGCTCATCAACCGAGCTCAAGAGGGCGACGCCGCAGACCGCAAGTTAACAGTCCGTCAAGCTTTAGCAAAATATAGAAAGGCAGTCTTCTGGGCCCTGTTTCTATCTACCAGCTTGATTATGGAGGGATATGACCTTGTCATTGTGAGCTAACGCCCTCAGAGCGATGCTGAGAATTAGCAGGGCTCGCTTCTAACGATGAAGAGAACAGATCACTTCTTTCTACGGCCAGACACAGTTCAAACAACGTTTCGGGGTTTACGATGAAGGAACCCAGGAGAAACTTATCCCACCTGAGTGGCAATCTGGACTATCAAATTCCGCACTGGTCGGACAGCTTGCTGGCTTGGTTGTAAATGCCTGGTGCCAGGACAGGTTCGGCGCAAGATACACAATGATGTTCTTCATGGCTTGGATGGCGGTCATGATTGCTATCCCATGCTTTGCACCATCTTTGCCCATACTAGCTTGGGGAGAGGCCATGTGCGGTGTTGCGTGGGGTGTCTTCCAGGTTAGTCAACGCCTACAATTTGTTACCGTAAGGCCGGAAGCTAACCAAAGAACCAGACATTGAGCACCACTTACGCCTGCGAAGTAGTCCCCACCGTTCTCCGCCCTTATGTCACAGCCTACGTGTGCATGTGTTGGGGCGCTGGTATTCTCCTGTCCGCCGGAGTTGTTCGCGCTGTCGCTGGCATTCAGGGTGATATGGGCTGGAGACTTCCATTTCTCCTCCAGTGGGTTTGGCCAGTTCCTCTGTTTATCGGCGCCTACTACGCTCCTGAGTCCCCTTGGAACGCGGTCCGACGAGGAAAGTTCGATGTTGCGAGAAGGAGTCTTGTCCGTCTTCGTCAAGACACCCCTGACCGAGAGGTGGAGGTCGACGCCTCCCTAGCCTATATCAAACACACCACAGCGCTGGAAGATGCAGAGACTCACGACGCTACGTTTTTGGAGTGTTTCAAAGGAACCAACCTATGGCGCACTGAAATCGTAAGTTACCCTGTTTAATGAAAAGTTTGGAAATTGTTCTGACTCATGTTTTCTGTAGAATTGCGTTGTTTGGGCTGCTCAGATTCTTGGAGGTAATGCTCTTGTAGCCTACGGCGTTACCTTTCTTCAAGCTGCCGGATTCTCGGAGATCCAGTCGCTGAATCTCAATATCTCGCTCTCTGCGTGCTACGTGATCGGCGGCATCATCTGTTGGTTTCTCTTCCCTCATGTCGGTCGTGCAACCCTATATATGAGCGGTTTAACATTTCTATTCTTCTGCAACATCATCATCGGCGGCCTTGGGTTCACTAAAGACGAGAAGGCTCAGATAGCTATTGGTGTGATTCTAGTGGCTTCGAATTTGGTGAACATGGTGACGGTCGGGCCTGTCTGCTACCCGATCGTAGCAGAAACTCCATCCGGGAGACTTCGGTATAAGACAATAGTCATTGGAAGATTTGTCTATAACGTTACCGGAATCGTGGAACATACCATAACTCCACGCATGATTTCTCCTATTGGTAGGCCATACATCTTCTTTTACCATATAAGGTAGTGACAGTAACTAACAATGATCAGGGTGGAACTGGGGAGCGAAAGCTGGTCTATTCTACGCTGGTACCAATTTGATCTGTAACACATGGTGTTACTTCCGCCTTCCAGAGACCAAAGACAGAACCTTTGGCGAGCTTGACATCCTTTTTGAAAACAAGATCCCCGCTAGAAAGTTCAAGCACACTGCCGTTGACCGTCAGTTCAACTTCCTAGCAAATATTTTTGAATGCATCGACCGGCTAATACATCTGCAGAGTTCGCTGGGAGGAACGAGACAGCTGGCAAGGAAGAAGATATGGCCTAGGTCTGACAATAAACTACTATGAAGCGGGAGCACTTTGGTAAGGTGCAAATTATCATGATGTCATCATGTATCATAGACTGAGATGGTCAATGAGGTTTCAAATTATTTCGAATAGCCACTTGATCAGATGGCACACTTTTGCATTGGTAAGCTAAAGAGCCAATATCACAGTATTTTTAACGCGTAACGAGAAAAACCAAAAGACATCTACCCACTTTTTTCTAAGTGACAGTAGTCGACTCCTATTGCCCCTTCGGTACCCATTGTGACCACCATATTTTCAACCCCAATCCAGCTTGGAATTTCCTCAAGGCTATCGCCGAGTATCCCGGCTTGTACACCACGTCACGCCCAGCCACGGACTATTCCACTTTTAAGCTTGATGCTTGGGCCATGAGCGTGCTTTGTATTCATAAATACATCACCGCAAGAACATGAACAGCAGTTCCAGTACGCTAACTACGAGGCACTCGGGCGGTATCATACCAAGGAAGACCAAATAAGTTCAATGCCGTGTATCCTGTGTCCCTCTTTGAGTATTGATGTAGTAAGCACAGCAGATAAGAGATCGACTCCAATCTCCAATTTTCCCCATATCTATCGGTGCACGAAGTTCTTAATTAGCTGGGGAACAAGGATTGTCTCTTCCTGATTGCCTGGTGCCCCGCACGCCATGTCCTGCAGCCAAGCTATACTATCTGGAGGTTGCATACGTTCGAGGAAAGCCTATTCCCATAGAGGAGTGGTATTTGGGCTGTAATTCTTGGGCGGTCTAGCACCTCATCGTCAGCACACCCAACTAGCTGGTTCTATGTACCCTTGCCACCAGTAAGACAGACCTGATACAGTCGTGGCGCTATGTGCCAGTGGAACGAAAGCTCCAACGGCAGACAGCCCACACCACCACCAAGGTCGCATGACAACCTGAGCACAGTGTACAGTAACGTCCCACACCCACTTCTGGGCACCCCCCACATTTGGGCACCCCATTTACACCAAAAACGCCGTTTTTCGAAATTCTATATTAAACTAAATACTTTACTTATTAAAGAGAATAAATATATGTTAAATAGATTAAGACTTAATTATAATACTTAAGTAGCTATATACTAGTATTATTGATAATAAGTATTATAAATTCAAGGTTTAACATTTATAATACTAATTTACCTAGCCTATATCTTAATATATAAAATAGGTAGAGATATTTAACTAATATGATTAGAATTTTTAAGTAAGATATAGTAGATTTATATATTCTTATACTTAGTAAAAAATTCTTTAAGCTTAGAATAATATTTTAAAATTTCCCTTAAGAAAAGTTTCTATTATAGAATTTTAACCCTTAATTATACTATATTTACTAAAGTAATACTTTTAAATCTCTTTTAGATATAATTATATACTTTTAATAAGTATAAATATTAATTTCCTAGATTTTTTAAATAAGTATATATAAGCGAAAATATATTTTTCTAATGTTAAGGAATACTAGTAAGTTACTAGTATCTACTAACATTTTAAAGCTTTTAGTTTTAAACTTCTATATTATAACTATTATTATATTTAAACCTTTATAAAAAATTAGATGGCTATAATTATACTTAACATAGTTTATATATATTTTCTTTTCTTAGTAAGTATAGTAGTTAGTTTAATATAGAATTTCGAAAAACGGCGTTTTTGGTGTAAATGGGGTGCCCAAATGTGGGGGGTGCCCAGAAGTGGGTGTGGGACGTTAGAGGCTCGGCGCCAAACTAGAGCAGTGAAAAAAACCGTCTGGAACTGACGGAAAATTTCAGTCCATATGTTACAACAGGGTTGAAAACTCTCGTAGACTCTTCAGTATCACCAGAGCTGAACAACGATAGGTTGTGGGCTAAGTACACGCTACCAGCTCTCATCACACTCAGATTTGGTTCATTGCCAGCAGACAGGGGTTGGCCTCCCCAGCCCATGGTAGGCCCTACACGCCAAGCCTGGCATCTTTTCCATGCTCTTTATCCGGGCGGCCATGTAAACACACGTTTCCGCTCGCTTGCGGTATTTTTGCGCGCATGCCGACTTAGAATATTACAGCACCCATACACTATCGTGGCGGCGGCGGAGGTGCGCCCCCGAGTGCAGGTCCGAGTAGGGGACGGTTAGTCGCCCGTGCGTGCACCCGCGAGCTAGCAGCCGGGCTCGGAGAGGGGTCGAAAATGTCCGGAAAATGCTACTCTCTTTATGGGAGACGGCGAGGCTCTATAGCACCGTCAATCGGTCCGTGTGAACGACATCTACTCCCTCGGTAGCGACAAGACGCTATAAGCTTGTCGTTCACTACTTCATCCGACGCCTATTTGCACGATTTGTGGGCTGGAATTCTTCCATCTTGGCCCGCAAGTCCAACTTTCTGGGCATTCGCATGTAGGCTCTTCCACCATTGAGATTGCCGGAGAACCTGGAATAGCCTTGGCCGCTGACCTTGGACCGTCGTAATCCCCACTCTAAATCATTGTTAGCGAAGAGCCAAGTTCCAAAGCCAATAAATGCCAACGCTCGGCCCTACGTGTTGACTCTGCCACTGACCCTCTCGCGTCTTCGTATCAGCCAACTACCCAGTTGCCCAGCGTTCCCTTGGCCTTGCCCAGCGCGTGTACCTCCAGACTCCGCATTTTGCCTCCTCTCCACAGATATGTCTAATGTTGCTGGGCACAAGAACCGGATTTGCGGAGATCCAAGGTTTGTCGACAATCAGGCCGCCCGTGGGGTAAAAGTAATATGAGCAGCAACAATTATAAAGTCTCGGATCCGTCGATCTCGTCCTGGACTGGTGTTTTTTTCGTCTAACAGACCTTTCTCTCCAGGCTCTGCTTCGGAATACTTCCATAATCAAGAGAGTTCTGGATCCTTAGTTTTTTTTTCCTTTCATACAGCAAACGCGTACGAAACGAATCACTCTGTGAACCGCCGCCATGGGCACCTCCTTTCTTCAAAAAGTCGTCAAGAACGACGCGATGAAGCAGGACCCTCCTGAGATTTACGGATGGAGGGTCTACGCTCTCGCCTGTTCCGCCTGTTTTGGTGGTCTGATTTTCGGTATCGATACTGGTGTCATCGGTGGTGTTCTCCGCATGGACGCGTTTAAGGAGTATGTTGTCACATGTTTCCCTACACACCTGCTTGCTGCTTCGATTCATGGCTTACTCTGTGCTTCTTTTGGGCAGACTCTACAAGCTCGACAAGATGTCTGATCTCGAACGCTCCAACCTCGGCGCGAATATTGTCTCTACTCTACAAGCTGGATGTTTCCTCGGTGCTCTCCTCGCTGCCCAGGCTGCCGATAGATTTGGTCGTCGTCCCGTTCTCATTTGGGCCGCGGGTGGAATCTCCGTGGTTGGTGTAGTCCTTCAGGCAGCTGCTTCTGGCCATCTCGCGGCCATGTATGTTGGCAGGTAAGAGTTTTACCACTCGTGTCAACATGACAAGCTCCGTGCTAACACTGATACGTATAGATTTATTTCTGGATTCGGTACTGGATTTGCTTCCATGGTTAACCCGCTTTACGTCGCTGAAAATGCTCCTCGAGCAATTCGAGGCGGTTTAACCGGTATCTATCAACTGTTTATTGTATTCGGAATTTTCCTGGCCTACTGGATCAACGCAAGTCATGCCCCTTCCCAATAAAAACTTCAAACAGTCTGACTAACACCCCACAGTACGGCTGCTCGCGGGGTCCCCAGAACACTGCTTCTTACATGATTCCACTGGCCATTCAGGGAGTCCCTCCTCTCATGCTCATGATTTCGATGTTTCTGTGCAATGAATCACCTCGCCATCTAGCCAAGCAGGATAAGTGGGAGGAAGCCCTTGCTGTCTTGTCCAGCATTCGTGCTCTGCCTGCTGATCATCCCTACGTCGCTAACGAATTTGCCGACATCAAGGCTGCTATTGACGAAGAAAACGCTATTCTTGACGGCGCTAGCTGGATGAGTCTGCAAAAGGAGATGTGGCTGGTGCCTGCCAACCGCAAGCGTGCTATCATTTCTATCCTTCTCATGTTCTTCCAGCAGATGACAGGTAAATAACACAGCATCCAGCTTGGCCCCATTCATTTGCTAACGGCTGCAGGTACCAACGCCATCAACTACTATGCGCCTCAAATCTTTGCGACTCTCGGTGTTGAGGGTACTCAAAACGAGCTTTTCGCCACTGGTATTTACGGCCTTGTCAAGCTCATCGCGGTGTCGGTTTTCTTGGTCTTCGTGGCCGACTCCTTGGGCCGTCGCAAGTCTCTCATGTGGACAGGTATTGGCCAGGCCATGACCATGCTGTACGTCGGCATTTTCATCGCCGTAGCCAGGCCGAGCGAGAATAGTCAGGTCACCGCCGCTGGATACATTGCCCTGATTTGCGTCTTCCTATTCGCCTGCATGTTCCAGTTCGGCTGGGGACCTTGCTGCTGGATCTACGTTTCCGAGATTGCCACCACCCGTCTTCGCGCAACCAACGTCTCTTTCGCCGCCGCGACCCAGTGGCTCTTCAACTTCGTCATCTCCCGTGCGGTGCCGCCCATGTTGGTGACCATGGGCACTGGTGGTTTTGGTACATACGTCTTCTTCTGTTGTTGGTGTCTCATCATGACTGTGTTCGTCTGGTTCTTCGTCCCCGAAACGAAGGGTCTCTCCCTTGAGGCCATGAACGACCTCTTCGGGTTCCAGGATGACCTCAAGACCAAGCGCGCCGATATTGAGGGCTCTTCTGTCAATGAAAAGCAGGGCAACGTTACCCAGCTTGAGGAGAGCGCCCCTCCTGCCAAGGCCTAGGCCGCTAAGGTCTGGGCTCCTTGACCATTTTCTTCTGGACTAGTACATGATGGTTTGTGGTTGGGGAGAGAATATGGAATTCGCACACCTCGGTGCTTGTAAGATGGATCGTTGAGATATCTATAAAGATGAAATATAAGAGCCGTCGAATTTTTAGACGTCAAATGCAACCCACCATGATGCCTATAGTTGAATCAAATGATCACCTAAACTGTGACTGGCAGCTCAAACAAGTAAATGGGCGAGGCTTCTATTGCTCAAAGATTGAGACATCATTAACGCGCCACAGTTTATCGTCGTTACCGCAGAAGCGCTCTTGAATATGTAAGTATAGTGATACTTTGGCAGGCGGCTCCTCTTACGCAGATTGAGTGAATATGAGGTCTATACCAACCTTGTTTTAAGCATGTGTTGTTGGCGTTGTACTTATTTAGACCTTCTTAGTTAACACAAGCAATACGAGCATAAGAGTCTTAGCAAACTGAACATCAAAACCTAGATTTAATCATGTCCCACGCATTCATGCCTATCCCATCGACTGCTGAATGGCTACAGATAACAACGCCGTGAGGGGGAATATCCAACCAGTAGTTAATCCAGACTTTTTCTAGTCGCCTGAGTAATGCAATTTTTAAGTATTTGGTGTAGTCTCTACATACTAACTGTTTCGAAATTGGTTGCAATTAGCTAAGCTACAGGCTTGGTGCTTCTATAATTGGAAAAACAAAAAGGAGCTGCTATAACATTATGCATCTCTGTTATGAGGCGTAAAAAGTGGACGGAAGGCTGGTAACAAGTACCTGTAGGCATTTAACAGTCGATGGGATAGACAGCCATCAAATCTTTAGTATATCGACTTTACAGCATTTTCATTAGGCGTTATGAACAAGCCCGCAGCGTCGGCCACTGGTAAAGAAGGAAGCTATTTCAGATACTCAAAACTAGAAGCTTTCTCCTGACCCACCGCATCTGGCTGCCCGTGCATTAGACAAATGGCCTGGTGCAACTGCGACGTTGTGGTACACAGCAGTAATTGGAATATGCACAACGGAAGCTTTGACAACAAGAGAAGCGTGTTTTGTTTGGCTGACGCGTACCTTGAGGTACGGTCCGATCACTTTGACAGCTCCGAAGCACAAATAACGTCACCCATTGATTGAAACCCGCAATTGTCCCTATTCTGCCCCGAAATTTCTTCCACATGTTTCATCATAGCAGAACCCGTTCTGCACCATGTTAGAGGATGATTCCATCGTGTATATGTCTGGTAGATCGACCCCCATAATTGCAAGACAATAGATTCCAGTTACCTCTCAGCTAGCACAGCCACCTCCCCGCAGAGCCAGGACTGTTCTGGTCACTGCGTCTACCCAGGGGGTTCCGGACAAGGTTTCCGGGAAGGTTGCGTTCTGCATCCTATGCTTCAAGAGCCTGAAGACACCTGACTAAGGATACGTAACCGGCAGAAACAGTTATATCCACTGTATATATACTGATTGTTCTCAGGGTAAACTTGGGCTGAATGTCAAGTAATGTGCGGCATAGTAAAGCAACCAGAACATAGCGAAAAGAAAACCATTCACGCGAAATCAATTTTATAATGGCTAATAACCTATATGGCACTCAATGATACTTTTGAGCTCGTTAAAGGACAATTCTCTCGGAAGCGGCGGGATGGAAAGAAGTGGACTTTATATGTGAGGACCTATCGCGCAAACATTTACGATCAGCGGTGCGATATCGGGGAGTTGAGACGAATATCTATCAAAGAGTTGGAAAACAAGGTTAATCTTAATCCGTCCGATTGGTCAAATGTTACGACACGAAAAGACTTGTTCTCCAAGCTATCACGGCGGCCTCTGAACGTTTAGCCGCAGGGCGTTCGGACCAACAACACCCAACTAGACACAACCGTTGTTGCTAGACACGATCAATGCAGAACCCTCCAACTCACATTGCCTCGGTCCGCTATGCTCTAAGTCTGACGTCCTTGTTGGAAGTATTTGGTTTCAAACTCAACCTCGAAACAATGTGGCTCCACTTCAGCTGAAATCAGAACGGAGGCCTTGGGTCTGGACTTTTCTTCGTTATGCAACCTCCTTTAGATAACTGTGCTACGGAGTGGAAGTCTGCACAACTCATGATCAATAAGCAATTGTGAATGGTCACAGGTAACAGCATCCAACAACGCTTTCTCTTCTGTTAGATTTGCAAACGGGTTCCCCTCCATACCCCAACTCGGTCTTTGAAAAAAAGACAACACCACGTGAAACTCTTCAAGGGATTGCCGGCCCCCTTAATATGTACCGTAAGATGCCAGGAAGCTATTTGAGAACCTTTTAAACAACTCAAGAAATTTAATAGACAATACCCACGTATTCACTTAGGGTAGCAATCAATCCCAGAGTTGTTGGTCACGAGGTCTCCCTGCAAAAGTTAAAAGGAGACTAGTTTCTCTTGACCAATTTCCGAAGCTCCATCCCCACCAGATACCTGAATACCAGCCGCAGCCTTGGTCACTTTCCAGGGTGGTGCTTGCATTGTCTCTGCCAAGTAGGGGTAAGTGACCGGCATTTGCTAGCTGTGTGCAGCTGCTGTTCCCTTGATTGCCTTATAAGGCAGAATTCGAGACTGAACCCATGATAGTGTCGCCATTGAAGATATTTTGCAGACATCGTGACCCAACACAAACTGTGTTCAAGTCATGACTTGGGCACTGGGTACTTTTTTTTTTTTTTTTTTTGGCCTCGACCGGTAAGTGGGCTGGCAACAATTTTCTCGGTAACCTGCATTGCCAAGCACTTTGGCCAGATCCTATACCCTAGGCAGATTGGGTATATAGTAGCCCACCGGCTCAACCTGAGCCCCGCGCGGGCTTCCTGATGACCATGGGCGGGACAAGGGCGAAATCAGCGGAATGGCGGAAGAAATGGCAGGAGAAATGACAGCTTAGTGGCGATACGGGTCACATCCGAGGAGGAAAAAAAGGGATTTGGAGAGCTATGGCCAAGATGCGAACTCTGCACTTAACTACATAGTGCTTCTGGGCAAGCCGATCCCTGTTTTCATGACTCAGTGATGCCGGGTATCGGGAAGGCTTGAGGTTCGACAACTCCACAAAAGAGTCCAGGCTTTGGGTAAACAAGCCACGAGAGGCCGTGCAACAAGTGTTCCAAATTTGAACTTGACGTTCTCGACGAGTCGGTGACTGTGGGCTTGAAACTTGTGGGAATATGCCCCTTGGTTACTATGTACATGGTGCACTAAGTTGGGGCCGTGGAGGTTACGTGTTGATGGATATTTATGGTTGTCGAAAGCTCGACATAAGCAGCTGGTTGGTCAACTTCGGATGACAGTTCAGAAAGGACAAATCGGGTGTTTCCGCGCGGGGGGTTCCTGTTGAACCACACCATTTCAGGGGAATCATGCACCATTCCAAGATCGGTTCTAGGGGGGGAAAAAGTCGAACAGCATTAGCTGCGGCTCTCAACCGCGGCTCAGCGCTATTGTGTCATCTCCAACTGATTTATGTGTCTAGCCTGACTCCAAGCTCGCCTGGTCATCAGCCGAGAACATGTCAAAGAGAATAGCAAAGCCCAATGACGACATTGTAGTAGTTTCAAATCAGTACACAGCCAAGGAACGGTGGCCACACAGGGACGCACAGGGACAACCCCTGGCGAATGACGAAGGCATGCTCCGATGTTATTAGGTAACAGAGTGCTGCAGCCCAGTCTGTACCCGAGTGGAATATGGTGTGCTAGTACCATCAAGGAAATTCGATCTGCTTGTCATATCCAGTTGTTTCGACCCAAGTGGAGATGGATGGATACGAGATGGTATTTCCGGCGAGAACCCTTTTTTTTATCAGAATTTCTCTGATGCCGGGGCCTCCGGCTTTATCAGAGTCCCGCATCGCGAGCCACCGGTCCGGGTTCGCTTATAAGAAAGGGGACACCCCCAGATTTTGCACCCCGCGCTCCACCCTGTCTCCCACAGCTCACTTGTGTGTGTGTGTTTTTTTTTCTTCTTTTATATTCTATTTCTTGTTGCCATTACTTAATCTGAGCTGCATCCTCTTCATCCACGGCCCCATCCTACTCCGCAGCCAAAAGTACACAGCAAACCGTGCTGACCGTCGATGCAATGGTCGGAATCTCGCCGGCCTCTATGGATGACGACCCCGGTCCCGATCTCGAACCCGGCGGCAACTCAGCCACGACTTCAAACGCCGCTTCCGGAAGCTCATCTCCCGAGATCCCAGCTGCCGGCCCTAATCCCGAAACAGGCGAATCATCAACTTCCGCTTCCGAGGCCGCGGCGGCAGCCGCCCTGAAAAAAGAAAAAGGCCGCGTACGCTTCAATAGCCGAGCGGCCGTGACCCAGCCCCCAACATCACCACCACCAGTAGCTACTCTACCTGTTCCTACACCACCCAATCCGCCCAGACCTTCTATCTTGCGAGGCAGTTCAGGAGGATCCATCCCGACTGTTGCAACCTTTGCCAAGGAAAACCCGCGTCCTTCGGTGGATAGTGAGCGGCAGGAAGCAAAGTCTGCTGCCGCCGCTGCTCAGGAACGAGCTCGCCAGGTTGCAGCCAACATCCAGCTGGGCTCTCCGACGCAAGAGTCCCGCGTATCCATTGAATCCGCCGTCACAACCGCTACAAGCGAGTATGACCATCCTACTAGGGATGGCGCATATATCCCCTTGCGCGACCTCAACTCTCACCAACCCTTGAACGACACCAACCCCGCTGTCGGCGACGAAGAGAAACATGAGCATCAAGCACAGCTTAACTCGGAAGCGTACCGTATCGTGAGAGCTCACACCTGGCGCCTTGCCGACAAAGCCGAGAGTGCGGCTGGTCCTTCCAACGCTCAAGACGCGGAGAAGGCTGAGCAAACGGATCAGCTACTGCCAGAGGTCAACGATGGCAACTTTGACGGTCTTTATGCCGTACCACCGCCCAAGGAGTATCGCGGCAGCGTCTTGTCTCAGCTTCTGAAGCTTTATAAGCCTGCTGAGAATGCTCCCGCGTTACCTACCAACAACCGCAACTCCGTTATTTCTTTCGGAGGTCCTCTTTCCGCCACTGGTTCTGAATCCGGCACCACCACCCCGACTACGCCCACCCGCAAGAAGTGGTACAATGCGAATAAGTCTACTGATACTCTTGTCAACCTCATCGAAGCCTCTGCCCGTCTGGCCAACCCCAACCAGCAGGGCGAGAAAGAAGGGTCGCCAAACGGCGGCAAGGCTGCCGGCAAGAAGCAGCGGCCCAAGCACAAGCGTACTTACAGTAACTCCCGCATCAGCGCTTACCTTGCAAGAGAGGAGGAGGAGGCCAAGATTACGGTTCACATCGCCGAGACCCTCGCTCGCCAGGAGTACATCATTACTCTCTGCCGTGCGCTCATGCTATATGGCGCACCCACGCATCGTCTCGAGGAATATCTTAGCACGACTGCAAAGGTGCTTGAGATCGACGGCCAGTTCCTGTACTTGCCGGGTTGTATGATCATCTCTTTCGACGACAGGTCGGTGCACACCACCGAGGTGCGAATCGTTCGAGCTTCGCAGGGCATCGACCTCGGCAAGCTCAGGGACACGCACCACATTTACAAGGAAGTCATCCACGACGTGGTGTCTGTCAACGACGGAATCGAACGCCTGGACGCTCTGATGAAATCTAAGGACAAGTTCCACGCCTGGGTCCGAGTTCTCGTTTTCGGCCTGACGAGCGCCACGGCCGCCCCCTTCTCCTTTGGCGCACGCATGATCGATCTCCCACTGGCGTTCTTGTTCGGCTGCCTCGTCGGCTTCCTGCAGCTCATCGTCGCGGCCCGCTCCAGCTTGTACAGCAACGTTCTCGAGGTGACGGCCACCGTGTTGGTAAGTTTCCTGGCCCGAGCCTTCGGCAGCATCAGAGGCGGCAACCTATTTTGCTTCTCGGCAATCGCCCAGGGCGGCATCGTCATGTTGCTCCCGGGTTACATGGTGCTGTGCTCGGCTCTTGAGCTCCAATCCCGCGCCATCGTACCCGGTTCGATCCGCATCGTCTACGCCGTCATCTACTCCCTCTTCCTCGGCTTCGGCATCACCATCGGCTCCGCGATCTACGGTCTGTTGGACAGCAACGCCGTCTCGACCACTAGTTGCCAGAACTCGATATCTCCGCTCCTGGGCTTCATCTTCGTCCCCCTCTTCGTCGTCTGCATCGCCGTCCTGTACCAGGCCAAATGGCGCCAGATGCCCGTCATGTTGGTCGTCGCCTTTGCTGGATACGTCGTCAACTACTTCAGCGGCCTCCGGTTCAGTGCGGCTCCGCAGGTGGCCAACACTCTCGGCGCCTTCACCGTCGGCGTCCTCGCCAACCTCTACTCGCGTATCCGCCACGGAGTCGCCGCCGCCACCCTCATCCCCGCCATCTTCACGCAGGTGCCGGGAGGTCTGGCGTCCACGGGTGGCCTGCTCAGCGGTCTGACCACCGCCAACAAGATTACGAATTCCACGCACGAGGTCAGCGGCACGACCTCCGTGCAGTACGACGCGACCGAGATCAACACCGTCGTGTTCAGCGTCGCCGCGTCCATGATCCAGATCGCCATCGGCATCGCCGTCGGTCTGTTCCTCAGCTCTCTCGTCATCTACCCACTTGGTAAGCGCCGTAGCGGCCTCTTTAGCTTCTAATCGTCTGCAGCACGCATGTGCGAGATATTTTGCTCCTCCATTATTTTTTTTATCCATGTGGGCAACCTGTCCCCATCCTCTCCACGCAGAGCCATGTCCCTAGAATCCATTCAATTTGGATCATTGCATGTAGGTAGCAACCAGTAAGGCTGGACGACGTGGTCACCGCATCGTCCTCTATGCCATCCATAGCCATTTTCAGCGCCAGAAAACAAGCACCAGAAACCAGAAAGAAGAAAGGAAAACAGCTGCCTAGAAAAAAAAGTTTTTTACCAGATATTTGTACGTCGGTTATGAAAAGCAAAATATAGCAAGAGGAGTTCGGGACGGGGCAGATACAGAACCAAATAGGTCATAATGATTACAGGATTTAAGCCTTGATTGGCCTTGAACTTGATATCTTTTTGTCGCTTGACTACATGTCGCCAGTCGTCGTAACAGGGATGTAGTCGCTGGCTCGTCTCTGAGTCTCTCCTGTCTAGTATTCGCGTAATTCCTTGTACTAGAACATGGACCAATATTCGGGTCATTTTCTGTCTTGGAAGCATGTTGTAGTTCATTCAGCCGCAGAAAAACACATCGAGACGATATAATCACGAAGCTGAGCAAACAGATGTCAAAGACAGCAGAAACAGCGAGGAAACTGATTTCAAGGTAAACAGTCATTAGTACATGGCGATCTTAAATGGTCGTAGGGGAGCCAGAGCAGGTCAACCCTCATGTGCTGCAGGACCTATGTTGAGTATTTGTAGACTCGCATTTGGCCGATTAAAGTAGAGATTTAACTGCACAAACTCCTTGCTAGTGGCATCTGGGGAGAGTCTAGGCTTAATGATAGTTACAATTCATTAGGCAGGTGAAGATCAAAACTGCTAGCACCCTCTGTCAGGGCAAAAGACTGATGCTGAAGGTGATTCATCACATTATTCCATAGGAATAGGCAACTCGTATGAACTCTTACGTTTTCAAGGGAATATTTGAGCATGAAAGACTTGCCTACATCTGGCATAATTCGCCCAAGTCTTGAATACTACATGACGTCAGACCTCTAATGATTCCCTCTCGCTAGTCCCAGTCCAAGTGGTGGCGGGCCCACCGAGAGCGAGTTTTAAACGTCGTAAGATACTGAGCATGATGACCAGGGTAGATGGCGTGAACTGCTCTGTAAACCTTGTTTCTTCCATTGTTGTCAGAATGTCCAGCAGATAGAGTACCTGGTAAGAGCCGAGGTCAAGAAAAGGCGTCTTGAGTAAACTGGATGTATCGGCCACGAATAAATCGGATACACTGAGGCGTAGAGAGAGAAGTGTCGAGTGAGTCTTGATTGCATTATTGCCCGTGGCGCTGAACCTACCCATTCAGATTATTTTCCGGAAGGAATCGATGCTTTCGATCAAGTGTTAATATCCTTGGTTCAGAGTCTTCCATTAGTTCAGTCTTCTCTCCCGTTATACTATTTTCTCTTCAAGCCAGAGATGCGTTCGGTACCGTGTATTCGGTAGAAGCCGCTGAATCAAATCCCGAAGAGTGGTTCGGCCATCATATCTGTTCATGATGTATTCGTTCTCGAACACAGGCCGCATGGAATTAAACGGCAAACAATATGGTGTGCCTTCCAGACCGTCAACCGCAGTGTGGCCAGCCACGTTGCTTCGAAAACGTTTCACGCAGCTCAGTTGCATTCGATCACATAGATAAAAAGCGTTTCGTAAAGAAGAATTTCACCTTCAATCGGCTCTGTTACCAGGCTTGTTGCACCGGGAATCATCAAGGCGCGTTCCTGGTTCGAGACACATGTGGTTCGCTTTCAAAATTCCTGTATTGCGGATAGCACTGACTGTTTCACAATGTTAGGTCTTACATTGAACAATCCTCATGAACTGGGAATTTAAACCGTTTTCCCTGACCTTTTGCTTTGCATCTGTAATGTTATTTGTGCCAAACCGGCAGTCACAAATATGAGTATCTACACGCTAATAGTTGAGAACACTGAGGCCATAATGTTGAAATGGGACTAGTTAATTAGGCTGTGGCTCTACTCTTCAAGTTTAGAAGAAAAGATACTGCTCAAGCTTGTCGAACTAAGATATACTTGATCGCTGATGCGCACTGACAACAGTGACATATCAGAGGAAGCTATGCATGAGCAAAAGAGCAAATGCTTGGGGATAGCCACGCCGAGAAATCCGTGTAGTGTGATACGATACCAAAGTCGAGCCCGCAAACGGATCACGCCATGTGTATATGGTCTTGCCCCAAGGAATTTCTTCTCCAGCGTTCGGCCAACTGCTGTATTTCTGTGCCACCTGTCTGGCATGCTTGTGGCGACATGTATGGCCTGGGCAACCTCCGAGACAGATGGTTTCGGAAGGTTAGGACTTCGGGCTTCCAGCCGCTGTAGCCGACCAGCGAAAGCAGCAAAGTACTGTCTTGCAGCCAATGCTCAACTCTCGAGCTTCCAAAGTAGTTTGCGACAGGTCAACGTTCCCCGCCTGCTGGGCACGGCAGAAGCTATGATGATGATTTCTCCTGTGATATTGTAGGGTCTAAGCAAGGCCATCACGGGTCTCTATCTCAAGACTACGCCGTCTTTATGAGCAAACATACTATAACTTCCAAGTTCTTTGCGTCTAAGAGAAGTATAATAAGGCACGAAAATAGTAAGCAGCGAATAACTGCAGCATCTTTAATAACCCATCAGGCCAATAATCAACACCATTTTCCGTTGGCAAGGTCGCGTGCTACAACAACGACTTGGAACCGAGTGCGGTTGTATTCACTGGTGACAGTTAACTTCGCATGCGGCCTAGGGGATAGAGATGACCCAATTCTGGCAGAAAGTGGAGCCACAGGCCCTGTAAGTTTTTGCACGGTGGTTGGCCTGGCTGCATTTAGGGGCGCCCAAATGCCTTACTGGCAAACGGAAGCGTCAATGTACGGTTCTTCGTTGAACTCCCCCGCATCATTGATGCCCCAATGCGGAAAATGACCGCTTGTGTACACGATGGCATAGAGAATTCATAACCATTAACCAGAAACGGTTGCACAATTGCAGTTTCCGCGTCGGTCCGAGGCCGTCGAGCTGTAATGTAGACTGAGCATTCTTATCCAAGTCGCCTGAAGGCGCGACATGTAAAATGGTTCATCCCCAGCTCCAGGAATCTGTTTAAACACACGACTTCCAGCCAGGCAACGGAACCTCAACCGAAGCAGGGGAACAGACAATCATGGACAACAGCCACATCACCTGGGTTGATAAAGGAGGGAGGGTTCTGAACCTCGTCGGACAGGTTCCTGTCAAGATCAGCCGTGCTGGAGCTTCACTCGTTAGGCCGCGACAGAACTCCTGGGCTCACCTACCGCCTACACCGCAACGACGCCGTTCATCCGTCGTAACGGCCATGCAGTTCATCAACCCTTTTTCCGACTCACGCAGGTCGCTCGAGTTCGGACGCTACCGAGATTTTGACACAGATGAACCCGCTTTTGTCGCTACTATTCGGTCGGCGAGGAACTCCGTCTCTTCCTTCGTCAACGATCTTCACGTCGGAGAACACCCCTGGTGGGACAAGTTCTTCCAGCTCCTTCTATACCTGAGGACCATCTTGTTCATGCTGTTGCCCACCTTCATACTCAGCCCTATAAGCCACTTTTGCAGCAGATCAACCAAACTTTCACCCCCAAAGCGCCTCAGACCGACGGCCTACCTCGACGGTCTGCGCGGCGTCGCGGCATTCACGGTCTACGTCTATCATTTTACTTACTTGTGGTTCCCGAAGCTCCGGCAGGGCTATGGCTCAGATGAGGATAACATGTGGTTCTGGCAAAGGACGATTATCAAGATCTTCCATTCTGGCCGGGCCGGTGTCACCATCTTCTTCGTTGTATCCGGCTATATTCTCACGACCAAGGTCCTCGCCATGATTTACAAGCGCAAGACTGACAAAATCGTTTACAACATTTGCGGCTCCGCGTTGCATCGCCTCCTCCGACTTTACATCCCCATCATCGCGGCTACCTTGCTCATGTCAATAATCGCCTATTACGGCTACTACTTCAAAGACTCTTCAGCCATTCCAATGCCATCCGTTGCCAACAACCTTCTCGACCAGATCAAGTACTGGTTCTGGGGGATTTTGAACTTGATCAATCCTTTCAATACCATCATCGGCCGAGACGACACGGGGCGCATGGCTTATGATGGGCATCTGTGGATTATCCCCATCCAAGTGAAGGGCTCCTTGCTCGTCTTTACACTCCTTCTCATGTTCTACCGCGTCAACAGGTGGATACACATTTCAGCTACGACCCTAACTAGCTGTTTTCTTATCTATTTCGGAGACTGGGACGTCGCTCTCTTCCCCATCGGTCTCCTTCTGGCGGAGCTTTTCTACATGGTCCCGCCCAGCATGCCGCAGGATGTCCTGCCAATGTGCAACATGCGAATCGGCCAAAAGGCGGTATTTTGCTCTCTCAAAGCCATTCGTCATTTGTGGACGATTATTGCATTCTTCCTCGGTATTCACCTCATGTGCTACCCCGAGCTTAAGGGCTCCTGGACTCCAGGATTCATGTGGCTCTCCTCGCATGGTATTCCCGCGTTCTTCCGTGACAGGGACGACAGGACCCAACTTCACTGGAATGCCGTAGGCTCCATCGTCGTCCTCCTCGCGCTGATGTACTCCCCGCCGGTCAACTTCAGCAACATCTTCAGACGCAACATCCGACTGCCGTGGTACCGAACCCATCCGGATCTCGAGGAGGAAGACAAGGAAGAGATGGAAGCGGCGTCGTCAGCTGCCACCGCCCCCCGGTTCTCTGAAAAGGAACCGATGCGCCGCGAAAGCAGGTCCGAGAGCGTGGCTTCTGTCTTTGTCGTGACAGACGAGGGCGAGCCTCTGCTGCAGCGGCTGTTTACCGCCAGGTTTCCCCAGTACCTGGGCCGCATTTCCTACTCCCTCTACCTTTGGCACGTCGTCGTAAACCACACCATTGGCATGCGGTGGCTGATCCCTGCGTGGGATTCCCTGATGAGGACAGAAGCGGAACTGGCGGATCCTTATCAAGCAGGCACTTCAGACTCTGTCGCTGCGACGATCCACAAAGCCCAGAGAAGCTATATCCTCGCGTTCGTGTGGGCGAGTCTAATCAATACCTTGGTTCTTTTGTGGGTGAGCGATGTGTTCTACCACTTGGTTGACGATCCTGTGGTGAAAGGCACCCGTTGGGTCGGAGAGAGGTGCTTTAGGGAAAAGACGACGAACAGGGACTAGGACTGCGTAGTATCAGTGCGTGATTGTCGGGGTTTTTATAACTACTAATAATATTGTCTCAGAACATACACAGGAGAAGGATTGGACTTGTAAAGTTACCTTAATTCAATAAAAGTTGATTTACTTAGTCTTATGGTCAGCCAATGTCTGTAGTCCCTGAGGATAACACTCAACCAGTCTAAGTAATGAATATATCCGCTCCAAATGTCTCATAGTAGTTTACATGTGCCAATTATAAGATTTCCGCCCCAGAAGTTAAAAGTGCAGCATAAATCAAGCCGCAGTAAACCCACAACCCGCCTTCCCATTCTCCTCTGCAACCGCCCGCGCGGCGCATGCTCCCTTCGGACCAGCACAGCATCCTGACGCGCAGTCCGCATCAGAAAGACACTGCCCAGTTATGAACTGCTGTCCGTTACCCTTGCCGACGTTCTGGGAACCTGGCGCTCCTGACGTTCCCGCACCGGCGTTGGTTCCGTTACCCGGCGCTGCTTCCATGGTCGGCGTTGCTTGGCCGGCTCCCTGCGAAGCATCTGGAGCAGCGACGGCACCGCCATCACCGAAGCCGCACCCTTGCTTGCCTGCTTGGAACTGGGCTCCAACTCCGGAACAGATGCCGGCACCGCTCAGGGAAGCACAGCATGCGGAAGCGCAGTCCTTGCTGGTCAGACAGGCGCCGCCGATGAACTGAGCACCCTGGCCATTGCCCACATTCTTCTCTCCCGCTGGGTCTGGCGTCAGAGGGCTTGGGACAGCTAGGACGGTGGCAGCGACTATGATTTGTTTGTTAGTTGACATCCTAAGCAAGACAAACCACAGGTATCGAAATACTCACAGATTGCTGCGACAAGAGAAAAGCGGACCATGATGAAGACGAAGAACGAAAAGAAAGCAACAGTATTATCAAAATACTTGGTTATTATTGGAAAACAAGTGTATGGATAGCTGCAGCCCTGCTGTTAATTCTGTAGTTTAGTAAACTCCCCCATCCACTCAACTCCGCGGACACCTGTCGTCTTAAATACCACGGCACCATTTTTCATTAGACGATCTGAACCATCGGCAAATCCGTCAAAGCTGCCAGCGCTTGCTGATGTCTGCCGTCCGTTCAAACTCTGGTTCAGCTCGAGATGCGACGCATTTCTGTCACAGGGGCACGGTTCTGGAACTGAGGCTGAGCATACGACGAGTGCTAGTCGCCGGCTGCTGATGCGTGAGAAAAGTCGACCAACATTGCGGGCTACCTACCGCTCGGCGATTCTGTTCCTTCAGACAGTATGCTGCAGGCAAAAACAGTAAAAAAAAAAACGTAACATAGCGCAAAATCAACCAGTGAGGTCGTTGAGGCTGATCTATGGGCACTGGGCCACAGACCGAGGCCGTCCCTGTCGGGCCAATGTTTCGGATGACATCCAAACATCGGAGTACGGCACACAGGCCCCCAAACAACTCGAGCCCCTGACCCGAACCCTGGCCAACGACAAGCTGAAGAATTCCCTCGAGGAGGAGGGAAACGGGAATAGACGTGTTTTGCAATTTTGGGGTTCTCTTCCCTTGCCCATGATCTTCCTACGATCCAGGTTTCCCTGCTTTCCGCAGATGTCCAGACCGACCGGTCAACCACGGCTCTTGATTCGTCTGTCGTCGTGTTTTGGTCCGCGCCAGCATTGCGAAACCGCAGACGCTGTCAACTCGGTAAGCTATGCGTCCGATGTTGGTGTGTTTGAGCTGGAGGTGCCCCTATTCGCGAGATCCATTTTGTACTGCGATGTAGGCCGAACTTTCAGGCCATCAGCTTACTTGCGGGGGGAATGGATCGTTAGCTGAGGAGATGGTGCGGGTTGGAGTTTGGTCAGCCTCAGAGCATGAATATCGTGACAAACGCTTAAACAAAACAGGAAGTATACAGAAAATTTCGTGATCCTTGAATATGGAGTTATGGCGCTCCAGTGAAGCTGGCTACCTGTTCACGACGCCTGTGTCACAGTTCTGAGTACCTCTGGAAATAATCCTGGCAATCGAATGACGACTGAATTGATCTGGAGAGCTCTCTATGAAGTGGGCTTTTGATGGTTTCTGCTTTGATGTCTTCATCATTACGCAAGGAATTTGATAGGAGTGAGCGATTCGTGGAACCCCTGGTTTTCCTTCTCAACAAGATCAGCAGAGTTTGGAGGTTAAAGGGAGAGGACCAAGTGGTGCCCTAGGAGCAGTAAATGCAGCACAGGGATGATGTTTTTGACAGCTTCAGGGGATGGGGGCCCTGTCTTCCGCGAAAGCGTCCCTGACTAGTGCTGTCTTATCGGTCGCAAGCCCCTACTGGTAACCTGCAAAACGGCTTTCGTTCAGGAGCCTTTTATACTTACAGTTACTGCCAGTCTATAGAAAGGACAGGAATTTATCCAAGAGAAGTGTTATTCAAAGAATTATTAGAGTCTTTCAGCCCCTATTTTTTTATCCAAGGCTTCAAGCCTTTGATTTAGCAAGAAATAAACTTACAAGTACATTTGCTGATTAACAAGATAACTTTAAATTTGGTGCATGCAGCAACACTCATGCAACTGAGTCCACTGTTCCGGAAGAGTGACTCACTACATACAACACAATTCGGGGCGCTCTATGCATAGGATGAAGCTATCCGCGGGCTTATAATGCCTATCAATGACAAAATCGCTCACCGATCTTCCGTTTGAACGGATTTTCTTCTTTATTTATTTATTTTCTACCGTAATAACAAAAGCTTTCACATCTAAATTATTTTGGTTATCATTTACTGTTGGAGACACAGACAACATGAGCAAACTAGGGCAAGTCTTATTATGTCTGAATACGCGCGTCTGTACCTCTGTCTACCATGATCTGTCAGAGCTTACGAAGATTTGCCGTCAGCCTGTCGAATGCCCTCATGTCTAAGGCTAGCTCAATGCCTTAATCTCGTAAAAGTTCCATCTCTATGACTGACTGCACGAAAACTTTTTGTAATAACCACATCTAAGGCTATACTTGTTCCCCTTGTTGTCATTCTTGTCGTAGTCGTAAGTGACTCTTCTAACATTCCGGCAAACAGTACAAAAGTTAGGGGCAGCCCCGTTGACAGCAGCTCTTTCGAACAGATTATCGGCATTGCCACCGATGTCATCTTTACATGACTTGACAGTGAATCTCATCGCATTCTCTATTCCTACTGCGTCACCAGCGCTCCAGAAGTATGCACAGTCTTTTGCTGCTGCGAGGGAAGGTAGCAAAGCCCCGAGGATGAAAAAGTAACGCATCCTATTGAATTCAGTACTTTTTTCCATAGCTTGAATATGGACAACTTACGTAGCGGATGATTTGTGTGGTAAAAGAGCTACTCAGAAGAATCGTAAGGGTGGATCAACTGGCGACAGAAAAGTGTGCTTTGGACGAAACAGCAGATTTTGACAATTTTATATTACCTACTTGGTATCAAGCATAGCCATTCCTCAATTAACGTCCTGGGCTTTGTGAGTAATAGTAAAAGTTTAATATACATTTCAATTAATTTGTGTCTCGTGCCCAAGATTATAGTATTGCTAGTTCACTATAATGTGGGTATTTTATCACAAACTCAAAACTTAGGAGGCATATATTATATATAGAAAGGTTCACAACTATATTAAATACCTTCTCACTAGCTTGGCAGTGCTCTTGCAACTGGCTTTACTTGTTCATAGTAATTTCTAGAAGACGGCCTGAGAGACCACAATAGCAAGTCTGAGACGGTTGACACCCGGCATTCATATCAATGCTGTGACGTGTGGAAGAAACGCCTAGTTCTTCAGGTTTTCTAACAGAGGCTGATGTTGAAGAGATCCTTCGTCTCCTTGAAACAGTTGTGGACAAATGTACGGTAAACCTTTCTGCTTCGAATATCCCGTTCCGAAAGACAACCAAATTTGCGACTAGCGCAGAGCAACAGGCTGCGCCGCAAAACGCAACCTTGATTAATATCTCACCAATAGTCGTAATGCTCTTTTATGATGCGTACTGCATTATGAAACTTCGAACGGATTGACAAACTGTGGCAGTCGCAACTATTAAGTTAGGAACGTGAGTTATGCGGCCCGGCTAGGCTTTGTCCAACCAAGATCGTCGGATAGATGCTCCACACAACTCTAATGCACTCCGCCTTTTTAATCAATAGATTTAGTGAAGCGAGGCGGTAGTTGCAAAAGCCTGTTCAGGGTGTTGATTGATCGATTTAACTTTGAGTTCCTAGAGTAGTAATTAACTAGAATTTTGATTGACTGGAGCCGAATGACATCATCGGCAGGATAGCGCCATTCAGCGCAAGATCTGTTACACTAATAGACACAATGTGGCAAGCAATGACTGCTTTAGTCGCGACCACTCCAAGGTTGTGCGCTCGCTAGGCAATGAAGATCTCACAACGGCGTGTTGTTTGTTTTATTAATGCAAAATATTGTAGAGGTTGAATCATGATATTGAGCCGGAAGGTCTTGAAATCTGATCCATCCAGGCGAATGTCAGCTTGTTAGTTGTAGAAACTTGCATTGTGTGTTCGACGTCAGGCGCTGAAGTAACATTTGGGTGGATAACTTCAACCGGGAACGCTGCCTTCGCTGCCGCGACACGGGCCCATTGTATCCAAACATAGTGGTACATGGTGTACCTAAGTCCACAGTCCCTCTGGCGCCTGAGCTGGCAGGAAATAAGAATTCGTCAAGCACGTAGGATCGACGAAAAGCGGATAGCTGTGTCACGGCTTATTACGGAGAATTTTCCATGCATCCCAGCAGCGGCGCGGAATGTGGATATGTTTTCCGCGGCAACGAGTGAGCCGAAGCTTGGCCTCTTGAGGCCTGTGGTAGGTCCACCAGTTTCAATCCCAATATCCTTCTTCAATCAAACATGTGAGATGTTCCTAAGAAAAAACATGGTGCGAGTGCGAGGCGGCATACGCACGTACTGTATGTCTTGCCCAACGACGCATGTCTGCTATCGAAATCGGCCCCTGATCCTATGGTAGCACAGCTGATGCTACGGGGTTTGCTCCGATATTTTATTTACTTCCAGTCCCATCATAGTGGTTCTCCATTCAGACGACTAGCATTAACAAAGGCGCCACGAGCCAAGAGGCTTGCGATCAACGATGACAAGGTTTGTGGCATGCGCTAGCTAGAACTAAGCCGCACTCGGACAGATAGATATCTCTGTCTCCCACATGTCATGGCTGGCGGAGAGGAAACATCGCCCAAATGGTCTCAATGAAGTCTTCGAGACATGGTCTCTACCATTCCGATTTCGTTCCCTCTCATGCAAGATTCCTCGTTTTCATTGTCCTTCTTTCGTCGACTCGCCATTTGGATGCTTTCTTAAACTCGACGCACGCAGCCATCAATTGATGAAAGAGTCTAATGTGGTCGTCCGCTGCAATGTTTAGCCATCAGATCATCTCATTGGACCGATGGTCTGCCGCCACCTTTGTCACAGAAACTCACCGAATACTGTGGCCTTGCCTTGGCTTTCGATTACCACCTGTAAACCATCCTGGTCTCCGCATCGCTAACCTGGCTCTCGGGGCTTACACCTGCAGAATGCTCACCAGGGGCTCCTCCACCGCCAATCGACCTCCGAACGTCCGCCCGCTCTTCCCGTGTCTAGCCCAAGACATAGCTTCTGCGCCCTTTTGGGTGCGGGGATTTCGTGCCTCGAAAAGGGCCCTAATGGTGTGACATCCGGTCGTCTAGGTAATCCTGTGACCCCGCGATTTAGTTCAACCTGTGGCACCAATGGTCCTGTTGTCCTGTTACACAGCTTCTCCGCCTGTTCCGCCTTACCTGTGCAGAAGAAGCGAGCTTTTTGCAACATGGCTTCGTTACAACCAGACGTCGTGGTAGAACCAGATGATTTCAACGACAATGATTCGTCGTTGGGTGATGTGCGACCTCTCTTTCCGCGGCATTGTGTCGGCATGGCAGCAACACTAATCTTCGCGGCAGGATGCCACGTCGTCGACGGCGAGTATGAACAGCTCGATACTCGACTATCGCAGGGAGAACGGCCGCACATACCACAGATTTAGAGACGGAAGTGAGTAGTGATTGCCAGCCAGCAGTCTGTCAAGGAGACGGCAGACATGCTAACTTTAGCAGAGTACCACTTTCCAAATGATGAGGCGGAGAATGATCGGTTAGGTAACGACAACAATGTTTCCGACTCGATGTTTGAACAACGTTCTAACATTCTTACAAGACTTGCAACACCACATCTTCTATCTGTCGTTTGATGGCAGGCTCGGATTGTCCCCTCCCAATGAGGCGGATGCCAAGGTCGGACGTGTGCTGGACCTCGGCACGGGAACCGGCATCTGGGCCATGGATTATGGCGACGAGCACCCTGGTGCAGAGGTTAGTGATACAACTCCGCGCTCCTGAGCTAGCCTGACATTGAATCTACAGGTCATCGGTGTCGATCTGTCTCCCACGCAGCCAGAGTTGTCAGTAATTCGTCCTCCCGCACAACCTTGTTCGGATCGCTAACATTATGCAGCGTCCCACCCAATGTCAAATTCGAAATCGACGACATCGAGGACAGCTGGACCTACTCCCAGCCCTTCGACTACATCCACAGCCGCATGATGAACGCGAGTGTCTCAAAATGGGAGGAATACCTAGGTCAAGCCTACGCGTAACATTGCCCCTCCCCTATTGCTGTCATATCTTTCTCATAAACGACTAGAAACCTCAACCCGGGCGGCTGGCTCGAGCTCCAGGAGTTCAACCTCCCCCTCTCTGACGACGACACCCTAAAGCCAGAGCACTCTCTCTACCAATCGATGGCCTACCTCGGTGAGGCCGCTGCGAAGCTCAACCACGCCTTCATTGACCTCAACGCACTCAAACCTATGATGGAGGCCGCGGGCTTCGTCGACGTGATGGAGATGCGCTTCAAATGGCCCAGCAACACCTGGCCGCGCAACCAAAAGTTCAAGGAGCTTGGCGCGTGGAATTACGAGAACATCACCAGTGGTCTACAGGGGTTCCTTATGGCGTTCCTGACGCGAGGGCTCAGCTGGCGCGCCGACGAGGTCAACGTTCTCGCTGCGCAGACGAGGAAGGATGTCGGAGACCGAAACATCCACGCCTACTGGCCCATGTAAGCATTTGTCTCAACTTGTGTTATTATGCTTATAACTAACTCCATGTAGGATCGTTGTGTACGGCAGAAAGCCCGAGTGATGCTGGCTAGGCTAGAGCCATCCGGCGGGGACCGGAGAACGGGGCCGGGTGGATTCAACCCGTCTGTAGCGCACTTTCAACCCCGCCTTCCGGCCGGTCAGCCCACAATTCCCGGCTGCCCCGATCGAAAAATTTGACGAGAAGGCTTTCACGATGGAGAAAAATCTCTTCACGCTCAACACCGAGCCCTACCGCTCCACTTGGCTCTTATTGCGAACCCACGAGCACCGTCTTCAACAATTACAACTCGCAGGCCTTGCTAGCTCAATCGGTAGAGCGTGAGACTCTTAATCTCAAGGTTGCGGGTTCGACCCCCGCGTGAGGCTCAATTCCTCTCGTCTGCTTTCCTTTTGCCTTTTGTTTTGATACTTTGGTCTCGTGGTGGGGATGCTTGACGTCGCAGGGCCTGTGTGGGTGTAGTTTCTGAGCTTAGGAAGGGTTATGATGCTATCTGTGCTTGTCATTAGCATTGCTTGCCACCTGTACGAGTCCCAGTCTCACCAAGGTTGCTTTTGCCACAGCAAATCATATTCTCTTCCTTGATTCTGTCGGTATGGGAGATGGCGTGAAAATCTGCCCGAACAATCTGACATTACTTGACAAATTAGGTCTCGTTTGCTTGACCTCCAACCAACATCCATCTGTGCCAAGCCTGACAAACATCCCAGGGTCCTGGGACCTTAAGACGCCCATGCTCTAAAATTCTCCCGCTGGAAAACTGCATCCCGCATTCCGGGGAACAGGTTTTAGTCTCGCACTAACACATACTCAGCTGTCTGCTGTAGATGCCAAACTTTTGTAGACAGGACGTTGCCCATGTTACAACGAGAATGTAGAGATCAGTAGGGGGACAGGGCCAATTGCTCAACCAATGACCTCTTGGTGCACTTGCAGAACCAACAGCAAACAAACTTGACTTCCATAACGAAACACAGTGGCGGCTGGTAAATATGCTGCCAAACATTGAATCCTTCCACCAGTCTGTTAAGCTGTAAATTTCGCCTCGCCGTGACGCAGCCGTCATTTGAAGAAACACCGCTTTAGTTGTATAACCCAACTACATGGACTCATGAACCAAACATCTCTCCCAGCCAGGGGCCCGGATCAGCTCCAACTGACCGGAGAGACAAACAAATCAGCCGCAATGGTGCAACCACACCGATGAAGAACATGCCGATTCCTCCTTAGGGAGGTTGAGCTGGCAGCCAACAGAGAAACCGAGTGATAATGAATTTAAAAAGACTTGGGTTCTTCGGCCAAAGAGCAATAGGTGATCCATCCGTCCTGACAACGGCCAAAAGAACCTCACAAACCTCACGCAATCCCATGATGCTCCCAACTCAGATTTTCCAGGTCCGCCCTACAGGGTGGGCAACCGACCCAGAAGACGAATACTTCCCCCTCTCAACCCTAGACTACAGCGTCGCGCAAGTGTGGTGCAACTACGCCCTCTTCTTCAAGCTGCCCTCCGCCGACCTCGAGTCCCAGTTCCGAATCACAAACATCCTCCGGTCCGGCCTGGAGCGAACAATCTCCCAAGTCCGCCAGCTCTCGGGGACCCTCACGACGCACCCTTCCGGCTCGGGACTCTGCTGGCACAAGAAACGCAGCGGCACAGTCGCCTTCCACGCACAATGGCTCGATCCCGTAAATGCAAACCACAAACTGCTGACCTTTGACGACCTCGAAAGCCGGCACTTCCTCGGCAGCGCCATGGGCGACCCCGAAATGTGGTGCGTGCCAGGCTTCCTGGGCGGCGAACGACCGGAAGCGACGCCCGCCCACCGGCCCCGAGCCGCCGCGTACAAGGCCACCTTCATCCCCGGCGGCATGGTCTTCATGATGCACCATCACCACTTCTCAGGCGACATCATGGCGTGGTCGGGACAACTGCGTCAGCTCGCGTCGAACTGCGCCGCAATCTACTCGTCCTCCTCTAGAACCCCCGGCACGCCATCGCCGGCTTTTATTCCCTGGGACCCGGCGAGTCTCGACCTCTCACGGGTGACGAAGCCTGACGTCCCCGAGCCCCAGCGCGTCACGGGCCCGACGCCGCCGCAGCGACACCCCGCGCACCGCCCTTCCCAACGGCTGCTGTTCCACTTGCCCAAGAGCAAGATCGCGGACCTGAAGAAGCTGGCGACCCCGCCGGCAGACGACGGCACGGGGCGCTGGGCATCTAGTTACGATGCTTACATGGCGTACATCTGGCGCGTGTTATCCAAGCACAAGACGCAGCTGTACAATTGGGACCTGACGGAGCCGTTGCTCTGGGGCGAGGCCATCGACATGCGCCGCCGGTTCCGCGATCCCCCCGTGCCGAGAGATATGCAGGGTAACGTTGTATTCGTCGCGATCAGCAACAGAAGCGAGGTGCCGCAGTTTACGGCGGAAGAGGTAGTTTCTTCTGCGCAGTTTTGGAAGCTGGCTTGGTACGTTTTTCCAGGCCTGAGAAACTATTCAAAGACAAAAAAAAAAAAAAAAAAAAAAAAAGGAGGTGAACGCTGACTCGACATAGGTACATCCGCCAACTCACAAACTCCGCCACTCAGGAATCTCTCGATGCGACACTCACCGCGCTGGCCCCCGTCCGCGACAAGACGACTCTCTTCTTCCGTGCCGACGCGTTCCATCCGACGGGCAGCTTGTCGACGGACTGGCGCGACGCGCGGCCCTGCGAGGTTGACTTCGGGTTCGCGCGCCCGTACGCCTTTCGCTGGCCGTTCGAGACGGTGCAGTCTAATATGTGGGTTACGTATCCCACCCGCGTCAACGGGGCGCCGGCGGGCGAGGACGAGGGCACGGAGCTCAGTCTGCCTGTTGAAAAGGAGATTGTAGCGGCGCTGTTGGAGGATCCGGAGTGGAATAGGTATTTTGAGTTTAGGGGGGTTGAAGTTGATGATGGTGAGGTGGTGATAGAATCAGGAGAAGTTGTTGATGGGAAGATCAAGATTGATGTCGAGACGAAGATTGTGGAAACTGTTGCTTTGTAGACTATCTATTGGGTGTTTGTTAGTTTTCTTGATACTGTAGCCAAGTCTTGGACTTGAGGTCGATGGATACGAGACTCTCGGGAACCCTAAGTGCGAAATAGCTGTCGAATACCACTTGATTAGATTTCAACTTCATACTGTAGTCACAACTTAACTTCACTTTGCAGACCGTGAGGGAATAATCGTGGTATCATTTTATCTTATCCTAACAGATTGATGTATGGCTCCGGCCACTTGCCCATCAACAACGGCCGATCGCCAAGCCTGCCACTCACAGGCGCCAGAATCCTCAGTTTGCGCTTCTCCTTGTCAACGTCGGCCACGTACACGTAGCCCATGACATTAGCGGACCTGATCGTCGCGGGACTGTCCTTAACCGAGGCGTACATTACAGCGAGGGTCCAGTGCGCCATAAGCTGAGCTGGGTCCACGCGCATGAGGCCGTCGTCGGCCGCACCATAGAGGGCGTCTGCGGGGGTGGTCAGCATAGTTAATGCCGTCAGAGGGGGAAGCGCGCTTACAATCGCCAAGCCTGTACATAGTCAGGGTATCAAAGTCGACTTGCTGCGTGGCGGGGCTCAGCGTGCGACCGATACTGCCAAAGAAGTACTCCTTGATCGACGCCTCGCAGAGCTGCTGCATGAACCCTTCGTCGCGCTCAACTACTCCCTCGGACTTGTCCAGCAGAACAATGCTGTACTGCTCGCCGAGGCTCGTCTTCTCCGCGGAAAACCTTTGCTGTACTTCCGCGTTCAGGCTGGAAGACCCCAATACAATGATGATGTTCACTGCCAACCGTCAGCTCATTTCCCAAACTCAACTCGAGGGGTCGGTGACTAACCAGATAGCTCCTCCACGACGTGCGCAAACAGATCCATGCCGGCATTGCTCTTCTCGCTCAGCCCAAAGGTATCAATAATCATGCCCGAGCTCTTCACCTCCGGATCCTGCGCCAGCCTTGACGTAACCGTCGCAGCCATCTTACTTATAAGCTGACGGTACTTGGCCGCGTCGTCCTCCGCATTTGCGTGGCCGTAGTAGTACACCAACGGCAGCTTAACCGGGACCTGGCTCGGACCGCTCGTCGGCGTGGTACCCCAGCCGTCCACGGCCTCGACGTCCAACACGCTACCGACGACACTCGCGCTCAGGGTGCCGGGCAGGCTCAACATGCCCTCCTTCGGATCCACGTTCACGACGAGCGGCTGCGCACCAACCCTCGTCGCATAGCTTGTCAGGGTGCGTGCCAGTGAAGTCTTGCCGGCTGTATGGGGGCCGCAGATAGCGATCCTTGGTCCCTCTTTCCTCTCGGCGGCGGCACGCTGGCGCATGGCGGTGAGCTGGAAGTGCAGGTTCAGATACGCATTCGCCGGCGAGTCTTGCGGTTTGTGATATTCGGCTACGAAATCATCGGCTGTGCTGCCGTCGACTTCGAACTCACACCCCTGAAGGGTGAGGATCTTGGACTTGACCCCGGAGAAGGTGTAGACATGCTGCAGGGCGAGCTCGGTGCCATCCTTCTCAGCGGTGCCGGAGAGGAGTTTGAATGTGATTTCGGTGCCGAAGGCGACTTCGAAGCGCCATTCCCAAAAGGGCTGGAGCCTAATTGATCGGGTTTGGTTTGCGTTTGCCTGTTGCTGTGCGTATGATGCTCGGTCAGCTATGTACAATTGCAAGTCGTGGATTTCTATGGTCAAGATCAGATTCGAGGCGGACAGCACTACTTACCGGCACTGCAAGCTGGCCCAAGCCAGGAATCGACATACTGGACTATCTGATGATCATTGGGGAAGTTCAAAAAGAAATTGTTGCAGCCGCTGTGGGCGTTGCAGAGTTGCGATGTGCAGATCAATGGAGACCCCGAAAAAAGTAGTCGTGCGGAACTGTTTCTGGCAACGCCGCTAAAGTCTCAGGACCACTGAAGCAGCTTGACATCACAGGTCCAAGTTCCAAGCTGGTCCGTGCGGGAGCTCCAGCAGCGGGGAGGAGGGATCGGTTTATTTGGCGGGGCTCTGATATTCAGGGCATGTCACCACTACGGCACCACCATCTTTGGGTGTTCCTGCATTCCCCAAGTCGAACGCTCCAGCCTGGTTCAAGAGTAGCTGAGTACGTAAGCTAGATAAGATAAGAGATCCAACGTTCTAAGTAATGCCGAGTCAGCTGGCCAAGGCATTCTTCACCAAATGCTATCTAAATGACTAGTAAACTAACGAATAACCAACAACACTTGTACACCACTGAATCACGCCCCAATGTCCAGACTCGGGTAGTGATATTCAGGGTACCACCCACTGGAGGCCCCCCTACTAGTAAAGCACCAACCCCCCAAAGCCGCCGGCGACCTCCGAATCGGTCTCACATTCCTCCGTCCCACCCAATGATATCTCCCCACTGACCTATCTGCACACAATTACGCAAGCCCCCACGCCTCTCGAGCTCCGCCACCATTCCCACTGGTTCGGTTCTTCGCTGCCTGCTGACCTCAGTGAGGCCGTGCCAGACGTCACCTAACTTGCCCGTTTCGCCTTCTCGCCAACTACACCCTCGACCTCAAATACCGAATACACAAACCGTTATTAAACAGACAACCTTAGAAAAGCCTCCGCTCACCTTTATTTTTTTCCTTTTTTATCTATACTCACTTCACGTTCAACATGTGTTCCGCAGACATCTTCCTCGGCCTCCTGGCCCTCCTCTTCCCGCCTCTACCAGGTACGTCTCAACCCACCCCGCATCGCGTGCGCTATTCCACCACGCCTCGTGCTCGAGTACTAACAAAACGGCCACAGTCTGGGTGAAGCGCGGCATCTGCTCAGCAGACTCCCTGATCAACATCCTCCTCTGCCTCCTCGGCTACGTACGTCCCTCTGTACCTGTCCCACCCCCCACAGTCGCAACCCACTAACACAACTAATCAGATCCCCGGCCTCATCCACGCCTGGTACATCATCGCAAAGTTCCCCGAGCCCGACTACGAGTATGAGTCCCTCGCCCAGAACGACCGCGAGGGCGGCCGCGTAACCTACGTCTTCGTCCACGGCAACGGACACCAAGCCCCTCACTCCCGCCAGCCTCAGCAGCAGCCCCGTCCCTCGCCCCACCAGCAGGGCGGAAACGTGAGCTACGGCACCACGAACAACAACAACGACAGCAACAAGAACAACGCCGGAGCTCCCAGGCCGCAGCAGGGCGGTGGTGCCGGCGAGGGCAGCAGCGACGGCGCCGTGCCGCCTACCTACGCCCAGGCCGTTGCCGGCGACAACAAGATCCAGACCCGGGACTAAAGAGCCGTGTGGATGATTGGGTTGGACGACGCATGAGCTTTTTCAATTAGACCGCGGTCTCGTTCAACCCGGGATCTCGTATACTGCAGCCGTCGAATGGGGGGGCGTCTTGGATACCCCATTTCAGTCAGGCCTATGTAAATTGGTTTTGGATTTCGGCGAGAATGGAACCTTCTGCGCCTTTTGGGCGTTTAGGTTTTACGAGGTACTACGCTGTGTACGATTTTACGGTTAATATGGTGCAAATAATAGCTACATTTTTTCTTCACGCTGAACTATGTCTTTTTGCTCTTTTGTGGTGTGGGGTATCTGATCTATCACGACGAAACACCGGCGTCCCCAGTCTGATCTATAGAACTTTAATGCAAAATGTCGTCGGCTCGGTAGCATCCGGCCGGTGCATTTGCATTCTGTATCCTGCTGCCTTCATTATATCCACGGTAATCATTTTACGGATGGCCATGAACCTCGTCGCCAGGGATTCCAAAGCTAGTCGGTTGAATTCTTCTCTGGTGACTTATCGTCCTCGCCATCATCAGGATTAGTAACGCAAGGAGCAGGGCGGTCGTTGGCAACAGGCTCTTTGAAGTGGACCATGAGAGTTTGAGGTAAGAAGGTATGCCAACTAACCAGGACCGCTCGTGCCTGTTGAATGAACGACACGCCATTGTCGAGTCGCACGACGCGTAGCTGCAACTTGAAGCCGGGTCTGAGCCTGGCGAGGATGCTGTCGTCAATGAGGAAGACTTGCGCATCTTGTCCTCCGCTACCACCGCCGGCATTGCTTTTGTGGTTGTTGGAGTTACAGTCTCTTGCATATCCGTGATCGTACCCATCCTCTACCACACATGGCTGGAGAACCAACTTGCCCAACGCAGCGAACCCATCAGGCATGCTTCCTTCAATCGTAACTGTTCTAATAACTTGACGGAGCGAATGGCTTGCTCGGATAATACTGACAATTTCCATGTTGCAGTCTTCTTCACTAATAACCTTTAATGTCTGGGGGTTTCTTGCTGCGTGAATCATCGAGGTGCCTGTCTTCTCATCAACTCCCATTCCGAGCATGCCAACAGCCATGGCCAGCTCGACAACAGCGGCGGGGCTGAAGTTTCGGGGGCGTTGAAAGCCGGCTTCATCATCAGCAAAAAAGTTGAAGTCCTCGCAGAACAGCTCCGAAAGTGCCAGGTTGAATTGACCGGGGAAGCGAATCAGGGCTTGATGGGTGAGGGGAAGGTCAATCTTGGCTCTGTTGCAGACGGCAAGAGCCTCTTTGATGTTGTCATCATACTCGGGGCAAACGTCGTGGTGGAGGACGTAAGAGAGGAAGTTCTCAATCAAACCGATGGCCTTGCCCATGCGAGGATACTCCCAATTGGTCATGGCAGGGAGAGTTTCGGAGCAAAAGCCGGCTACAACTCCAGCAAAATCGATTTCCCAACCGCTGGGCTCATCGGCATTGTAAAACCGGCTGCCGCCCCCTGAGTTGTATACGGTATCGATGGCAGTCGCGTTTCTGCGTTCTTCGGGGGTCATACCTACCATGTCGGCCTCGTCATTGCCACCGAACAAGCGGGGAGACGTATCAATACCACCAAGAAAGAGATATTGGTTGAAAAGCTGAATAGAATCGCTGGTGTTGATACGGCGGCGGCAACGGAAGCGCTGGATACAAGCTTGGATGCGCCTATGACACTTATCGTGAGTACTTGGTGATATTTCTAGTATAAAAGATGTGAGGCAATACTTACTCCACGAAGGGAATGGTTCTGTATGTGTCATTAGCATATTTGTCAATATTACATACCTTCACGACACTCACGGGTTATATATATTCTCACGCTCATCCTTAGCCTCGGCAGGCGTCATGGGAGGGTCAGCATAGTACTCTTGATGAGGTTAGCCATGTAAATGATATCTGCAACGGAAAGAACGGTACCCTCGAAGCCAGTACCGCGATACTTGGGCAGGGCGGTTGGGCCACGGTCAGTGTTGCTCTTCTTGCTAGGCATTATGACCGTGTGAGCAGGTGTGTATGTTGTTGTGGGAAAGAGGATCTGAATCGTCAAATATAGTGATTAACTTCAAGTTGAACACTAAGTTGAGGTTCAGACGTTAGGGACTTTCCACTTCAAGTGCTGAAAGATCAAGATGGGAGTGGGAAGACCAGGTTTACGACAATGACAAGGTGAGGTAGGTGCGAAAAGATGAATTTCTTCAAGGAAAGAAGACTAGTAAAGCCACCTGCTTTCCCTCGCTTCAGTTCAGGGGATTTCCTTGTTAGTATTCTGCCAATATGAGGAAATAGAGAATTGACAGATCAACCCAGGCAACTCCTTCCTCATTCCTTCTTTCCATCTTCCCCGCAAGAGTCGATTAGCAACGTCGTATCAGCACAATAAACGACCCGACGATACTACAAACAGCGATCAAAAGACATTGAGAGGCTGTGGGGGCGTTGATTTAGTTTCTCAGTCACGTGTATAACCTATGCTATCTCACGTTAAGTAGATGTTGACTATCAAGTCATTCAAGTACAACCTCAAATGCGGTAAAAAGGAAATATGCTAATATTGCTATACGTGCCAACCAAATCATCTGTCATCTGGTTGTGTCTCGCAGATCAGCCCCCAAACTTCCAACTGAGAGCCAAGCGACCCAATTGCATATGGGGCTTCCCAGTTGTCGGAGGCCTGCGATGAGCGATCGCCAGCCAGACAACGCCCAGAAGCCAATCAAAGACTTTACCATGGGCCCGCCAAGGAGGTTGAAAGTTAGTTCACTGAGATGTTGGTAGTTTGATGGACGGTACAACAATGAGATGCTGGACGGCCGACCGATTTCGCCTAAGGCGGAAGCTGAGGCGGAGTATCAAGATGCATAGTGCTGCAGGAATGGATGGCGGCTGACAACCAGGCCAGGCATGCTCACATGGGCATGAGGGACGAAGTACGGCTGACCTGCCAGATCCTCTGACGAGCGTCTGCACTCGGGTGGATGTGACTTTGCTGGTTTGGGATTTGTTGCACTGAAGACAGCTGTAAGAATTCCATTCCAAATGCGAGTTGCATAGACTAAGCGCTCAACACGGCTTGGTCGTCCTTCAGCACTTGCTCAAGTACGGATAGTTGAGTCAATAACCCCCTCTCGCCTCTCAGTGATTCCTGAGTAAGATCTAGGTGGCAAGGGAACACGCTGTAGCCGATGTGTCGCGATGCACTTGTTTAACGTGCTTTCCAAAAACGGGCGAGAGCGATGCTTAGAGGAAACGTTTCGTTGAGATGGAAACCACCGCCGCCTCGTCATCGCATGCAGTCATGCCACCTCCGACAAGTGACCGGGTCCGAAAGCGAAAGATCCCGAAGATGGTGAGGGCAGCTCTATTTCTGGGTGGGATCGTGGCCGGCTGAACTCTTTTGTTCAATTGGAAGTACTGTCGTCTGACGCATCACCTGCAGGCTGCACATCACTCTATGTTTCCGGCCTCCAAATCCTTACATAGGATGGGGACTTTACCGTGCCTGGCGATCTCTTTACACTGACACAAACCTCCTTAGGAAGTGCCTCTGCCACGCCATGACAGATGAGCCGTGGCTGCGCCTAGCTATACCGCATCTTCATCGGGTTGAACAAAGGCGGACGAAGCATCTCGACAGGTAAGTAGAGTAAGGCACCCTCGACTCGGCCGACTGCGGCAGCAAAAAGCGGTCTCGGTGCTCAAGACCAATGGGCCAGCCCATGGATGGATGATTGCTCATTGCTCAAGGATTGGCTCGAGTGTCGAATGCCAACAGTTCGTGCCAGCGAGTGCTTGTGCGCCTCGGGGACACGAGTCGACAGGGGCCAACAGCTGAACAAGGCGGACTGGAAGGAGAACAGAGGACCATGCAGCTGGGTAACGAACAGCGAACGAGAAAGCGAAAACCGCGATCGGGATCTCGCGCGAGTAAGACCCAAGAAGATTCGTTATTCGTTGGTGGCTGAGTGGACGTTCCGCCACTTCTTTTACACCCGCCGCAGTAGTACGTAAGGTAGTATGAAGGAGTGCCACTCTCTCTGTAGGGGTCTTATTGTTTTCCTCTTTCAAACGAACAAGCGGAACGAAAGCGTGGAGGCAAGAGGGCGCCTAGGCAAGGGTTTCAGGGAAATGGCGCCGTTTCGTAGGCGGAGACCCCTGGAAAGAAGTGGAAAATGGGTTCTCCCCTCCATTCCTCCTCCCTTAGGGGGGCAGCTGGGGGGGCCACTTCCCTGCCTGCCACCCTCCCGCATTCGCGCCCCGGAAGCTTCTGTGGGAGGTGTTTGACTGGCCCAAGAGCAATCCCCCCCATGCTTGGCTGGCTGGTAGCTAGCTGTGTGGTTCGGCCTGTCAGGTACCTCTTTGGCGGTGATGGTACTGTATTGCGTGTTCCACCCAAAGTTACAGGGGCCCGCCCACTGTACATTATTACACCTTTAGGGAATAGAACGCCATGCGGAGCATCCGCCGCTAACAATCAAACCCAAAATATGCCATTTTGATTTTCCCCTCTTGCGCAGCCGCGCCAAATTTCGACCAGCATCGTGACTACGCCTCATTCTGTCTCATCTCACTCAGTACAGCGTAGTACTACGCGCACCGCTCTCTTCCCCTCCCTCCCATCTTAACCTTGTTTCTTTCCAACCTCTCTGTATTTAGATATATACCCCCCCTCTCGTTCCAGTTTCCTTTCTAGACTGTCGATCCACTCCTTCTATGCCTACATTGACATACCCTTGCCAAGCCCTCCAGTCTGCCGTTTGCCGATAGCTGATTTCTTGAGCGTCTCTGCCCTGTGCTTTTTCGCTCTCTTGTTATTGCCACTGCGTCACCGCTACCAACACCTGATACAGACCTCTTCGCTACATTTACCCCAACTTTTCCTTCCTGCGTTGCGCAAAGACAATCCTGGGATCCCCCTGGAGCCTCTCCTTCAGCCAAATACCTCTTTGAAAACCCACTAGTCGTTATTCTCTCCACCGCACCACCGACACAATGGGCAAGAAAGTGATTCCCTCTCGGTCTGATCTCGTTGACTACGGCCACACCGTTGCTGGACAGTGAGTTGTTTTTTTCTGCTGCCTGCGATTATGTCGCAGGCAACAGAAGTGCACATTGTTCTAACCTCACTGCGTCATCTTATAGTGCAGGAACCATGCAGGATGCCGACGGCGAACTCTTCATCAAGCCTTGTACTCAGGCGGAGATCGATTTCTACAACTCTGCCAACGACAGCCACCCCGAATTCGCCGAACTGATGCCCTTGTACATGGGCACTCTCCAGCTCAACGATTCCGCTGAGCTCAGCTCTATTGAAGATGGTGTCGCCGGCCCCGTCGCAACAGAAGCCGCCAAGGCGGAACTGACGCAGGCGGTTACTGGACAGGCTTCCACAGAGCAGCAAGACAAGGAAAAGTGGGTGCAGAACAAGTCGAAGAAGATCAAGACGGACCAGGCCGTGGTTCTCGAGAACTCGGGTGCCGGCTTCACGTCTCCCAACATCCTCGACGTCAAGCTTGGCGTACGCCTTTGGGCCGACGATGCGCCCGCTGAGAAGAAGAAGAGGTTCGACGACATTACCTCCAAGACCACGCACGGTCCCCTGGGCTTCAGGATCGCCGGTATGAAGGTGTACCGTGGCTCGTCGATGAAGTCCGAGCTGGATCACGAAGACTACAAGATCTACGACAAGGACTACGGCCGCGTCCACGTCAACACGGAGAACATTGTCGAAAACTTCCGCAAGTTCATTTTTAACAAGAACGCTGGCATCGATGACGAACTCGGCCAAGCCATTGTACAGGCATTCCTTCGTGACCTACGCAATGTGGAACAAGTCCTCTCTTCTGAGGAGAGCAGGATGTACTCGGCAAGCTTGCTGTTTGTGTTCGAAGGCGACGGTGACAAATTGAGGGAAGCCATTGCGCAGAACAACGCAGCTGTCGACCGCATCGAGGCCGACGAGAACGAGAAGCCTGGTAGAACTACCCTTAGAGTGGACAGTGGTATCGAGCTGATCGACCAAGATGCTGCAAACCTCGATGCTGACGACAACGACGACGAAGAGGACGGCCCTGCTCTGCCCAGGGTCTACTCGCTGAAGCTCATCGACTTCGCCCATGCGCAGTGGACTCCTGGCCAGGGCCCTGACGAGAACACGCTCAAGGGCGTGCGAAGCCTGATTGACATTTTCGAGAAGCTGGCGCAATAAGAGTCCAGCCTCCATCATAACGTTGGCTCGATAGAAATGCGGGGGCTTTGAGGCATAGCGGACCCGGCTCCCGCAGGCAACAAAAGTTTTACAAGTCATGATTTGTGCGATGACAAGGACCATTAGCAGGCATCTGACAAGCACGATTGCTTACGATCACAATACCCAGATACAGTGTGCGGACATGAGTGCGAATAGAAATCGCTCCTCAGAGGACAGTGGGCTAGCGTCAATGATAATGACCCGAGGATATATCATCACACTTGGCGTCAGGATTCTTTTTCAATACCATACACTATTTTATTTACAATCCCCCTGCTCATCTCCTGTGACCTAGTGAATGTAGATGACCCTTACCGTGACAGAAAATCTGAGGTTACCTCGCATCCGACACGGGACCTGCATGGAACCAATGCAAGATGATGCATTGGAGTAGCCATGAGACGGACGGACATTACCCTAGGTTGCGGGACACCCCACAGGGACTACGGCAACGGTGAGGTTACTCGGCCAATGTGTACGAATAATGTGGGTAGTGAAATGGGTAGAGGATAGCACCAAGCTTCTCGACTTGCGCTGCTTAGGATGTTATGAGTTCAATAATGTTGACCAGTTGTGAGAGCAATAAAGCCCAGATTAGGCCTAGTTGGTGAGTAGCTTACAGAAGAGATCGAAAGAACCACTGTTATTTTAAATCGATATTCACATGAAGAGTCTGGGACCTTCCAGTCGGTCTGGGGACAATGGTGGATATCTTCAACTATGCACACTAACGGCTGTCGGTACCTGAGGTACTTCTGCCGGAACGCGCCGCGAAGGCCGGCATGGCCCAAGCTTGCGACGCCACCGGAGAGCGGATAAATGGTTCCTCCGCAACTACCCTGTCAGTCTCGTCATGTCTCGTCGCGAAGCGTGCAGTGAACTAGTTACTCTTTTTTTGGCCTCAGCTCAGTGGCCATCGACGTTGAGGTCCTGACCCCAACTGCAGTTCCTCGTTCAAAAGAATAACCACAACCATGGATGACCTTTTGAATCTCGAGCTTTTGTCGCTCGTCTCAAAGGTCACTTCCGAATTACAGAACCATCTGGGCGTTTCCGACAAGACCCTCGCCGAGTTCATCATTGCCCAGCGAGTCGATTCCGAAGACTACGATGCCTTCAAGAAGAAGCTGGCCGCCCTGGGCGCCGACTTCCCGCCCAGTCTCGTCGAGAGTGTCGACCGCCTTGTGTTGACCATGCACCCGAAGCTCAAGGGAAAGGCGCAGAAGAACGGCAACAGCAGCGAAGAACAACATCACCATCGCAGCGCAGAGGAGAAGGAGCAAATCTTTAAGGGCCTTGCAGTGGCAGACAAGCCCGTCGCATACGATGGAATTGGTGACGGCGGTGACGCAATTGACGATACACTAGCATTACTAGAAGGGTTGGAGGGCAAGGCGAGGCAGGAGAAGCCTTCTACACGCAAGCGGAGTCGCAGCCCCGACGACGGTCGCGAGTCTAGGAGGAAACGGAGGGACCGGTCGAGGTCAAGAGACCGCAGGAAGAGAGACAAATATCGATCGCGATCGAGGTCCTTTGACGACTACGACAACGGCCCGTCTTTGAAGCAACGCAGAGGACGACGCAACTACGACGACGAGGACGACGATCGCTTCAGGAGGGCACCGGAACCCGAGCTCGACGATGCTCCCCAGCTACACAAAGTTTACAGCGGTCATGTCACTGGCATCAAGGATTTTGGCGCCTTTGTCAACTTACACGGTGTCCGCGGCAAGGTGGACGGTCTGGTGCACATTTCGAGGCTGGTGGAGGGACAGCGTGTGAACCACCCATCTGACCTCTTGACGAAGGGCCAGGAAGTCAAGGTCAAGGTCGTCAATATCGAGGGCAACAGAATAGGACTCTCCATGAAAGAGGTGGATCAAGAAACTGGCATGGACCTCCACCCCCAGGCGAGGATATCCTCAGGGGCCAATATGGAGGCGCTGGGCGGCGGCCGGAACGGAAACATGTTTGATAACGAGGTGATGCCGCCGCCACAACACCAGGCCGGACAGCGCCGGCAAAAGAAGCGCATGACATCCCCTGAGCGATGGGAAATCCGGCAGTTGATCGCTTCCGGTGTCGCCAAGGCCTCAGACTACCCCGATTTGGAGGAGGATTACAACGCAACGCTGAGAGGCGACGGAGAGATGGACCTGGAGGAGGATGTTGATATTGAAGTTCGAGAGGAAGAGCCTCCGTTCTTGGCTGGCCAGACAAAGCAGTCCCTCGAGCTCTCGCCCATCCGAGTTGTGAAAGCGCCGGACGGATCGATGAACCGTGCAGCCATGTCGGGTACGGCACTGGCAAAGGAGAGAAAGGAGCTGAAGCAGCAAGAGGCGGAAGCTGCGGCAGCGGAGGAGTCCAAGGTTGATCTGTCAGCTCAATGGAATGATCCCATGGCCGACCCCGACAAGCGCAAGTTTGCTAGCGATCTGCGGAACGCCAAATCCCAGATGGGCCAGAACAAGACCGAGGCTGTCCCCGAGTGGAAACGCGCGGTGGCGCCCAAAGATCAGTCATTCGGCAAGCGGACGAATTTGAGCATCAAAGAGCAGAGAGAGTCACTCCCTGTGTACGCATTCAGGGAAAAGTTCCTGGATGCCGTCAGAGATCATCAAGTCCTAGTCGTCATTGGAGAAACTGGCTCGGGAAAGACAACCCAGCTCACCCAGTACCTCGCGGAGGCCGGTTTCGCGAACGACGGAGTGATTGGCTGCACGCAACCTCGACGTGTGGCTGCCATGTCAGTTGCGAAGCGTGTGGCTGAAGAGGTTGGCACGCCGCTGGGCGAGGCGGTCGGTTACACGATCCGTTTCGAGGACCGCACCAGCCCGGCGACGAAAATTAAGTACATGACAGATGGTATGCTTCAGCGTGAGATCCTGGTTGACCCCGATCTGAGGCGGTACTCGGTCATCATGCTTGACGAGGCTCACGAGCGTACCATCTCCACCGACGTCTTGTTCGCGTTGTTGAAGAAGACGATGAAGCGTCGCAAGGACCTCAAGGTCATTGCCACTTCAGCCACGCTGGATGCAGACAAGTTCTCATCGTATTTTGACGGGTGTCCGATTTTCACCATTCCCGGTCGAACGTTTCCCGTTGAGGTGCTTTACTCCCGCGAACCAGAGTCGGATTATCTCGATGCTGCGCTGGTTACGGTCATGCAGATCCATCTTACGGAGCCTCCAGGAGACATTTTGCTCTTTTTAACGGGCCAGGAAGAAATCGATACGTCATGCGAGATTTTATACGAGCGCATGAAAGCATTGGGACCTAATGTCCCGGAACTCCTCATCCTACCCGTATACTCTGCGCTTCCCAACGAAATGCAGAGTCGTATTTTCGACCCTGCCCCTCCCGGGTGCCGAAAGGTCGTCATCGCCACAAACATTGCCGAAACCTCCATTACCATCGACAACATTTACTTTGTCGTTGATCCTGGCTTCGTGAAGCAGAATGCTTACGACCCCAAGCTGGGTATGGACTCTCTCGTTGTCACCCCGATTTCCCAGGCGCAGGCGAATCAGCGTGCCGGTCGTGCCGGCCGAACGGGACCCGGAAAGTGCTTCCGTCTCTATACTGAAGCTGCCTACCAGTCCGAGATGCTGCCGACGACCATCCCTGAGATCCAACGCCAGAACCTCTCACACGTTATTCTCATGCTCAAGGCAATGGGCATTAACGACCTGCTACACTTTGACTTTATGGATCCCCCTCCCATCAACACCATGCTTACGGCGCTGGAGGAACTCTACGCTCTCAGCGCGCTAGATGATGAAGGCCTACTAACCCGTCTGGGACGTAAAATGGCCGACTTCCCTATGGAACCCTCCCTGGCCAAGGTTCTTATCATCTCCGTCGACATGAAATGCTCAGCAGAGATGCTCATCATCGTCGCGATGCTCAACCTCCCCAACGTCTTTTACCGGCCAAAGGAAAAGCAGTCACAGGCAGACCAGAAGAAGGCCAAGTTCCACGATCCGCACGGCGACCATCTGACTCTCCTGAACGTGTACAACTCGTGGAAGCACAGCGGCTACTCGTCGCCGTGGTGCTTTGAGAACTTCATCCAGGCGCGGTCGATGAAGCGCGCAAAGGACGTGCACGACCAGCTTGTCAAGATCATGGACCGCTACCGCCACCCCGTCGTCAGCTGCGGCCGGCATACCCAGATCGTGAGGCAGGCGCTGTGCTCCGGATTCTTCCGCAACGCGGCACGCAAGGATCCCCAAGAAGGGTACAAGACGCTCATCGAGGGCACGCCGGTGTATCTGCATCCCAGCTCTGCGCTATTTGGGAAGCAGGCGGAGTGGGTGATCTACCACACCCTGGTCCTGACGACCAAGGAGTACATGCACTGCACGACGAGCATCGAGCCGAAGTGGCTGGTCGAGGCGGCGCCGACGTTCTTCAAGGTGGCGCCGACGGACAGGCTGTCGAAGAGGAAGAAGGCCGAGAGGATCCAGCCGCTGCACAACAAGTACGCCGGCGAGGACGACTGGAGGTTAAGTGCGCAGAGGAAGGCCGGACGTGGTGGTGGCGGTGGTGGTACGTGGGGTTAGTCTGTGTCACGGCCAGAAGCAAAAAAAAAAAGGAGAAAAGAGAAAAGGTGGTGGTGTTTTTTGTTGCTATAGTTTTAGAGAATATACCCAAGAAAGAAAACGCAGATGACGTATCTATTTCCGTCCTATCTGTCTCGTGCTATTTGAAATCTGTAAGCATTGCTTTTTCTTTCTTCGGCTTGTCTAGGTTTTATCATCAGGTGATGATGAGTGTCGTCGGTATCAGTTGTCTCGGTCGAGCGAAGCGAGAAGCCCCAAAACGACGGAAGACCGGCAAAAGACTTGGATGATGCGGGTAGAGAGAGAGCCAAGACGCCTCCAGTGAGCGGGCATTGACGTCGCGACTTTTCTGGATTGGGACTTTTTTAAGCATCGATTCATGAGGGCTTGGCGTGCGAGGGAAGGGGGAATGATACCCGCGGAGAAAAAAAGGAGATATGGGCGTAGGGCTGTTGACGGCGGGAAAAGCGAACTGGTTTGGATTTGACATTGCGGGCCGAACATTGTTCTTTTTTTGGGGGTCCGAAGTTTGCATGATTGTGTGTCTCTTTAGAGTTTCTCTACCTAGGTAAAGAGACTGACTCGTTTGCATATATGTCTTGGTATTATCACGTCCCTTTCTTCTTAACTGAATCCTTTATTCATTTATTTTTCTTTTCTTTTCTTCTGTCCTCTTGCGTCCTCGTCTCTTCGGGAACAGTTCACGAAACACACACAGTCAGGTTTCAAAGACCCCCTTGTATCCCCGTAGACGATCAATCAATGCCGAGCGACGGCCTCCGCTGCGATGGCTGGCGCAAGTCTCCCGCTGCGAGGCCAAAGTATAATGGGCGCAGAGCCGCCCTGATTCGGCGCGGAACAAGACGCGAGTGGGGGTTGGGTTGGGTGGTTCTTCTGGAGGGTCTCTCGTGATACGCCAAGAGTTTTGGGACGGTGGCACTCGTTGGGTGTCCGGTGTTTTAGACACGCTCGCTGTGTTTCCCCCCCCGGGGTTTTGGGGATTCTTACGCGTAGCTTTTATTCTGTAGGCGACGGAGTAGTCCGTCGAGGGACCGATTAATATAATCCGGACGAGATTCCCGCCCCCCTCTTTGCACCCCGTTCTCGCGGGGATGGTTTGTTTCTTGAGGGGGGGACGGATTAGAGTTGTGGAAGAAAAAAAAAAAAAAAAAGGACGAAAAGTTGCAAAGTTTGGATGGCATATGTCATCTTTTCTCTCTCATCGAAACTCTTTGTGATGTATCGCGGAAAACGACATTAGACGAAGATTGTATCAAAACGACGAAGCACGGAGTACGGATTGGTTTGACGGACTTTTACACGGCACACGATACCATCACCAAGATGCCGCGCCTAGCACTACACCACATCGCTGCCGTCGCGCTGATATCAGCGGGCATTGCGAATTTACCCTCGCTCGTCACGGCGGAAGATCTCGAGGCGGAGGATGTACCGCCCGAGTGCGCTCAGATGTGTGCGCCGATCGTGGAGTTGACGGGGCGATGCGACGCCATGACTGAGCAGAGGTTTGGAGATTTCGGCAAGAGATGGGATTCTCACCAAGTATCACAACGCACCAGCCGGAACAGAAGATACACGAGGAAAAGAAGTGCTGAAAAGGGGGCCCGGGAGAAGAGGCAGGAATCGGAAAGCGAAAGCGACAGCGACAGTGACGGCGAGGTCGAGAACTCGGGGAGGCCGCCGCCGGTGGCTGTGGCGGCGGCGAGGCAGGCTAATAAAGAGTGCGTTTGCGGGGAGAGGTCGTTTGACGTCGTTGGTGTTTTGAACTCGTGCGCGACGTGTATCGCGGGTAACGCGACGGCCATCGAGGCGAACGAGGGTAAGTTGCTGTTGCTGTTGTTACATGTCATCATGATGGATGAAAAGGATAGGTTTGCTGACGACGACCAGATATCAAGGAAATCATCGCCGAGTGCGGCTTCAATGGTCCTCCGCCAACGCCTTCAGCACCAGCAACCACGTCCGCGCCTCCGGTAGTAGCCCCGGCAGAGCCCCCCGCGAATACAGGACTGACGACGTCGCTGCCTGCAATGCTGGCACCCGAGAGGCCATCCGAGGTTACACCATCGGCGTCAACTTCATCAACGCCGCCGCCGCCACCACCTGCGATAATACAGACTCCGTCGGGGCCCCCGGTGGCATCGCCGACTCCGGAGGTATCAATTACACCAGTTACTGTCTTTGAGACGCCGTCGTTCAGGACTCTACCGCCTATTGTCTCCCCGAATGATTTCCCGCCTTCCAGGAGTGACGTGCAGAGTGATGCTGCGGCTCGGTTTGACGGTTGGTTGTTTGGCAAGGTTGTGTTAGTCATGATGGCGGTTTTACTATTGAAATGAGAAGTTTTATATGAAAGTGACCAGATGTCTCCTATCTGGACAATAATGCATCTATAGCATGACTCGGATTTACGATGGTTAGTGGTGGGTTACGACACTAGAATACTAAAGACTAAGAATATAATCGTTTGTGTTGGTCAAAGCCTAATCGCGAAGTCATGTAAAGAGTGATGCAGTTCAACAAAAAGCAAGTGTATTCGTTTCGTGGTTTCTAACGAAATTCGCGTTGTAACTGTAGAATCAAAGAATATAGGGTTCCTTGGCAAATGCAACGATCGTGTATGTATATTGATAGTATGGGTAAAAGTGGTCTGTGTGAAACATTGGGCGTTGTAATCAATTAGAGTTTCGCCTGTACGCTCTTATTTTGACCGCCACAACAACGTCTAAAAGACGTGCTAAACGTGTAAGTGAGCTAATTGAGTTACTAGGCCAAAGTTGTAGTTTTGCGCTTATCGCTTTCCTGCTTGACTATGGGTCGAACTTATACGTCATGTCTATTACTCGATATGAAGCTATTCCGACGTAACTTGTAAGTATGGGCAACGCAACTAAAACTGGTTTCCCAGATTAACCGTTATGCTCAAGATGTTCCGTAAATTAAGAGTGCAAAGAAATGATGTAACAGGCAGATTTATTGTTATTTTCAAGCCGTGCACTTAGGAAATGTATAGTATAATAGAGCAAACATGCCATAAAGCAATCACCTCTAAACGTCTACAAATCGCCAGAACAACACTCCAACACGAACCACGATTCGCTTGGCCCCACCGAATAATCAAACGCCGTCATGTTCTTATCTTGTTTGCGTGATGCACCGTTTCAGACATACCAAGAACCAGTTCCCGGTCGGCGTCACCGTTTTCCAAGGAATTCAATAACTAGAAACCAGCTCCCGCCAAGGTGAAGCCCAGCATGGATGCAGCTGAAAACAGGGCAAGAGACGATCAATACCCAAGTGGTAAACTGCCGGCCGCTATTGCTTGGAATATTGGCGAAAGGGGTACTCCGCTACCCACAGCTGCGATACGGTCTAGGCGTCTAGCAAGCGGTTCGCCTGTGCAGCCATAGTATACAGAGCGAGAGCTCCTGTACAATATCAGGCACATCTTATCTAGCACAACCGCATGGCATCTGCGGTATGTGGGATGCTAGTGCATTTCTCTAGCGAGCGAGGTGCTCAAACAATGGATACTCGGCTAATAGATGGGGATGGATGCAGTTAAGTGGTGCTGACCAGCAGCATCGTGAGACGGGTTAACAGGCATAATTATGCACTTTTGCGATTGGAGCCTTGGGCTCGCTATCAAGACTGATGACACATATTTGGAAATTTAAAACGTCTTGGACGGCATGCCCAGATATATCTATCGTATTTCGTCTCGTGTATACGCCCGCCGCCAAATATCAAGTTCGACAGCGCATCAACGTACCATCTGGACGAGGCGCAGTCGAATGCAATTCCAATCACCACTCATCAAACCGGTCACCCATATTGAAAATTCGGTTGCCAAATACAAGGAGATGAAGGCTCACCAAAATTAGTTCACCAACCCAGGGATCGGGAAAATATTCCTTGGTATCGACCTAAAACCCAGTCAAATGTTAGTGTCCAGGGGCGCTCAGGCGAGGGGGACCACAGCGGAGAAGGCATACAGTAAGCGAGCGGTACTACCTAGTCTAACAATCATAAAGACGGATGCTCCGTTTACCAATGGGGAATACTCGAGTATCTCTGTACGATTTGTGCACATACACGTGTAGAGAAACGGATTTTGCAGGCAGCTCGACATTATGTCCGCCATATCGCAGTATACTAAAAAGTCCCGTGCATAGATCAAATGTCCTTTGTGAAGGCCATACACCAGAACCCACCCCATTCAAATCCGTGCCGCTTTTGAAAACTCCACCAGGGAACCCTTCCGCTAATACTGATTTGAATACGAACGAGGCCGCTACGCCGCAAATTCCAGCCCTGTAGCCATCCCCATTGGACCTTGTCCTCCGAAACGGGAGCGAGCCCCTGAAGGCGGAAGAAAATAACAAGAAAGGAAAAAAAAAAAAAAAAAAAAAAAAAAACACGGGTTGCTCCAATCCTTGGTAGCGGTAGTGAACCGATACGTAACCACCACTAGAGCTTGGCCACTTGGCGGCATGTTTGGGTGGCGATGATGATCAATCAGGTTCACCTACGGCCCGTCGCTCTGGTGTAACAAACTAAAATAAAACTAAGAAAAAAAAACCAAACCACAACGTCGTCACCGTCATATCCGTGCTGGGCATTCTTTTCCCTTTCAACATGGCTTTCTGGACTGGAAGAGAGCCGCCCGGTCTAGAGGGTTCGATGCAACGGTGCAGAAGATCTTTCTGCCAATCATATCCAGAACAGTGACAGCGCCATCAAGATCTCGGCGCCTTGACCAGTATCCTTGCAGAACGCATGGCTAGCGCAGCAAGAGGAGAAAGAAAGGGGGAAAAGGCGAATCCTGCAAAATCCACTCTGGGCCACTATCCACGTCTGTTCCTGGCATATCCGACAAGGGGGGGTGGGCTTACATGTGCCTCCATAACCATTGGTCTCTCTGGATGAATGACCACCACCACTCTTCACGGGCGGCCGGTGCCTGAGCCGCCAGCGAACCGCCGTACCGTTCCTGGCGTCCATTTGGACAATTGACTAACCTGATTCTGTGCTGGTGCGCTTTTCGTAGTCTGTTCGGACCTTGCAGGAAGCATATCCGTTCCCACACACAACACCACACTTAGCCTCTTCAGTCCTCTTGATGCAGAAAGTTCACAGATGTGAGAGGTGGAACCACCAGGAGACGCACACCAAAGTACAAAAAAACACATATGCACGAGTAAATCTAGTGGAATATCCAGATTTGGCAGGCTTGTCAGGGGGCTGTGTTCTAGTGTTGCTCTCTTTCTCACTCACTCACTCACTCACTCTCCATGCATCAACTACCCCTGCCGAGCCACCGTCTCCCACCTGCCCCTCAAGGCTGCTCTCTGGCCGCTGGAGCCGGAGACCCAATGAGTGGAATCACTGGAGAAAACAGGCGAGCGGGTTGAACCCCTGAGGGATTTCATCTCGTGGTCCTGCGGGTTAATCGACAGGTCAGGAGCAACTCCGGGTCGACCACATTGTCGGCTCGTTATAAGATGGATGGGCGGCCCCATGGGACACGCGCTTTGGGAGGACCTAGGCCTTCCCTCTCATCCTCTTCAAGATCCCTCCTTGGCATCTTAGTCACTCTTTTTTAAAACAGAGACCTTCATTCTTTCATTCCCTAAGTTTGAAGATCTAACCAGTCGTTATTTGTGTTGTGTGTGTGTGTTTTGAGCTGTTAATTTTTGTGTTACTCTCTTGTTTTTTTATACTGTTTCTTGTTTCAAAACCAGCCAAAATGGCGCCTTCGCTTTTCTCCACGCTCTCTTCCGCCCTCCTTCTTACTTCTACCGTCTCGGCTCATCAGTCTTACCAGTTGGCTGACAACTATGACTCTACCAACTTCCTCGAAAAGTTCGGCTTCTTTGTGGTATGTTGTCGAACATGGATTATGAGTCCACTAAACAGACTCATCTGATGGTGGATGATGTGATCGGCATATACTGATGATCCTTCTTTTCTCCAGAGCGATCACACCACTGGAAACTACAACGATGTCGACCCCACGGGCGGTTACGTCAGCTACAAGTCCTCGGAGGAGGCCCAGGCCAAGGGTCTCCTGAAGACCGTCAACGGCGACCTCTACCTCGGTGTCGACCACGAGTCCAAGCTCGGCCCCAAGGGTGTCGGCCGTAGCTCCGTCCGCATCGAGAGCAAGAGCAAGTACAAGAAGGGTCTCTTCGTTGCCGACTTCTCTCACTTCCCCAAGCCCACCTGCGGTACCTGGCCTGCCTTGTAAGAAACCTTTAGCATCTGAGCAATAGATGTATAGTATGCTAACCATAACACTCAGCTGGACTGTCGGCAACCCCTGGCCTGCTGCCGGTGAGATCGACATTGTCGAGACCTGGAACGAGGACAACGTCAACAAGGTTGTCATCCACACCGACAGCAATGTCGGTGAGTGCCGTATCGACGGCAAGGGCATGACCGGTAAGGTCAGCAAGCCCAACTGCGCCAACTTTGCGCCCGGCCAGGCCGACAACGAGGGCTGCGCCGGTCTCGACGGTGCTGCCCCCTTCGGATCCCCCGAGGGTGGTATCTGTAAGAATTTCGTCGTCTACATCACTCGGTGAATTTGCATGCTGACAATCTTATAGATGCTATGGAATGGACCGACGACGCCATCCGCGTCTGGGGCTTCACCCACGCCAACGCCCCCGCCGACATCGCCAGCAACCCCAAGCCCGAGACCTGGGGAACCCCCAGCTTCACCACCAGCACCTGCGAGGCCGACAAGGTCTTTGGCGAGGCCAAGATGGTCATGAACATTGACTTCTGCGGTGTTGCCGGCCAGACTGGTAAGTTCCATACTATCTTCTTAAGACCGTTATGCCATCCACAACATAAACTAACACGACTTGCCTATAGGTATCTGGGACCAGGGTGGTTGCCAGGCCAAGACCGGCGGTCTTTCTTGCCACGAATGGGTTGCCAGCAACCCCCAGGCCTTTGCTGATGTCTACTTCCAGCTCAAGTCCGTCAAGATTTACCAGCTCAAGGAGGGCGAGGCTCCCGTCTCCACCACCACCACCAGCCAGGTCGCCTCCTCCTCTGCCGCCGTTACCACTGCTGTCTCCACTGATGTCGTTGCCTCCAGCAGCGTCGTTTCCTCCGAGAAGCCCGTTGAGACTGTCACCGAGAAGCCCACCGAGTCCGGTGCCGTCGAGTCCACTTCCACTGCTTCCGAGGAGCCCGCCGAGCCTACTTCTACTGCCTCTGAGAAGCCTGCCGGAGAGCCTACTACTCGCCTGGCCACTTCCACCGTCTACGAGACCAACATCAGAACCATCACCTCCTGCGCTCCCACCGTCACCAACTGCCCCGCGAGAGAGACCCCCGAGGTTGTCACCGAGGTCGTGCCCGTCACCACCACCATCTGCCCCGTTGTCGATGTTCCCACCACTGTGACCGTCTCGAGAACCGAGGTCCACACCATCACTTCGTGCCCTCCTTCGGTCCCCAACTGCCCTGTCGGCTCCAAGACCACCATCACCACCGAAGACATCGTCTCCACCACCGTTGCCGTCCCAGTCGAGAGCTACACGCCCCCTGTCAAGCCTCCTGGCGGTGACAAGCCCGTGACCACCCCCAAGCCCGGTGATGACGTCCCTACCGCCATCACCACCATCAAGACCAACATCGTCACCATCACTTCCTGCCCTCCCACCGTCCCCGACTGCCCCGTCGGCAAGGAGACCACCATCATCACCAGCGAGGTTGTCACCCCCACGGCTCCCGCCCCTGGCGTCCCTGCCACCACCACCGAGGGCGAGAAGCCCGTCATCACCGAGACGCCCCCCGTGAAGCAGCTCACCACCTACAGAACCAACATCGTCACCATCACTTCGTGCCCGCCTTCCGTCCCCAACTGCCCCGTCGGCTCCAAGACCACCATCGTCACCAGCGAGGTCGTTCCCGCCACCAGCGAGGGCGAGAAGCCCGTCCCCGTCACCACCAAGGTCCCCGACGTCCCCGTTGTCCTCACCACTTACAGGACCAACATCGTCACCATCACTTCTTGCCCTCCCACCGTTCCCGACTGCCCCATCGGTTCCAAGACCACCATCGTCACCAGCGAGCTCATCACCCCTACGGCTCCCGCCCCTGGTGTCCCCGCCACTCCCACCGATGTCCCTCAGAACCCTCCTGCTCCTGGTGGTGAGAAGCCTACTACCCCTGCTGCTCCCGGCGGCGAGAAGCCTACTACCCCTGCTGCTCCCGGCGGTGACAAGCCTTCCGCTCCCGGCGGCGATGTCCCCGTTCCCGCTCCCTCGAAGCCCTCGACCCCCGGCGGCGAGAAGCCCCCCGTTCCCGTCACCCCCGTCACCCCCGGCGGCAACAAGCCCACGACCCCTGCCGCTGGTGTCCCTACCGCCGAGGTCCCCGCCGTCCCGACCACCCTCGTCGTGGCTCCCTCGTCTCCTTACAACGGCACTCTGACCACCGCCCGTTTCCCCGTCGGCACCGGCGCTCCCTGCGTCGGCGCCGCTTGCCCTGCCACCACCACCGGCCCTGTCCAGGCCGGCGCCGGTAAGATCGGCTCCGGAGCTGTCCTCCTGGCAGCGGTCCTGGCTGTCTTTGCCATTTAAGTTGAAGGTGGAAAGGTAATAGAGGAGGAGGTTGTTAGATGTGTTTTTTCCCTTTAATCTGTGGTCTTCCTTTGTATATTATATATGGTTCCTCAAGAGCGCATATACCCTTCAGTTAAATTAGGGAGGGGTTGGAAAAGGACCCGAAAAGCATCCCGAAACAAGTTTTTTACTATTCACTTATTTTAAATCTTAACCTTCTCGTGAATAGCTGACGTTGAATGAGATGATTTTGTTTACTTAGCTGGGTCGATTCCTGTGATTGTCTCGTTCTCGTGGCGTGGTACTGTTAGCTGCGGCTGCTCGCGATACACTTGCTGACTTTCGCTCCAATCATTTCCTTTTGTGAGATGACGAATACTATGTTTTCACAACGAGTAGTGTTACTAAGTAGGTTGTAGAATCTTGAACAACCGCACATCAACGCTCACGAGATGCTGAGAAAAGGTAATGGTAGAGGCTACTTGTCATAAGCTGCCTTTGAAATATCCGCTAAATAGCATATTTATTCGTGTATACGCCTACTATAGTTTTCTTACCCCAACCATTTACCGCCCCGTGATAATATCATCCGCAATCTTCTCGGCAAGCGCATATACAGCAGACTGCGGGTGCCCCGGGATCGCAAACGGGAAAGTGCTCGCGTCCGCCACCCTCAACCCCTGAACACCGAATACCCGGCCACGGCTATCCACAACCGCCTTTCCGCTCTCCACGCCATCTTCCCTGCCCATAGCACACGTCGAGACAGGGTGCCAGACCTGGCCTGCGTTGGCCCTGACGTACTCCAATATCTCCTCGTCGGTCTGCACCGCGTCGCCGGGGAGACCTTCAGGACCGGCTTTGAAGCCGGGGGTATTCGCAAAGTCCGACGCCCACGCTGCGCGAAGACGCTTCACTGCCGTGACGGCCAGCTCGACGTCGGCCGGGTCGGATAGCCAGTTGAGGTTGATCTTGGGCGAGGCGTCGAGGACCGAGGGGGACGAGATTGTGACGTTGCCGCGGGAGAAGACGAGCGGGAGGTACGCGGCGAGAGTGCCGCTCGTCTGGCCTGGTCCCGTGGAGAAGGAGCCCACGATGAAGGAAAGCTGGGGCCAGTCGGAGGGGACGGATGCGAGCTTGTCGCGCGTGGACTGCGTGAGCTTGGCGAGGGTGGAGTTCGGGAGGCGCTCGTGGGCGAGGAACCCCGCCGCGGAGCTGTACGGTCCCGTACCGGATTTGAGGTACTCCGAGACGAAACCGGGGTTGAGAGCCGGGTCGGCTGTTAGGGATTGGGCGGAGGGCGTGTTGACGGGATACGCGACAAAGATCTGGATGGGGTCCTGGAGGTTCTGGCCCACGCCGGGGATGTCGGCGACAACGGGGATCGACAGGGCCTCTAGATGTTCGCGGGGTCCAATGCCGGAGACCTGAAGAAGTTGAGGAGAATGGAAGGTCCCTGCGGTGAGAATGACCTCCTTGTTGGCGGAGAGGGTGTAGTCAACACCCTGAGAGTTGACGCTCACGCCGGTAGCCTGAGTGCCGTTGAAGAGGATCTTGGTCGCCTGCGTGTGAGTGTACACGATGATGCCGGTGTCCTTGATCGCTTGCTGTAAGAAGCTGCTCTCGCTGGTCGATCTATGCGCCTTTTGGCTCTCAATGGTCGACGGCACCCATGCGCCGTGGCCAGCGAGCTCGCCGCTGCTGAAACCCTTTGAGCTGATCGTCAAGCCGAGGCTCAAGACAACCTTTGCGAGCCATGTCAGCGTCGGGTCAACCCAGTTGTTCCACGAGACCTGCAGCGGCCCTCCCTGCTCGTCATAGTCGGAGGGGTCAAAAACGACAGTGGCGTTGGTGTTCTGGCGCTTCTCCTCGTTCGGCGGCGTGAGATCGACCGACCGCTTGAAGTACTTCAAGATGTTGTCCCACTTGAAGGTCTCGTCGCCGACAGTCTCGGCCCATAGACCATACGAGCCCTTGGTGCCGCGGATATAGGACATAGTGTTGATCGCCGACGACCCGCCGAGCGTTTTGCCCTGCGCGTAATGGACCCTCCGGCCACCTGCTCCGGGAATTGGTTCGGAGACAAGGGACCAGTCCATCAAAGGCTGCGGGGTAAAACCCGGGGTCGGATCGATGAAGGCGATGCCTGTCAGGGAGAGAAGAGGCACGACGCTATTGTTGCCGTTCTCGACCTCATAGAAGCCACCGGCTTCGACAACGGCGACGGAGGCGGACGTTGCGGCGAGACGTGAGGCGAGTGTCAGGCCTGCTGTGCCTCCGCCGACGACGACATAGTCGAAGCTCGCGTCTCGGCCGGGGTAGCCGAAGGCAGAAGAGAAGAGGCGGTCTTGGGCGGCGGCGAGGCCTGCGAGCGAAAGGATTATGCTCTGGGATAGCATCATCTTGTGTGGTTTTCAGTCGACCGACGCAAGTGTCTCTCGCTCGTTGAGAAGAGCATGAGGTGTCTAGAAAAAAGCATTGCGGGGGGGCAGCAGTATATGTCGGGCGTTAAATACGATTGACAACTGCTAATCTGATGTCGTGATGCACTGTTGAGGGGGACAGAACATGGGTGTTTATCGATGGGACGATTGTTGCTGCTACTGCACGCTCAGACGCTCAGACGAGCTACCCAAAGTAGTATCCCTGAGTATAGATCAGTAGAAGCATATAAGAGGGCCATGCCTCCCGTCTGTGAGCCTTCTAAGGCCGGCTCGGATTCTACAGTCACATCGAACCAATTCATAATTTCGATAGTCGCTGGGGCCCTGGTCGGCTGTCAGCACGGGTTGGGGAAGCTCCTCGGGCCAAGTGACGTCTTTGGGCGTTGGAAGAGTTGCGGGCCGTGGTTTAGTGGACGGGAAAGGTTACATTGAGGGGCTGACGAGGCCCATAGTGAACTGTTGCTTGGGTGCGGCGTGCTGAAGGATTCGGCACGGTAATTTGCAGGTAATGCTGGTGGTCTATTCGCTCAATCTTATGCGAAAGGTGCTGCTGAAGCCAAGACTTATACGACAGTCTGCGAGGGAAACATTTCCTGATCTGAGTTGACTTATGGCGGCGACATTTTCCTCAATGAACAGTTTGACACCGGCAGGACAGTCGACAGGGGTTTTCATTCGAGAACCGGACTTGTCTCATTGGCGGGGCACTCCTTTGAGATGAGTTGAGCACTTAATGATTGAAGATTAAAGCAACCCCTTAGCCTGATACGGCACTGTCAAACGAATTATCATGTAGAGGCCAGGAGATGCTACAGAGTAGATAGTATGAAACTGAGCCACGGTGACAATACATCTCATTATCCACCGGATCAATGAAGATGGGTAGATATTTGGTACTCTGCTCTCTAGATCGTGGTCAAATCCTCGTCCATTACCGACTTGTTGGGCCTCACGAAACTCCAAATATCAAGAATACCAGCTGGATTGACCCCAATCTATAGAAACTACCAATGGGTAAGACCCTCATGATGCTTGGACACTGGGCGGGCAGAAACTGTTATGGATAAACATGATCGAGACATCACCAATATCGATCTTGCGCACATTGTGGAATTGGTGCGCTGCATCTGCTCCTAGATCAGTCCCAAAGTTCTCAGCTCTTCACGTACATTTTGCCATTTAACTTCACTCATGCTGCCAATTCTTGACTGTCGCGTATCAGCCTCAACCAGGTATAGCGAGCTGGACAACCGTGGGTTAGGTTAGTGCAACCTTCATGGGCTGGCCGTAATATCAAACAAATTTTAAACCGATGCAAAGACATATGACACAAAAAACAGAACTCCGGCCGATATCAAAAACAAGAGGAAGTAAAAAACTATTTTCTGGCCATTTTCAAAGTATCTCCTCACATCAAAGCATCAAGTTGACGACTGAAAACGCCCTGAAAATGAGTCTTTCCACTAAACACCACCAGGACATGTTTGTTGCGATAGTTGGAATACGGAGCCGTGTGGCACTTCCAGCCACACGCCCGCCAGGCTGAGAGGCCCAAGCCTCCCAGACCCACGTGACAGGCCAAGGGGGAATATCCCCACCTTCTAGTCAACAACACCACTTTCAACTATCATCATGAACCATCGATTAGAACCAATTTACTGTTATTTGTTATTGACGAACGGAATTCCGTTTCACCCCCTGTTTCACCCCCTGTGAAACCTACACTGATCAGTGGTAAACCTCACAGTTGCCATTAATTTGGTTAACTTCACAATTACCACTCTGCTACGGACAAACCGCAGATCAGCAAGGTCAACACCAGAAGAGACGACTTCTTGAACTGGATACCCAAGCCCAGGTAAAAGTAGGGATTTCGTGCTAACGAGAGAAGAAGCGAGAGTAACTGGGATCTACGGAAACCAGCAGAAGAAAGCTTCTTTTCCTCGAATCTACCAGCAATCCGATTATTCGAGTAACCTAGGGACTGCTACGCTCACCCTAGGCGGGATAAGGTTAATCGCAGCCAATTATCGCTGGCAAGAGCGTTCCATCACGCGTTTTCAATCACCAGAAGAAGAGACCTACCGAATCGACGGTCCTCCAACCTCTTCACGCCACAAGGGCGAAGATTCACGAATCCCACAAGGGATAACAACTTCCCCAACTACAACTATCCCCCACGCGCGGTGCCAATCACGAGGCGCCCGCTAGTTTCTCAATAAATCCCCAGACGAGGTGCCAACCGCGAGGCGCCTGCCACAAGAGACCTCCCCACTAGAAGAAGAACACGCCGAAAGGCGAGCGGAGACTACCGGCGGTAATCCGCCTATACAGCTATACGTATACGCCTCCGAGGCTGCGGCTTAGGAGAAACGCACGTGGTTGTGGGCGTCATAAGGCCAACTGTCCGCTAGATTCTAAACTTCCCAACAGTGAGGAGCGAAGCCCGAAGCGAGAAAGAGAGATTCACGAGAGAATCTACGGTAGAACTCTCTCCCTACCAATTCGAGACCTGTGTATACCCTCACACCCCTCGAGAACATCAGCGAGAACGGCGCCGACGGAAACAAACGACGAACCGACGAAAATCCCCGATTTCACGATTCTTTCCCCTTAGAATCGTAATATCCCGAATCGTCTTTTGACTCCCACTTCCAGGCCTGCATCTTGCACCAATCGCAGCTGACGCTGTTGAGGATTAGAATTCAAGATTCTAAACAGAAGTAATCCTTTTATACTGTCAGAATGGAGCGAAATTCACGAGAAGGATCGCCCGCGAGCGGCGTCACTGCCAAAAGCCAATCAACAGTCCCCATCCCACAGAGAATCGAAAGTATGATCGATCCAGCAGTATGGGGCAACTGGGCAATCGACCTTACAAACGCTAGCCCACAGCAACTGGGTTCCTATATGGGTTTCCTACTTGAGACCTATGAGAAGAGGAATCTCACGGGCCTCGAGCTATGGAACGAAGTTTCTCCCGATTTCGCCGACTGGTCAGAAGAAGACTTCCAGAACGTACCTCCCCCAATCCTACGATTCTTCAGAGACCATTTAATCGGTAACGGCGTCTACGTCGAAATGGATGGCAAGAAAATCTCGAAAAACGTGGCATTAGCCCTCAAAAAGGAAGAATTCCACTACTGGTCACCCCAAGAACTCGAACAAGGCGTCAAGAGATATCGCAACCTGAAGGCTCTGATAAAAGACCCCGAATTCCACGAAGAGATCACGAGACCGGCAACAGTAGCCAACAGCACAGGAGGAAGAGTCGAACCAACCCTACAGCCACCTCCTCCACAAGAACAACAACAGTGGCAACTACCGTACCGACCGCCACATCCCACGGTCTCTCCGTTAACAGACTTCCAACCATACGAGTCAACAGACCGTATCGGAAAGCAATTAACAGAATTCGCGAAACTATACCCCGACGATATGAAATACAGCGGCGATATGTACGATGTACGCGAAAAGAAGGGCTGGACCGGACCGTTTACTTTAGCAGCCATAAACGGCGAAACCTGTACTGTCGATACGCCACGTGGTCCGAAGACCTTCCGGTCTACCGTAGTCAAACCATACTACGAAGATCCCGATCAACCACCTAATTCCATCGCCGCGCCAGAAGAAGAAGAACCCGAAGCTGAGATACCGCAGCAGGAAGTAGTACGCGACGAAATTATCGTCGCCGGCGGAGGCAGTGAACCGGACGAACCGCAAGAGGCACCGGAGCCACCGAGAAGACGCCCGGGCAGACCCCGGAAGAGACCACTGCCAATCGCCCACTTCACAGAGGAATTCAACGATGACCCGGATTATCAACAAATATTCCTATCGATTAAGGAGCAAGCAGACGAAGAATTGGCAATCAAACTACGACGAGAAGGTGTTATTACTACACCAGGCGAACCGTTCGAACAGTCAACTAAACAAGAGATCAACAGCCTCATCGCTAGAGGAGTGTTCAAATTCACCCAGTTCAATAAGAGAAGGCACCAGAACGTACGAATCTTCCGATCTCGTATCGTCAACGAAGTCAAGGGTAAAACAACCGAACCCTACGAGAAATCGAGACTTGTAATACAGGGTTACGCCGACGATGGCAAGAAGGCTATATTGACCCAATCGCCAACGATTCAGCGGGCGAGTCAACGGCTAATTCTGTCAATTACCCCGTCACTCCTACGAGAAGGGAAACAACTATGGCTTCGAGATATCACACAAGCCTACGTTCAATCCTCCACAAGGCTCAATCGTACTATTCTCGCCTACCCACCGAAGCAAATTCAAGACCAGTACCCAAAAGGGACCATTATGGAGGTTGTGAAGCCTCTGTACGGAATCGCAGAAGCTGGAACCCACTGGTGGGCAACGTATCACAAGCATCACAGAGAGAATCTCCAGATGGTTACTTCTTCGTACGATCCATGCCTATTGATCTCATCTACCGAAAATCCACACTTTGGCTGTATCGGCATGCAAACCGACGATACCCTCGGTTTGTCAGACAAGGCGTTCTCACAATTAGAAGACGAACAGTTAGAAAAAGCGGCTTTTACGGCAAAAGCGAAGAATATCCTCACAATTGACGAACCCCTCCAATTCAACGGAGGGATAATCGCGCTGTCAACCGACAATTCGATCAATTTGAGGCAAAAGGGACAAGCCAAGAAGTTACGATGTATTGAGACTACTAAACCCAACCCAAAACAGCAATATGTCGAACAACGCGCCAGAGGGGCGTACATCGCGTCAATTTGCCAACCCGAGGCCTGTTTCGATTTATCCACTGCTGCCCAACACCAAGACCCCTCGCCAGAAGCGATAAAAGCACTGAATCAACGGATTCGATGGCAAATAGAATCGCCTAACCGAGGAATAACGTTTATCCCACTCGACCTTACAACAGCCAAGCTATTCGTTTTCGTTGACGGGTCGTTCGCTAATAACCACGACCTCTCCTCCCAATTAGGGTTTCTGATCATCCTAGCCAACGACACTTCCTCTGACAGCAACAACGGAGAATTCACGATTCACGGTAACCTCGTTCATTACAGCTCTACGAAGAGTAAACGAGTCACCCGCAGCGTATTAGCGTCAGAGATCTACGGGATGGTCGCTGGCGTCGATATGGCCTACGCCCTCGCCACAACCCTGGCGACAATCACTGACCACCTCAACCTACCAACGATTCAGACAGTTGTCTGTACCGATTCTTATTCGCTGTACGAGTGTCTCGTGAAGCTGGGCACTACCAAAGAAAAGCGACTCATGATCGATATCATGGCGTTGAGACAATCGTACGAAAGACGAGAACTACAAGAAATTCGTTGGATTAACGGCGAAGACAACCCTGCTGATGCCCTCACGAAGAGCAAACCAAATCGAGCCCTCGAGAGATTCGTTGATAGCAACACGATAACGATACGTATGGAGGGATGGGTAACAAGACCGTAACTACGGGAGAAAGTAGGGATAGGAGGCCGAATTGACGAGGAGACGGAACTGTATAGGGACAACGTATTCCAACCGCTTCAACACCATAAAAAGAGAGTTTCCAGTGTTGCGATAGTTGGAATACGGAGCCGTGTGGCACTTCCAGCCACACGCCCGCCAGGCTGAGAGGCCCAAGCCTCCCAGACCCACGTGACAGGCCAAGGGGGAATATCCCCACCTTCTAGTCAACAACACCACTTTCAACTATCATCATGAACCATCGATTAGAACCAATTTACTGTTATTTGTTATTGACGAACGGAATTCCGTTTCACCCCCTGTTTCACCCCCTGTGAAACCTACAATGTTCTTGTTGCAAATGCCAACTACTTTTTGATTCACATCAAGTAACTACCTACCTAGCATCTTTCGGATATGACCAAAAGGACTGACTATGAAGGATACTGACTTTAACTACTTTCGCAACTATAGCGGCTCGGACCAGCAAAAATAGAATAGACCTGGGTTTCTCAATCAGTACTTACAACGCTGATACTATCGCGTTGAAGCAAGCCTGTATTAGAGGAGAAGAGGCGCTATTGTAATAAGCCAGGAGGCTTTATCGAGAATCATACTTCCAGTGACTTCACGGAAATAATTTAGCCGTCTTACGCACCCAAATCGTTCAACCAACCAACCATTGAGGCTGAAATGCATGTCAGCTTGGGCACCACAAACTGGCAGAGGAGAGACAAAATTCAAACCGTTAAAGATAACCCAATCCCTTCCACATTCATGCCACCAACGATGCCTTCGCTTTCAGACAGCGAAGTTCCCGCACGTCGGACCCAACACCAACAAGGCCCCCGCCCGCGCCACTTCCTTCGCCGTGGCGCCGTCACGGAGCTGGTGGACCCCTCGGCCGGCCACCCAAGGCTGCAGGGTATCCCGCCCGACTGACTGTCGGGAGTCCCCGAGCTTCCTCCCAGACTACCCTCACGTCCGTCAAAGAAAACTCATCGCCCAGGTCCACCGCCTCCAGAGAGGATTATGGCTCCGTTAATGCCGAGAGCTCATGCGAGGTTCAGGGCGGCGACCAGTGCTGCGTTAATGTTTTCCGCCATCTTATTTTTTGTTGCCGTAGGGCTCATTACCTGGGCATTGATCTACAACGTGTCTTGGCCCAAGATTCTCATGCCATGGAAACGAAAAAGTCATTATGGTAGCCCAGAGGGCAATCGAAGCTGGTCACTTACTCTTTGGCGACCCTGGATGACGACATTTTTGGAAGGCATTCTTATCATAATCAAGGCCTCTCTATGTACGTGGGGTGCCTACAGCATCATCGCAAAAGGCCTACGATGCCTGGTTGAATCCATGATACAAAAATCATCTCCAAGACGGATCGCAGATATTGAGGTCATCATCGACACTCTAGCACTCATTGGATTCGCCGTCTTCCCGACGGCTATGGCCGCCGCGGTTCCAGCGATTGTCCCTGAAGGCTCCTGCAACCCGCAATTTAACGTTCATCGCTTCTTGCCACTTCGCACCCGAGATGACATCAAGGGTATCCTGGAAAGTTGGGTTGGGTTATTGATGGTGCACGGGAGGACAGGAATGAGCTTGCAACAGTTTGGCAAATGGCGTCTAACACTGGCGAGGGTAGCTGTCTGGTCGGTAAGTCTGGTTGGTTGGGTGACGGTTGAGGTTTATATGGGCCCATGCTGGTATTTGCCGCGCGTGTGGAAGTTTTGGTTCTCTATTATATGCATTTCTCTGATGTCATGGTTTCTTGGAAATGCAGAGTCGTTGATTGTCACAAAATGGGAGCTGCTTGGAAAAGTGCACGTTCAGCTGGCGTTATATCTTTGGGTTCTCTACTTTGTGAGGTGGGTGAATCTAGATGGATACTGTGTCAGGCCCACTTGCTGGTAATATCAATCTACCTAGTTGCAAGTAAAACGCTTGGTTTTATTGCTTACGCCCGGTTCGTAAGAAAGTTCCAGTTATGAAGCAGTTGTCAATGCTTCGTTGAAACCGTCAGTGAAAAATCTTGAGTGTTTTCAACTACCCACAAAAAGTAATGGAATCATATTGATGGTAACTAGTCGTGGCCTTGCCAGTAGCAGTCAGTCCGGTTTTAAAACATGAAGACCTTGAACTTCGTCTCCTATTTAAATATGATTTTATTCCTGCGTGTTTCTGTCTGCGCGAAGATTTATGAAGACCAGCCTGGCATTTACATTCCTATCAGCCCTCAACAACCCGGTGTGTCTTCTGCACGCACTCCTTTATTGTCAATACATCCCTTCCGGAAATTTTCCACTGACTGATCATTGTTGATACAGCACTATATCTCGTCAATATGACTGTTTAATTTCCGATTCTAACAGGCTCAAGTACTTACAATTCCCCCGGGCAAAGGAGTTCCGAAGGCATCATCGCAAAGATTGTTTGAGGGGTTTTTTTGGCCGTTTGGCATAATGCATGCATAGCCTTTATATACAGCAAGCACCACACTAACGAATATTAGTGAACGTACCTGAATTGCTGGTTGTCAAGTTAAGCCAAAGATTGAACCAAACTTACGCGGCCTGTGCAAGTCCAACAGCAACTAGAGTTGACCTCATGATTTTAATACGTACGCAAGAGATCTACACTGACAAGTTGGAAAAATCGCGAACAGAATTATCCACTGACGACACCTGAAATCTCAGTGCAAAGTTCTCAGTTAAATACCTTGGTTTTAATAGTGATACACAGAGTAGGCATGGACGTCATTGATCACGCGGACTTTTGGTTTCGCCGTGTTTCTTTTATTAACAGCCTTTCCATGTTTTTGCCTATTTCGTAGACCCTCTTTCCTAAGTTGACTATACTCTTTCCTAAGCGGTAACTCGCAGCGGTTGAGCAGCCATTGCCATACCTCTAGTCACGCCGGCAAACCAGGTAACTCTGAAAAGCTTATTCCTTTCGGCTTTAATTTTCGTCCCGTGTTGTCTCAGATTGACAACTGGACCTGAACCTTTTTTCACTTCCACAAAGTGGCACGCGCTTCTCAACTCTCTAAATTCAGCAGAGACCAGTGTACATGAATCAGTGAATTCAGCACGGTCTTTGTCATAGAATCTCGCTTCGTGCCCACTTCATTCACCAATACAGCTTTCCCACTCGTTCGCTCAGTACTAACTTACGACACAGAATCTAGTTGACACTGATGAGTTTGAAGTTGCCTCAAGACGGGCAACTTTCGGCTGAGACGTAGATAGCTAGCAACTCATGGTCAAAGGGCAAGTTGGAGAACTACACTCATCAATCAACCTCCAGTCAACACGGAAAAGGATCCGCTATTCAGAACCCACCCCAGAACTCAAATTTTGTGCCACAGGTCTGCAGTGATTCCAATCCGAATCTATCTAATTATCTTAAATTGTGCATTCTTGCGAAGATGGCTTTCACTTCAAGGTCAAAGCTGATCGTCTTACCAATTTCCAGTGTGGCACTCACCCGCATGAGTGGAACATACTAGGAAAACTCGGCCGGGACATAAATGCACAGCAATAAGCATATTGGAAATGTATTTCTACGACCCGATTAGTGACACCGGGTGCATTAAACCTAAAATTTGGCCCACAAACTTCACTTTTCAACCTTGGCTTCGCTGAACCCGAGATGCTTGAACAATGTTTTCGCAATCTTTTTTTTTTAAAAGAAAAGAAAAGAAAAGAAAAGTATGCTATAGCTTCAAGCACCGGGAAAAAGCCACCTTCGCGCTTGGCAAGCCTGTCTCATGACATCTTTCACTCTATGCTATAGTTGATTCATCTTACTATGAGGGTCCAACCATGGTGGATGCCTAGGGAGACCAAAAGAAGAGTTACAAGCTTATCGAAAAGGTACCCTGAACTGCCTTGAAGTTTTGACATTGCAAATCACACTTCTATTTCACCTTTAGCACAGCCTTGCCAAAGTTCTTACCAACAAGCAGGCCAATGAGACCATCAGGGGCATTCTCGATACCCTCCGTAACAGAGATTTTGGCCTTGACACTTCCATCTGCCAGCCACTTTTGCAAATTCTCCTGGTGGTCTTTGAAGTGAGCAGGGCCAAATTTGGGGTTACCGACAAGGAATCCTTCCAAAGTGATCTGCTTGGATACCAGCTGCATCAAACCTTTGATGCCTTCCTGCTGATCAGGCGGAAGGTTATAATTGCCGATCTGTGTGGTATTAACTCCGATGCATCATGTTAATAGTAGGTATCTGCCTCAACTCACCATTCCGCACACAGGAACTCGCCCTCCGACCTTCATGCTCGTCAGAGCTGCTTCGAGGTGCTCGCCACCAACGTTCTCGAAGTAAATGTCGATACCATCAGGTGCCACTCGCGGGAGCGCATCTTTGGGCTTCTCCTTCTTGTAGTTGAAACCAGCATCGAATCTCAATTCCTTGGTGATGAACTCAAGTTTCTCATCCGAACCAACAGAGCCGATAACTGTAAGCCCCTCGCGCTTGGCAATCTGCCCAACAATCTGCCCGACAGCGCCAGCGGCAGAGCTAACAAAGATTGTCTCACCCTTCTTGGGTTGTCCGATCTTGTGCAGGCCAGACCATGCGGTCAATCCGGGCATGCCCAACGGCCCGAGAAACAGCCCGAGGTCCAGGTTGTGGGGGTTGTGGATCTTGCGACCCCGCTGCAAGATGGCGGGTGGCACACGAGCGTACTCCGCGATAGGCGTGTGGGCGACCACCAGACTGCCCTCTGGAAAGTCTGAGTTATTGCTTTTGAGAACTTTACCAATGGTGTCGTTGGTAATCGGTCCGTCGAGGTCGAATGGCGGGGAATAGGACTTCTTGCTTGGGTCACGCATTTTACCCCGCAGGTATGGGTCAAAGGATGCGTATAGGACCTCGACTACCAAGCCACCCTCGGGGGCATCGTCAAGATCAATCGGGCGATCCTCCACTGTGAGATGCTCTCCCGCCACGGGGAGGCCATCGGGGATCTTCTTGAAAATAAGAGTCTTGTTCTGGGTCATTGTGCCTGACTTTATGTGATTTTAGAGCTGATAGTGTTCTGTTCAAGAAGCAGTTGTAAGGATGTAAAGAAAAACGAAGCCACACAAATAGCCTTTTATCAAGTTGTACTGACGTAGTGGTGTGCGATAGGGTTTGCCAGTACATACGAGATGCCGAGGATATATGTACGATTTTGTAATCCAACCTAACGCCGATGAGGTGTATTCCCGCGTTTTCTTTGGCCAGACCCCGCCTTTGCGCAGCAACAAAGACATCGCAAGCAATACGAGTCAAGATGACGTGCTTCATAGCTTTATTGGGCAATCGCACAATAGCTAGCTTTTGCAAGTGAGCCATTGGTAAAAAAAAAAAAAAAAAAGATGGACTGGCATAAAAAATGTAAACGAAGCATATATGAAGCTGTGTCAGCCGACAGATTATATAGCTATGCTGACGGGTTACTCCATTTCAAGGTTTGGGAGAACTGTGCTTGCATCTGTGCAGAGAGCTTGATTCCCTTAGCCACATAACTCATTCTGCAAGATAGACAGTTCTAGTAAAGTAGAACTATGTGTGATGATAGTTAACAGCATATTATTCGAGACAGAACGGTTCAAGTTGCACGATTTAAGCAAGGACAATAATACTGTGAGCATCTTTCAAGTATATCAAGTCAACCTCTTGACTAGTAGGCCGGCAATAATATTACTGAGTACTTCAGTCAATGTCTATACAGCAGGAGCTCGTTCCTTGGTTTACTCTCAGAGTTCAACTCGACATAGACAGTGAATACAAATGTTGAGTTATCGATGAAACCAAATCAAGCTGAATAGTGTAGTAGTCTTTTGCGAAAAGTCAGAACCTGGACTAGGGTTGCAGTGGCAGCCGCATACCGTCTGCCATCACGTGTACGTTATAAAGGTGCTATACAATTGAGCCGAACGCGAAATGAAATGTAACAAAAATATGCACACTTGCTGCTTAGCTACACTTAAGTAGGGAAGTGCATAGACACAGCCTCATGCCACATCAACCGTGGCGTAGCCCGTAACAATTTCGACACAGTTATAGAGGTTCACTTTGTCAGCTAAGCTAGGAATGTGCCTTTTTTTGAATAACCATTAATCGAAGGTCTAGTATTGTCAGCGATACTTACAGCTCGTTTGGAAGTATGTATTATCGGCACAAATGAAATCAGATCCAACTACCATCTACTGAAAGTGGAACGTACAAGTTGAAGGTATAAAATGATGATCGTCATGAAAGGATTCTATGTATTCTAATCTTTTTCACTCAATACAGTACCGCTTAAGAGACTGACTCTGTATGTCGAAGTATGAGCAAATGATCGGGGAAGAAAGTTTTGAGATCCGCCTTTGCAAGGAGTGCCGGTTCTGCCCCGCCTTTAAGGAAAATACACCCAGGCTTCCAGGATCTTACTTGGCAACAGAAATTGCTTCTCCGGCCTGCGGTGAGTATGACACGATTATCTTTTGAGAGAGACTCATAATGTAGTATTTTACGTACCTCAGTGATCGGCGCCTCCCAGAATGAACTGTTCAGTTGTCCCACAAGCGGTACGCTTTATTCCCATGTCATTGGTCAAATTTAAATCTGTAAGGGAAACGGATCTGACTTAGTGACCAACCAAACTATTAGACATTTGTACTTGAATAAAAAGGTAATATGGACACTGGAAAAGGGATTCCCGCTGCAGCTAGCTCTAGCAAGCTTACTAAATTCCGCATTAAGTGGCCGATACAGGAGTCGGGCTTTTTAATCTTTCTCTTATCTACTTTCATTGGTACATGGGGTATCAGCATGCATCACAACGGCATGAGGGGCACCTAGTGATTTGGAGAAGTCGCCCGTTGGTTTCCGAAGACAACCGCTTGTTCATGGCACATGATAAGATTCAATGACTAAGGTAGCGCTTGGCCAGTCAATAGAGAGCCAGAACCCCTCTTCTATCAAAACATGGGTAACTCCAGGTTTAAGATCCGCTGTTTTCTCGACATCTTCGCTGCGCATCCTCGTCACCCATTTCTTTGACTGACTCAAGAAGAAGAAGAAAAAAAGGTTTAAGATCGTCACCATGGCTGAAATCAAAAAGTACAATCTTGGTGATTTCCAGCTACAAAATGGCGAAGTCTTACCAAAGGCCTGGATCGCTTACAAGACATTTGGCGACCCCTCACTTCCAGCCGTCGTCTATCCTACTTGGTTTTCTGGCACAATTGCAGACAACGAATGGCTGGTCGGCGAGGACAAGACCTTGAATCCGAGAAATTACTTCATCATCATCCCAGCACTCATTGGGAATGGCCAGTCTATTAGCCCCTCCAACTCGGATATCAATCCGTTTCCTGACATCTCCTTCTATGACAATGTGCGGGCCCAACATCAACTTGTCGCACAGGAGCTCAAGATTCACCACCTAAGGGCGGTTCTTGGATGGTCCATGGGCGCAGCCCAATCTTTCCAGTGGGCAACGCAGTACCCAGACTTTATGGACATTTGTGTTCCTTTCTGCGGTGCTGCAAAGACTGCCTTGCACAACCAAGTCTTCCTGGAAGGTGTGAAGTCGGCACTCCTGGCTGCCAAGAAAACTAGCTCAGGAGGGAGTACGAAAGGCCGCGTCGAGACTGCGGATCAGAAACAGAATCTTCGTATTTGGTCCGACGAGGAGAAAACAGTCGGTCTCAAGGCATTCGGGCGCGGATATGCGGGCTGGGGTTTCTCCCAGGCTTTTTACCGACACGAGCTATACAAGGAATACTACAAGGCCGCGAATCTCGAGGAGTTTCTCGTCAACTTCTGGGAAAAATGGGCCCTCAGCAAGCATCCAGAGAATCTACTTGTCATGCTTCATACTTGGCAAAGTGGTGATGTTAGTAAGCAAAAACCGTATAGCGGGGACTTCAAGAAGGCGATGGCAGGCATCAAGGCGAAGACCCTAGTGCTACCTTCGAAGACTGATCTCTACTTCCCGTGAGTCTCATACCACTTTTACGATAATGGTCCTTTAATGACATAACGTAGGCCGGAGGACTCCGAATTCGAGGTGGCTTGCATGAGCGAAGGTGTGGGAGAATTGGATATTTACCCGTCCATCTGGGGCCACTGGGCCGGTGGGCCGCCAGGGAACCCAGAAGATGTGAAGTGGTTGGATGACCGCTTGAAGGCAATATTTTCTTCAGCGCCCAAGAGACTTACAAGCGAAATACCAATTAGGTCAAAGCAGTGACAACACTGCGTTCGTTTGTCTCTTCAACGACTATGCAATCATGCGAAGCGCTTACTCCAGCGCCCCCTATTTTGCTACCATCTCTGAAGGAGTGTATACTTAATTGAGCGCCATCGAAAATTCGTCATTTTCACTATTCTACCTTGAAACATTCTCAAGCTCAAACGCTGCTCGGTAGATGCATCGTGATCACCGATCTAGGCAACCAAATAAAAGCTTGCACATCTAGCGAAGTACTGCAAAGGACCTGCCAATTCGGTCCCGAATCGAAAGATATGTGTTGCATCGGATGTGCAGGGGTGCAGTTGATTAAATTGACTCAATAGTCTAGGTGAAGTTTACGAGGTGGTCCAACAGACGGCCAGAGCCCTGCAGAGAGAATTGACGCCGGGGGCCTGGACATGAATGGGCTGCTATCAATCTAAATTTACGTCTCGCAAAGTCCTAAAGTTGGTCTCATACGTGATCGCGTTGTGACGTGATATATGGTTGCTGAGTGAGCGGAAATTCTGGTGGCGGAACTCCGCAGTGCACCGTTACAATGGTGAATCTATGGTGTGGACTAATAACTAAGCTAAGCGTGAACTTGCAACAACTGTATAAATATCAAAGCCATTAGTTGAGTACATTTAATAACATTTCAACAACTCACTTGGAATTGTAGATTGACAGAATCAGTACATTTGAATCTTTTGCCGTCATGAAGTTAAACATTGTCACTTTGTCTCTCTTGGCCACCCTTGGTGCTGCCGCCCCCGTGAGTCTTTCTCTTATGTCCTAAAACGCAATGCTTAATATATGCTCATATTTGACAGGTGGCCAACACCGATGCACTTGCTGCTCGAGACGACAGCGGCGAAGATAGACCTATCTACCCCGGCTGGAAGCGGGATGACAGCGGAGAGGACCGACCTCTCTACCCTGGCTGGAAGAGAGAAAGCCAGTAAAGTAAGTGTTAAAAAAAATTCTGTACTAGGCGGAACATGCTAATTAGGTAGTTGTGTAGTCATTGCCATGGAAACAAAATGTTACTTGAAGCTTTATCGGCAACATAGCTAAAAAGTAAAGTGGGGAAGGGAATTGTGAGCATAGGCAACGATCTCGCGTTTATCTCCTTGAGAGATTTTGTGTTAACAAGATAGAGACAAATCACATGTATCAATATCTCCTGGAAGAATTTGTTTACGACGTAGCGGAAGATGTTTACTGAAATCGAACCTGACTAAGCTGCAGCAAGTGCCTGAAATTTTATTGGCTCTCGAAAGAACAAGCAGCTTAGATAAAAGCTCGATGTCGTCTTCTAATTCAGCCCCCAACGCATGTGCTACAAATAACAAAGTATTATCGATTGAAGCAGCTATTGGTTTGGGAAACGCACTAAAAAAAGCTTCGATAGTTAGGTAAGCCCCACTTGCCAGGCCGAGTGAGTCACGTAAGGAAAAGTCACAAAAAAGAAAAAAAAAAAGGAATTAAGGGAGAACTCTTTCTCAGTTGATGTTGAATAAGCAAAAATCTCCAATTGTCCTACTTTCGTAACGAGTAAGTCTCTTACATCAATCGCAACCTCGTTTCTCAGTGATATGAGTGGCTTACAATTGGTAAAACACAAAGACCATGGCCGCCGAACGCACCTCACTCGTCATTGTCTCGTCAAAGAACCCAGTCAAGATCAATGCGACCAGGCTAGGGTTCAGTTCAGCACTGACAGGCTCATACGAGTTTCGCGGAGTTAGTGTGCCCTCGGGAGTTCCCGACCAGCCTATATCTGATGAGGAAACACTTCTTGGGGCTATGAACCGAGTGCGAAATGCTCGGGAGGTCGAGAAGGATGCCGACTTTTGGGTGGGAATCGAAGGAGGAGTGGAGGTTCGGGAAAATGAGAATGGGGCGTATATGAACTTTGCCTGGATCGTGGTTGCGAACCGCGAAGGCAAGATAGGGAAAGCACGAACTGGCGCTTACTACCTTCCCGAAGAGACGGCCAACTTGCTGCGCCAGGGGATGGAGTTGGGCCATGCGGATAACTTGGTCTTTGGCCATGTGGACTCGAAAACAACCCGGGGCTCTGTTGGACTGCTGACTGATGATCTCATTGATCGCACGAGTTACTATAGCCACGCTATGATTCTCGCTTTGATTCCGTTTAAGAACAGCAAGCTGACGTTTATCTAAGTCATGAATGGAGTAAAGATCTTGAAGTTGCCGTCTGATATCTGATAGATGTTTCGCGGCGAATGCAGCCAACTGCCGAGTCCATCCTATATGATGTTAAAGTATGATGCGCTGCTAAATAGGGGTAGATCGTCCAAGGGCGTAGTTTCTTTATTAAACAGTCAGTCCAGTGTTATCGTACCATTGGCATCCATGTTGCCAAGAAGAGTATTCCAGGGAAAGAAAGTTATGTCAAACATATCATGATTCGCATGTTTGATGAATAAAGTTGTTTGAATGTTGTATGCAACTAGGCTACAGAGCCATAAGGGTGAGCTTTGTGTGTGACCCCTCAGTGAGTCAATGGGAAGATGATTTTTGTTTAATGGTGGTTGGTCCACCTTTGGAGCCAAGTAAGTAACCCCTCCCTGGACTTTCTGCAGTTAAATTTGACTACAGATGACCTGTGCTCCATCTAGCGGCAGAGATGGATGGAAATGTCTTATATTAAAGGGCAGAACTACCTGCAGTGTCGCATCGAGATGACCAGTTTTAGATGCAGTAAAGGGTTGCAACATTTCAACTTCGGCTGAGCAACTTGAAAAGTAACAGCTTTGCCGAGGGAAGCATTTGATGAGATAAAAAAAATTGAGTTATATTCACATGAATAATGTCTCAGGCGAAGGGCCAAGATGGGGGATACTCCATCAGAAACACGCCAGTTGCCATGGGGAGATACCTTTTCCCCAGGAACAAATCATGGGGTGCCACTGGGGAAGGCCCGTACAGAAGAAAGTATCATGATGCCACTAAAGAGTTGAATGTGCAAGTCAAATGACACCCGCTTTTATTCCTCCTCAAATTATAACAAGTGGGGAGTTCCCACCTGAGCAGCTCCAGACGTGACGCGTTCTTTGCTCTACTTCTCTGTTCCCCAAACGACGTGGTCTAAGGAGGGATGAACTCCATTAACCAAAAGACAAAACTGCAAACTATCGTCAGTGCGCCAACATTGGATGAACTTTTTGTGTCGATAAATTTCGCGGCTAATCATCTGCCGAGTTACACATGAGTATAGCTCAACGAAGACCAGGGCAGTGTCTACGCATATCCCGTACACATTACCAAGAAAAGTTTCCGAGTCAATATTTTCAATCAGACGCCGATCACGCCGCTCCCTGGCTTTCTTGGCCAGACCAAGAAAGTACCGCAGCCAAACAGGCCGAAAAACCAAGACTGCCAAGCCAGAGTTCCGCATATATTTGACTTGGAAGTGGAGGGACAAGATCTCGTCGTTATAAGAGCCCCCACCAGCAGCCAACTAGAGAATTAAGCTTAAACTTGGCCAACGTCATTCTTCCATGGCGCCCAGAACAAAAAGGGTCTCAAAAACTCAGCTTACCGAATATTAACACAACAGCATCCCATTCGCTTTGCCCAGCCTCGGGTTACTCTACTAGGTATTCCGTACGGGAGGATGCCGCTGCATCGTTGGCTTGCCGTTCCTCGGCGTTGGTTGCACTATCCACATCAGACCTGGCACTCACCATTAACAAGTGATTAGCAAGCTTTTCGGATCGGTCACTGAAGGCTTCATTCGGTTCCCATCGTGAAACAAATGTATTTTGTCTCGGCTATTATTTCTTGGGCGCCAGGGGGAATGCAGGGTTCTTTTGATCGTCATTGTTGCGTTTGGAGAAATTATAGATCAGGAAAAATGTGGCTCATGTCCCTCGTGAAGTCTCTCGAAGTCGATTAGAGGGGTTTTTTCCTGCATCTGACCTGATTTTCGTTGCAAAACTGCCAACGCCCAAGGCACAATAATGGAGACGGGTGTGGATATTGTTGGTGCACCCCAAGCGGATTTGACTCCATTTCGCCCGGGGCAATCCAGTAGTAAACCTTTCTAGATGACCTCAGCCAAGTCATCCTTCACCGGATACCGTCTCACTGGGCCCCATGATATCGGTCAAAAGCAACGCCCGAGGTGAGAACTGAGCGAGTACAAGACGCGCATCTTTCCTCCAGACCACGTTTCCCCAAGGTCTGTCTGAGCCTAGCGGGGTTATCTTTTTCTGTTTATTTTCCCTTTGATCATCCACGGGCGTGTCTAGAACATGCACGAAAAGCAAGAGAAGCAACAGCGCTCCGGCGAGGCGGGAAGTCCAACTCCCTCCTCTGCTGACAGCAGCCGTGCCATTCACGAAAAGCCTCGGGCTCAAGGAGGCTTTTTGGGTTTCTGCTCGAGGCTGGGCGATCTTCCTGAGTGGAAATTCCGCGGTCAGCTTCTCCAAGGCAAGATCCTCAACTGGTCCATTGGTTTCATCGCATCATGCGGATTCCTCATGTTCGGATACGACCAGGGCGTCCTGAGTTCCCTCCTTACTCTCGATGACTTCCAGAAAAGCATACCTCTCATGACGCCGCTAGAGCAGTCCAACCGTCTATGCTGGCTCGACTACCCCGAGAACACCCAGCGTGACTACAGCCAGTGTACTGGAGATCCCAACACTCAAGCCGCTGCTGTAGCCGTTTACCAAATCGGATGCTTCCTGGGTGCGGTTTTGATTTTGTTTTATGGAGAAACCTGGGGCCGAAAGTCGTCCACCTTCTGGGGCAGTGCTATCATGATTCTCGGAACCATCATGCAAGCTGCTGCTCATGAATACGGTCTCTTCTCTGCCGGAAGAATTGTTGGTGGAGTAGGAAATGGCATGGTCACCTCAAGTAAGCTATTCCGAAGACCATCATTAGTCGTGTTCTCGCAGCTAACGCCTTTCAAGCTATCCCAACTTGGCAATCGGAGTGTGCGCGCCCTCATCAGCGAGGTTTCCTTATCACGCTGTCTGGAGCCTTGATTTCCTGTGGTATCGCTATCGCCTACTGGGTCGACCTCGGATTTTACTACTTGGAAGGCTCGATCCGATGGCGGTTCCCCATATCGTTCCAGTCATTCTTCACTATCATTGTCATGTTTGGCCTTCTGTATCTTCCCGATTCACCTCGTTGGTTAGCGATGAAGGGTCGCATCGAGGAGGCTCGTGAGGTTACAGCACGACTTCTTGGCAAGCCTATCGACCACGAAGATGTTACTGTCGAAGTCAAGGCTATCCAGGAAGCGCTTGAGGTTCAGAGCCAGGGCGGTGGTTTCAAGTTCAAGGAACTCCTGACCAACGGACCATCTCAGAACCTTCGCCGAACTCTCCTTGGTATTGCCGCTCAGTTCTTCCAGCAGATTTGTGGTATCAACCTGATCACATACTATGCCGGCTTCCTCTTCGAGAACTCCCTCGGCTTCGGCCCTGAGATGTCGCGACTTCTTGCTGCCGCCAACGGTACAGAATACTTCCTGGCCTCACTTGTTGCGTTGCCACTCATTGAGAGGACCGGAAGACGTAAGCTGATGTTGTTCGGTGCCTTTGGTATGATGGCTTCGATGGCAATTTTGGCCGGTACTGTGTCCACAGGCACAGTCGCCGCCAACGGTGCTCCTCAGCTTGAGACCCGCTATGGTGTCACCGCCACCGTGTTTCTCTTCGTGTTCAACTCTTTCTTCGCCATCGGTAAGTTACAGTGGCCTTTTTGCTTAAGATACTGATCGCTAACACCGAATTAGGCTGGCTGGGTATGACTTGGCTGTACCCCGCCGAGATCACGAACCTGCGCATCCGCATCCAGGCCAACGCTCTTTCCACGTGTTCAAACTGGCTGTCCAACTTCTTGATTGTCATGATCACGCCTCCCGCCTTTGCCAACCTAGGATACCGAACCTACGTCATGTTTGCCGTATTCAACGCAGCCATCATTCCTTGCGTGTGGCTATGGTTCCCTGAGCCCAAGGGCCGAAGCCTCGAAGAGTTGGACGTTATCTTTGCTAGTGCCCATGCCGATGGTGTCAACCCTGTCAAGCGTGCCAAGGAGATGCGGCACATTGACGGAACTGAGCTCGAGGGTGAGCTTGACAAATACTTTGGGTCCAGCGAGCAGGTTGAGGATGCTCGCCCGATGACTCGCCCGATGACTGGACACAGTCAGGAGGCGAGAAACTAGATGTACAATGTCTATAATCTGGTATTATACGGGGTTACTGTTATATACAACCCTAATTGATTAGTTACTTTTGAAAGATAAAATTATTGTCATTCAATCCATTTGAGGTTGTGTACTAAACATGAAACTTGAATCTCGAATGCCGATCTATGATACAGTAGTTTGCTTTATTGAAAAGGTATTGTTGATATGGGGCATCTCAGCCATCACAAATCAAATGCATCGACAGAGATTTGTTGACTTTACATTCTTCAATCTCAAGACCTTCACACAGCCTGACTTGTTCATGCTCATTAACTCGCTGTGGACTGCCCAAGTAAACCCCTTCTAATAGTTTGATGTCGGCTGTCAAGCTAAGTTTGCAAAGCTCCCCTACAATGAATATTAGGAACATAATCATCGCTCGCTAAAGCAAGATGCCATGGAGACTTAATGTTACTTTAAACGCATAAGATCTGCATGTTGGTTTACGTTTAATCTATTCTGTGCCAGGCTGTGGTTCCTGAATAGCTCCCCCGGGTACGTACCTGGCATTCCTAATGTTGATTACACAGCACCAAAGTTCCCATACTAATGACCAACAGTCTGCCTGATCTACTCAACCCAGCCACAGTCGCCCCTTCAAAAAAAGAACCAATGTGCACCTTGCCTAGCCCACTTGATTTAATTCTCATTGGCCAAGATGCCAGACGCCACAAAATACACCTTTGGCTGCCTACGAAGGATTCTGGTCCAGATGCAAGGACGCGTTTACAGTGAAGCATGTGTACCCCATTCCTTCAAGATACGGTGTTACCAACTCACTCAGTAGCCAGTGATAGTTTGTCAAAGGTGTCAAGATCCAGTGCTTAGTGGACAGTATCGATGCATTTGGATACCTTGAATCGTGCTTACCAGTACGTACCTCACGATCCTTCGACGCCCCATTTTGGCAGCCAACACTGGGGCTCGAACGACCTCTGGGGTCTTCAGCCTATCATATTTCTCCGAAGACATGAGGCTAATGGGTTCATCGCACGCTCAGCCTGCGTAGATCATGCTCAACCCACATGGTGTACGGCAGTCCAGATATCCTCAGGCTTTCAGTTAGTTGTCCTACAAGCAGTATGTCGATATATAGAGAGTCTTGGTCCTGTTTGAACGTTTTGTTGTTTCCAGCATCAACACTTCAACAAACACAGAAAACGCAAAGATGGTTTCTCCAAGCACCAACATTGTCCTCCGAAAGATTTCCATCATCTCTTTCGTACCCGCCTTCATCATACTTTTCATCCATGGCATAATTTCCAGCTGCCCTTTTCCGGCTCTTGGGATCCTGCCCTTATCCGCTTCCGCCGTCCTCGGTCTCTTCATCGTCCGTCGAGATTTCATCGCCGCTCTAGGCTCCCCCATCCAGGCTCTTTCGCCATCCAATATCTTCTTTGCAGACCTCTTCCTGGGCGTCTTCCACTTCATCTTCCTCCTCATCAGCTGGGTTGTCATTCGAGAGCCCTGGGACAGAGGCCAGATTGTCTTGGGCACTTACGGCACGGTCCCTCTGATGGTTAACACGTAGGTATTGAATCTTTGGAGAATGATGAGCTGAACTAACCATTCTCTTTCCCCCCCACAGTGGCATTCATTTCTACGTCCTTATCCCGCAAATCGCCCACATGTTCTCTCGACGGACTTGCGACTGTCCTCACTGCCAAAGCGTCAATAAACCAGCCTTCTTTTCATCTTCCACGTCGGAGTACACTCCTCTGAATGAAGACGACACCGAGCCTGAGGATATTGGACGAGACCTTGAGGCAGGCCACTAAGGGGGCCACGAAAGGGAGAGTAATTGGATTTGTGTCAACTAATAATACACAAGATGGACACTTGATGGAAATGGACAACATCTTAAGATTAAGAGACAAGCATTCCGTTCACTCATTTTTACAAAGTCGGCGTTATATATGAAAGGAATATGATTTAGACATTATATATAGAAAATATCACATTGTTATGTGGACAGTCTTGGGTCAAGACATTTCAAATTCATACCCAAGAGAAGAGGAACCGTATCTTTCACTGATAAGTTTCTCCATCCGTCAAACTCCACATACTTGTGGTCGTTGATTGCATGCTACAACTGAGCGTGATCAGTATTACAATTCGGTCTCGGACCATTTTAAATTCCGCTATAGGCAGGGAAACAACTAAATCAAGCAACCCAACCTTCGGCAAGGATGCAGACGCAACAATTTCGGCCTCGTCGCCGCCGTTACCCCAACGACTCAAGAGTTACAACCAACAGGTTAAAGACTTGACACATTCACAAGCCAAACTCAAGTTCCCCGTCTCGTATCAAAGTATCACGACTCCCCCAAGGCGGGGTAACATCCAATAAAAGGAGTAGCCAGGCAGTTCATATAATGCGGTCCCACATTGACTTCGTCGACACCCTTGCCGCCTCCAAATCTCCGTGAGTACCATCCCGGCTTCTGTCGTGGGGGCAGTGTGCAGACGAAGCTTAAACTTCAGACGGACGAGGGACGTGAGCCGCCCCTTCCCGCTGTTAGCGGGAAGTCCGTACAAAAAACGACATCACATTTTACTCTTTCAGCAGCTTTCACTGAAGGACTGTGCTTTTAAAAGATTAAACTCTTCGCTACATAGCTTTCCTTCGTACAAATACCTCCAACCATCACGTCAATCTACCAACTACTCTCCCCCCCTTCAGCAAGCCTTAGTAACCCATACCTGGAAATCTGACAATGTTCTTCGCAAACTCGACGTTGAATTCCCTCCTCGCCGTCGTCCTCCTCTCCCTTCTAACCGCTTACATAGTCTACTCCGTTATCAACTCGCCGATCCGACACATACCCGGCCCTTGGCACACCCTTATAACCCACTACCCGCTCAAGTACTACGTCCTCACCGGCCAGCGCATGTACTACGTCCATGCCCTGCACGCACGTTACGGCCCTGTCGTCCGAATATCGCCGTCGGAGGTAGCAGTCTGTGACCCGGACGGCTACGCCGCGATCCATCGCATCGGAGGCGGCTTCCTCAAGTCGGCATGGTACGAAGAGTCGACGCGGTCGGACAGCGGGGAGACGAGCATCTTCGCCATGTCAGACCCGAGACAACATGCTCAAAGAAGGAAACTCCTCGGCAGGGTGCTCACAAAGCAGTCCCTGCGGCGAGATTGGGAGTTTCTGGTGAGGCAGAAGGTCGAGCGCGCCGTGGACAGAATCTACAACGAGGCCAGGGAGGGCGGGTGTTCGGACATGTTAAAGTGGTGGACCATGATGAGCACGGATACGATTGCCCAGTTGGCGTTTGGGGAGTCGTTCAACTTGCTTGAGCTAGGAGAGGTGCGGCGGCCTTGGGGGCACTCTCACCCTTGTCACACAACGGTAACTAACTGTGGGCGTATACTGTAGAAAAATGACTACTTGAAGGCTCTAGAGCTCGTCTCGATCCAAAACACAATACGCTACGAGCTACCCCCTTCTCCACTTCATTCAATCCATAAATCCATTCAAATCATCAGCAGGCGCTCCCGACGCGCAAAAGGTGTTCAGGGTATACGGCAAGCGGGCTGTGGCAAACGCCTTCAAGAACAGCCGTGACAGGCCGAATTTATTCGCGCGCATGATCGACGCGAGCATGGCGCGCGAGATGGAGTGGTTGAACGAAGGGGTCATTGAGGCCGAGGCCAACAGCATGATCATCGGCGGCTCAGACACGACCTCGGTGACTCAGACCTACCTGGTATGGGCCGTCTTGAAGCGGCCAGATCTGAGAGAAGCGCTGGAGGAAGAGGTCGACGGTTTGGAGCCGGGATTCGACGATGCCGCATTGGAGAAGCTACCGCTTTTGAACGCCGTCATTGATGAGACGCTGAGGTTGTACGGCGGCGCGCCTGGCCACCTCGCGCGGATCGTGCCGCCAAAGGGTGCTACGGTAGGCGGGTACTTCATCCCGAGTAACTACACCGTCGAGACGCAGGCTTATACCCTCCACCGGAACCCGGAGGTCTGGCCTGACCCGTACCGGTAAGTGTGCCGAACTGCCCGTGTGGGCCCACCTTGGGGCGGGGCCGTATGGAGACTGACCTGCGTAACCAGTTTTGACGAGACGCGGTTCTTGGATCCCAGTCAGCTTACACAGCAGCAGAAGCAGCTCTTCTTACCGTTCGGGGCGGGTTCCCGGAGCTGTATTGGGGTTGAGCTGGCGAAAATGGAGCTTCGCCTAGCTACGGCTGTGTTCTTCCGGAGGTGTAAGGGCTTGAAGCTTGCACCCGGAACGACGGATGAGTCAATGGAGATGGAGAATTACTTCTTGATAAGCCCACGTGGGCACAAGTGTGAAGTAATAATGGCTTGAGAGATGATCGGCCCCCCAATTCGGCTGGGACCTTTTGTTGGAAGGGTTTCAAACAAGGGCTCCAGTCAATCTGAAGAAGACATGTGAATACCAAATTTGTAAAAAAAAAAAAAAAAACACATTCCCGAGAATCATGCCGCGGGCTTGAAGAGATTGCCACCCCCCGCCATTACAAAGACCCTCCGCAAAAAGGCGACAGGAATATACTACTAACGAAAAAAAAGTGCCAAGCTGGAAATCCAGATCAACCGAAGCATGCCGGCGAGCTAGTCCCCCTCCCCTCGTTTCCCATCATGCGAAGGCGTCGGGAGCCCGTGGGGTTTGGACCCTTTTGCGGATCCATCGCGGGCTAGCTCGCTGTTTTCTCGAAGCTGTTCGGATGACCCGACTCATGCGCCGCCTCCCTAATCCCTGACCGAACCGGTTTGCTAACCAGTAACAGCAAAGCCTCAAGGCGTACACGACGGCGCTACCAACGTCAAATACAGTCGATTCATGGGCCCCCTCGGGACCCACAGGGTACGGCCACTTGAAAGATTTTTTACGTAGCTGTAATTAAGAGCGATCCACGATCTCAGCTCATGTTGCGAAACCGGAGGGGGGGAGCTCAGAAAACGGACAGAATGTTCTGCTGAAGCATCCAATTCAATGTGTCAGGTAGACTCGATAGGCGCGAAAGAAGCTTTTTAAAGATGGCTCAAACAGATGCCAAGAAGTGATCCGGGACCAGACCGAAGCAGACCGAGACGAACTACGGGCCCCCAGGTTCGGTGACTGCACGTAACTTTCACCATCATGTCAACCTTTTTGCCCCTGCGACCCCACTAGCCTCAGGAACTTCCTTGACTAGAGCGATGATGCCATCAGGTACCCCTCCGGTTTCGCCATGGAGGAGGGAGCAGAAAAAAATGGGAAAAAAAAGATCTCATAGTACAATGAGTATTTCATTAATGCGATCCCAGGCCCCATGGCTCCCGTACTCGTCTTGTCGTTGGAAACCCCCTCCCCTCATTCGCACGTCGCTTTTGTCCTGGCCATATAGACAAAAGGGGAACCAGACTAAGCCCGCAGTCTTTCAGCCATGACCGCGTACGATACCGATAGACGTGCCCATTCCATTGGGCCCGCCGGAGACGACGACGTCCGGGATATCGAGAAGTCCGGAGCCGACGACGACCACCACCATGACGACAAGGCCGCCATCCTGGAGCCCCAGATCAACGTCGGCGGCCAAGGCCGCACGCAGCGCCGCCTGAGGGACTACCAGGTCACCATGATCGGTTTCTGCTCCGGCATTGGAACAGGTCTCTTCATTGGAACTGGTTCCGCTTACGCAAAGGCCGGTCCTGCCGGTCTGTTGCTGGCGTACATTGTCGTTGGAATGGTTCTGTGGTGTGTCATGCAGAGCATTGGAGAGTTGGCAACTTTGGTATGCAAATTGGGCCCCATATACGATCTCTCTTAATGACACACTTTGCTGATTGCCTGATAGATTCCAACCGCTGGATCCTTCCCCCATTGGGCCACCCGTTTCATTGACCCAGCAGTCGGTTTCTCCTTGGCCATTTCATACGGATACTGCTACACGATAGCTATCGCATCCGAAGCTTCAGCAGCAGCAATCCTCGTTTCTTACTGGACAGACATCACTCCCGCCGTGGTAATCACCGTATCCCTCGTTCTCATCCTCATCTCCAACTTGGTGAGCGTGAGATGGTACGGTGAGACGGAGGTTGCTGGCGGCACCATCAAGGTGCTCTGCTTCATCGGCCTCGTCTTCACATCCATCATCATCACTGCTGGCGCCGGCCCCAATCACGAAGCCATCGGATTCCGGTACTGGCGCAACCCTGGCGCGTGGGTTGAGTACAATGGCATCAGCGGCTCGACTGGCCATTTCCTGGGCTTCCTCGCGGCCTTTGTCAACGCTTCCTTCTCTTTCATCGGGTAAGCAAAGCTTCGCTTTACAGAAGGCAGCCACATACTGACAAACTGTTCAAAGCGTCGAGACCGTAGTCATCAGCGCCGCCGAGTCTATCAATCCCCATAAGGCTATCCCGAACGCCGCCCGCCGCGTGACCTGGCGCATCGGTCTGTTCTACATCCTCGGCGCCCTTCTCATCAGCTTGATCGTCGACCCGCGCGAGCCCGGCCTGGTCTCTGGCTCCGGCAACGCCAACAGCTCTCCTTGGGTTATCGCCATCCGCCAGGCGGGTATCAACATCCTCCCCTCCATCGTGAACGCCTGTATTCTGGTTTCGGCCTGGTCGGCCGGCAACTCATACTGCTGGGTCGGTTCCCGTATGATCGTGGCCATGACCACGGACCGACAACTGCCCCAGATCTTCGGTCGTACGAACAAGCACGGTGTGCCGTACATCGCCGTTATCACGGCCTGGCTGTTCGGCCCCCTCGCCTACCTGAGTGAGTTTGCTCCCCCTCTCTCCCACCTTTCTAGCACTAGCAGTATGTGACATGTGGCTAACTGAGTTTCTCAGGTCTTGGATCTGGCGGTGCCGCCGACGCCTTCAACTGGCTTCTGAGTCTGAGCACAGTCGCTGGTCTCATTGCGTGGGCGACCCTTTGCTTCTGCTACATCCGTTTCCACCGCGCCATGCAGGTCCAGGGAGTCAGCCGAGACACCCTCCCCTGGAAGGCGCCTTTCCAGCCTTACACTGCGTGGTTTGGCTTCGTCGGCGCTACCATTATCACGTTTGTCGCGGGATTCTCTGTGTTCCTCAAGGGCAACTGGTCGACCGCCGACTTCATCTCCTCGTACATTGGCATCCCGATCTTCATTGTGCCGATCATTGGCTGGAAGATTGTCCACCGCACAAAGGTTCGTACATCGATTGCCCACACATGACGTCAAGTCGCTAACTTGAGCAGTTCGTTCGCGCGCACGAAGTAGATTTATGGTCTGGCCGGCTCCACGAGTCAGAATATGTTCCTGAGAAGCCCAAGCCAGAGAACTTCCGCCAGCGTGTCAGCCAATGGTTCTCATGATTCCAACTGCAGAAGAGGGGGGGCTGGCTTGGAAACTCTACCCCCTGATAGCCCTCGGGCGCGAAGACTCATGCCGCGCGCCGTGGCTTGCAGTATGAAAAGTGTAAATTAGTCGTAATAATTCAATATCAGAAGTTCCCGTGAACTTGGGAATGTTGCTGCCTGGCGTCAGGTCTGCCGAATGATTACGACTTGGTCTTCGTGCTTGAGAGTGATTCCATGCTACTAATGGCCTAAGCCACTGCAACACTGAGGCCAAAAAGAAGTTACCCTAACAGCCTCACCTTCGTGGTAATAGAAGACGACGTCACTATAGGCACTCGCTCTCAGTATTCGGCCGTATTTCGTATCGGCAAGCCGAAGCGGGCTTCGTCCCACTGGCGTCCCGTAGGATGACAAGTAACAATCAAGAAGGTGGTCGCCGACCGGATAAAAAGCTAGCTACCCCAGCCCATGGCTCCCACGTCTCCATAGTGCGGGAGTGATCCCGGCTATGGTCCCTGTTTACTCCACTGATCTGTTTGCGAATGCTTGGTGCGTCTCCCTCTCTCTGTGCAGTGTATGTGTGTGTGTGTGCCCCAGCCCCATGAAGGAATGATCCACCCTGCAATAAAGAATATACTACGTTGTATAGCAACAGATACCATTAACGTCAAGTCAGGCCACCATCATTCTGGCGCGCGTGCGATCCCTCTCCTTCTGGGCCAATATTGGAGGTACAAACTGCACTGCAATGCAGTCATCTACCAGGCCAAGCTTTGCGTTATCAGGTAGAGAGGAAACAACCGCCGTGAACCGACAGAAACCATCAGTCGAGGGGCTGGGGTCGTTGTGTGAATGACAATCCTACCTATACCTACGGGGGAGCGTCTAAATGAAAAGGCTGCGTAATGGCCACACAAAAAAAAGTGAACACAGCATCGGAAAGGAGGGGATAAGTGGCTTCCCTATCGGCCTCTGAGCTGGCAATCAGCCCAAGAGTCGCAAATGCGCGAATTGCGGAGGGAGTGATGAAACTCGGTTCAGTATGTAGGTGTGTGCTTGGCGTCAGCACCGATTTGGCCAGGGTATAATCTACTCAATGGAGTATGGCTTATGCTGCAAAGATCTCGGCCGTTCCGTAGAGCATTTGCCATAAGAACGAATGCCAGACGCTGATTCGCTCTTTGGTCACCTTAAATCCCACCGATCTTCAACGTGCCATTGGTCCTGTTAAACGATACTGTAGCGGCGGGGCTTGAACACGTACTGGAACAGGCTGGAATTGAGGCCGGTTGGGCTTCATGGGGGGTGGGGTATGTGATGAGGTTTAATTTCAAATATCATGATCTTTGTACTGGGTGGTCATCTTCCAGCGCGCCCTTGGTGTTCAATATGCATTCCCTTTTCACGTAACAAAATGTCGGTGTGATTTGGAATGATGCGATGAACTAGTTCAATGTCAGCAAACTGGTAGAGACAATATGTGAGCAAGTGATGGCATGTTTATGAATGTTGATGACCAACCTTCTTGTATCAGCGGCATTTGTCAACTGCTTCACGATATCTCTCAACACCAAAGCAATAGCCATAGATTCTCTCCACGGGCCTTTCAGGTCGTGGATTGATGCGCCGAGGTGGCGTTTTACCCACGACCCGGGGCTGGGCCAAGGACGCGCTGTCACGTCCTAGCTTTGGACGGGTCAATGGAGGGGATAAGAGCCAGGAGGTATCATTAGGCAGACGTCTAACAGTTCTCCCAACCATGATCCTAGCAGACGGAACGGACAACAAGAAGACACCGCCAGTAGCGAGTGTACAAAGCCACCAGGGCGGCAAGGAAAGCCGTCAGCCATTCCCAGATCCGCCAGAGTGTCTGGAATCATGTGGCTGTAGTAGGAATTGGGATCAATGTTTGGTTGACGGCAGTGATTTCGGGTGTGCCATGTCATGGAGAGGCAAGTCACAGGGTAGGGGTCCGATGAAGGCTTTTTGTTGATGGCGGTGCTCTCCTGCATGAAACTGCTGCAGCTTCTGCAGGAGGTAATCCAAAGCGGTTGACTTTAAGGCTGAGATATCATTCCATCCTGACCATATGACTTTCGATGCCGTCGCCGTTGTCGCAGTCGAGACCACGAGCCAGTGTGGTTATCACGCGAATGCGAACTTTACCTCTGACATACTCGTAGTGACTCACAGTCTCTGCAAATCAGGAGAAACCAGCCGTTAATCACGACGTATACACCTGTAGCTCATGTATCTTGGACCCCAATCCCAGAGAAGGGGATGGACGGGTAAGGCTGGCACCCTGTGGTGAACTCAACGGGCTCCCGGTTTACTAGTCCCGTGTGCCAGGCGTCTGGCTGCATCTCCCCCTCTTGCGGAAGAAGTAGAGGGGTGTGGGCAACCAATCCAGATTCTGGTTTTCTGAAAGCCTGACGGGTGTGTCTCTATTTTGGGAATTTCCGCCGGTTGAATAGGATTGGTCGAGAGAAGGGCGAGGAAAAGGTACACCACAGACTGGAGATGGGGGCCAAATTTGGCCCCCAACTCTTGCTCAAAGACTCTTGTTAACAGTATGGCCGTTCTGCTTAAAGGGCGACTTTTCGCTCTCTAACAGAGCAGATTTGTCTTGTTCAATCCGTTTTAATCATTTCCTGAGCCTTCTCGAAAATGCCGTCTGCTTTGTGCAATTTTGGCGGAAGCCAGATCAACTTCTTCATGCCACGGACGACTGGTGTGTCTTGGTCTGAGCCGGCGGAGCCCGCCACGACCCCCAAGTAAGCTCCCACACCTTTTCAACGTGCATAACGGTACAGGGTCTGATTGGCGGTAATAAACGGCTAACTGAAGCAGGAATTCTAAAAATGGGCCGCAAATACTCACATTTGCCCTACAGAAGCGGCCCCGAGCCACTCGAGCGAGTACAGCCAAAGTTCGGACTGGATGTATTACTTGTAAGCCACTCCTGCGTGCCAATCGGCGTTGTAATGTGACGAGTAGCTAATTCCGTCCTAGGCAAGTAAGTTGGCTCTTACTCGTATAAAATAAGATCGGTTCCTCATGCTCATCTACCTAGGCGGCGACATGTTAAATGCGACGAAGCGAAGCCCTCTTGCCAGCGATGCATCAAATGGCAGGGATTTTGCGAGGGATATGATGTGAACTCAAACAGTTCGTCGGCGCCGACGCCAGCACCAGATAACGGTGTACTCGACAACACGAAGTCTTACCAGACCGTGATCAAGACGGAATGCCCAGCAAGCGGCTCTGAATCTTCGGGGCAGCTTGAAGATGTCAATCTGGTTATCGAACCAACCTTTGACTTCTTTGAGAACGACACTGAGCGACAATACTTCAACCACTGGCTAGACCACCGCGATAGATTTGGCGGTGGTTTCTTTGATGAGCAACTTTGGAACGAGACGATCCCTCAGCTGAGCCGCCAACATGCGTCAGTTCGTTACGCAATCATGGCCATTGGCGGCATCTCTAAAGCACTCCGACAGAGTCTAAAGCCCACAAACCCAGCCCTGATGGCGGCCAACGGGCCGCATTATAGCCTCGCCCTCTCGTATTACGGACGAGCTATTCGCGAAGTCCGAGAGGCGGAGTTGAAAACGAGTAGCCTTCGAGGCGCCATAGTGTGCTGTCTGCTCTTCGCATGCTTCGAGGTGTTGCACGGCGATCGAAAGGCCGCCTTTGCCCACATCAACAACGGCCAGCGGATGATGGATGAGCTCTTGCGCAGGTGCCAGCTAGACGGCTGCGACCGGACCCAGAATATACTTGGGGCCGAGTCTGTCGAGACCGATATCCTGCACGTATTCCAGCGGCTCATCCAACAGTCTTGGTCCTGCGGTGTCCTCAGGCGACGCGATCAACTAATGTTGGACAAGCCTGACAGACCATGTAGCGATCCCCGACCTTGGTGTTGCCGAGGAGGATCTGGCAGAAAATGTGCGATCCATAAAATGCCAGCGACATTTGCAACTCTACAGGAAGCTCGTCGGTGGTGGGACGTCACACAGCATTTCGTGACGCACTCATCGAACGTCGTCTTCCGGGTCACGCATCTTGGCCTCGGCGATGACTTCCTTTCCGAGTGCAATGAACGCGTTCAAAGACATATGGATTATATCGAGAAGGCCAGGGCTGGCATCAAATCAGCGACCTCCGAGCAGTGGCAGGATTTCAAAGACGCCCTCGAGCGATGGAACGGCGGCTTCGAGCCACTCTGGATCGCCGCTCATAACTCCAAAGATAAGGACGAAAAGTCATATGCGCAGGCGGCGCACCTTCGGGCGCACTACCTGACGATGTACGGCTGCGTTCATTCGCCGTTGAGCTGCAGCTACAACAGTGTCGCCGAGCTGACACCCAAATACCGCGAAGTAGTTGAGCTTTGCAGCCACCTCTTCAAGTACCAGAAGCGCTATTTCGACAATTCCGAGATGTTCACAATGGACATGGGCCCGACTTGGCCGCTCTTCCTTGCGGGAACTCGATGCCGAAACCCTGAGGTGCGGAACGAGGCCATCCGGTTGCTACATGAGAATCCTAGACGAGATGGTCTTTGGGATAGCCGCATCTTCTATGCCTTGACTGTTCGTAATCGTATGCTCGAGATATCCAATGCCCAAGAGGGCACGATTGAAGAGCAGTGGTGGCGATTGCAACATCGATCCGCGTATGTGGACGAACAAGGCCGCTTGATGGCGAGGGCTATGGACAAGAACCCATTGACGGGCGCTTGGGAATTTGGCGAGGATAATCTACGTCGTTTTCTGTTTGATTGATTTTGAATGTTTGTTGTTTTTCGGAAGTGGGAAATTGTTTGAGGGCATCCTGATAATGGCGAATGATTTACTTGTCGAGAGGAACTGGAACGAAATTGGGAAGCGCGAATGAGGCAGGAGTTTCCAGTCCCTACCTGTATCTTTGGTACCAAGGCGCTCGGTCGCTTAGCTGGGGGATAAAACGATACTACATCTTAGATACCTAACTTACGAAGACACGATATACGTCTTATAGTCAAGGACTTGTACTTTGAAGATATGACATTGATCTGATGGATTCTTTTAGAGCATCTCTGCGTTTATTCTAGCCCAGATAGAAGCTATAATAAAAGCAAACTACTCAGGGTTATATATCCGCCCTAGTCGTTATAGTACCATTGAATTGGCTATGCACGCAAATTCAGACCAGCAAATACCATGTTACTTTACCCCCTAAAGCTTTCTATAGGCACCACAGTTGGTCTTGACTACAAAAGAGAGAAGTAAAAGGCCATTATTACAAAGATCTTGAACAGATATAACAAAATATCCCGTATGAACTCACATAGCACATATTCCAACCCACGCCAGCTAATATACCCTAATCAAACACATCAGTAACATACCTCTCATTCCTGACGCCCTCAAACCACTTCTTCGCCCCCTCATAATCCAGACCCTTCACCTCGTCCCCTTCTTTGGCACTCTCCATGATGACCTTCAAGCAGGCCTCCTCAACCGCCTTGCCGACATTCCTCGTCCCGCAAATATACAACTTGGCCCCCTTGGCCCACAACTCGGCGACATCCTTCCTGTCATGCCACAACCGGTCCTGGACGTACTTACACCCCTTACTCCTGTCAGAACGGCGGGAATACGCTCTTCGGACGCTCGCAGCGCCCATCTTCTCCCACCTATCAAACTCCTCTCTGTACAAATCATCCGCGTCCGGCTTCCTGCACCCGAAGAAGACGAGCGCCGGCGCGAGGCTGCGACCTGCTGCAATCATCGCCGCTCGTTCTTGTATGAACCCCCGGAAGGGCGCTATGCCGGATCCCGCTGCGACGAGAATAATGGGCGTCTTTTCGGGTCCGTCAGGGAGGTGGAAGGCCGGGTGAGAAGGTCGGACGGCGACTTGTAACTTGTCGCCCTTTTTCAGGGCCTGAAGATAGCTTGTTGCAACGCCGACGTGGCGGCCTTGCCCAGAGAGCGAGAGTAAGTCGAGGAGAGTGTATGTTAGTGTTGCTTGTGAGCGGTCAAGAAACGGTGAGGAGGAAATAGAGCTGCAAGAGTTAGCTGCAAACTCCCGTATTAAAGGCCGGGGGGTTGAACTTACTATTGTCGTACGCGCATGGGTGGCAGCATAGCTAGGAAAGCGCCGATGGGCAGATCAACGGCCGGGAATCGCTCTAGGAGGTCCAACACGGTGACGCGTTTCTTGGTGATTTCCTCATGGAAGTGTTCATCGCTTGAAAGTTTCGACAGCTCTTTTGTAGTGGCGTCGTCCTGCGCTGCCTCCGCCAGCGAGGAAACATTTCTCTTCGTCGCGGGCTGCGCGAGCTCGACGTACGAGCTGAAGATATCAGAAGCAGGTACAGCCTGGTCGACCGGCAGCGGCATTCTTTTGTCTCCAGAGATTGTCAGGCACGCATCCCACGCCAGCCTGAACCTCCTAAAAACCCTGTCCACGTTCGCTCTTGGATTTAGGGGTAACACCGCCAGGTAATCTCCCGCCCGGTAAGTCATGTTTGATGGCAGTTGGATATCCATATGCTTCTTCGGCACCGCTTCAGCCGTCGTAAGAACGGTTTCCTCCACAACAACGGCCTCCTCGACATCCTGTTTCAAGGTTGAGATACGAGGGCTCGAAACCTGCACAGAGAGTCCTGCCTGCATCCCACCACCGCTCCGCGCTTCAGAGATTTCAAACTTGTCCACCAGCGCAGGCCATAAGACCTCGTCCTCCCAGGACTCGAAATCACTAAACATGTCGCGTTCCGCGGCGTCGGTTAACCCCATAGCTACAAGCCGCGTGGCGCCGCGCTTCTCCATTGTGTCGTCTATCAGCTTTGGGACCTTGTGGAAAGTTTGAACCCAGTCATGATGGCCGCATCCAAACACGGCATACGGGACATTTTCGAGTTCCTTGCCTTTCAGGCTCTTTAGCCAAGCGACGAACCGAGTCGCGTTTCCGGGCGGCTGGCCCTCGTATGAGGCGGTGATGATCACCACCGGTCGATTCTTTGGGAGGTTCTCTGCAGCAGCGTCGAGTATGTCCACAATTTCGGCCTCGAATCCGTGGTATGCTGCGTCAGTTGCGAGACGCCGAGCAAGAGCCTCGCAAGTTCCGCTGTTGGAGCCGTAGTATATGCTCAAAGCATGGCCGCCGGCTTCAGGTTTGTGCCCATTTGTCTTCTGATCTTTGCTTTTGATACCATTCGTCTGTGCCTGCAGTCGTTCCCGGGAAGCAGAAGGCGTTCTCGGTACCCCCTTACCGGCTAGCTGATGTTCTAGTTCTGTAGGAGACATGCCGTGGCGAAGGGCCGCCCGCATATGAAATCCTTTTGGTTTGATCGTAAGCGAGTCCGCAATCTTTAGCTCGTAGCTGGGGTCGTCCATGGTCAAATCAAAGTTTTGGAGTAACATGGCTGTAGCAAGCAAAGCCTCTTGCCACGCGAAGGGTCGACCGATACAGGCTCTCGTACCGTTGCCAAAGGGCTTCCAGCAGTTGGGGAACTCTTTTTGCAGACGCTCAAAGTTTTGATCCATCATGCGCTCTGGCTTGAATTCCTTGGCATCCTCTCCGTACACGTCTGGATCCAGGTGTGCCTTGGCAATCATACAGCCGATAGGTTCGCCTTTCTTGATAAAGTACTTTCCTGCCAGGAAAGTGTCCTCCCTGGCTTCGACACCGAAACCGGGAATGCCGGGCGAGAGTCGTAGAGTTTCTCGGAGAACCTAGCAAACATTAGTATCTTCTCGTGTCCAATTTATTTCGAATTAAATGAAGAAGCCATACCCCGTTCAAGTAAGGCAGCTTGGCCAAGTGGTCAATCGTAATGGGATCTCGGCCAATGACTTCATCAACTTCCTGCTGAGCCTTGAAATATGTAGCTGGTTTCTTCAACAGCTGGTAGAACCCAAACGACAGCAGACCTGAAGTCGTCTCATGACCAGCAATAAGGAAGGTTATCAAGTTGTCGATGATACTCTCGTCCGTCATCTTCTGGCCCGTTTGAGGATCGACACCGTCAAGCATGGCGCCCAGCAAATCTCGCCGACTCGAAGGGGCTTTCTTACGGGTCTCTAGCACCTCAGCAGCCGTTTTCCGCAAAATGTCAATGTCCTCAAAGAACTTCTTCTCCGAGGCCCGGAAAATCCAGCTTGCAAACGCGGGTCGTAGGTCACGATTTCCGCATTCCGTGAGAGAATCGCCCATCGCTTTGATGAAGGGATGCAACTCCTCACGGTAATACGAGTTGAACCGATAATCCATCGCGCAGAGAGCGAGAGTGTCAAGAGTCAGACGCGTGAAGTCTTCGGTCGCCATTATAGTCGTCAAAGGGCCGTGGCGAGCCCACTTCAGCGTCATCTGGGAGGCAATTTCATACATTTCGTCAAACATGCCGCGGATGGTGACGGGGCCAAAGGCTGGGATGAGAATTCTGTGCGCGATGCCCCAGTTGGGCTCGCCATCTTTTGCCTTTTGACTGTCAGCATTGAGTTTAAATCTTCGAAGACGGCCAGTACTCACGGTGAAGAGTCCATCGTTGGTGATGAATCTCACTTGCTATTCCATGTTTAGCTAGGTCGCTGGGCAGTCTGCGATAGTTCTTACACCGAGGACGTTGTTCAGTGACTTTACAAAGCGCTTCTCGTCGCATACCTCGTTGACTAGGCGCTGAGAGGTGACGATAACATTGGTCTTTCCCGGTACGCGCAGCCTATAGATGTCACCTGGAAGGTTAAGTATTTTTTTTTCTTCTGGAAGGTTATTTCACACACCCAATGCGTCTGCGAGACGTACGATATCCTGTAGACCGCTTTCTTGTGTGAATTCCATAACATGTCCCAAAAAGGGGAAAGCCCGGGGCTCCGGGATGGGCACCTCCTCCGCCATGTCTGCTTCTGTTAGACGTTGGTGAGAATATCAACTAGAGGAAGCAAAGTGATACTTGATGAAGAAACGTCGAATTGTAAGCTGGCCGTCCTCGATGTAAATGCTCTTTGACACGGGGTGATTGTGCTTTATAAGTGAATGAAATGGACTGCTCAGGTAATAAGATGTAATCTGATGACGAGATGCGAATGCGAATTCGTAGGCCAAGAAACTCCCCTTTTCGGTCAAATGAAGTACTTTGCGGCTTTAACATTGGTAAGCTTCGTCATCGTTGGTGCCATACCAGGCAGCTGAGACGGTGAAGCGGAACAAAAACTTTGGAGGATGTCGAAGGATGCTTAGAGTGCTTCCGTGATCTAACGAGCCTTGGCAGGAACAGCGCTTGGCTGTCTTTGAAGCGGTCATCTATGTAGATATAAGGTAGTTACCAATGGTGGTTTTTAGTTCTGCTTACTCGTACTTGGGCGAGTTTTGTTTAGAAAAGTGGATGTTGTTGATCAGGAAGAGAAAGTGATAGTCATTCTCCAATTTGGATTTTTTCCACTCAAACTTTAGTTCTAGGTCGTAGTACGGATAATGGCTAAAAGAATCTCACAGGTTCCAGACATCTACATAAGTTGTTCTTCTGACAGGGAACGATGGCTTATCCCTGTTGAAAGGCTCGCCTACAGTTTGCTGCGGAGTTGCCTGCGAGGCCTCTACCCTAGCCACGCAAGATGGGCCTCCCAAAGACCGAAGTGATCATGCCGTTGAATCAAAGTCCGTAAATAAATATGACTCCTTGAGACTTCTGAAAGAGGCAACGTGTAAACCATAAAATGACACTCTAGGCACGGCGGACCATCGCAAATTAGCACGAACCCGGTCCGGCAAAACAAACCGGCGGATTTCTGAACTCCGACTCTCCGCTCAAAGTCTTGATTTGGAGGATTGTTCCCTTACACGGTCGGAACGAATAAGAACGGCCCCATCCCTTTTTCTCCGTTGGGCCAAGACTTGCCTATAGATTTATCGAGCGGACGGGCGAGATTCGCCTACGGCTTAAGCTCATCCCGTTGCCGTTCGCAGTCTATACAGCGCCCTCATGTGCCATGTACTTGAACTAGTGACCGTAAGCCTATACTGGGAAAGCCAGACACCCCAAATGCATGTCAGATGTTAGTTCAGGACAACAATACTGTACACGTCGGGCGGCGCTGCACTCTGGATTCGCAATCGCTCTCGGTCAGAACAAATGGGCTGTTGGACAGCGACGCCGGACTATATGCCGGACGGAGAGCTCTCAAAGATCGGATAGACTGATGCCCGGAGTTGAAATGGTTGTCCGTATTTGGTCGAGAAATTTCTTCGTCAATTCCGGACTTCTGTGAGATGGCAGGATTGGCGATGAAAAATTAATGACCCCGTAGACATAAACATCCATCAGCTGATACGCTTGACATGGAGGTGAATATGTGTCTTCCTACAAAACAGAAAGTATTGCATTGTTTCTAAATCCAATTAGGGAAAAGTCTGGTCTTGACGGCCCACGGAGGCTTTTGGCGTTACCGTTTATCCTTCACCTGGAGTTGTTGACTGTTCATTGTTTGATAGACCTGGTAAACAATCAATGGTGAAGAATTTAGGCAAACAGCCTAGCACAACGGCGTGATTATAGTGAGAATCTGCTAGATAGGACCTACATAGTACCTAGCACTGACATCAGCAATTGGCTAGCTGCCCCCACCGCGGGGTAACGCGATGGCGGGGTGATGTCCGCCAGCTTTTCGGCGAGCCTAAAACGGGCCACCAACAATTCTGTGGGCGAAACCAGCACAGAACGCTCAGAATGGGAAAAGTGGTGTTGTTGGTTGGAAGAACTAACTAACTGGCTAGAGGGCTGTGGAGGCTGGCTAAGACCAGTGGTGGCGGCCGTCAGCCCACGTGACGGGCCGGCGAGGCCTGCCACCCACACCCCCTCTCAGACTCCTCAGCGAAAAAGCAGTAGAATAATAGGAAATACAGGAAAAGTCCCAAATCCTCCAAATCCGAGGAGTTCTCAACTATTAGAAAACTCGGTCAATTACCGGTTAAACCTGGCCAATAGGAGGCCGTGAAATCCTCCGAATCCCGAAGTCTCAATATCAATAGTCCCACAGTCTCAAAATCCCCCTCTCAATCCAATCCCTCCGCCATGCCCAACAAACGAACGAATTCCTTGTGTTTGACCGCAACCAGTGGCTTCGTGAGTCCATCGGCGGCCATATCAGCGCCCTTGATGAGTCGGAGTTCGATGCTTTTCGCAGTGTGAACCTCCTGTATGATCCATTTGTATCGGACGTCGATGTGGCGGGTTCGTGCCTCGTTGAGTGGGTTCATGACGTTGTCGTAGCCGTTGGCACTGTCAGTGAACATGATAGTAGGCGTGGTGATGGGTTTGCCGAGCAGTTGGGAGAGGCAACGTCTGATCCACTTCACAGCAATTGCCGTAGGTGTGAGATTGATGAATTCAGCCTCCGTGGTGCTCAAAGTCACGAAAGTCTGTTTCTTTGACTTCCAAGCAATCGGCGCACCAGCGAGGAAGACGACGTAACCACCTGTCGAGACTCGTGATGGCTTGTTGTCAGCGAAAGAGGCATCTGCAGCAGCGTAGAGCCCCAACTCGTTGATCGTGGGGATGCCTCCAAGTACAATACCGAGATAAACGGTGCCCTTGAGGTATCGGAATAAGTGCTTAATAGCACGAAGATGGGCCTTAGAAGGCCCTGAATTCGCCTGTGACAATTTACTGACGGTGTAGGCCATGTCAACGCGAGTTCCAGCCACCAGGAAGTTAAGGCAGCCGGTTTGTTCGATGTAAAGTTGTTGTTCGTCAAGCGAGCACTCGTTCTTGTCCCAGGTGACGGGCAGATCGTCAGTGGTCGCCATAGGCGTCTTGACAGCACTCAAACCATCAAAGTCGAATCGTTGAAGCACTGCTTTTGCGTACTTGGCTTGGGAAACGAAAATCTTACCGGCAGCTCTGTCGCGTTCAATCTGGAAACCGAGAAAATCGGTAGCCTCGCCGAGGTCTTTAAGAGAACAGACCTTCTCGAGGAGACGACGAACTTCCATCATGACTTGCTTGTTGGGAGCGGCGATGGCGTTGTCGTCGACGTACATAAGAACGTACGCTTTAATCTTGTGATTGACGAAGAGACAAACCTCCCCATCAACAGCAGTGAAGCCAATTCGTTCCATTTCACCCTTGATAAGTCGAAACCACCAAAGTGGTGATTTTCTCAATCCATAGAGTGCCTTGTGGAGCAGCCAAACCTTGTTGTCTGCAGTGGCGTAGCCAGCGGGGGGCCGGACGTACACCTTAACCCCCTCTGGAATCGAGGCGGCTAGGAAAGCAGTGTCGAAATCATATACTTCGTATTCAAGATCGAGAAGTGCGACAACTGCGAAGAAAAGGCGGGTTGCGGTGGCAGAGGCAACTGCAGCGTAAACCTCTTGCGATGACCAGTCACCTTTCTCGTGGTTTCCACAAACCACATATCGGGCCTTGTAGCGCACGATTTCGTTGTTTTTGTTGGTTTTGATGTCACATACCCACTTGCCGGGCAGGACTTTAGCGTCACGTGGTGGGTAAACGACTTCGTAAACCCCCTTTTCCGTGAATTGAGTCATCTCTCGTTCGAAGGCTTGTTCCCACTGGGGCCACTGTGGGCTCTTCTGCGCCTCACGGTAGGACTTCGGGATCACCACGCCGTCGGGTAGGACTTTCGAAAGGGCAGTAGCAGAAAGCACGCTGAGAGAGAATTGACGAGAAGTTAGTGAAGCTGGAATGTCAGCAGATAGAAAAGTCTTTTTAGCATAGGAGCGTACGCCACTGGCGGCTCGGTAGTGACCAGGTGGTCGCTGGGCTGAGGCGCGGCGAGGTCGAGAGGACTCTGCCGGTTGACTCGTTGCTTCCTCAACAATCGTGGAGAGGGAATCAGGGTCCTGGTGATCAGTTTCCATTGTTTCCACGGAAGCGACGAATTCGTCATCATTCAATTCGTTAGTAATGCTGTCACGAGGTGTAGCAGTGGTCTCCAACAGGTTCTCTGGTGGCGGAGACATGAGATGTGTATCAGTGGGTGCCATCGCTTTTTCAACGATGGTCTCATCTGGTTTGGGATCACCAGTCACGGGTTTTTCACCTTCAATAGGCTTCTGACGGATGGTGTACTGGATGATGATATCTGGTTCGACAAACGCAGCATCATGTTCAATTTCATCAATGTTGGGTGTGCCAGTAGTTGGAGGCAACACTGTCTTGTGCGGTTCCTCACGAAATCGAACATCTCTGCAGCGAATAACCTCCTTTCGATCAGGCAGGTAAACGTAGTAAATGTGGCCACGAAGAGAACCGTAACCGACGAGGAATCCCTTGATTGCTCGTGGTTCCATCTTGGCAGAGCGCATAGGGCGTCGAGGGCCCTTCTTGTGTACGTAGGCAGCACAGCCAAACGTTCGGAGATGTTCAATGTGGGGGGCCTCACGTTCAGCAGCCAAGTTCAGCTCTCTCGCCATGATCTCGTGAGGGCTCAAGTTACCCTTGGAGGGTGTGGGCAAGAGGTTGAGAATCTGAGTCACCGAATCGATGCTGTAATCCCACAGTTCCTCTGGAAGGGACATGTCAATCAGCTGTGTCCGGGCGCCTTCGACGATGGTACGACCAGCACGCTCAATAGTACCGTTCATGGAAGGCGTGTAGGCAATAGTCGTGTTGTGGCGAGTACCCTCGAAGTAGGGGTCGTTGAAAACCTTGATTAGCTCGGGAGCATTGTCAGAAACCCAAACCTTGGGCTTGAGGCCGGTGAGACTGTAGAATTCAGTATCCCATTTCTTGATAGCTGCCAGGATGGTGGCAAACTTGTGGTTGGGCAGAAAAACAACCCAGTGGTAACCACTATACTTATCCATGAGGTGTAGAACCTGACGGTTCCCTTTTGTTGATAGGGGAAGAACACCAACGAGATCAAGGTGAATTTCATCGCCAATACTCGTAAGTGGAAGTGGGTGGTCTCGACTAATCCGTTCAGTGGATTTGCTGAGATGGCAAGACTCACAGAAGAAAGCGTCAATTTCTGACGTTGTGAACCGAATGCCAACACGGCGGCAAGCCTCCACAACACGTGATGGGTGGGCGTGAACCAGCCGGCGGTGCATCAGTTCAAGAGACGGTCGCTGGGTAGCCCGGAAGGCGGCGAGGCTGACAGCAATATCTCGAGGCACGTGATTTCCAGTATCATGAGTCTCAACGACGCAGACGTCAGAAACCCAATGAACTTTGGCAAGGGAAGTGCGCTGTGTCACGTGTATGAGGCTTGAGGTCTGCCAATCATATTCCACGTGATCACGACGAAGTTTTCCAGGGCTCAGTAAGTTGGCTGGGCTGGAAGGGTTGTACTCAACGTTGTGAAGTGTCCAATCGTGAATAACGTCAGGGTTGGTGGGGTCTTGGGTCTGGAAGAAGACGGTGCCCACGCCAAGTGACCGGACTGGGGCGCCGGAGGCAGAAGTGGAAGGTGTCAAATCGCTCTTTTCAGCGTACTTGACGAAATATCGCAAGTTGTTGAAGGTTGAAGTAGTACAACCAGAATCGAGAACGATATCGTCTCGGGTGATGAGGTCATCGCGGGCAGCAGTGAAAACTGCTGGGCTGGCGATGGAGGCAAGGGCAGACTGACCCAAGATGGCAGGTGACGCTCTGACAACAGTCTGGCGGGTGCCATCAACAGAAGTAGGCTGATCCCAGCGGCAGCGATCGCCACACACGTGCTTTCTCGCTTTTTCAATCAACTTATCCCGGTTGACGTAGTGTAGAGGGATGAGATTGGGGTGGGCGACATAGCACTTTGTGGTCTCGTGATCACAGTTGCAGTGGTCGCACTTCTTCTTTTCCTTGGAGGCAGTGACAGTGGAGGTGACGGTGGTGGTGACGGCTGGAGAGGCAGGACCCCCACTGCCAGCAGACTTGCCTCCAGGTGTGTTGCGAATAGTGGCATAACTGCGCTTTTGATCCTCGTCTTGGGCAAGCGTGTAAATCGTATCAGCCACCTCATTCCACGTGGGATGGGTGGCGCCCTTCGATGTGAAATGCTTGTACGTATCGGGAAGTCGGTCCTTAAAGAAGTTAAGGAGGAAAACAGCGAGGAAGGAGTCTGGCAGACGACCGTGAATGGTCTCAATACGCTTTCTGAGGTGGTGACAGCGATTGAGGGCATCGTGAAGAGTCTTGTGATCGTTGGCGGTGGTCTTGGCAAACTCGTCAACAAGGGCAGCTGTGGCGTCTTGTGAGATTCTCGGAATGTGCTTCTCGAGCGCCTGCCACAATTCGTAAGGGTTTCCATCGTCAACCCAACCCGCTGTGCAGAGTCTGTCAAGAACCGATTCGCTGGCGTTCATGAGGAGACCATTCGTGACGTTACGGTTCTTTCTCCATTCCTCTGCAGCGATAGGGTCAGCAGGGCGAGGGACGTCAGTCTCGAGGAATATCTCGAAGTCGTATCCTCGCAGGGTCGCTGTAACAAGCATGCGCCATGTGTTCCAGTTGGATTCACCTTTCAGGCGAGGAAGAGGCGTGAAGACGGTCTTGAAGTCGTTTTGAGACATCTTGAAGTGAAAGTGAGGGTATCACAACAGTGCGGGACAGACTTATAGTCGCACCTCGATCACAGGCGTTTCTCCGAGGCCGCAGCTTTGGAGGCGTGTCTGTACGTTAGATGGCTTACTTTCGCTGCCACCTACGCGTGCTGTTGGATTGTGTAGGAGGGAGAATCTTGCGTAAGAACACGAGAAATGGGTGGAATTGTGAGATCCGACCGTAGAAATACGGTGAATCGAAGGGAAGAATGAATACTCGTAGAAGATACGAGAAACTGATGGGCTGGTTCGAAAAACCGAAGCTGAAATGGTTGAATTCTCGTGAAAAACGAGGAATCGAAGTAAAAGTTGTAGTTGTGACTGAAAAGTCTGTTGTTGACCGTGGTGTTCGTGAAAACCAGTGGGTTGTGGTGGTCGGTCGCGTGCCACGTGATATTCGTGCGCGCCAGGCAGCCAATGTCGCGTCAGAAAGTGAAATTCGTCAGCGAAGAGGAAGGAAAGAAAGCGAGAAAATCGCACAGAAGGGTAAATAAAGCGAATAAAATCGCAAAAATTCGTGAATCAATAGAAAATTGACAGACGAGTAGAATAATGGGTAAAACGACGTTATTCCGAAAGAATAACGCTGGGCTCATAACCTGTGGGCGAAACCAGCACAGAACGCTCAGAATGGGAAAAGTGGTGTTGTTGGTTGGAAGAACTAACTAACTGGCTAGAGGGCTGTGGAGGCTGGCTAAGACCAGTGGTGGCGGCCGTCAGCCCACGTGACGGGCCGGCGAGGCCTGCCACCCACAAATTCTCTCCATTGCCAGCTTCCGACCTCGATCAGATTCACAACCCACGCAACTCTCCAGACTGCCTTCTCTGCCTCCAGCTGGGTACCATACGATACCTCTCTCCTCAATCAACCTCCACAACCTAGAAGCCGTCGCGATAGTCACCCACCATGGCTGACGTAAAAGCCAACGCCGAGGCTCTCGTCCCCAAGTTCAAGCTGGATCGCGTCCTTAACCAGGGTCAAACCTCACATTCACCCCTCCTTTTCAAACACGATACTGACTAATATAAAAAAGACCAGGCAGGCCGCCGCACCTCGCTCCTCGGCACGATCGACTCCAAGCCCGCGCTCCTGATCCTCGAACGCGCCCCGTTCCCGTCCGACCCTTCCTACCTCGCCGTCACGCCCACCACCCTCTCCTCCATAGCCAACCTCGGCGCAAACGACATTTACCACTGGTACCTCGCCAACACCGGCTCCCCCGCCGACGCGAAGCCCGACACGGCCCACGCCGACCTCAAAATCAACCTCATCTACCCTTGCACGGAAACCCACGTCAAGAAGTACAGCAAACAGGGCGTCCGCTACGTCACGGAGACGCCCGAAATCTACGCGTCGGCCGTGAAGCCGTACATGCAGCGCAAGCGCGACGAGGGCCGCCTGAACTGGGTCTTCAACATCATCGAGGGCCGAACCGAGGTCGAGGACGTCATCTTCCGCACGGAGCTCGGCAAGGAGGGCGACGAGGGCTTCCTGCTCCTGCCGGACCTCAACTGGGACCGCAAGACGCTCGACGCGCTGCACCTCCTCGCCCTCGTCGAGCGCCGCGACATCTGGTCGCTCCGCGACCTGCGCAAGAAGCACATCCCCTGGCTGCAGCACATGAAGGCCAAGCTGATCTCCGCCACCGTCACAAAGTACCCCGAGATCGACATCGACCAGCTGAAGCTGTACGTGCACTACCAGCCCACGTATTACCACTTTCACGTCCACATCGTCCACGTCCAGCTCGAGGCGGGAGCAACGCAGGCCGTGGGCAAGGCCGTCGGGCTCGACAGCATCATGGACACGCTGGAAATTATGAAGGGAGACGATGAGGCGGGTATGGAACAAGTTTCTCTTAGCTATACACTAGGGGAGGCGAGCGAGCTATGGGCCGAGGTCTACGAACCCATCAAGAACTCAAAGTGCGGGACAGCTTCTCAATAGCGATGACGAGGTCGTTCACTCCCGCGCCGTGCGGGCAATCCTTCCATTGACCGTCGTCCCGGATGCAGTATATCTCCTCGTTCAGCCTGACGGTGCAGCTCTTGGTAACGCCGGCCTGGTAATGTCGTTGTTAGTATGAGGTTTGCCCTTGGAAATAACAAAGTAACCGATTGGGATGGAGGACCAAACTCACATCCGTGCTTCTCCGCACGCTGTCACGCAGCAGGCCGAGACCCGGAGCGTCGCCGTCCTGTGTAGCACAGTCGTTCAACTCCTTGATATCGATGGCGTGCTCCAGGGCGCAGTCCTCAACCAGCGACCGCTCGGGGATGGCCTGGTACTCGCGGGTCAGGCACATGGTGAAGCCAAGGTTGATCTTGGGGTCGGGGTAGAGGTGGGCGGCGCAAAGCTCGAGAATGTTGCCCATGCCTAGAGACGATGGTTAGGATCGGTAGAAACGAAAAAGAACTACAGATAGATATGTTATAGACATACACTCGGATGGGCCATGCTTGCAAGCTATTCCGTCGTTCTCGGTCGGTCTGTACAGCCTCTGCCGTTAGTCATCTGCGTCGCCCTCCATTATCGAGATGAGGAAGTGTGCGACTTACGTGCCGATGAAGGAAAGGGTGAAGTTGACCTTGTTATGGGTCTTCATCATGGTCGGGAGCACCAGGTCCCTCAAGCAGTCCTACATCCGTCAATAACCCATCGTCCAGCAGTCGCCGAAAGCCACTTACCCTTGCATCAGGGCATTTGCTCATGATGTGCGCCTCCAAAGGCACCAGCTTCTTCTCCTCGGCAACCACCGGAGCTTGCTGGGGAACAAACCTCGGGGCGTGGGGCAAGCGCGTGTAGCCCCAAATGGTGTAGATGAGGTAGATGCCCAGCAGGCTGAGTGGCCAGAGGGACTTCTTCCGGTAGGCAAGCCGTCCGGACATGTTGGGTGGTGTGTTGTAGTAGCCTAGCTTCACGTCCATCGCAGGTGTTTTCGGGGTATCGGGTTCGGAGATCGTGGACTTTGCGGCGTCGAGAGCTTGTTCGTTTGACGAAAGTGATGAATTGACGTATCGCACAGGGGGGGAGGTCTTGCTCGGCAGTATTTGGTCTGTACAAGAACAAACTACCGCTGGGTTTTGAGGTGGAATGTAGCTGTGTTTCTCTTCAGAGACAGCACACTCCCAATCCCCCCGACCGGATGAGGAAGCAGAGTTTATGCTGCGAGGGGGGCGCTGTAATTGCGACAGCCGTGCATCACAGCACGGCACCTTAAGCCAAACAGAGTTGAGCGGACGTTGGAGACCAAACGCCAGTGCTAGCTGGATTGGGCAAGGCCAGAAAAGGTTATGTGAGTACTTTATCGATTGCGTAGATATCACCAGGACGAAAGTACCTATCTATCTCCACCAATCACTCACCTCCCAGAAGCACTTACTGCAACCTTGGTAGAGCTTCGACCATTAACAAGCAGCACACGACAGGCGGGCAATAGCGGGGTCTTTCAGCGGGACAGGCCCTCTGTGGCGCCACACCGCAGTGCCCCCTCAGTTCCCTTATCAGCGGACTCTTTGTACGTATTATTGTTGCATTCATCGCGGAGAGCCCTGTGGTTGGGTACCTGATGCAACAGTGCGAGTCGATAGAATGTGGTACATGGCGCCACAGCAGGGATCCAAGAATCCCCAGCTTCTTCCATCTGATGTCGATAACTAGAGATGAGATCTGGTTCTTTCTTTTTGCTTTTTTTTTTTCTCTCTCTCTACATAACTACATTGAACCTGTATAATGTCAACATGGCGAGGTGCCTCTAAAGAAACCTTTTCGACCACTGAAACAAAGAGTCATGCCAGTTTTATGACGGCTTACCGTCAGCAAACCAAAATCCATATCAGTTATGTGTCTTACATAAGAAACATACAGTGGCTGCATTCCCCAGACACAGTGGGCATCCACTCCAAGTTCCCTCTCACTCTCACTCTCTCCTCACGAGGAAACAGCGGCGCATCAGAGAGCTGAGTGTAACGTGTGCCCTAGTTACTATATGCAAACGGGGGGGACTCAACCTTCATTCCTCTTCATCAACCGATGTATTAGAAGTTGCTGTTCTTCTCTTTTCTCTTTTTTTTTTCTTTTTCTTTTTTCGGTCGTCCATTCGAACTCCAAAAACATCTTCATGAATCTATTCAGTTGGTTTCTGCAAAAGATGATTACATCCTCCCGCTACACAGGACCCTCACAAGACAGATAACCAACAGAGAAAAGGGCACACACACACCACCTGAAAGCAAGGCAAGGCGAACGTTCAACCGCCTCATTTCCCGTCGCTTGAATACTCACAATACTTTTACACCACCATCGAACCCAGCAACCTGACAGAAACGACATGGATCCCGGCTCTGCCCTGCAGCAATTCCTGCAGCCGCTCCAGGTCGATAACCGGAAAATTCACACACTGTCCCGACTCTTTTATTCGAATTTTAGTGACCTCGCTCTCCACGCCCATGATCAGTTCCTCCCCACCCCCATTTCCGAGTCAATTCTAAGACCAATCAGCCAGAGCGGTCACGGTAGGTATGTTGATGTCTTCCCCTCGCCATGTGCCACTGAGCTGTGCTTTGTTCCGAGCACATGGCTTTTGGCGGAATAGAGGACGTCTTTCATTTGTTCGTTTCATCAAGCTAACATGAGACGACAGGCATCTGGCCATAGACATGTATGTTCTCTCTCTCTCACTCGCAACCCACCACGCCATATTATTCCCCCCCTTGCCGCTGCTCACCACTGAGCTTCGAAATGAGCAGCCCCAGCAGCATGTCCGCAACTGACCCCCTCCTAGCGGTGGCACAAATCTCCGAGTAGGCTTCATCGAACTCTTGGGTAAGGGAAACGCCCATCATGACCCTCACCAAAAAACAAACGGCACCACGACCTCTGCACCAGCCCTCCGTCTCAAAGAGAAATCATGGCCCATAGACGACCGTCTCAAGGGCTCCTCCGAATCTGAGCCCCAGCTGCTCTTCGACTGGATCGGTTCCTGCATCGCGACTGTGGTCCGCTCCGCCCTCCAAGAATGGCCTTCCCTTTCCGCTTCAGAAGAGCTGCCTCTCGGCATAACCTTTAGCTTCCCCATGGTCCAGCACTCCATTTCCGACGCAACTGTCATGACAATGGGTAAAGGCTTTAGTATCAAGGGTGACGCTGAGCTGGGCCCATTACTCCTCAAAGGTTACGATAAGGCAAGGTCCAAGTCCCAGGAGAACATCCCCGGTCGAGGGGAGGATGCAGAAGCTGGACGGCTACCGCCTATCCGCATCGCAGCCATATCCAACGACTCTGTATCAACCCTGATCTCCTTCATCTATCTCTCCCCGTCCTCACCTTCCTCTAAAGCCTCAATGGGCCTCATCGTCGGCACAGGCTGCAACGCCACCATCCCCCTCAAACTCTCCACCCTCGGCGCCTCCAAGTGGCCGGCGAGCGTGAGCACGTTACCCGGTGAATCCTCCCGTGACGTCCGCATTGCCGTCAACACGGAGTGGAGCATCCGCGGCACCGCACCTCCTCTCCGGACCTTGGGCCTCGTCGCCTCCTGGGACTCTGCCCTGGACGCGGCGCTAGTCGGACCCAACGAGATCACCGGCTTCCAACCCCTGGAGTACATGACCGCCGGCCGGTACCTCGGCGAGCTCGGCCGGCTCATGCTGGTAGACTACCTCCAGACCGTATTGAACATCGCCAGGGACACACTGCCGTCGCCCCTGCTGGTGCCGTACGGTCTAACAACGACCTTCCTAAGCCACTTCAAACCCCTCGACCCCTCCAAACTGCTCCCCATGCTGGAGGCGGAGTTCCCCCCGGACAGGACCCCCTTCCAGTGGACTACCGAAATGGCAACATCGCTCTACCACATCGCCAAGGCGATCGAGCTCCGCGCCGCAGGCATCGTCGCAGCCGCCACCGTTGCGCTCCTGAGACTAGCTGAAGATGTACCCTCCGCGGAACTAGCCGTCCAGAACGACACCTCCACGCCTGTCCGGGAGTTGGGCGTCGGTTACACGGGCGGCTGCATCTCGCACTTCCAGGACTACCTCGCCGACACGCAGGCGTTCCTCGACGAGATTGTGAGGCTGGAGTTCGACGGCAGGCCGCCGCCCGTCAGGGTTGTCCTAAGCCCTTGCCACGATGGCGGGATCAAGGGTGCTGGCATCCTCGCGGCTGCCACGGGGGTTAGTCAGAAACAGGACATGTAGGGGTATCTTGCTGAAGAGAATAACCCTGGATAGAGACAGAGAGAGAGAGAGAGAGAGAGAAATATGGCGTCATGTAATAGCTGATGGGAGGGGTATCACGGAGCCCGTTGCAGTATAGAGGACACAAAGTAACGACTCACACAATTGTTATCTAGAGCTCCCAGGGACCACAGCACCTGACGTTTATTTATTTTACTTTTCTATTTCGTTTAGAATCGTGTTGTACTGGTGTCCACTCTCCGAGGCCACTTTGGAACTGTTACCATCATCAGCCGCTTTAGACTTTTTTTTCGTCTTCGACAAACGCGTCAACAACCATGTACTCTGAACATGCACACATGCAAACAAACGCCAGTCCATTCAGCAGGGTTATGTACATCACTGCAGATACATTGGACATCGCAAATCAGTCGAAACGTTTTAAGGAAAAATCGGCATCATGAGACAAAATCGCCCAACTGCTTCGCTTGGATATATTTTAGCCTAGATGGTTTTTTTTAAAGACTCAAATCACATCGGTACCGCCCACCTCGCCAAGTTGACATAATCTCAGAAACTCCCTCGTCATTAATACCAAATCTCTCCCGGCACGGATACATGGATTCCATTCTCCAGCCTGCCTTCCTAGAAAAAGATGAAAGAGAAGAAATATTTTTTGCCATACAGCGCAACGATTTTCTTCGAACAAAATGATTCAAGGTCCCCCAATGCAACTAAAGCGATGGTGATGAAGCAGACGCTATGCTATGCACGTGTTGTTGTTTTTTGATACCATCGGAGGCGCTTGGCCCCCGTTCATATGGACTCCCCTCTCCAATGCTTTTGGTCCCAATGCTTTATCTTCCCCGTTGAGGCCGTATCAGTCATGAAATAGGAATGGTTGTGTGTGCGAAGTTTGATCTTACTGCCGCGGCGGTCCCCTCATCGCTCTCGTGGAGCGATAGTTCAACCTTGGCGGAAGCGTAAGCTCCATATCATCGATGCCCTCGTCGTCCGCTTCAATAGGCGCGCTGTCAGCGTCAAGGGGCTTCGCCATATCCACCTCTACCGTCTTGGCTACCGGTGTCTTGATATCCGCCTCGAGCTTGGCGTCAACCTCAAGCTTTCTCGGTGTGATGGGTGGGTTGTTATCCTTGGCGGGCGTGAGCTCCCGCCGCATGCTCGTTGGTCGAAGAGTCCGCACCTTGTTCGTCTCACTAGCGGTCTTTAACAGTTCGGGCTCCTCTCTCTCTACTCGCTCCATCTCTTTGATAGCCAGCTCCTTCGTATCTGCCAGTCGCCTTTGGATGTTTGAGATTTCCTCTGTACACTGTCCGTCACGCAAGAACTGGTGTGCTGCGTGCTCGCACATGCCTTGGACATACTCCAGGCCCTTGTCGAGTTCGTCATATGCATCTGAAGCATTGTCGCCCAGTATTGAGCCGGCCGGGCCGGCGCGTGTATATGAAGGTCCCGATTTCCTGCCGGGGGGGCCCATACGTCTTGTGCTCATGTATCGCAGGGATGGCAGGGCATCAGAAGCAGGCCCCGCAGTCAAAGGTGCATCCGGCTTCAAGTCACCGTCATCGTCATCATCGTCAGGAACTTCGAGCTCTGCGAGACGTCGGATCTGTGCAACTTTTGCCGCCATCTTGGCCTTGCGCATCAAGTTCCGGCTCGCCGACACGAACTTGACCAATTCCTCGAAGAAAGTCTGCACGTACTGATCATAGTAGACGACGACCATAGTGCGACTGCGGTACTTGGAAGGAGCACCCTCCTCATCCGACACAACAGACTCCGTACGAAGACGCTTCTTAACCACCTCTCTCGCTCGCGCTTGTGCCTTGTTTATCGCATCTTTTGTCTGCATCTGAACAGCCGATGGCGTTCCATTGTCGGGGCTTGGTTGTTGAGTAGTTTTCTTCTCATCGTCTGGTGATATTGTGGCACCCTCCGCTTGGGGTTTGCCTGCGTTGTCGGCAGATTCGTCAACAGGCGTGGGGCTAGCATCAGTATCCTCGTCCTTGAGCTTGAGTGATTCCGTAGATCCACGATTCCTAAGGGACTTCGTGGTGCCGGCTTTGCAAAATGCAGCTAGCTCGACTTGACGCTTATCGATCTGGTCTCCAAGCTCGTCTAGGCGAACTACCCAGTCGGGGACATTGTTAATGATATTCTTGAGAGCGTCCATTGTCAAAGCAAGGTGGTCGTCTTCCTGTCGAGGGCTCGCCGTGGTGAATTCGTTAAAGACGTTAGGTGTTTGTGAACAGCCCAACGTCTAGATGCGGGGAGACAGTAAAGGCGTTCGAGATAGCCAGCAACAGGAGGCAGCAAGCGAGCAGCAAGTTTTGAGGGGGTTGTTCGGTGGGATATGGGGCGGTGATCGGCGTTGCAGACTCGATAATGGGGAAGGTCGAGAAAAGAGGAAGAGATCAGCGTGCTTATGAGTGAAGCATGATCCGCCAGCAAGCGAGGTTGGCGTGTCTCTCCCTGAGGGTTGTACCGCAGTTGGAGTAAACAGAAGGCGGTGGGCGTCGAGGAGGCGTGTATCACGTCGAGAGGGAAGAAGGGTGTCGAGAACAGTAGAGACGTGTGTCTGCTTCACGCTTGGACCTGGGCAGGAGTTGGATTTAAACTAGCGGCGGTGTCTTGTGCCTGTGAAGACGCAATGAATGCGAATCGGGCGAAAGCGACGGTATGTAGGCGTCGGGGGGCCAGAAGCCGTAAATTGTGCGAGTGTGATCGGCAGCTAAAAAAGACGGCTTGGGATCTGCGCGGGACCGTTTCCAGTGGTCAAGTCTCGAATTTTGTGGACGGTTGGGTGAGAAGAAGAAGAAGAAAAAAAAGACGAAGAAGCAAAGGTACGGGTGGATAGAGGGATGAATGAGATGCAGCGGAACAAGGTCCCTTGGTATATTCGTAGGGCGAGCTAGATTGAAAAGTCAGAGGGAGGCTTCGGGGATATGCGCCAATGTGGATGTACCGTTTTCTATGCCTTCGTGTGCTTGGCGTCAAAGTTGGGGGTCAACGGCACTAGCTGAGGCCGCTAATGCTGAGAGGGAAAAGTGACGACGAGAATATCAACGACGAGTGGTTGCACGAAGCTAGACGTGGCGGTTTGATGCTACTCGGATCGAGTCCGCTTTACAAAGGGCGGGCAGCCGAGAAGCCGAATCCAACGGCGGGCTAGGTAGTGGAAGGGATGGGCTTTCTTTCTCTTCTTGCGTGCTCTATGACAAGCAAAGAAAGACACAGGCACGCACACTTCTGGGGAAGAAAGGAGGAGAGTGTAAGAGGAGAAAGAGGAGAAGCTATTATGGGAGGGAAAGTTGTGCGATGCGAAGGTGGTGGGGAGGGTGGACAAGACTAGATAGAGCAACAGGCCAAGAGGAGGAAACCCAATGGCATAAGGCGGCACAAAAGGCCGTGGGCGACAAGAACAACGGATGCAAGGAGCATTCGCAGGTGAGTGAGAGAAAGGTAGGGGCGCTTGTGTGAGTGCAGACGCATACGCAGAGGTAGACACAGATGCAGATAGATGCAGATGCAGCCAGAGCAAAAAAGCAGGAGAGGAGGGTAAAAGATACAAGTTTAGAGGGAAAAATGGCCAGGTACGTATCCCCGGACTGAGAAGGTACGGAGAGCAACGGGGCAGGGGACAGGGGTCGGCAAGGAAAGGCGGACCAAGACGAGGGACGAGAACGAGGATTTGAGGGTAACGACAACAATGACACGCCCGTGGTGTGGAGAAAAGCAGCTAAGAAATGCGTGTACGTACCCGCCCCTTCTCTTCCCGCAAAAAGACTGGGGTGGAGGGGGGAAAGGCAGGAGGGGAGGGAAGATAGAGAAAGAAAGCGCGGAAACGAAGGAGGGAAAGAGGGGAAAAGAGAATTAGGGGGGAACCGTAGAAAGAAAGAGGAGGAGTTAGGAGCTGCCGCTGTATTGTTAACTACTACTACCCGCTTGCCAACAATGCCAGTACAGTAACCCCTTCTCATTGAGCTAGCAATAGTATGTTAAGTCTGTTACATAGTAGAAGGAAAGGGAAGGAACAGTGAGTGGATTGGGGGGAGAGGGGACGACCGATGGAGGGAGGAAGGAAAAAGAAGAAGTGGGTCCTCTCGGTACGTACCCCAAATGAGGGCAGGAAGCGGGGACCTTTGGAGGAGGTAGGTAGGTCCCTCGAGCACCAACGCCTTTCAAGCAATGAAAGGTTGACATTACGGATTGACAGGCAGGCACGCAAGCAGGCAGGTCGAGGAAAGGTACAAGGGGAGAGCCCCCGCATGTACCTTCCAGAGCCCACTTCGCTTTCGCAGTCCTCCGGCAACTAAGGCACAAACTCACCCGCCATCTCTCTAAAGAGTACACTGCGGATACTTGGTGTGGGATACCTTGTCCATCAACAGGTACTACACTACGTATATGGATACCAATTCTAGCATTCCTCTATGTCTGACACTGGGAAAATCAGACAGAGACTCTCTCGCATGCTGTTCATCACCAGACCCATCAAACTCCATCCACCTGCAGGCCGGGAGGAAGATCGCCAACATCTTCTTTTTCTTTGGTCGCATCGCATCTCAGCGCGACGCAACGCAACCCATCACCTACGGGCCTACGGGAGTTGTTGGATTGGATCGGGCATTCCTGACTATTCGCTTACCTCATGTTGACACGAGCAGCTGCGGCAATTATACCTTTTTTCTTTCTTTCTTTTATTATTATTATTTTTTTTTTGTCTCCTGGTTACGAAGATTGGTACGGTCTCTCATACCTCCGTCTGATGCTGCAGTGACGGCCGTATATCCACCGCGGCTCAATGCCAATTGCAAGCAATCCTGCGCAAATCAGTGGAAGTCTCCGCAGCGGCCCCTGCCGGTCTGGAGATGAGAAAGAGTTGATTGGAGCTTGAATTCGGTGGTTTCAATCTGATTTCTCCTACTTTAGTGTCCATCAGTCACCGCTTACGGAGCACTATTTCCACCTACACCACCTTATCTCAACCCGCTCCATTAGCCAACAATCAGCCAACGCCTGAGACGCATACACCATGCTATGTGTGTGTGTGTATTTGTTTGTCGTGCGTTTGCTCTAATGCAAGTGCGGCACCGCATACCACAGTCGAATTAGCCCCTCCGACCGCCAACCCGCCATTGTCAGATCCAGCCGTGGACGATGTACGGATACGTCAGGACCATCCATCACTTACGGCCGTTGCGTGCCCTACACTAGTTGCCTTGGCCCCTACGGCACCGTGAACACACACGACTGTCAATGCAAACCGGAAACTTGTCGATGTTGCTTTTATTGTCGGCCCTCGGCAGTCGTTTCGTTTCGAAGAATCGCCGTGCCTGAAGCAGCATCTACATTCAAAAGAATGTGCAGCGTCCCCCTTCTCAACGAACATTGAAATCTGCAGTTGCGCGCGCCATCCAAGGGTGCTTCTACAACCACTGAACACCTGGATCAAACACATCCATTCTTGATACCTCTTCTACCAGTACGGATGATAGCCGCATGTACCAACCATTAACGCTAAACAGAGACATGCTAAAGGGCTGCCCCGAGACCTAGTCTCAAAATGAGCCGTCATTTCTAATGCCCACTCCATGACGGATACATGCTGCTCAAAGGCCTTGGCGACGACACACAACTGTCGGCGCGTCAATTAAACGAAAAGAGGAAATGCAGGCCAGCCTAACCGTCACCGCCCCGGCCTTCACACCCGTCGCAATCGTCGGACGTAGCTCCGACTCGCGATGCCGTCTCCGCTACTGTTCTGCACGGACACCAGCGCCCTTGCCCTGTCTGTGCTTAAACTGTCTTATTAACGGCGCCAAAGAAAGTAACATAATTCGGGCCTACGACTGGCTGACATACGATCGGCATTGGTGGTGATGCACTGGTGAGCTGCCGAAGTTATACTTACGTAGTAGCCACCGTCTCAATTGCTACTTCAATAGTTACTTCGAATCGGCGACGGAACGAATACCGCTGACTGCCTTACTGCCTGTGTTAATGTCCATCCCAATGGAGGCCTGACGAGATCAGCATTGATGATGAGAGGAGAGTATCGAGACGAGTATTGTCCAAGCGGGCCAGGAGAGAGAAAGGGGACCATATCCTGATGCTAAGACCAAGGGTCACGCCATATTTGTGTGGTGCGCACCGCGGTTCGAAACCAAACCAAACACATTATCCTCGACCCTTGAGGGTTTCGAATATCTCGTTGTTGTAACCTTCCCTTTTCCTGCCCTGTCAGCCAGACGATTGTGGGCTTCAAGTCGGTGTACGCCGGACGATGCGCGGATCCCAACAGCAGTGCCTCGTCAAATGATTTTAGATAGCCACAGGTGCTTCTCTCAGAGCTTCTCGAATATCAATTTTGTGGAGGCAAACCAGGGTGAAACACGCGCCAGTGAAAGCACCCTGTTGATCGCCACTGTTAGCTCTATTCTCACCACAGCCACGACCCAGGGCTGCTTGTTCCTTTTGCCATGCGACATCAATCTCGCATGTCGCCCTGACTAGGAGCCAGTTGAAATTGCACAAGTTCATTTACTCTTTCAATGAACTTGTGAGTTGCAAGAAGGAAGCGCTGTTAAACTTCAATCTTGCAGCCAAGCGCCTTTTCCGCCGCCCACGACCCTGTCCCTATTTGCTACTTACCATGATCAAGCAACGTCCGGTCTCGAGAAAGTTCAGGATCTACAACCAATCGTTCCTTTGAGCCGAGGATGGACACACGCACTGACGGTACTCTCGCGGCACGCTCACCTTGAACAGATAAAGTACGAACACGGTTACAGGAGAAGAAATCTACTTTGCGCAATGCTACTTTGAGGCCTCTCCTTGTATAGTGAACAATCTGAGCTTGCTGGGCAGGGCAAGAAGGACAACATCGACATGGCACCAACCAAGCAGGGGAGCGCTCGCCGTCGCTCTTCTCCCTAGTGTGGACACACGTAATGGTCAATTGTCCATCCACTCAACGCCTGCAGCTTACGATCCTCTCGGCTACCTTTGCATGCCGCTGCAGATCAAGAGAATTGCCCGCCTTTTAGCCCCAACCATGCGCCCTATTATCCCATCCATATTGATGCGTTGGCAATGGTTTTTTCATTTACGTCTGCTTCCTTCAAAACCTCCGCTACCCGGTACTTAGTTCCGCTATGCAGCTTGCTTCCGACATCCATATCAGATGATTCCCCGGCATCTTCAGTCAGCATGCTTACTTCAAACCCCCGGTTCTTGACAGGTAAACTTGGGATCACGCCTGTGCAGCACGAGATGAAAATTTTCGCATGGATTTGGCAAAGCCATCATTTCTCAACGGTCGAGAACTTGACCCCTGGCAACCGCAGACGAGGACTCACAAAAACAAGCCACAATTGCTTGGCCAACAATCCAACCCCCATGTCCAGCTTCATTACGTGTAGTATACGGGTTTTGTCAAGGGATGTTGGGGGGCCTGCCTATATCTGTACTTCCACAGACAATATATGCGCCTCCAATCCTGAGTAGGTGTGCCTCTAGCCTACGGCGACATCTCCACAATCACGCAGTGAGGAGTCCAACAACTGACCGCTGAACCAATTACCCCGCAAGCCTGTTGGTTAGAACCAACCATGAAGATTGTGTCCTCGCAACAGAACAAAGCCGGTCAGTCTCCAACCAGGGCATGTGCCTGCAAACAGTGAGAAAAGGACACGACTATGGTCAAAGCTGCCCTGCTCTTTGCTTCCGAAGTAACCGGCAACAGAGCCAGAAAATAGACTGGCGCGATGTTCCGTGGATCGCTTGAAGCCTGTACCGGGACAATCCCCCGAGGGCGCCGAGATGTCTCCAACAAACCTGGTTTGTCTGGATTGGGGGTGCTGCTTCGTGCCAACCACTTCTCCGACCTGGAGGGGAAGTGGCTCGTTTTACCTGTGGACCTGGACGTCAACCTGCACCAACACACATCGCCGTATCTGCCTGAGAGAGCGCCGGGCGAACGTTGGAACTAAGGCCGAACGCACATGTCGACTCGATCAGCCGTCCCTGCTTCGAGATACCCCGGAACCCTGCCTTCATCATCGATGCCGAACAGACATTCTACTACGTAGTATTGGTAAAGAGTACGTCGCAAAATAACAAAATACTTGTGATATCGATGCTGGGTCGTCTGAGACTGGCTCGGTTCATTCTTTGTTGCTTGCCTTGGCTTGTCTATCGCAGCCACTGATGGACGGGACAACGTCTGAGGTTGATCGACGTGACCAAACTTTAATGCAGGTGGTGGCGTGCCCGTAAACAGAGGTTTATCAAGGAATTTAACATCGTTAGCCAGCTTCTATCCAACACCACCACCACTTGGTTCAAAACAGATGAGAACGGACGGGCGGCGATCGCATCTACTAGGATTTGGTGAGAGAGCTACCATGTAGCTTCAAAAAGCAAATTCACTGCATGCCGTCCTTCCTGCTACGGACAGGGCACCAATGCCCTAGAATCTCACGGGGCAAATCTTCCATGCAGCTCATCAGCGCAAAGTATCTTTCAACAACAATCAAGATCTAAGACATGACCAGGGCAGCCCCGGAGTAGCGTGCTTCTAAAATGACGGTGAAGTAACTGCGTGAGTGAAAAGCAAAGACAGCTCCGACAGGCTCAAATTTGGGCACGTTGATGGGCAGCGACACACACGTCCGGCTATTAAGGGCGGCAGCAGGAAGGTCGTGTCAAGCGAGCGGTTCCTCCGACGATCCAGTGTCGCGCTCGATTTGGGTGAGAGATGACGCTGCTTGCGTCTTGTAGCATCCGGTCTGCATGTGTCAGGAACTCCATCAGCCTGACGTCCTACTCCTCCGCGTAAAACTTAGCCTTACGCGTTCCAACATGCAACGTCAGTCCATCTCCGGATTGACTTGCGAACCAGGCACCACACCTTCCTGCACGTCCGCACGGTACAAGAATGGAAGAAGCAAAGAGTACAACCGTTTTGCCGAAGGGCCTCTATCAAAACCCCATTCGGACGAGACTCTCAGTTCTCGGTGCGGTCCGAGAGCCAGAGGACTACGCGTACGTGTTCGAGATGTCTAGGAACAACCTTGCCTGGAACATTTTCTTGATAATTTAAAGTCTCTGACATGGCGCATAAACATAGTCTCGCTGCAAGATGATGAGGTTTTGAAGTATTTCATGACATTGAGCTGGCCTGGAGTTCCCTTGGAAGATGGGGAACAACGCCCTGAGTCGTACACTTTTGACAAGGTATGGGTACCTCCAACCGCCATTGTCGTACTGGCCACCTGCTCTGGACCGCCTGCACACAGCGCCCACCTATTCTGCAAGGTCGGCCGGCTATGTCACTTTGGAGGTGATACTTCGGCGTGACAGAGACAGGCAAAAAGCGGATCCTAAGCTTGCTGTTTGTCTCCGATCAATCGACAAACTCCAGATGCATGAGAAGGAATGCGAGCGAATCAAGGCACTGAGGCTCTATCCACCTATGGCACCTGATCTCGTGATACTGTCTCGGCGGCTAGGCGAGCATTGCGGACGCCGTAGTGCCTTTCATTGGGTCGCAACGGAGATGAGTGCAGCCAGCATTCGGCCACTAACGGCAAAGCCTTGGACTCGTCGGCAGTATCACACGTGGGAAAGCGATTCAAGGATGAGGACACGCCGGGGCCGTTCCGCGACCGTTGCGGTGAGTGCCTCGTTAGCTACAGAAGCTGTTTATAGCCTTTGGCGGATTTTCATGGGAGGGCTTTAGGCCCTCGGTACCTAAACTGAACACTGCGGGTGGAGTACGGAGTATGTTGCAAGAAACTCCGCCATCTTCCACCCGCACACTCACCACGGCGTAGGTAGTACTTGTAGGTACACATATCTCCAAGTCAACGAGTCGGTCGACAACGATAGAATGCAGGGAACACCGATCGCTGGCTGCATCATACCCATGGTTTGATACTACATCTACTTCACACACCCGCCCATAAGCATGCAGTGCTTCCTCAAAATGAGAGGAAATGGACTAGGTGTCAAGATGCTGTTGGACGCCAGGCTTTGCATAAGCCAATTTCAAAGCTCTTGTTCTCTCTCTCACGGAGAAAGCCGTCAGGTCGCGTATTCGTTCTTGGGAATGGCATGATTTACTGCTATACCGCGTCTTGGTCTCGCCAAAACAACGAAAAGGGAACAGTAAACCCACTTGTGGCCCTTTCTCCTCTCTGTGTTTTCTACCCTTGTTATCACGCGACGCGCAAATGATGGCCGGTGCCAAGGTCTCGCGGAAGCTGTGCTCCCAGATCCGGAGTGGAGAGAGATTTCCTTTACGGTTTAGGTCTTGCATGGCTGCCATGTGGGATGACTGACTAGCTATGGAGACCGGCTCTCGCTTTACGAAGTTTTTTGTGCGTAGAAAATAGCCGAAAGAGAGGGGGAACAGGCCTTGGTTCTGCTAGCGTTTCTGCTACTCATCACTCATCAGCGTCAAATTTCAGCCCTGGAGTGTCACCCGCCTGCTGGTCGGGCTCTTCGCCTTATTCGGGAGAAGGGCCCCGTTTGTTAATGTAGCAGCGAACCGGCCAAATTTTGAGATGCGAGAGAATTCTTCATTTCGCTCCAGAGCCGCCATCTTCTTTTTTTTTTTTTTTTCTCTCTCGTCTGTCAGGGATGAGCTGGCTCGATGGATGGATTAGCTTGTCTGCCTGGCCCGAATTGCCATGTGGCCTGTACCAGGACCACCCTGGAGTGACCTTCGAGACGATTCTCTGTCGATATAATCTCTCTGTTCATCTCCACCGATCATGAAATTGTGTGGACACTAACCACTTTTAACAACATCGAGGAGATATCCTTGGCACGGACGGGAGTGGGCATGAAAGGCCGTCTTCTTGACAGACAGCATATGGAGGAAGCGTGTCGAGACCATGCTAGCATACGCGAACTCTCACATTGTTGTGGTTCATACACACGGAGCTGATCACCCCAACAAGCAATGGGAGCCACTGGGAACCAACAAGCAACACGAATTCCCGCATTTACGGTGGCTAAGTCAACAAGGCCCTGACACACGCATATATGCCTATTTTGTAAGGACATCTTCCACAGATGCGATGATGGCTACGCCTAATACCGTGTCCCAATAAAGGCGTCTGCTCGCCAAGTTGTCTGCCCGCTTGCCTAATCATGCAGGTCAATTGAAAAAAACCCCTGCACCAACAGAGCTCGGGCGATGTGCGCAATATGGACAATGTATCCCCTTTTGATCGACCGGTGAGGGGGGGCGTAAGCGCGGCACGGCTCGGCCAGTTCTTCCTTCACATTGGATTGATTGTCAGCCACCTGTATTTGTTTTTCTTTGCACAGACTTCGGGGCATGCCTCAGATAGGCCGCTGCCAAGCCCCGTGATACTGTCTGTGTGTCGGGGCTAATTGTACGATGATGGACTGAGGACATGTGAGATGAGCACAATGATGAAGCTATTGGGAATCTGTGACAGGTTGGCCGTTGGACATCGTGAGAACCAAGGGCGTCTTGGTGGCAAGCCAAGCAGCCGTTTTTACCGTCCGCGTCAGCAGTGAGAAGTCGTGCTTTGAATGACTGAATGGCTTTCTCCCCTCCCTCCCTCCCCCCCACCGCCTTTTCTATCTCATGGCCACAATTCAATCTTATCCCACCCATTGGATCTTTCCGCCCCGTCATCCGGCTTCTGGTCCCCGCCGGCCTCCGCGCCGACAAACCGATACAGCCACCGCCGCGGATCTTCCGCGTCACTCAGGTCCGTCTGGTCTACCTCGGTCGGCACAATCACCACGACGCGGAAATTGGCCCTCGCTACCTTGTCCTGAAGGTCCTGGACTTTCTGTCCCAGCTTGTAAGTCTCATCGGGTGGGTTCGCCGACCGGGAGGTGCCGGGCTCCGGGTTGCGGAACGTCCCTCGCATCCCGGGGCTGAGGTTTCCAAAGTGCGCCGTCAACTCGCGGCCGAAGCTCCATTCCTTGTCCGAGACGTGGTCTCTGACTTCCGAGGGTAGGTCCTCCGCCTTTCTCCTCTCGCTCTCGGACTCGGACAGCTTCCGCATGTTGCCGAGGATCTTGGAGCGGAGGTCTGCGGCGGCGGGGGAGTCGTGCTCGACGTCCGGGCCGAGGATGTACGCCTCACCGCGGACGCGCCACTGGACCTTTGCGTCCGTCCAGAAACACGCCTCCACTGGCGCTCCGCCGCCTGAGCCGGCTGCTCCCGCCGTCGGCGTCGCCGAGCCGAAGAAGTCGGGCACCTTGGCCATGCGCGCGTCTGTGGTCAGCGTGAGCATGTCACTCTCGTAGACGGGCGGGTTGAGCTCGGCCGTGTTTTTGGGGTTGACGGGGAGAGACGCCCAAAGACCTCTGAAGATCACGGTGCGCAGGCGCGGCGAGGCGGAGGTAGTGCTTCCTGATGCTGCGGCGTCGGAGGGCGCGGCGTGGATCGTCGCGAGGGTGAATTCAGGTGAGGCCATTTCTGTCACGTTTTGGAGGAACGGCGCACGCCACGGCGCGGGACCCGCGGCGGGGGACGACGAAGACATTTTGCGGACTGGTGGGAGGTGATGAGATAGTTGGCTTAGTCGGCTTGTGAGGTTGCGGACGGGAATCATGTGTGTTTTCGCCTGCTTGTGTGAGTATGTGATGTTGGGTGTAAAGAGGTGAGGAGGGTCTTTGCGCACGGGTTGAGGTTTTTGGAACGGAGTTGCGGCGCGCTTGTCTATGATTCATCACTGGACCCAGTTTCGGGCCGTCATACCACGTCAACATGAGGTTTGGGGACGCTTCGGACAGCGATTGGTTTGAGGAAAATGATAAGTTTGGGGAAGTTTGTTTTTTTTATGTTGGTACCTTGGCGCATTGGATGTGAAGCCGGTGTATTTAGATGAGAGTTGATTTGAGGTTTGTATCCTCATGTCGTCACGACTTGAAATGAGCAGATTTCTCACCATGAATTCGCGACTTTTGTCAACTACAACAAGAGGTGATTTGATTTCAGGAAATTCCTATATTGTGAGAACTGTCTCGGTCAATTGAGTTTCGGAAGCATTTGAGCGTCATCGGACGATGTTGAGGTGGTGCTTCGGCGGCTACTTCAGATGGACAGCGACATGATTGATCAGCGCATTCATTGGACTCATTTGACATGAATCGGTGTCGGTAAATTGCATCGGCACAATAACGAATAGCATCTTTTTGTACGTTGTAAGTCTGTCAGATACAACACCAACTGATATACTAACAGCCTAAGCCTTTGTTCGGGCTCAACAAGCCTGCTTGTTGTGTTACGTAGACACGATTGAATAAGATGATTGGCAACTATTCTATTTCCCATTTGGAGACTGTTTTACTTGTTATGACGGTTGCAGAACGACCGATGGCGAGCTCCTGTTGGTGTGAAGTTGACCCGGGTTAGCGAAAGGGTAGGAATGTCAAGAAAATGGAGGCAAAGTTGATGTACATGACCCTTACGCCTTTCTTGATATACCACTCTCGCCATTGGCTTAGGTCACCTTCCTCAAGCATTGACTGAACTTTTCGAAACTGTTCTCCTAGGCATGCATATCAACATCGTCAACTGAGATGCGGCTCACTCCACGAAATCCTGAATGTGTCCCTCGTGCAGTATTATTTTGCATCTTTGTTGGGTCTTCTCAGATTCTAGCAAAGCCGGTCACAAGTGATAGAAAGACCAATTATAAAGCGCTTCCTCGGGATCCTGGGTCCTAAGGAACGCCCTGCCCACAAGGCAGACGGGGTAGGTAACATCGTTTGCTCGGCTTCCGCGATATGCTTTATAATCGTTGGATAACGTTGCCCCTTTTCTTCCCTGCAATAGGCCACCACCCAGCGGCATCTAAAAGGCTACTCAAGCCCCGGAAAACTTTTTTGTTGTGAGTGGGAATTCGGCAGTTATGAAAACCTGCCGAGATAGGACATGAGCAAATGCCATACCCCACACTCTCCGTGGACTCATGAAAATTACTTGTGTAGAGAAATCTTCCTACATTTAAAAGCTGAAGATCTTGAACACGGCGTACTTGATCATCCCATTAACAAAGCGTTCTTTGGAATGTATGGCAGAGCGTTGCTGCTTGCTCCAAGCCGCAGAAAACTGGTGGCCATGTTCTTTAGAAGCCTTATCCTATCGGCTGCTGCTTGACCTCATGGTTGCCAAGGATGAGGTAAGGCCGCTTAGGGCCCTTTATATATACTTACTAGTTTTGTTAACGCATACACTTGGTTTCATGGGTACACTGACTCTCTACAAGCTCTCGGCGTACTAGCGACACTGGCGATCACCATCGATACATAAGGTCTACGTCAGAACATCAAGAACAACAGGGATAGACAACAAGCTGTTTGTATACTGTGTGTATTGCGGGGTAAAGGTAGCTATTAAGATGGAAATACTTGAAGCCTTGACAAAGTGAGATCAAGCAGCAGCCGACGGGATACCTCGGGCCGCCCGCAGCGTTGGGTTTAGTGATAACGTCAAACTTTTCTACCACTCGGATTTCCCACGTATCAACTTTCTCGTTCGAGTCAAGCACATGGAAGGAAGGGAAGGAGTCGATCAAGTGAAGTCGGTAGCCATACCGAAGCTCAGTAGAGAAGCAAATTATCTCATTGATGTATTTTGAGATTCATAAAGTCATGTGGATGGCTTAGAGATGATGGCAGAGTGCCGAAGACATTTTCCCCAAGACAACAAATCCAATAAAGTGTGACAGTGGACAGTATTATAACTCAGAATAACAAGTGACCATTGGAAAGGGGGACATAAAGATGCCAATTAACGAGTTATAGTTCAACTGACGCTATCGAGGTTTCGGTATGTATCGCGAACGTTATACCAGATTCTGTTTGACTATAAGACCAGTCACCACGGAAATTCTATCCCATTATCTATGTCTCCACGAGAGAAACCTAGCCGGTGTCGATCATATACACGAACGTCTCGGCATTAGCAACGCAATCATACGAATAGCCACAGCGAATGGCTTGTACTATGTACTGATGCAGCAAGGCGGGCAGTCCACATCCTCGAACCAACATGAAAGAAGTCAATACAGTGCCATTGAGACAACTGTATCCGGCTTCCGACAACGTGGCCTCATGCAAGATGGTTTACAGTCATCGCTGGGGTCAGCCACAGCCGTCCACGCGGCCACTCGTTGAGCTGCGCGATCCGGTTTCGTCATCTCAGGAGATCATCATGATAGCTACGTATTATAGAAAATGCGCCTGGGAGCTTCTACGGAAGTTTTGCGGTTCGGTTAATTCTTGCTTTTCTTGGGATTAGGACATGTATCCTAACGCAGAGAAGGAGAAGCGGGTGGCGTCAAGGATGCCGGTAATTGAGAAGAGCCTATAGTGCTTCTACGGCATAATCCAGTGCCGCCAGTAGTTTTCAAGCTCCTAAAGACAATGGCAGAGACAAATTGAAATACATGCCGCAGATGGAACGCATGGGGCACTGCATTTGAAGCATGGTGGTGCAACCTTGGCGCGGAGGTGAGATAGTTACAACGTCACCAATCTTTGATCGCTGACCAGCCACCTTGGCTGATCGCAGCAAGTAAAGCGATTGTCATCACCCCTTGTCCCCCCGAATTCTTTCGGAAACTTTTCATCAGAGCACGCAAGACCATGGGAAAGGACCACAGGGGTAATAGAGAGCTAGGGCGATCTGTCAGCGAGAGCAGTTACCTCACACGAGGAATCCGGGATATTGCCTGGGTCAGACGTGCCGGTTTGAGATCTTATACTGGCAAAAGCTCAACGTAGAACCCCGATCAACTAAGCCCAAATTGTAAGTTTAGCGACAGGAACGCCAGCATTTGGCGCAAGTTGTCACAGTTCGAGCTTGCATTTATGCCCTTCAAATTTAAGTGTAGGTAAGTAACTATGAGACAAGTGAGTCACAGGGCCGTAGTAGAATGGAGGGGAATAATACAAACAGATACTGGAAAGGGGCATGTCAACAACAATGGCAATAGAAAGGCCCTTTCCTCGTGAATACCACGACTAGGTAGGAGTGGCTTCCAAGATAGGCTATCGCTGTCCTGGATGTAATAAACTGACATCCATGTCCGTCGATATACTGCTACAGATAAGAGCGAATGGCGGAGAATACACAGCTTCAACCATTCCGAGAATGTGCCATTCATCACTTACACCCACTCACTGTTTCACTCCCAAGGTGGAAACAGTTTTAGTTCTAGGCAGTTAGGGATTCTTTAACCGGGCCTCTAAAGATCACCCTAAACCAGCAATAGGGGCAGGTACAATAGGGAGGAAGTAGTTGTCCAAATCTAAAAAGATTTGACTCGCACGCTCAAAAAGCAAAAGAATGCGCCGAGGGGGAATCGAACCCCCGGCTCCCCGACGCTGCTTGATGGCAACGGAGAATTTTACCACTAAACCATCGGCGCGATGATTCCTATGATTGGATGATGGTGATGATATAACGGCCTACTATAAAGCATGAGTGGAACCCTGGGCTAAGTGTCTAACAAGGGTGCCTTGGCGATATCGGCGGGTGGTAAGGATATTTCGGCGAAATTACCGGATGAGAGAGCCATAGTAAATGCCTCGACGGGGCGTTCAGTACGGAGCCCGTTGCCCTGTTATTACAGACCTTGGAACTAACTAGTTTTTGTTCCCGGTCACGAGTCGACGGCGCGCGGCAATGGACTGTTGAAAAGGCCGGGGACTTAAGTTTTTTTGTCAGCAGCCGAGTCACGTTGGTGACGTTGATGCGGGTAGAAGTGCGCAATCCTGGTAATTCTCCGGCCTAGCCTGACCGAGAAAAGGAATTGCTGTCGTGGACTCGAAAGGGAGGTTTAGTTTGACATGGGAAAGTCTATAGAAGCCCGTGAGTATTGAGGGAAAAACAAAATAAGAATAAAAACTAAACCACAACCTACGTAGTACTAAAAAGTAAGAAGGCGGTGGAATGAAACGTGTCTAGCATTAACCCGGCGCGAGGTGCTAAAGTCGGCGGAGTCCAGCAGGGCGGAAAGGGTTTAAGGTAGCCCTTGGCCAACTTTAACGGAACAATTGCCCTCTTCTGGGACCAGGCTTCTCAAGAGTCTAGCAAACCCGGCATTCCAAATTCCATGCTGTCGGAGCTGGGTGTAGTCATCCCAACATCTGTTCCGGCGGCTTGAACGCAAGGCTTTTACGGCAGGCCTTCGTGGGGAGACGGTATATTTTGTTCAGCACGAACAAGAAAAGCGTTGTCCCCCGGGCAGAGGCGATTAGCGGCTACTGATCGCCTATGCAGGATGGGGAATGGACCAAAACTAGGACCCCAACCCTCTAAACAGGTCTAAGCAGGCATGCCGTTAAACGGCCGGCAATTGACCTCGGTCGAGGATGACTCGGGGAGGGGCCGTTGGTGTGCCAGGTATGTTGATTATTCAGTCAGCGGCGCGTGATTGCATCCATCTGCCTGTCTGTTCCCCTCTCGTTATGAGTGAAGTTCGAAGGAGGACGCTGAAACTTGGTCGTCCATGGCCATCAACATGTTTTGGAGCAAGGAAAACCATAAAGAAGACATATATTTTAAATTTTTAGTTGGAAAACTAAACCAAAGCTCAAGGCTGGTTAGCGAGCTGCTGTCCTTTTCCTTTCTATCATTCATCTCCTTTTCCTCGTTTCTTCCCATCTCTTTTTTCCTTTATTTTTGTTAGCTTGGAATTAATTAAGTTGGAGACTATAACACTTTGATAACTGGTTTTGGTTTGGACCAGAGTGGGAAAGCCGAACGGAGGACGTGACTTCTTTGGATGCGTACGGAAACTGGCTGGCATTTCCCCTCTTTTCCCCCCCCCCTTCAATATTCCCAAACTCTCCTTCCCGTCTCTGATTCCCTCCTTATTCCCAGCTTTTTCCCACCCCAAAGAATTCCCGCCGCACTGCACCGCGCCGCCCCCCCAAAATCTGAGAGCGTGAGTGAGTATTCCCGTTCCGCAATCGCCTGTTTATTCCCAGTGACCCCGTCCACCAAAAAAAACAGCGACCTCCGATTCCGAACACTGAAAGCACGGCGACACGACCCAAGCCCGCGCCGCTGTCTGCCGACCACTGTGGTTTCAATTCGTCCTTATTCCCGGCAACGCCCAGTCTTCTCAACTTCGCACGCTCCGGAATTCTACCTGCTTGTGTGTCCATTATTTTCAATCCCCCGATCCGGTGGTGGACCGGCACGGGCTGGGGATAGGAAAACATTCCCGGAAGAGGCGCCAGTACCGCAACACAGCCCAGTCTTCTCCGTCATCACGGCGCGCCCAGACGGCGAATTGAGGAGCACACGGGGGAAAGAATTACTGGCATTCATTTGCAATCGGCGCAGCGCAATCATCTGTGTCGTCAAAAGATCGGTGCTGGACCGGAGCGGAAGGAGAAGATCTAACCGAGTCGATTGGCTGATCGATTTTTACGACCGGCTGCAGTCAGCATCAGCATCAGCATCATCATCGCCATGGCGCCTCCAGACCATTCACATCAGCAGCAGCCGTTCACACCAAGCTCATCCTCAACAGCAGTTTACGCGTCGCCAGCATCAGAATACGGTCGCCTACCACCACCTAGACAAACTACTGGGCCTGGTGCACCAACACAGCCAGCCGTGACGGCCACTTCAACACCATCGTCATCAGTACCACCCACTCAAACTTACCCCTACAACGGCGTCAAGTCGGAAGATAGCATCGCCGGGGACGACTCTGCCAGCCCTGACGGACTGCACAACCCAGACGAACCTCCCAAGAAGAAGCAGAAGCGTAACAAACCAACCCTGTCCTGCCACGAGTGTGTTGAACGCAAAACAAAGGTTCGTTCGCTTTGACCTCGTCAGCTCTTTCATACATGACTCTCTCTCTCTATTCCTCTCTCCTTCTTCCATGCAGTCTAAGCTTCCTCTGTCAGCAAGGCAAATTGCTTTTGCTTCCCCTCCCCCCCGCACGCACGCGCACCTCGGTGGCCCACCGTGAGTGTCGCGCCGGTGCTGACAATGGTCCGAAGTCTCAACCTGACCATCCTGCGACCTGTCTGCTGCTATTTACGGGGAGACTGGCCTCATGGGGCCATCTACACCGCACGTGGCATCCACGCTTCTTGAACTCTGTTTGGTTTTCAGTCTCTGGTGTTTCCCCAACGGGAGATCATTTTAGCCTTCTTGCATGAAGCTGGACCGCCATAGTCATGACTAACACCTCTTCCAGTGTGATCGAGGCAGACCTCATTGTCTGGCCTGCATCAAGCGCCAGACAGAATGCAAATATGCTCATGTTGCAAATCTGCTCGAGTAAGTTTATACCTCCTTTCTGAAGTATAAGAAGAAACCAGAAAAAAATTAAAAAGGGCCCGCCAACTTACAATCCCTAGGGAAACGACAAGGTCAGCCACCAACGGCCGACGCATGACCAAACCCCCCAAGAAAAAACCTTCAGATGGCAATACGATTCCCAACATTGCCGACAGGGGCCTCATAGAAGGTCGGGGCTTCACGTCTCGCGGCTCTGTCGGCTCCATCGCCTTCTCATCTTCCACCGGCTTGCTTTCTAATGTGCCCTACTCCCTGCCGACGGCTAGTAATGTCTTCGGCATCGGTTCTGAACACCCTTTCGCGAACTATTGGACTTGTGAGGGTGGACTGCCCGAGGTCATCTCCGTCCTGCCAGACAAGATCCAGGCCGACATTTTGCTGGCGCAGTACTTTGAATGTGTTGACCCGGTGTACCCGATGATGCATCGGCAGACCTTTTATGCTGATTACGAGCACTTTTGGAGCCTGAGCGCCGAGGAGAAGAACCGCGTGGATGCTGCTTTCATCGGGCTTATTTTTGTGATGCTGGCGCTGGGCACGCAGTTTGTGACGTCGACCTCACCCAAGGATGGGAAGCAGACGGCCGAGTTTTACGCATCTGCGAGTAACCAGGCACTGCGCATGTTTTCGTATTTGAGTGCTGCATCTCTACGGTCCATTCAGGCCATGGTATTGTACGTCCTACCTTGAAGCTTGAGACGCCATTGTCGAATCCTGAATCACGAGGCTAACGAAACTAGGCTGACCTACTTCTTGATCAACGACAACCATGCATCAGATGGGTGGGCATTCGCAGGTATACTCATACGCCAAGCCTACGCCATGGGCTTACACCGCGACCCCAACATTGGTAAGAACCGTCTACGTCAAGCGCTGGCAGCGATACTAACCCGCACCAGTCACCCCCGAGGCGACCATCTTTGAGAAGCAACAGCGCCGCAAAGTCTGGCAGGCCGTCCTGCTCCAAGATACCTTCTTAACCGTTCTCCTCTCCTTGCCCCCCTCGGCAACACACACGGACGTCTCGGTCGAAGACCTGCTCGACGATGGCTCGGCCATCGCGTCAAGCGACCCTACAGACATCGCTTACATCCGCGGATCCTGGACGCTCGCCAATCTCGTCCAGGAGACCATCTGCTCGCCGCGGTCCCTCGACATGCCCATCTGCACGACGGCGCGGCACAAGTCGAAGCTCGTGGCCGACTTCCGTGCCGTGTATCGCTCGTTCCCGGACGTCTTCCGGTCATGGGACGCCGAGAACCTCACGGCGCTGGCGAGGACGAACAAGCGCGTCGTCCGCCAGACGTTGTTCCTCACAAGCAACTACCATCACAACATCATGCTTGTGCACGCCTCGGAGAGTCCCGATGTGCCGGTGAACGTGCGCGGCACGCTCGAGGCGGCGCACGAGGCCATCAACTCCTTTTTTCTGTTGTTCAACATCTTTGAGCTGGAAGCGCGCGTGTGGTGGGTCTTTAACCATCGCGCGTTCCTGGAGGCGCTGTGCATCGGCAGCGTGCTCCGGGAGACGGCGAAGGACCCGGCGGCGACGGAGGCTGCGGAGCGGGATCCGCTGTTTGTCAGGGCCAGGGCCGACATATGTGAGTTTTTGCCCCTTTTTTTTTTTTTTTTTTTTTTTTTTCGTTTCCTTGTCTTTGCGCGTCGTGTCTGTGGTGTGGGGTGTGTGTGTGTGTGGATGATGACGGCTGACGGCATGTCACAGCGCGCATGATTCAAATCATGGAGTTGATGGGCGAGGGGGACCAAGGGTCCGATGTTGCGCGGGCCCGTGTCCAAGTGTTGAAGGACCTCCTATGAAGGCCTCGCCCCGTTTTCCAAACAACAGGTATGCCCGCTGCGGCATAGGCGTCTCTGGAATTCTGCTTTGCAGATCTCATGGGTGTGCTGCCTGTGGGGATTCCGGCATCTTTGTGTGTTGAGCTATGTTCACGGGTAGGCGGCTGTGGGAGTTTGGTTCCTTGTGCATTTTTTTTCAAAGTCATGTTCCCCTTTGCGAGGCGTTTTGCGGATGGGAGTGCGTATGGTTTATCCACTTCATTCCCAAATCCAGAACTGCATGGGATGATGAATAACTCCTCTATGGGGGAGGGGGGACTCACCCTACCCCTTGTTCGAGGAGGTTAGCATATTGCTTAATCATAGGTTAATGAGCCTTTTACTTTCAAAAACCCGCTCTCCCTCTTCCTTCGCACCACATGTTTCCCATCATGGGAAGATGGCAGTGAATCGCTACTACTGCGTAGCCACTTTTGAAGATCCACTTGTGTATACTTCCGGTGGACGGGGGGGGAAAGATTGGAAAAAGGCAAACACCCGGAGTACCTGATTCATTACAGGACGAGCATATTCCGAAACGGCGTCGCCGGCCGCCAATATCTGCAGATAAAATAGTGGCGAGCGACGCGGCAGCAGTGCCGAACAGTATCGATCATGGCGGTTCCCTCTCCTGGGCCCGGTGATGAAAAAGATAAAAAGAGGGTCCCGGGACCCAACGTCTTCCCCCCACGTCCCGTAACCTACTATGTATACATAGTACCATAGTATGTGTTGGTGAGGAATACTCCGTAAAAATAATAGAGATTTACCCAGTGAGGACAGGCATTTCAGGGACCCAGGAAAATTGCTAAGGCGCTGGGTGGTTCGCATCATCCCCACTGGAACCGCCCACAGGCCCGATGCTTAGCCTCGCCAGCGCACTTTTTCATTGGTTGGCCTCGCTGTAGCGTTGGTCCGGGAGGGCACCTGTTGCAAGGTACGTACATGAAGCACTGACCAATCTGGCATATGTCGACGGATCGAGGAAGAGAGGACTCGTCAGCTCGTCGGAGCTGATTGGTCATGGCGGTCCAGCTTCGTCGGGAGGATTGCGCAGCCCCAATGTCCCTGATGCTCTCCTTGATGTGCCCACCTCTCTTTGGGCTGGGCGCTTGTTCGTCGTGACGGGCAGTGCTGCCAGAGTCAGTCCCTCCACCCATGGACGCGTAGGCCTCTCATTCGTCTGCAGGATGAAGTCGGTTTGGAGTTTTCCCTCTTCTCTCTCTTATTCTCCCCTTCCTTTTTTAATTTACACTACATCACTTTCAACTTGTTAGTGAAAGTGTGAATCCCCTCACTCGTTTTTTCTGTTGTTTGTTTCGTTTCGTTTCATATTATAAGTTGACAAAAGTGAGAAGTGAGAAGAAGAAGAAACGTGGAGGATACATCGATCCAAGGGGTGTAAGACGACCCGGCGACTTAGACCACTCACACACACGAAAACATACGTACGCCACTAGCCAGGCTGCCATTTTATCAAACTGGCCACGCCCTTCTCCTTGGCCTGGACCCAACCTACCTCATCCCACCTCATCACTCGACTTTGCCTTTTACAACTACGACGAGTACGACGACGACCCGGTTCTTTAGGCAGATATTCCTCGAGATACGAGGCCCGTCCCGTCCGCTTTCTCGCCCCGCCGGAAAGTAAAGGCAACTTCCTGACTTGCGTTGCCAAGGAACACATCAAACGATACCCTTCACGGAAGGCGTGTCTCTTATTGCCCATCGACAGTTAAAGTCTAACGAAGACAATCTCCGCCATCATGCGTGGCCTGGCGCAAGCTCTCCTGCTCGCGCCGGCACTGGCGGTAGCCGCTCCTTCGAGGGTCGAATCCGACAAGGTTCAAGGTGTGTTCTCACCTCACTCACAGTTGAAGACCAAGAGTTAAACACGAGAACTAACCAGTGAAAGATGTTTCCCCATCAACCTTTGTCACGTTCGACATTCCCCCAGGCTTCAACGAGGACCAGCCACGGCCTTATGTAAGTCGTTCTTCTTTGCCGCTTCTGAAACCAAAATCATCTAACCAAGCGGTAGACTCTTCACCTGGAGGTTGTCGAGGCTCCCTCCCCCTGCGCCTACCCCAACATCAGGGTGAACGACAACCCGCTCTCTCAGGGCGGCCACACTCTCGGCCGTGGCACCTTTGCCGGCGACCATGACGGCTCCACCTTCATCGCCTCCTGGACTGCCACCTGCGCCGGTGACGAGCAGCTGCTCCTCTTCAACCTCGAGTCCCTCGCCGGCCGCTCCCTGGCCTCCGATGTCAGCTTCACCGCCCGCTTCCGTCAGACATCCCCGGCATCCATCATCGAAGTCGTCGGGCCCGTCCGCGTGTCCACCGAGCGCCCTCAGCAACCCCCTAAACCCCTTCCCGAGCTGGACGGCCACATGCCCCGCCCTGGTGATGATGAGGATGGCCTTCTTGAGGACCCTCCTTTCCCGCCTCCTCCTCATCACCACGTCGGTAACCACCCCGACCGCCCTCACCCGCCGCCGCCGCCTCACCACGATCCCGAAGTCGACGCCGAGCTGCGCGAAATCGACTGCCTGCGCCATCAGCTTCATGCCCTGAAGCACCTCATCCACGAGAAGGAGTCCCGCCTGGCCCACGAGCACGGCATCCGCCCCCACCGCCACGGCCTGCGCGAGTGCGACTCCCTCAAGTGTGTCCTCGACACCCTGATGCACAGCGTCGGCGGCGGCTTCCGCGGAGGTTTCCACGGTTTCGGTGGTGGTCACCATCGCCGTCCCCACGGACCCCCTCACGGCCCGCCTCCCACCTGCGGTGCCTTCCCCTTCCCCGGCCACGGCAACCACACGCACGGAAACCACACAGCGCCGCCTCCTCCTCCTCCTCCTCCGGGTTTCTGCCACTGCCTGCCTCCTCCTGATGGCCCCCCTGACGGCCCTCCTGAGCCGCCTCACGGACCTCCTCCCCCGTTCGACGAGGAGCCTCCTCACCATGGCCCTCCCCACCACGGTGGCCCTCCCAACGACCACGGCCCACCTCCCCCTCCTCCTCCTCCCCCGGGCCCTCCTGATGACGAGCATGAACACCCTCTAGCCCCCCAAGACCACCGCCGTCCTCACCCTCACAGCAACCACCACCATGGCTCTCCTCCTCCTCCCCCTCCCCCTCCGCACCACCACATGCCTCTCTTCGCCAAGATCTCCGCGTCCGTAATCTTCCTCGTGGGCTTCCTCTTCTTCCTCCGCGCCCGCTGCTCCTCGCGCCTCGCAGACCGTCGAGCCCGTCGCCAGCGCCGCCGCGAAGCCCGCGAGGCCCGCAAGGCAGCCTTCACGGCCTCCGTCCACGCCCTCTGGACCCGCATCTTCGCGGACCGTCGTCTCGACCACGCCACCTTTGACGACGAGGAGAAGCAGGCGTTCCTCTCGGGCCGCTACCGCTCCGGCTCCGGCTCCGGCGCTTCCGTCTGCAACGCCGCCGCCGCGGCCACCGTTGATGCCGACGATAGTTACGACGAGGACAGCATGTCTCAGGAGATTGTCGAGTTCCGCAACGCCGCGACAATGGTCACTGAGATGGTCGCTGCTGAGGAGAACCGCGCGAGGAGACAGATGCTCCTGGCTCAACAACGCCAACAACGCCAACAACAGCAGCAGCAGCAGCAGCACCAGATGAGGTCGATGGCCCCGCCCAGCCCGACAACGGCTTTCGCAGAGTACATGGGCGACGACGTGCTCCCCACCTACGACGAGGCCGCGCCGTCCGTGGTCGTGTCCGATGGCTTCAGGAGCTATTCGCCTGGCTCGAGCGAGTATACGCCCACCGCGCCCTCGGATGGACCCCAGCAGGTCGATGACGATGTGCCCGGGGAGACTACTTCCAAGCACTAGAAATATACTTCATTTTACATTTTCCATTTTGCGATTTCTGTTTTGGAAAGTTTGTTCGTTGTTTGAAAATTTGGTCAAGATATCCGGCATAAGATTACTCGTTTTTTTGTTTTTTTTTTTACTATGTATATATGGGGCGCTATCTAAACATTTTTGGTCTTCTGTGTGTGTACGTGTGTTTGTGAGGAACAAAGCTCAAGGGACAAGTCAGTCTGTGTGGGGAGGAGCATAATCACGGATTCGGGCGGGCTCGGTGTAGTAGTTATACTTTTTCGAACCATTACCATGGAATCAAAGTCGGTGGAGACAGCCTGCTGGGAGTAATGAGAAGCTCTAGAATCCACACCTATGCGTACACCTAGCCCCTTGTCCACTGTGGTTTGTTGTATAAGTGAAATCGAGGAATTGATATGTGCTTGGATTCAACGGTATAGCTATACACAAAGCATGGCCCGTCGTTTGTGGTAGCCATGTGCTGCTGGTGGATTGTGGAAGTAAACAGTAATGAACAATAATGCTCTCTTTCCGCGGTAAGTCGGATTATGGACGCATGGCATATTCTAGAGTTCGGTTTGGACCTTCAACTTGCAGAATACGGCGTCCATTATCCTTGGGTCACGCAGTATCAGTGATGGCTGGGATGATTCGTATTAACTCTTCTATATGTGCGCCAGTCACTTCACACGTTAGCCAAATATGAATTGGCGATAATTTTTGCCTATGCGCGCTACCCCCTCCTCGAGCTTCCACCCCTTGATCTCGCACACCTTTCTATACATCTCTTCTAGCCTGGCATCCATCTCGTCTCCCGCAATGTGCAGGTCGCTCTCAATCAAGATGCTGTCATCCGGACAAGCCTGGATGACTTCCACAATCTTGTCGGCGCCGGCCTTGGTTCCTAGATTGATAGCGGAAGAGAACGAGAAGAATATCCGTGCGGGGATAGATGGGTTAGTGTACTGTTTCAACATCTCAGCAGGTCCAGAGTAGGAATGGAGGCAGATGCGCGGGGGGTACGGCTTTGGCGGCACCGCTTTTCTGCCAAAGTCATCTTCCTCGAGCTCGTCCCCGGATTCAGGGTCCTCGGCTCCTTCAGCAACCAGCTTTTTCTGGCGCCTGGTAATGACCTGCTTCTCGTGACCCTTCCATAAGGATGCCAGGGTATCATGGAGCACACCATGAGCCTGGACGCCATGAACACTCACAGAGCGGCCTAGCTCGCCTGCGAGAGCCAGCTGAGCTTTCAGCACGGCTATCTGGTGGGGCATCTTGACATGCTGGGGAGCCAAGCGACGCCCCTCGCGGCCACCCGGGGTCAGGGTCTGGTCACGAGAGGAATCGTCGTCGTTGGTCCATCCTTCAGGCAGACGAAAGGCCTTATCGAGACCTACCTCACCAACTAGGGCAAGGGGGTGATCTTGGAGACGACCCCGTGTGTCCGCTAAAAAGGCTGACAAAGGACGCGGGGTGGGCAAGGCGTCAATGAAGCTGGGGTCCTCAGGGGCGGGGGCTAGGACGGCCTGGTAGTGGCGCTTCTTTGCGTCGGGCTGGCCCTCGCGGTACGTCCACTCAGCCTCGGGCACGGTGTCGTCGAACAGCTGGTAGGAAAACCAAGGATGCCAGCCAAAGCAGGGCACCAGGTGGCCTTGAGACATTTCGTACTTGGAGCGCACGCCGTGGGATGCGGCTACCTCAGCGACGAGTGCCTGGTCCTGGCTTCGAGTGGCCATGACAGTCAGAGTAGCGGCACGCATATTAGGTATCGTCTCGATCGACGACATTGTGTCTGTGGGGTGGCAATGAGCATCGTAGATGCCGCGGTCCCAAGGGAAAGGATCCGACGAAGACGAGGCAGATGTGACGGAAGTGGAGGGGTTTTGGTCCCCAAGCTCGTGCTGGCCACACATGCAGGGCTGTTTGGCGGCTTCTTGGCCAGGAGCAGGTGGTGGTATATCTGACTGGTACCAGGTTGAGCTGGGCGGGGGAGGACGGAAGAACGGGGAACTCCGCAGCTCAAACAGACAAAGTAAGGGCCAAAAAGATGTTTGAGGCTTCAGGTGGGTTGGTAGGTAGGTTGTTGCCTCGCTTTGGCTCTGGGTTTCCTCAAGGTATCTGGGTTGCTCGGAAACGTCCGTTCTAGAATTACGTAGGCCCTCCTTCACCAACAAGAAGTTCCAAAGCAATCGAAATTCTTAATTAAGAGTGGGATGGTTGAGACGTGTAAGGCGAATGGAAAAAGCAGTGACGACGATAGTAACGCTGGGACGGTTCTAGGTCGACGGTGAGTGTTGCGAAGAGTGTGTGTGCGTGCGTCGGCTTACGTCAACGAGAATACCGGCGAGACAACAATGAAAGGGGAGACTGGCCTATTTCGAATGGCTAATTGGTGAGGACCTGAGATGAGAAACGAGGTTGCCACATGCAGCAACAAGTGAGGTGATTATTTTGGTGGATCATCTCGATGTCGGAATGGGCTGGGCGTTGATGATGCTGTGGTGGCAGTGGTGAGGGCAGCTGCAGACCTGGATGAAACGGGGAATTAGTGGGGGCTACTGCAAAATGATGTCAAGGGGACGTTGTCCAGCGTGTTTGCAAGTACTCAAGTACCTGCCACTATCACTGTGATAGTGGAAGAAAAGGCAAGCACGGCAAGTTTAGGTACCAGACAGACCCTTCTCTTTTCCCAGCTTAGCTAAACAGAGTTTAATGGTTATGAGTGGGAGTGATAAGCCAAGTTGGGTAGGTACTTGCGCCCTAGTTAAGGAAAGCAAGACACGCTCTAAAGGGGTAGGAATGGGTAAAGAGCCCTTTCTGTCTTGAGCCCCTGAGGACCTTCCCTCGTCCGGACTTTTAGCAGGCCCAGGAGCTGTCGATGCCATGCTTCGTGCTCCCCCCGTCTAAGCCTCATTTTCCTTAATCCTTCAGAAATCGAAGGCGTCCTTGTCCCCCCTACCCCCAATGGCAGGTCTCTGGCACCTCGGTTACCTTGCCATCATCGCCTTTGCACTTCAAGGCAGATCCTTTGCTTCATTGGCTTCTGCTTGACCCAGTCCCAAGGCACCGCATGACGGTTTGGCTTAGCGCAGAGCATTGCTGCAGAATTTCTGCCCTTAATGCAGACCTCAGACATATCGACAAAACACCTTGACGCCCGTAAGCCGCTCACCGGCCTACCTCAAGCTCTCACGAATCATATCGTCGGAATGCAAACAAATCAAGCCCGGCGGGGCATCCTAATGTGACTCGACGGCTTCCTATTGCCAAATGCCTCGTCTTGCCTTGTCAACCTATCAAGCTAGGGCTGCATCTAGGGGAGACGAGAGTAACGACCCGGATGCATCGTCGTGCCTCAACCCCTACGCGGCCTGCGCTCGTTACCCATCGACACACCCCAAGGTCCCAGGCTTGACCTTAATAGGCTCTGGCTTTGGTGATCGTGGCGTCTGTCTTTGTAAGGTGGAGCTGCCAATGAGCTTTGAGAGATATGAGCAATAGCTAATCACAAATCAGCAGCCTTCGGGCAATAGAGTACGGACACGCTGGCCTGGGGAATCTGGAGAAGGTGCGCAACCCTCGCCTGGACTGCCAGCATGCACCCCAGGATTCTGATGGCTCTGTGGGGGGGATGGATAATTTCCTTGCGATATTGGTGTCGACGAGAGAACAAAACGATCTGACCTAAACTAACAGGGACAAACCAAGCACGGCAGAAGGCAGATATCTTCTTTTACGGTTTGTCATGAAATGTCGACATGGCGAACGTTTTGCCCTAACAAGGGATCTTCGCTGCTGGTCCCTACCGTTGACAAGTTCGGTCCAATCTTTTTGCCTCTCCAACCACTGCAAGGACACACACAAATGAGACCCTAGCCCATCTGGGTACATCCCGCCCACCTGGAGATGCTGGTTGATGTCGCACATAACGTTACCTTCACCCATGGTCGATGGTCTCCCTTGCCTACCTTGGGTAGCTTCTGTCCTTCGCCCACCCTGGATCTGCGGGGTGTTCTAGTCGGGGTTGCTCCCCTGTTCTCTTCCCCGGACCCTCTATTTGATGATGACCCTGGTCCCAGGACGTCTGGAGATACGGAAACTGCAAGTGGTCGGTTTCGGATAATTGACCTCGCCGAGACTTTCTACCTCTTATCTCTCCGCCAAACGATGCGGGCACCGCATGTGCTGCACATAGGATGCGTTTGCATTCATCATCATTGATACCAAACCAACAACCTGATAGGCGAGACTGATAATAGCACATCGGCGTAGTAGATGCACACTCGCTCGCACAACGTTCCCCCATCCCAACTCCGGTCTCTTGTCTTTCGTCACCCACCCCCATAAAGGTCCGGGCTGTGGTTGCATTACATGAGCAATGGCTGGCAGGCTCAGGACTTCCAAGCCCAAAGGCGCATAAGTCAAGTCGCTGATTCACCCGGCAAACTTTGTTTTCCGCTTGCTCCCACAGCCGTTTCTGTCAGTCAGAAACACTCCTCTCTTCACATGGGAGGCATTGTCCAGGGACTGCAAACTCTGTCACCCCCCATATACTGTTTAATGAATACTTGATTCAAGTAACATAATTCAATGGTCTGAAGTCTGGCTGGAGTGACGACCCTTTTTGATACGAACAAGAGCACACAGACCCTACATCTGCTATCGACTCTTGTTCATTCCTGCGGAACCATCCGTGTGTGGCAAGCCGAGATTTACCTTCACCCAGAGCTCGAGCGTAAGAGACAGCGCAGAAGACTACCGTATGCTGGCTGGGCAGCCATTCACAACAAATCAGCCAGCCATTCCATCATCAGTCTAGCCACTATAACGGGCGTAGTGCTACCTCGGGAGCCTGTAGCTTCTGATAGCGCAAGCTCGGCTTTCCCCAGTTTTTTTTCTTTTTCCTCGCTGCTAAAATAGCGTTACACTACATTGAACCCTCCGACAGCAGGCCAGGACAAGGGAATGCAATACAAGGGTGGTACTGGGCTTTGTCGCTAGCTCCCAGCATGTGAAAGACAGAAACAAAGTGCGGACTAGACTGCCACCCCCTACCTCCGAAGTGGTGCAGTTCAGACCCCTCCGTGCTGATGCTGCTGCTGCTACTGGCCAGTGAGCCACCAACCTCAAGGTTCGAAGGTTTGCTCCCGGCTCCCCTCCGTCTCATCCCATACACTTCCTATGTGGTACAGCATATTTCTCCCGTCCGCCGCCATGCCGTCCGGGGTTTGACTGTTTCTGTGCCCCCATTCCTTGCAGCTGTGAGCCATTCCATCGTACAAATCAGCCTGGTATCCGTCCATTTTACAACTACCTTTTCCTCCCTCCCACGTTCTTGTTTCTCCAACTCGAGAAACACCGGGGAAAACAGACAATAGCGGATTGGGGCATTACATCGGTATCGAACGATCGGACCACCGACCGAACGATTTCGAGGGGATCGTACGACTCAGGCACTGGGAGATACTGGGCAAAACCGGTTCCCGCAACTGGCTACATCGACCAGATAAACCGTAAATCGATCAGTATCTCGGACGACTCAAGGGAGATGTGGTGATTGAAACCTTCACCGAGCAATCGCCCTACACGACTCTTCTTCCCTTCCGAATTGTCCGCCCACGACTGCAAACATGGCTCTCATCAACCCCGTGTACGCTATTATCGTCCCTTTCCTCTTCCTGTTTACTGTTCCACTCGCCATCTTCGCCGGGATCACGACGACTCTTGCTTTTACCGTGCTCATCTTCCGTGTTATCCTCATCTACTTCGACCTGGTCTTGTCGTTCCTGCCGTCCTACATCACTGGCCGCCCGCGCTACCTGTCTTACGCACCCAAGGCGGCATCGTCGGCCAGTCCATCCCCGTCATTAACGCCTACCCGACGTTCTGCATCAAGACGGGCCCGTCGGCCATCTTCTGCCTCGGCCCACTCTGTTGGCACGATCACACCAATTTCGGAAGCCGGCGGGATCGGCCTTTTTCCCTCCGTCGGCATTGACCGGGATTATGAGGGTGTCGGGGGTTGGCGCCTAGGAAGCGGCAACGATGATGATCTTTGGACAACCATTAATTCACGTCTTGAGCTGCCCGATCGTCAGTATCAGAGACACCACCACCGGAGCCCCAGCGGTGGGCCGACGACTCCGGGCGGCGGCGACGGGTACCTCATGATGAAGGGAGGACGTAACCGGAGTCCGGAGAGCAACCGCGGCGGTAACGCTACCACTTCTCCCAACAGCTCGCGAGCGCGAACGCCGACAAACTCAACGCACATTGCGTTTACGTCGCTTGACAGCACCGACGGAGATTATTTTCCAAGCTTATCGCCCAAGACCGTAAGGAAGGTTGCTGTGGCATAAAAAGGGAGCATGACACACTGCTCCCACTTACAAAAAGTTTAAGAGGCCAAAACCTAGTTTCTTTAACAAATTATAAGAGAAGCGACGACGACGACGATGACGACGTCGCCAAGGAAGGCCCTTTTAAAAGCGGGCGATGTAAGAAAGCTGTTTTTTCTTTTCTATTTCCTATGTGCAAGGAGGGAAGTTAGGACCCTGGCAGGGCCCCGGATCGGGCAATGGGAGGAAGGCAAGGTAGATACGGGATATCTTATGAGAGGGGGAAAGCTTTAAAGGAAGCAAAGGCAACAACAACGTTCGGCCAGACACGGCCAGGCGTGGAATGGTATTTCGGATCGACTCTTTGAAAGGGAGCCGACTGGCGTCTGGCTGTAACACATCTCCATCTGTCCCAACGGACAAAATCAAATCAAGTTCAATTATAACAAGTTTTAAGGACGGGCTGCTGTAGGACAAATGGTGCCAATGTAAAATGTGAAATGTTCAAAAATACGTCGTTTACAGACTTGGTATCCCATCGTTAACCCAACCCCCAACGCCATCATTAGAAAAAAAATCATCAAACGCCCTGCCCCCCATTCGCTCGTCAAGTCATTTACAATGTCTGCCAAAAGTAGTTGGCGTAGAAAAACTTTGAAAACTTGGGATCCAAATTGACAACGTGCACGTCGCCCTTGCGGTCGTTACGCACAACAGCACGGCTGAACTCGCCGTCCTTGCTATCCCTCTCGATGTCAATGCCCAAGCTCCGATAGACCTTGAGCCGCAGCAGCACTTCGTCGTCGACGGGGTCGCGGCGGCGCTGTTGGTCGTCGGCCGAGCCGTCCAATCCCTGGATCTCCAGCTCCTGTAGGCGGGCGTTGAGGTCCGCAGCCTGCTGAGCGAGGCGCTCGGCTTCCATCTCGGCGTCGGAAGCGGCCTTTGCGGTGCGGAACTTGGTGGTGTCGAGGCGGGCGATCTCGGAGGCGTGGGCGGTTGACGAGTGCGCTGCGGTGAGTTCGGCGTGTTGCGATGCCATGGTGTTAAGTTGGCGGGAGAGTTCTGCGAATTGGTCAGTTGGGTTTTTTTCCCCTGCGTTTCTAAGAGATTTTGTGTTTGTGATGTTTGTTTTTTGAATAGGCAAGGAGGCGTCAGGAGGATTGTGAGGTGTATAAGAGGCCGACGTACTCTTGAGCGCACCCTCAGCCTCGCGGAGACGCATCTCGCGGGCCTGCTGGAGAGTAGAGTAGGAGTCATTGATGCGCGCGATAGCCGTTTTGTCCGGCTGAATGTTGAAGTTGGCGATGGTGTGGTGGATGAGCTGCGCGCGGGGCGTGTCAGTGGTTTCCTCTGGGTATCAACAAAGGGGAAATGGACTGCTTACCGTCGCGGGCTCCTCTGCTAAAAGCATCTTGGCGGTGTTGAATGGATTTGGTTTTTGTTTGAGAGGGAAATAGTACTTCTTGGTAACTAAATCAATTCGCGATTCCTTCGTTTGGGTGATGTCGCGTCGTGTCGGTGTTAAATTGGTGAGTGACAGATGGGAAAGTGACAAAGACAATTCATAACCCCCCCAAAGTGGAAACCCTCCAAACAAAAAAAAAAACCCACCTTATCGGGAGAACATCACCGGGACGACAATCGCTGACTACACACACTTTACAGTGGGTGACTGGTCAGTGCTTTGGCCCAGACTCTCCACCCCCACCCCACCTTCGATTCCCGTCCATGCCATTCGCCCGTCGTCGTCATCAGCTGTTTTCTGAGGCCTAACGCCACAAATGACGCCCCTAGCACGTCGCCTGCTGGCGGCCCTCCGCGGTCCCGCACGCAAACCACAATCTTCAGATGTCAGAGCTTCAGCCACTCCGCCTTTCCGAAGCAGGTTTGCCATTCACCCATTTCCTACTTTGCGGCTACTACTACTACAACCCGGCTTCGACCGCAGCCTAACGCATCTTCGCTTTTGCGTCTCGCATACATACGATATTCCCCGTAACGAAGAGAAAGCTTGAAGCCCTCTTCTGAATCCCACGATACAGTCGAACGAAATTCCACAGTAAACCAATAAGCTACGTCGTGCTGTCGAGCTACGACATCACACAAAAATGGTCGATCTTCCTTGTAAGTCCACCGCCGTCAACACCCCTCCACCCGCGGTCCTTTACGGCGCGACGCATGCACAGTTTAACTGACCAAACAACAGATGCCCTTGATGCGGAAACGTATGTATCTTCGTCCCTTCGCGATATCCGCGGCTACCGATAAGAGGACAAAAAAAAAAAAAACCACAAGCATACTTACCACAAATAACCGCAGGCCCCTCAAGGCATCCGAGCTACAGGTCCTTCGCGCCCAGTATGAAAAGGAAGGCGAGATGGTCGGCGTGCAGACCAAGTTCAACTACGCATGGGTATGCCGCCCTTCCCTTATCCCTGCCCAATTGCCTCCTTCAAGCTATGGCGACCAGAGGGCCAGCTAACGTTCCGTAGGGTCTTGTGAAATCCGACTCCCGCAACGACCAACAACTAGGCGTACGCCTGCTCTCCGAAATCTTCCGCGTCTCCCCCGAGCGACGCCGCGAGTGCCTCTACTACCTCGCCCTCGGCAACTACAAGCTGGGCAACTATGGCGAGGCCCGCCGCTACAACGATCTCCTCCTCGAGAAGGAGCCCGCAAACCTGCAGGCATCGAACCTGCGCCAACTCGTCGACGACAAGGTCGCCAAGGAGGGTCTTATGGGCGTCGCCATCATCAGCGGTGTGGCCGTCGCCGCTGGCGTCGTCGGTGCGTTCTTGGTGAGGAATGTCAAGAGGAGATGAGCGGTGTATGAGAGAGAGTGAGAGAGAGAGAGAGAGAGAGGTGGGGGGCGGAAACGCTGGGGTGTGGAGCGGGGAGGAACATGATGGATTTGTGCACAACCAAGAGAAACGACAGCATGGGGAAAAAGAAGGAAGGGAACAAGTAACGACCTGGGTTTGAGAGTCGAAAGGACTTCTCTCCCCCCCCTTTTTTTTTATATTGTTCGGTTAATGTGTATTTGTAAGGACATGACGGCTGTTTTCGGTGTATAGGCGTATACACAACAAGACTCTTTTCTCAACCCTTTAGCATTCGCCAACGGCACGATATTCGAAATGTTGTCAGTTTTTGTCTTGGTTTATTTTTTGTTTTGCGTGTCAAGTGTTTTTGTTGTCACATCTGGATCCCACCTCCTGGTTGGGAGTCTACAAGTCGATGAGTAACTCTCCAGGGCGTCTAACAAGTTCCACCATGGGTACAGGCACTTTAGTTATCACACGTCACAAGTTGTCACAAGTCGAGTGATGGCAATGCCATGAATTTACTCAAGATGAAAATGGGCCATTGTTTGATTGAGGCCTATGATTTACCAATAACTGATCCAGGCAAACCCCTTTGGATATGACTCTTGAGAAGACGGTGCAAAAAAACCTATGCTAAACGCCGGGAATCCACTTCATAATTTCGTAACACGCCGCCGACTGATAATTCTTGTGCGGCTTAGTCGCGCCCATTACTGTTCTACGACGCCTCCCCACTACTAAATGCATTCCGTTTCCGTTCAAGGTCTCCGTCTGTCTCTCGAGTTGTCACCCGAGCCAGAACCACGTGAAAAGGTGTTCCTAAGCCAATTCAAGGGGCCGTGGTTTGATCCTGAATCCTGGTTGTTGTCTTGATTTCTGTCCCAGTTGCCGGATGACGGACTTCGTTCTCTAGCTCGAAAAGAATCCGACTGGTGTCGGCGTAGACTGGGGGGTGAGTGTGAATCCCGGCGCGAGCGGAAGCTGGGCATACGCCCAGACTCCAGAGGTGACGGGCGAGGCGGGATATCGGGATTCCGTGAAGTGTCCCGACCGGTGCTAGAACCCCCATAAAGGGGAAAAGGTACCCCCCAGTCAGCAGTGGGAGATCGCTCTGGTCTCGTAGAATCCGCAGGAACTGGAGGGGGCCTCGGCCTCTCAAAAAAGATTGGGCGGGCAGCAAATGTCGGCGCTCCCCAGTGGCCAGGCATTCCGGGTGGCGCATCATCCCAGAACGCGGGGTTCTGGTTACTGTCAGATGAACCCGGGGCAGCATCGGGTGGGCGCCGAGATGGGTCATGGCTGCTGTGGTCGACATTGTTTGCGTTGCCTCCGCCGTTATCACCGCTTCTGCTGTTGTTGTTGTTATCGCTGTTACTGTTGCTGTTGCTAGGCTCCTCAATGGGAGTGCGGCAAATGGGACATGTGTTATGCTCCTTCAACCACATCACCACACACTGGTCATGGAACCAGTGCTTGCATGGCAACACTGTGGCATCGTCACCCTCGTTAAAGCTATCGATGCAAATTGTGCACTCAACCTTTCCCTCAGGACCCAGCATTTTCTGATCGACTTTCTTACGCTCCAGCTTCCTAAGCCCCTCATCGGTAGCTGGAGGTGCCGCATTTGACTGCGGGTTCTGCTCCATCAGAGTAGAAATGATCCGATCCAAGGCCTCCTGAGTGTATACAGCGTCGCCATGTGCGGCGTTTGCCGGGTTGAGCATATTAAGGATTTCGTGGAGGAGCGTAGGCGCTCCGTTGAGCGTACGTTGTTCTTGGCCAGGAGTAGAAGGTCCACCAGGATTTGGCGGGCCTGCTCCGTTGAGGACACTACTGAAGATACTAGCAGGCTGATTAGCATTGGCTCTGATGGATACCATCGTGATTCGAGGTCCATTCGGAGGGTGACCGCGGGGGTTATTGCGGACATACGATTGGAAGGGGTCGGTTCCGGGGCCGACAGGCGAGCCGCCTCCTCGTTGAATATGAATCGGTCCAGTAGCGATTGTGAAGCTTGTGGTACCTCCAGGGCCTCCTCTGTAATAGGTGCGGACATTACCTCCACCGCCAAACAAGCCACCACCGCCAAAACCAGGAGAGCGTGGCTCCTCTGTCTGGCGAGGGGGATGACCCATACCAAACTCGTTGACCATGTCAATGAAGCGCCTGATGATTTGATCCCCATCGCCCGGGTCAGGTGGCTGTCGTGTATTCGAAGACGGACTCTGCCCGGGTCCCTGATTATCCCATATCGTGCGATGGAGAACAAAACCACTGGGGCCGCGATGCAAATGTTCCTCTATGTCGGCTTCATCAGGGTCGGAATCATCGTCTAGGGGGTGCCTGTGGCGATCGGGGCCGGGCGTCTCGTGGAGAGAAGGACCGTCCTCAATGAGTCTGGGGTCGTTATCTGGGGAAACCTATGTAGCTGGTCAACATACTTCGTTTGGAGCAATCACAGGGTCATGGAGCGGGACATACGATTTCAATGATCTCACTCTCGCAACGAGGGCATCGTAGGCCATGTTCGTCTTTCCACCATTCATTAGAACAGGCATGGCAGTATACAACTTCCCGACCGGCCGTGGCATCCAGGTGTCCACCTCTGGTGGCGTGTGACTCCATTTCAGCCTGGTTGCGCTGGTACGCTGCTAGGGCGGTAAGTCCAAGGCCCACAGCGAGGCCGGCGGCTCGAAGTGCTCGGAACGCCAGTCTGGATAATGTCGAACGTGAAGCTGGGAGAGAATGTTGTTGGGCGATGCCGCGATTGGACGGGCGATTAGGCTCTTGATAAGGGCTGCCCAGTCGCTCGTATTATCAAGTGCAATGCAAGGCCAGTGAATGGCGGGGGAGGCGAATCAGTGCTGTAGCTTTTAGCGCCCTAAATGAGAAAGTTGCTTTGCTACCGATGCAGGAGGTAGGTTGGTAATCTCAGCCGTATCGAGGCTGGAGGGTGATTATCGGTAGCGGAGGGCGGAAAGTACGGATGACAGTGGTACTGTGAGGTAGAAGGGGGGCTGGTGGAGATGGATAAATGGAAAGCCTAAGTGTAACAATGTCAGTACCACAACTAGATATTTTGCGTCTTAGAGGAAACGCGGCCAATGAGGTGGAAATGGATGGTTTTTTTTGCCGCAGACTCAATCTTCAGCGTATATCTCATCTCCAGATGGCTTACGTAGTGGATGTGTATTTCGGACGAAGGCGGGTAGGACGTACCCAAGCTAAGCCATGTACTGTCTAATGGAGCTAGGTGTGCATGTCTCCAAAATGTGACGTGAGCGAAAGGTCTGGATCGCGACGCAGAGTGGAGGCAGTACAGTACAAATAAGGTGAAGAGGCAATAGATACGGGTGCTGTTGGAAAAATAAGGTGAGTAGTAGGAAGATTGTTTGTTTGACACCTGCAAACTTCCAAGCGAGAAAAGGGACGCCGTCACGTCGGGTGTGTTGGTCTTCAGGGCGGAAAGGGAAGGTACAGTAAGGTACGTGACGTTTGTGGTGGGGAACATCTTTGGCCGTTCAGGGTATCTGAGCTTTACTAATACAGCTGAAGCAGAACCGCGGTCGCGGCATTGCGATGTAAGTCTCCACTTTTAAGCGCCTCTCCCCTTCCACAGGCTTCGGTGTGGCGGTGCGTCACATTTTATCGCTGAAGCTGCCACTTCGCCGCCGTTGAATCATGCCCCTACGAAACTATTCAGGCGAGCTGGACATCCCGACCACGGGCAGTCTCACGTGTCAATGTTTAGACAGATACCAGTGGCTTAGAGCAACCGATTGTAGGCTTCTCATTCTCCCTAACACGTTATCCAGCAGTTTGTTGGGGATCAGAAAGCTTAGACCCAAGGACAAGTCCCATAACAGAGCGCATTCAAGCTGACGAGATCGGAAATAATTTCCTGTAAAGCATGAGGTTTCCTTCTGTAGCCAGTCTCTTATATTCTTTCCTTTTTCGTCGGTTTCTCTACTATGCCTCGTGCGGTATTTTCGTTTCATTCGTTGCTTGTAAACATCTGACGTGGAATGTAGTTCCCTTCCAAGGATAAATGCAAGGGAATTTGGGAGATGTTGCTATAGGCAGCAACAGCCACAGCTCAGCACAACCGTCGTCGCATTGATGGGATGCTTGCTTTACGGTAAAGCAAGCGGCCGAGCCGCTGAGAGATCTTCAAAGACACCATTATGTTCGCATCCTCAGAAGCGCTGAGCTGGCTCGTTGTCTCTTATGATTCGCTCGGTGACATCTTGTCCATCAAGTGTATGAGATCAGGCATGCTTCTTGATATTGCTAATTGGCGACTAGTTTGACCGCTCAAATCAAGGGCATGTGGGTCGGCGCCCGCTTCAATCAGTAACTTAGCAGCCTCGACATTGCGTCTCCAGATAGCTACAAAAAGTGGTGGGGAGGAGTACCTTCCACCTCTCTTGTCGACATCGACCCTATCCTCTTGTTTTAGGATCAGTTTGAGAATAGACGTCATGTTGAAGGATGCAGCGTAGTATAAGGGCTCTGTGCTGTGGATGGCGTCAAGATCAGGCGAGCGCAATAGAAACTGCACCCATGCCTCAAATTGTCCGCCACTGTCAAGCTTTTTCGTTTCGAAAAAGTCCAAAACGAGACGCTCGTCAGAATCCTCGAGAGAGAACCGCTCCATGTGAATGGGCCACATTGATGAGACGTAGTCGAGCAACGGATATCTAGCGAAGCGCTCACCAACGTGCCACAGCAGATCAGCTGGGCCCAAGACAAAGGGATCAAGGTTGAGGTAGGTGAGGCATTTGCGCATGATTCTACGGTGAGCTTCGCCGGCGTCAAGTGCAAAGTCCGCAGCGTTCGAGGCTCTAATCCAGTCGGATTGGAGAAATGTCCGTATAGAATCGTGAGCAAGAGTAACAACGTGATTATTAACGTGAACCATGCCCTGACATATTTCAGGAATAACGGAAGGATCATTCAGTCGACAGTCGCAATCGATGTCGGTGTCATCTTCCTCGATAATAACTGCCTCGGCAAGTTCACTGATGGTAAGGGGCCGAAGGGAGAAGCATAACCACGTGAGGGCTTCGCGTGCGAGTGGCTTATCTTGTTTTGGAATCCTGTTAAGAATGCCGGCGTAGGTTTCGTTAAGAGTAGATGGGATGTCGCTGAGAACCCGCCGTACGTCCCGTCCTGTGCGAAGTGTACTGAGCCTATCCATGCAAAGTTTGGCCCACCGAAACCTGTCTACAAGTTCAGCCAATAGCCCCGGTCAAGATGACCCCAAGCAACTTACGTCCCGTGAGCGTCTGTTACAATCTTCTTCCTGATTTCCTCTCTGACTTTGGCGCCCAGGGATTGAAAGCTGTGTTCAGTAGATAGCCTATGTTGAACATACATGTCAATGTCCATATCAATGGACTCACTTATCATTTGGCGAACATAGATTCTGGGGTGAAATTTAGCTGGTTCGCGCGTGCAAGTCACCAATACACGGAGATTTCCATGTTTCTCGCAGAGTGCTAGTAAAGCATCAACAATCAAGGCCTCTTGACTGGTCTCATTTAAGGCATCAATCATAAGGTAAAAGACGTCAAACAGCTCAAGAGCCTGGTCCATAACGTCGTGGATCTGATCAACGGACAGATTGTTCTGTGGTATCAGGCTGTTGCCTGACTGTCTGAGTGGCCGAACAAAGTGAAGGATTTCGGGCCTCACTGACCCCATCTGAGCCAGGATGGAACCGAAAACGTTGGGCACCGCTTGGGATGCGGCATCATCCAGAGAGCAACAGTGGAAACCTAGACCAGCCTTGCTGACTTTTTCTGAATTATCTGGCCTGATCTGCGCTTGTAGTCTCTCGACTAGATTTGAGCTGAAAGGTGTGAGCGAGAGGAACGCGATGACGAGAGGACTCAAAGCGGTACTTACAAAAGTACCGTTTTCCCCGAACCCGCTGATTGCATAAATTGCATCATTAGCTGGAGAAGCACATGGTTGCGGAGACTGACTTACACCGGCCAGTTATCCAAAACACAGGCCATTCGGTCGGCCTACCGCTTTCCCAAACCGAGAACCGGCCGGCATGGATCCATTGCCCACTTCCCGGTAATCGGTCAGCCACAGAGTCAAGAAGCTTGCTCTTGCTGTCGACAGGAGACAACCATTTAAGGAGTTCAGCTGTCTCGCTAAGCATGCGATCCGTCTTCCGGGAAATGATGTCCTCATGTACCATGGTGGTCAGCTTCTGCATTTCGGAAAAGACAGACGCAGTAGTGTCGAGCGAGTCTCGCATCAAAACCATGATGAACCAAGTCTTTGCTCTTTCGACGGTTGCAAGGTACTTTTCGACATCACCAGTCCGAAAGGGCCAAGCCAGACTTTGAACAGCACGTCCCATTTTGGAATCTTTAGGGGTTCCTAATTTCTTTCGAATGGCATCCAGGGTTTCCTGGGTCATCCCAAGCATGGACTGGACCTGACCTTGTAACGGGGTAAACATGCCCTTTTGGGTCTGAACGTCGAAGTGCTCCAGAGCCCCCTTGAGGGCGAGGAGCTCCTGGGTAAGCTTGCGAATGTCATCTTTGGCAGACTTGACCGTGGAAATAAAAGTACAGAGGCGTTCAACAACTTCTGTGATGCAGAGAGCAACCTCTATTACGGACAATACTTCGGCCATTGTATCCGCGGAGGTACGACTTTAAAGAACGAACGAACTATGCTAATATCGAAAAGGAGTCAGTGGTTGTGGCCATAGCTCGGCCAGTGACGTCGTTCAAGTGCCAGTCAAGCTCTTGGCGGAGGAAAAGAAGGGGGTGGTGAATGCCAGGGTACTGTAACCCCAAGCCTGGGGATTGAATCGCAGAATTCCCAACAACCGGGGAGGTAGCCAAGCTGATGCATGTATCGTGTAGGCGAAACCGAGAACAGATAAATTAGCCGCAAACTAGTAGGCGCGAGACTCAGGAAGTTGAATTGCGAAGCTTTGACGGCGACAAAGAAACAACTTTGCCGAGATGAAATCAAGGGCTTGGCGTAAGAGCGGGTTGGAGAGTCTTGGTTGGGGTTGGTCCGTGATGGGCGGGGAAGGAACCCTTAGCATGGAACTGTGAAGATTCAGGTTGGTAAGAAGGTGGGGGAAGTGGGTTGTGGGGTGCCCTGGGATGGCACGTGCGCCCGAAACCTCCACTAGTTTTTACGATGCCTGCCAGAAGTCTTTTTTTGATGGTGTTTACTGAACGTCAATAATTGGTTGTTGTTTCCATCGTCATTCCACGTCTGGAACCGTCCCATTCGAAGATCTCAAGGTGCTTGGCAATATAGCAATGAGATTTTTTTTTCTTCTTTTTCTTTCTAGCTCTTTTTTTTTTTTTTTTTTTTTTTCATGGAACACTTTCTGGCTTAAGAATGGTGATGGACCACAATTATGTTGCATTAGCTTCTCTCTTTTCTCTCTCTCTTTCTCTCTCTTGTTCATAACGAGTAATTCCTCTAGGATCATACACGTTCTATAGGTGCGAGCCGTCTCGTCATCTTGTTAGTCGAAAGAACAACAGCAAGAGAAGAGACGTCGCAGGGGGTCGCACAAGGGGAAAGTGAACAGAAACATGCCGCAAGAACGCCGAGGGTCCGAGTCTCAGTTGAGCCAAGAAAAACGATGGGCAATAAACCTTGGAACATGCGTTTTGCAACTTCATTTGCAGTGCCTAACTGCTGGGTTGAAAAGGCAAAAGGACCGAAAGTGCCAATCACGTCTTTACATAGTGGTCTCTGTCCCATCTCCGTGGCGCGGAAGTCAGGCCTTCATCCACTTTTTTCGAAGCAACAGCCCGGGCGTTAGTGATGCTGTAACTGTAAAGCCCCACTGAAGCTGCCCGCATTTGAGGCATAACAAGGTTGTCCCTTCCCTGTCAGCTCGCCTCCTCATTCGTGCAGTGACGGGCCGCGGAGGTGTCAGATCGTCTTAGAGCATGCCTCCGTAGTATGGCGAGCGGCAACTGCCAAATATTTTTTTTTGTCTTTTTTTATTTTTATTTTTTATGTTGTTCCCTCTCCTCCCCCTTCCGCCTACCAATTACTACTACTACGTAAAGGCGGGTATGGTATGGTGTAGGCACGCACCTATCTACCTTTATGTAACATTGCTGCCAATCTGTTCTGTACTGTCAGTAGGGCAACGTCCCTTTTAGAGTCATCTGTTGGTACCCCCCTGGCTCTCCCGGGTATCCGTACAAACACAACTTTATCGCCGCTGCATTCACTATTCGTGAAGGAAAGGGTTTCTCTTGTCGCTCACTTACAGCTTGACATCTGTATCGGTCAATACGGCAGTCAGTCTCTCCACCAGGGGGCAGAAAAACACACACAAACATACACACACACCTACAACCCGCTCCCCCAGATCGGCCGGTTCATTACTACCGTTTCGTATCCATCCCGAACCGCAGACTGACGCCCGCCCGCCCGCCCGCTATCGACAAGTCAAGCGTGGTTGATTTCTCATCCCGACCTGGTGGTTACCATTTTGCCCCCCGTCACAGCCTCAGTGCGCCCAGCACGAAGATCGCACTACCTCCGCCCCGGCGCTTACTTTTTCGGCTGGTTCCCGCCCCTTCCCCTTCCCCTCCCTCCAGCACCCGGGCCATACCTTACCTGAATACTTGTCTTGCTCCAGGGCCTTCGAGGGTGTGGTCAAGGCGACCATTGGGGGGGGGGGATAACCTGACCAATTACCCACTTATTTAAATGAATTATGGGTCTATCTGACCAATTTTATGATTGGCTGTATTGAGGTGAAATGGGTCCACCTGACCATGGAATTTTTAATCGGTCAGGTGCACGGACCAGTTACTGATTGCGTCCCACTACTGATTAGGGTGCATACCCCATATTAATATTTAAATCCCTATTCTATTCTGATTCGCTTCCTTTTCCCTCCGTAACCCTTTCAAATCGTATGCGCCCCCCCCCCCCCTGGCGCACCGATTCCTAATTACTTCCGAATCAGTTCAGAAATCCGACATCATGCCTTCATACAAGGATTCTGTAAGTACAATGGAATCGGTTTAGGATCGATTCAGAACTGATTCAGAATCAGGACGATTACAAGACCTACAAAGAAGGTCTTCTCCAGGGCGGCAAGAACCACCGCATGGAGGATCTTCCTCCCTTCGAGTTCAACGAGGTAAGTGATTCAGAAGCGATTCCACAACGATTCAGAAACAGTTCTGAATCGATTCAGGCTGTCCCTGTCTGATTTCGTTTCTTAAGTTAGAAATAGATGTTCTTTGGAGAGTATTTGACCTAATAACCCCAGAAGATGAAGCATGGGAAAGACGAGGGGATCGATTCCGAATCGCTTCTGAAAGACTTCGGGATCGATTCGGAATTGAGGATGGACTTCTTGAATTAGTACCCCTTGAGGGACTAGACGTAAAGAGTCGGGTTGATAAAAGCCTTTCAACACGTTCATTATCTAGTTGCTCACGGGATTCCCTCTGGCGTTGGCGTTTAAGTTCTAAAATAATTTAGAAATAATTATTAATAAATATTAAAGTATTTTTAACTTACGTAAACGGCTTGCAGCTGTATTATAACGGCCAATAATAGAAACATCTTTCCAGGAAAGCCGGATTCCTAGTGTTGTAAACACTGTATCCTGCTCTAAAAGATGGCGATCGTATTCTGCACATCTAAGTACTTTTGAATTAGTTCTCAACGCATTCCAAACCAATTCCGAATCAATTCAGAAGGGATTCCAAACTTACTTCTGGATACATGTAAGTAATGGTAAATACCGATTACTCCAAGTATATGAGGCTTCATGTAAAACCTCAACAGTATTTGTATTAGGTATGAATTGACTCCAATCTGATAAGGGGATTTTAGAGCAGTTCTGATTAAGTCCAGCTGCAATTGTTTTTCGGGCTTTATGTTGAGCCCATGCTTTTATTTGAGGTTCAGCTAAGTAAATTAGTTCCCAAGTGATTCTGAAGCGATTCGGAAGCGATATAGAATTGATCCTTACTCTCAAATGCCTGACATAAAGCGAAGTAGTCTTCTGAGGAACGGCAGAATAGTAGGCTGCGCATTTGATTCCATAGAGAGTCAGGGCTACGGTCTTCTGTACAGTATGCCTCAATCCCTCGTTGGAAATGAATTAAACAGAAGCGTACAGAGCGTTCAACCTGCCATGCCCATGGTCTATGCTCTGGGTCACATTCCAGAGATAGATATTTCCCAAACCCTAGATAATTAGTTATAAATCGGTTCTGAATCGGTTTAGAAACTATTAAGAACCCATACCAATAAGGTTTTTATGGTCTTGATCAACTGTAATACCTAGTAGACCCCTACCATGAAGGTGTTTCCACTTGACTTTATATCCAAATTTCTTATAAAGTAGTTTAAACACAATTGTATACATCTGCTGATACATTTCTGTACTTTCAGAATTGGTAAAAACTCGGATAAGTGGAATTGCTAAAATAGTTAGGAATCTGTTAAGAATCCGTTCTAAATCGATTTAGAAGCGATTACGCACCTTTCGAAGATATCGAATTATACCATCCCCAAATAACCTCAACTTCCTCCTTTCCAGCTAGATGTTTATAGTTTGTATCTACCTGGAAAGTATTAAAAGCCTCTTTCTTCCATAATTCAGCTTGCTCTGCATGAAATACAATACATAGGTATGTATTGCCGTCATCATTAAAGTACTGAATATACTATAAGTAAATTAGTATTGAACCCGCTCAGAACCGATTCAGAATCACTTCATACCCGAATTTGACGCCTAGTTTGAGCATACTGGTATTCATACCAAATCGCTAGACGTGAACAGCCTGCTGGAAAGCTAATTGCTTCTTGTTTACGGATAATTGAGCGTAAGAAGTCTGTATTTGCTAGACTTTGATGAACGCTTGTAATAGTCTGGCTATTATAAGTATCACAGAATTCCTGAAGTTCGCGAGATTGTAGGAATGCATCTAGAATCAATACTGGATTAGTTCTGAATCGGTTCGGAAACGATTCTAAAAGGATTCTCACTTAACCCCGTTCTAGGTTGATTGATCTTCTGGACTACCTGTTGCAGCCCAGATATAATACCAGCTGGGGCTCTAACTGGTGGTGGTGGTGGATGTAAATGGACCCCATGAGAAGTTAGAAGAATAACTGGGGTAGCTTCTAGATCAAGCGGGACCCAGAAGTTCCATTTTACTGAACACGTAATTTGAAGAATTGTTTCAGGAACGATATGATTAGCGTCTAGATTGATTCAGAATCAGTTGGGAACCCATTTGGAATCGATTCGATACTAATTTACTTACCGCATCGTGTAATTCTCCTCTTATTGCTAGCAAAAAGATAACAGCTATCAGTAGGGGAGCTTTCTTCTATACTTCCCCCTTGAAGTATAGTTTTGATTAGAGGTAAATATAGCTGGAATTCGATTGGAGGAAAGCCAATATAATGGTTTTCTCCTTGGAGACTTTGTGACCAGCAGATGCAGCGGGCTGTAATCTGGGAAGTTCCTGGAATATACTAAAGTGATTCCGAATCAGTTCCAAATTGATTCCCAATCCATTCAGAAAGGCTTCTTACCCCATACTCTGTATTAACTACTTCAAGACTACATCTTTCTGTAAACGGTCGGCAGGCGGTATGTTGTTGGAAACGTTTTATCTGTGCTTGTGCCCATCTATTTATAAGTATTAGTATATTATTTCTAAAAGGGTTCCGAACCCGTTCGGAATCGATTCTGAATGCTTACGAAACTGCTTTCCGTTTGAGATCATACTGTAGTACCTCTGTTCGTAATGCTTCAATACTTTGCAAGATTTCTGGGGTAACTTTCTGATGCTTCCAGCATGGAAGATTCTGATCGAAATAAGAGCATGCCTTTCCACCTGTACAAGTGTAAGTTGAACGTAAACAAACAGCATTTTGAAGGAATGCTGAAGTCGTCCGTTTTGGTGGGAATTGCCGGGCATGGTTGTACTGAATCTGTGATGTAATTAGTTCTGAAGTAGTTCGGGATCGATCCCGGATCGATTCAAAAGTAGTTCGTTTACCATTCTCCAAGGCGATTTAATATCCTCCTCATTTAAAGTCCTTATATCAATAACATAAAGGACTCCATTCTCACTTGTTTCTGGATATTCTATAAATGTAGGTAGAAAGATTACTTTTTGAGCAAGTACATGAACATCCCTGAGGCTATTATGCCCAGAACGGGTTGCCTCTGATGAAACAAGTGTTGGAGGTATTTCTGAATCGGTTTCGAGTTGATCCTGAATCGATTTAGAACTAATTCCAAAGTCGTTCTCATATATCCCTACCTCCTCATTTACTGGTAAGCCAGACTGGGCCTGGGCTGGTAGTTGATAGTAAAGATTTAAGTCTTCTTCAGCTTCTGCATCAAGACTAGTAGGTTCTAATAGAGGACTTATTCCCTCTAGGCGAGGGAAGAGATTTTCAATCGATTGAAGAGCCATTGTAAATCGATTCGGAACGGATTTGGAAGCGTTTAAATGTCGTATGTTCTTACAAAAAGTATGTCAAGGGTGAGGTTTCAAACCGCGCTAAGGAATTTCAACCTGACCATAGCTAACTAGCTGACCATGGTCAGCTGATCTCAGGGTAGCCCCACAAATCACAAAATAAGTGGGTAATTGGTCAGGTTATCCCCCCCCCCCAATGGTCGCCTTGACCACACCCTCGGGCCTTCCCACACCGTTTAACTCTCCGGCTCGGTGCTGCGATTCATACAGTACCACAGTACCACAGTACCAGTCACCCGGCACCCAGCGGAAGCTGTCTCTCTGCTCGACACAGACACCACTCAAGCCCTTCCAAGACACTGACCTGGTTTCTCGTACGTAATATGTAAGTACCCGATGCCAATATGCAATTACACAACAGCGACATCAGCCTGTGGCTGCCACCGCGCGCGAAGCCCCTCCAAGCCCAAGTTCCAAGTCGGCTCAGTCGCTGTTCCTGGACTCAGTTGACCTTTTTTTTCCCCCAGAAGATCATGTTCTGATGCCATTCTAGACTTGTCGAGAACCAAACTCACACAGCGAAAGAATTTTTATCCCCCTTAGGAGTGAGTCCAACTTGAGGCCATGAGAGGACTGTGAGGCTCAAACCCATACACCAACACCAGCAGCGGCCCTGCTCCCTTTTAAACCAGTCTCTCAGTATACAACCGGCCAAGCCGCTCGCCCGACTCTTCGCGTCGTTATCAGACGCTGCGCCAATCCGCATACCCTGCACACCCAATCGCCTGCCAATTCTTTATCTTGACGACAGGGTATCTGGGCCTTCATCGACAAACCGGCGCCCGCAACACGCGGCCCCCATCTCCACGTTGTCGCACTCTGATCCAGAGTCCGCGCCGACCGCGCCCATTGCTAAGATACGGAGAATACGGCATCGTCATCTCGCAGCCTTTCCTAATCAGGTGGGGCGAATTGCTCATCACTACTGCCGTTCCTCCATTCCCGGGGATACCGCCCCCATCAGATTCCCACATCTCCGTGCACCGCGCCTGCACAGGACCCAGCATCTCCGGGCCCTGCCATTGACGTCGCCCCATTAGTCGGCAAAATCATTAATCTAAGAACAAAAGATGGATGATCAAGATCCTCAGCTCATTCTCCAGGCAACTTCCGCCGACTTGCGCACAAACCCTTCCGAGTCTTCCTCTACGCCACAGCCGAATAAGAAAAAGTCTCGCAGGGGCGGGGACTCGGCGTCTCAAAAGCGACGCTGTGTAAGTACTGCTTGTATCGCTTGTCGGAGAAGAAAGTCAAAATGCGACGGCGCCGTCCCCAGCTGCGCTGCCTGTGCCAGCGTCTACGGTACTGAATGCGTCTATGATCCCAATTCAGATCACCGCCGAAAAGGCGTTTATAGAGAAAAAATCGATAGCATGAAGGCCCGGAACTCGACTCTGCAAATTCTCATCGAGGCCATCCTCAACGCTAACGAAGATGAGGTCCCCGACATCGTCAAGAGGATCAGGACGTGCGACAGCTTGGATACTGTCGCTGAACAAATTCTGAAGCAAGAAACATTGCTTCAAGAAGCCGAACGTAATGAACAGAAAGAAGAAGAGTACGCGACTGACATGCCCGTCGAAGGTGAAAGGGAACTTGCCCGTAAGATGGGCGAATTGCGCCTTGAAAATGGCTCAGTACGCTTCATTGGAGGGACGTCTCATCTCATCTACCTTGGTGACCCGGGCGAAGCCAACTCAAATGAGCCAGAGTTGGACACGAACTCGGCGAACGAGGACCCCGTTACTAGTTGGACAAGAGTCACTCAAGACAAAGAACTTATTGCTCACCTAATGAACATGTACTTCAATTGGCATTATACTTATTTTACGACGCTTTCGAAGCCTTTATTTTATCGAGATTTCCTCAAAGGAAAGCATGGAGTACAGCACAACAGCACCGTCTATTGCTCACCGTTACTGGTCAACGCAATGCTGGCTCTCGGATGCCACTTCACAAGCGTACCAGGGGCTTACGGGACACAGGGCGATAGCCGGACCAAGGGTGATCACTTCTTCGCTGAAGCCAAACGCTTGATCGTTGAAAACGACGAGTACGAACGGCCGAGGCTTACGACCGTGCAGGCTTTGGCTCTTATGTCCGTTCGGGAAGCTGGTTGCGGGCGAGAGGCCAAGGGCTGGGTATACTCTGGTATGGCGTTCCGAATGGCGCAGGATATTGGCCTGAATTTTGATGATGGCGGAATGACGACCGATAGGCAGAAACTCAGCGAACATGCTGTGGATGCTAGGAGGATGACTTTCTGGGGTTGTTTCCTGTTCGACAAGGCCTGGTCAAACTACCTCGGGCGGCTGCCACAAATACCGAAAAACTCTTATAATGTTCCAAAGTACGATGTCTTCCCTACTGAAGACGCTGAGCTGTGGGCACCGTATACGGATACAGGATTCGACCAGACATCTAAACAACCGTCAAGAACGCGGGCAGTCGGGTTGCAGTTGTCGAAGCTATGCGAGATAAGCAGTGATCTTCTCCTGTTCTTCTACCATCCGAATCATATCGGTCGGTCAAGCGGCAAATCTATTGAGCTGAAAAAGTTAAGCGAGTTGCATCGAAGGCTTGAGGACTGGCGCAAGGAGCTGCCCAAGGAGCTAGAACCTAAAGAAGGACAGTTGCCGAACGTAATTCTCGTGCAGTAAGTTTTTGGTAAAAAGCCCAACGACGAGATATTGTCTAACCTTTCACAGCATGTTCTTCCACCTTCAGTACATCCATCTCTTCAGGCCCTTCCTGAAGTACACACCAGCAGGATCCCCTCTTCCGTCTCATGTTTCGCCCAGGCGTATTTGCACCGCTAATGCTGGCGCTATTTCAAAGTTAATGCGACTGTACAAGAAGACCTGGAACTTGCGACAGATTTGCAACATCGCCGTCTATATGATCCACAGCGCCTGTACCATTCACCTTCTCAATCTACCTGAAAAGACGGCCAAAAGAGATATCATCCACGGTGTGAAGCACCTCGAGGAAATCGCCGAAGACTGGATATGCGCGAGGCGAACCCTGAGCATCATCAGCGTTTTAGCTCGAAAATGGAACGTCGAGCTCCCAGAAGAAGCATCCGCGGTCTTGCAGAGAACAGACGAAAAGTACGGACATTTTAACACCTCTGATGTGCCGTCACCGAGATCCAATACCACGATGTCGCCATCACCGCCGCAGCAACCTCTGTCACCAACAACGAGCAAGCCAGAGCAGTACAGCCCGCTCACTCAGTACACCCAGAACCAACTGAACCAACAGGATATGGCCCCAAGCACGACGGATATCATAATGGCGAGCGCGTCTTTGGCTCAGATAAGCGGCACAAGGCCGCCCTCCGGACGACCAACGGCCACCACCTCGTCCAACATAGGCATGAGGCCAGACTCTCTTGGCGGCAACTGGCCCCAGTCAGGCCTCACTCAGTCCATGTACCAGCAACAACAACAACAACAGCAGCAGCAGCAGCAGCAACATCAGCAGCAACAACAGCGTTTTAACGCAATTGGTAATGCCCAAGGCAACAACCTAACTCCGTCACAATCAACCCGTTCCGGTGCAAATGGGCGGCAGGTCTCGCCGGGCCAGGTCTTTCAGGGGCTCGACCAAGACTGGTTCCTCAACGACGGCGCCAAATGGCACCAGAATTTCGAAGCGTGGAACATGCCTGGCTCCGGTATGCCGACAAACGAGCAGATGTTCATGTTCCAGGGCAGCAACGGCGGCATGCCTCAACGGCAGTCTTCCGAGGACGCTACCAACGCTGCCACGTTTGACAACTTGAGCTCTCTCAACAGCAACGGGTGGCTTCCGGGCCTAGACTGATTATTTCATACCAACGTCTATATTTCAAGTAAAATAGGAGAGAAAGAGAGAATGTTTAGTTGTATATGTGTAGGGGAAAAGGCGTATAGGGGAAAGCGTATCACGGACGCAAGTCGACGACTTTCGACGTATATTACAAGGGGGCTCTATGTGTGGTATTTCTGGAAGAAAAAAAGCAAATAACTTACTTACAGAAATTTAGGCTTGTATCTATCAATCTTTTCTATCTAACTATCTATTTGCCCTCCAAAGCATGGCGTTTCACCTCGGCGCTGGGAAAGGTGTCGGCGGTTGGTCAGGAGTCAGTTTGGACGCCTCGCATCGCCAAGGAGGCCTAGCAAGCATATGTATCACTGAACGCAATTATTTTCTTTTCTCTCTTTGAAACGGAAAAAAAAAAAAGAGTCACCATTCAACATTCTGCTCGCAGAAGCAGATCTATGCCGTCAAATCGGATTTTGTGAGATTGAGATCTGCTACATGTGTATGAGAGAGACCCTTTGCACATGTGGAAAGTGGACCAAACCGAGACGAGACGACGGGGGAGGAGGGAACATTGGGAAGTAGAGTTCGTATCCAAGACGACAAACCATTCAAATCGCCGCCATTCGCAATCATTCGAAATCAATATGTACATTTCTCGCAGCCGTATCCACCATCAGCAAAAGCCAGAATTTGGTTCAGTCATCCTATCCCATCCCGTCATTCGTTCATCTCCCAAATAAAAAATATAAATAAAAAATATCAAAAAAAAAAAGAAAAAAAAAAAAAAGGGTGGACGGCCAAAACGCTCCGCAGTACACTAATCCCTGGTATAAAACAGCCATAAAAATAAAAGTCCCATATCCAGAATGATATCGTTTCTCGGAAATCCGAAGCAGAGAAGAGGCCCCCATAGCTCCAAAACAAAAAAGTCCAACTACTCCTCCGCGATGCGTAGCATCTCTTATTTATCTTTTTTAAAGTAATCCACCCTTACCATGTGTGACCAACCTCCCATAAAAGCGCAGTACCGCTTGAGATTCCCATAACATACCCCAAAATCCCGGTATCCTGGCAAAGCCAAGAGCTGTGCCTGGCATAATTGCGCGAAACACGTGCTCATTATGTCCCCCTTTTCCCGCATTTTCAAATCCCATCATAATCGTGTCGCGCACCCGTGAAGTCATAAGTGTTACACACCCGAATATTTTCAGTTCGATCAACATAAGCCGAGTCTCTCAGAGTGCTAGCCCAGTGCCGTCGCCAGTCCAGCGGTACAACGCAAGGAGCTCTCGCCGGCGCTGGTGTTGCTCGTGGAGATCTTCGGGCACGCGGCCGCGAACCTGCGCCAGAGCACTGCGCATAACCTTGCTGAAGTTGCGCTGTGGGTTATGTTAACAGCTGTTGAGAAGGAGGTTAGAGTCAACAACTTTGTGCTTACCTGATACTCTGTGTTGAGCGTCACAACGCAGGCCTCATGAGCGCGGACAATTGTCTCGCAAGCCTTAACGACACTTGGTGATGCCTCGAGCTGAAGCTTATCGGCAATGAGAAGCAAGAGGAAAGATCCCTGCAGCAAGTAAATGCCGAAGAAGAAAGGCATAAACTCCAAACCTGGGTCGAACTCAAGGATGTTGCTGATAGCCTCGGCGGCCGAGACGGCATGCCCCGTGGCGGTGATGAACCCCTGAGAGGAGATCCACAGGTCGTTGTCGTCAATGAGGTTGATGGGATCCCATTTTCCGGCGAGAAGTATATGCAAGACGTGCATAACATGCGTTCCGTAGGCCATGACGATCTTCGTCTGGATGTCGCTTTCCGTCATGCGGTTCGACGCGTTGGTGTGCACAGAATGTACGGACGGCGTCCCGATGTCGGAGATGGGACCGTGTTCCACATTCTCCGGGTTAACGACTTCACCCTTGTCATCCAAGTTGACGTTATGCCGGGTGAGATGTTGTTTTTCGAACCTTCTCAAGCTCTGCTCGTACGCTTCGAGATGACGAGTGATTTCGCTCGCTTGGTCGTCCCACTCGCGAGCCGAGCGGAATCCCACGCCGAATCGCGGGTGGTTTCGAGCATGGTGTAGGTCGACGATCTCGCCCAGTATAGTCATGAGCGGTAGAAAGTAGCCAAAAATGCTGTGTCCCGTACACTCAAAATGGGGACCGCGGACACGACCGTCTCCAAGACTTGGGTCCGTAGTGTTGTCAGTTTGCCGGAAGTCGCCATTCTGCCACGCGGTATCGTCCATGGGTTGCAGCAGGCCAGCGCATTCGAGGTCAAGTAGAAAGAGGGGTCGGTTGTAGCAGAGAGCCAAATGACGGTCGACGATGTATGTCAACCACCATATGCGGCGACGCTCCTCGCGTTCTTCTTCTGTTATGACGCCAGGGTGTCCATTGCCGTTCATTCCATCCTCATCCTCGCCATCAGCATCCGTCTCGTGATTTTGACTGAGAGATAGCGGGGTTGGAGGCAGTTCGCGCCCAAGCTTCAACTCGCGAGCCAAAGACCAGGCCGCATTCCACCATCGGAGGCTTGCGCCTTTGTATTCGCTCGCAGAGACCACTGTAGCAAGATGAATATAAGTAATAACATCGTCCAATGTACCGGCGGCGCCAAATGGCCCAGATTCTCCAGTAAGAGCATCCATGCTGATAGACCCAGGAAGTGCAACCCCAAGCCCACCAAGAGCGACGCCATCAATGACGGGGCTTGTAACGGGGGATGTGTCACCGGACGGCGTATGGATCAATGGCTTGAGCAAGCTCACTGCTAACTCCAGCAATTTTTGGCAAATCTTCCCGCGTGCCGAAGGAACACTGGTCAAGAAAGGCGCATCGCTAGTTTGAGCTGCAACCCATAAAATACTCGCCAAGAGAGCCGGTTGGCAAAACCTCGGCTTGGTAGGATGGAGGAAGGATCTCTTCCGGAATACGAAGCCCAAAACGTACGGCGACATTGGATGCATCACTGCCGAAGACGATGACGCAAAGTAAAGATCAATCAGATCGCATGCTAGTGAAATAGGGATGAGGTTTCCGAGATGCGGGAGTAGAGGCTGTAGGACTGGGTACCGCAGCTGCTGGGTTGGTTGGAGGTAACCGCTGGAGGGTAGATGAGTTGGATACTGCGTCGGCGGAGATGACATTGATATCCACTCCGGGGAAGTCGGCTCGCCTGTTAGAGGATACGCACTAATAGGACTCGCTGCGATGCGGAAAGGTGCTCCGTTGGCATATGCTGTCGGGCTTTGCGTCTGGATCGCGTATGGTATATCAGGGTATGCCGGAATGTTTCCCTGGCTTGAGCCGTAACTGGGATGAGCGGGGCCTGCCATTATGTGTGACCCTAGGCCTTGTCTGTCGTATCCGCCATGGACACTTCCATAGCCATTGAGATCTAGCGTAGTTGAGCTTTCTAGATGGTCCCTCTCCATACCGTGATGAGCCGCCAGATGCGGCTGATGACCGGCAATGTCTCCGAGACTATCTAGTGAGCTCGTTCGTTGGCTTCGCCGCATAGCATCTTCGCCAAGGTCATCCATGATCTTTCCGCTATTGCTCTGTTGCGTGTCGTTTGCAAGAGGTTGCCCAGACTTGGCGCTCATTGACTCAGATTGCTCTGAGGACTGCCCATTCTCGTCAGAGGGCGACTTCGGTCCTTGGCCTGACGCTGCTGCCTGTGCAGCCGCCTGTGCGGCAAGATCCTTTCGAGATGCCTTGCCTCTTTTTTTCCTTTCCCGGATGTATTCACAACCCAGCCCGAACTCTAATAAGATGTCAGTCAATGGCTCGGTAATCCAGTTGTTGTTGCTCGACTGATACTTACCGATGCAATGGGCACAAGGATGTTGCCCATCACATTTGGTGCGGAGCTGGTTGCACTGGTCGCATGCTCGACTGATCCTCCTGCGGATGGGGCCAGAAGCGCTAGATGTTCTAGCTGCAGGTCCATATGGATGTTGTCGATGTTTGTGCTGCGGCCCTGCGCGAGCAAGATGCTGGTTGTGCACTCCGACATGTTGTAGTTGCTGAAGCGCATAATGCGAATGCGAGCTTGGGGCAAGCGGGTCAAGCCCGGCAGCGTGAGGGTGCCCATTGGGGACGTGAGTACTGGAGAAGAGAGTGTTTGGCGGCATGCCGTGGTAAGGAGAGAAGCGGTGCAGCGGGTTGGACAACATCCTGTCTTCCTCGTGTTGGGACCAAGCCCGCCGATGTTGGTGTATTGGCTGAATTGTGAAAGAGTTATTATGATATCTGAGTATTCGGTTATTGTTGGGTCATGTGTAGTTCAGTTGAACGTTGAGGTCGTGGCTAGTTGAGGCAAGGTATAAGATCGCGGTGCAGAGCTTGGGGTCAAAGGTCACAGATGCAGTCGTTCACCAGGACGGGGAAAGGCGAATAACATATATCTGTGACAGCTTTCAAAGGCAGGCTCCGGTGCGTAAATCCCAGGGAATGCTCTGCCAGTTCTGTTCGAACCAGTCAGCGGTACTTGAACAGACCGAGAGGATGAGTGCAGCAAGGGGGCAAAAACAAGGAGTCGAGTGGGCAATGAGTAAAGTAATATGGCCTAAATAAGGGGCGCAACAACCAAAGAAGATCAGTACCGCCGTTGGTGCACGGCACAGATGCCACCCAGCATTGGCAATGGCGGGGTTGATGCATACTAGGCCGACTTTCCAGGACGGGAGAGCTGGCAGGGGGGAAGGCGAAAATGGCTGCATGGGAGTGGTTGGGGGGAGAAGATGCTTGGTAGACTGTAGAAACTGAGCAATAGTACCACTTACCTTACACCTTGTGTCTGTCCCACTATGCTTATGTTCAAGCTCTTTGCCGTCGGGGGCTTTCGCCGCGAAGATGCCTCTGTTGCTTGAGGGTTGGCGCTGTCTTCCCACTTATTGGACTTCAACTTGTGTGATGTTAGGTGTGCGTTGCCTGCATGTGCCGATACTGCACCCAGGATACAACGACTGGGGCTGTGAAAGCCCAAAAGCGACGGTCAAATAGCCAGTTTCGACGAAGCGTTTCGATTCGGAGCTCTCCTAAGCTCTAGTTTGTTTCCCACTCTTACGTTCTGATCTTTGCTGAAGTGACTTTTCGACAACGAGACTTGGCATGCATGTACAAGAAGATCTCTGAGAGAGCTCCGTGCTCAGTTTCTTTGCGGGTTGATGAACTTAGACGGTTCTTTTCCCATTACACAGTTTGACTCATCGCACTCGATTGGTATGATACGATATATGGTGATAGGTAAGAGCCAGAGGCGCAGGATTGGGGCAAGCAGACGTGCGTAGTTGGTAGGTAAGTACACATGAATGTAGAGCAAAAGGCAGAGGGTGAAAAAGGTGTCTGGCAGCGCATGGACTTTGAGACGTCCTGGTGGCGCGTCGGGTTCTCGAAGGGGGGGAAGAAGCGAAATGGTTACATTTTGGTTCTTTGGGCTTGACTGTTATATGGGCCGCTTGTACATAATAGCATGCGAGGAACGGGGCCAGGGTCGCAATGTGAAGGAAGCAGGGGTCCAGCTCTGATGGGTGATGGCTAGGTGAGGAGCAACGAACAGCAGCCAGAGGAAAACTGGCGACGGGCGGTCATTTACGGGTGCAAGGTGGAGTAGAGCGGCATCTTGGACGAGGCACAGGGCCACACCACATGCTCGGCTTGTTGCGCCGGTCTAGACCAAAAGCCTTCAACACCAGGATGATCTTGTCGAGCTTGGGTTGATTGAAAAGTGTGGTACATGTTTGGCAAGTAGAGAAGGAGCCGAGTTGGCGAGGGCGACGGACGGATACCCGGGCCCAGGGGGACGACAGCGAAGAGGAGGGCTACGATGACAGTGATGTGGCGGTGACAGACGATGGAAGGGATGGCTGGCTGTCATGTCATCAAGCCTTCTTTCTCCCACTAGACCGGACTCTCCACCCGCTCTCTCAACTCTCTCCTCCACCTCTCCTCCCTATGGTACTCCGCGCCTCGGGACAATGCAATGGCCACAGCACTTGGGTCAGGCAAGTCTAGGGCCGTAGGTAGACCGTGACATGGTGCAGAGTAGGGTTGGGGCGGCACATTTTGGGGGGGTAGAGATGGGGAATCTTGGACTCTCGCTTCTCCAGTCTTCAAGGCTCGTCTCCAGACCTCCACCCAGGCTGGCCCCAAGTGGGTTGGAAGCATGCCTGGCTTCGTTGGACTGTGCCATCCCAGCCAATAACACCCTTCAGCTTGGCGGAGGTACATTGGCTTGATTTTGTTCGGTGTGAGTGCCGCCGAACACACTTCACCGTATTTCGGAACCATCCTTCTTCGACCGTGGTTCAGTGTCGCTGGCCCTTTCGCAACGGCGGCCACACAGCCTCTTCCTGGTGTAAGAATCTGCAACCGCACAGGCGCGCACCAAACGAAGGAAAGCATTCATCTATAAGAGGGGCTCGCTATAACGTCCATGCCGGGACGTGTCGTTCCTTTCGATTACCATAAACGGCAGACATGGCCAGGGTCTGGCCGCTGTGCAGCAACGGCGAAGCGTTAAGATGCCATAGATAGTAAGCCTCTGTCGTTATACCTTTCATCGGGCGGCGGACGAGGTGACGGAGACGAGCTTCTCTTTCAACAATGTCGGCCGAGACCTGCTGGATTTGGCACTACTCTCAGCCGCCGTAACGATTTACTTATCGTGTTGTCGGCGGGCAGGTTCGAATGAGGCAAACCAACCATGCATTAGCCATCGCTTCGCTTGGGGTGATTTCTGGGTCAAGGTGGTGTGGACGGCAGACGCTGAGCGGGGGTTGATGAGTTGAAGGGCGTCCCTGCAAGAACCCCAGATTGTTGCCTGCATTGACTGAACCTAATTCAAACAGAGAACTCCAAGAGCCCCAAGGACGTGGAGACAAACACCTTGTGTAGGCTCGTGTCCAGCTTATCGCCCACCAACCAGCTCCGGTAATGTTGATGGCCTCTGTTCAAGTCTGGTTTGGTCTGTTTGGGAGGGCACTAAAGCAAGCGGGTTCGTAGTACCTGTGGATGGCGTGGTGGCTGCTCATATCAGATGGCTCGACTGTGACGGTGCCCGAGGCACAAGTCTCTGCAGAAGTATTCAGGCGTCACCTTGCGCCACGAATGCATGAGCAGATGGTGGTGCCGCTACCCCAATCTGCACATACCAGGTTTGGTTGCCTGCTTGATGGTGTTTGTTTTTTACTGGTACATGACAACACGACTTCTATGTGGACAAGCAAGAGACAAGACCGCGGTAAACAGCGGTGGTAAGGAATGCGGAGAAGAGGCCGTGTCGACGAATCCAATGGCGAGCTAGTTTGTGACCGGGTGGGACGAAACGACTTGGGATGGGTTAGTAGAATTTGGGAAGACTTTTCAAGGTTGATGAAGGCGAAGTCAATTTGATTGCTGGAAGCCATGTTAAGGGGGAAGACATGGAAGTCGCCATAGAGGCACCTCTCAATGTTGCCCGAAGTTGATGTGTTTAGCGCTGAATTATTCCACTTTCAGTGGCAGACCGCTGTGGGTGGCATTTACACTCGGGTTTCTTGGTAAGGAGCCACCCGACACCATCCAGGGATTCCTTCTTTCCTTCCTTCCACTGGCCAGCCTATTGTATTTTTATTTTTATTTTTTGGCCGCCACCACACGGGGAAAAGGGAAGGTACACCCCTCATCTGGGAGGCACTCCCCAGCTTCATTGACGAGCCACGACAGCATCGTAATCAGGATCAGGATCAACAGCGCTACTATTGCCCGCAGGGTCACTTGCCTTCGAATTGACGATCACTATCTGCTTCAAGTAGCCCACGTCAGACGCAGCCCTAATATTGTTCCTGTTTGGTCCTAACATACCTCTATATCAACAGATACACAATGTACTAGATTCAGGGTCTAGATGTAGCGGACACCTGTCTACCAAATAAGAGCTTACATATTCAACCTCGATTGACGGACACATTCTACTGCTCCGATTCCGCAGTCGACTGCCGGTGACTTTCAAGGAACCCCTACTTGCTTTACAGTAGCTCCCACTTCCAGACCCAGTAGCAATGGCCAGCCACATCATCCCCAGGAAATACAAACCATGCCGGTTGCCAGAGTCGATTAGCTCCATGCCCTAGATTGAGGGTGTTGAGTTAATTTCAGGTGAAGCAGCTGTAAGGGGGCCCGCTGCGTTAGCATCTGTATGAATGGCGAATAGGGACGAGAAAAGGCTGTGCAATGTGTACTGCTTCTACAGCCATATTCTTTGAAAGGGCCCCCGCTGGCCTTCGATGACCACGATTCCCCTCAGAACATCCTCATCGAGACCATAGTTAGTCCAGCAAGTCTCGTCGGACTTTGCCCGATTTGTCTTCGACGTAAAAAGGTCGACTGTGATGGTCAAAGACACCTCACGACGAACCATATCAATATTGCACGAGGTACTAGAAGGTATCGTCAGCTTGCCCATGACCACAACGCTCGATTCGCTCGCATCCACAACACCGCAGACAGCCAACTTCACCACCACCACCATCACCCACCCATCCAATTTAGGAACCTCGAGTCTGGAGAAACGGTCTCTCTGATCCGGCCCACTCAGCATCTTCCAGCCTTCTCCGCATGTGCGGAGCAAAGGTACTTCTCCTCACCTCCCACACCTCACTCCACAACACCACCAAAAAGTTTCACTCGGTCCTTTCCGAGGATTGTGCAAAATAGCTGGTCTGTCCTGATCATGATGCCAGTGCCAGACCAACCTTACAACGTCACTCGACGAGCTTCGCCACCACGTCCAAGACATTTATTTCGGATATATACGTCAGCAGCATCTGTTGGGTCTGAACAGCCCTGATGCTTAACAGCCCCCCGCCAGGCCCGTCAGGGCTTCGCAAGTACGATATGTCCGACACACTACGTAGTAGACACAGTCTGCCCAGGTGGTATCCTTTCGTTTTCCAAGCGTACCGTCCATCGGGAAGATCCTTGTCTCTGGTTGGCCTGAATCTTGAAGAACGGCAGAAATTAGAGGAGCTAGCCTAACTAACTAGCTCACCAGTGCGAGTGGGGCTTTTGGAGAACTTTTGCAAGGGCAGCTCCATGTCCAGCCACGACGGCACCTGCGAGCAGCAGATAGATGCCTCAGGGACATCTGACAGGTTATTTCATACGCAAATGTAGCACCACTGACGCTGTAATCCTCACTCTGTACTACGGTGCTAAGAAGGCACTAGGCGCCACCCGCTATGCCTCGGTACCGACTCTCTGATCAATTTCTTTACGAATTTTGCGACTCTTTCGCGGAGCCTTCCAGACCATCCTGGATTCGACGAACCAATACTACATTACCTCGGTTAGCTTCCTTCTGCCCGGTGTTTTTTGCTTAACCGATCTCTCCTGATGATGACTTCTCCCATTCTCCAACTCTTTGAGCGGGTCTCCAAAGAATATTCAGAACCTCCAACGAGTAGTGAGCCCGAGCGCGTTGAGCCTCTTCTAGTACAGAGACGAGAGAGACAACAGTGGCGGCGGCTTGTGAAGTAAACTGCTCTGAGGGGGAGATGGCACCATCAAATTAGGTTGCTTGATGGGCCACGAGGAACTTAGGCAAAAGACAAAATGGCGTCTCGCGTGGCGCCATACCATAACGGTCTTCGGTCCGAGACTCCAAGATTTGACAAGATCTGATGGTGCTTCGCTTTAATTCGTGGGTTTTCGGTTGACGTTCCTCCACGAACCAATGGGCAACCCTTGCTCTACCCCAACTCATCCACACCTTCAAATTCGTGCAATCCCCAACATCATCGGTCAGTCAGTGGACGCCAGGATCTAGTCACTGCAGGGAGCGGTAGATGCCAACCCCAGAATTGCTCTGGTCCTGCCGCAACTTCACCAACGCTAATAGCCCGCCCTTCTCTATGACAGGGCCCCCCCGAGCTCTAGAAGCTGTGGAAGCGGTTCTGTCTTCAACACACGCTTTCTCTTCACCTATCCTGCCAACGACGTAATGCGCCTGTCGTTTTCTGGACAAACACAAGGTCGATGACTCCTTAGCAATTTGAGGCACTCTTCTTCACCTAGCCAAGGCGCCGAGGTGTGACGGCATTGTAAGCCACGGCTCCCGCTTCTCCTGGGTCCCTTCTCTCAATCTTCTCAATGGCCGCATACACATGACGGCCGATACTACATCCCTTTCCCATTCTATTGGCACATTTCTTCGGCAGCTCAAGCCCCGTTTCCTTTCGTCCTTTCGCAACCACATGGCAGCCCAGCACTCTACTAGTCAGTTTAGTGACGCAGAGAGTACAACTATTCGCATGTATTCTGGCAGGCTTTGACGATGTGGATCACTCTATCACATCTATTGGCCACAATTGCTTTGAGCAATTTCTTAGGCTGCTTCGGGCTGTCACAGTCTAGATGACCAGATTGACTGAAGGATGGTTTCCCGAAATTGGTCCTGCCCAGTCAATGGTTAGGCCTTTTACTACGGACCCAAACGGCATGGTGCACAAGAGGGACTCTTCTGCTTGTCGTTAGCTTCTTCTGCCGCCTTGGCTTGACTAGGCCGTCGTAGCATGAATCCTCTGAACCAACAAACTGCCAACAGAGGATCAGCATCTCATTGGACGAGGGATTCTCAGTCACAATGACAATTACTTCTAGAGTAATCCATTGGTCTCCGGCAAGGTTCTACGTTCAACGCCCTCCAGGTTAGGCTGCAGTCAAGTGACACCGGATGTCGATGTGGATCTCCGAATGCCCCAGTCCGGGGTTGCAGTTTGGATGGGAAACCATTTCTGGCCTTGCCTTCTGCGGCGAAACTCCTGAATCGCTGCCTTTCTGAGCAGCCATTCAGGAATCAACATCGCGTTCCCTCGACCAACACAAGATCAAGTCAGGGTCTGTTGGGGGCTTCGGCGGCTGGGCCGTTCTTCCACTAGACGTGAGGATATTCCAAAAATTACTCGTGATGCGACTTTTGACCGCATTAAGACCGAGGATTTTGCAATTCTTTCCAGGTGATACTTCTATGAGCTTCGTCACAGTATTGAACAACTCTCAGAATGAGATGCTTGAAAACAACCATGACTTAATACATGCTTATGTCTGGCTTTCCAGGGCCAGCATGGATGGTGTTTGTGGCTCCTAGTGGACCACCGGGAAGATCCCTCAGCGATTATTGAAAGCTGGGTGGTACAGTATACAGAGTAGGATTTCTGTTCTGGCAGGGAAAATGACCCTCTCGTGACCCGCCGTTCTGCTGATCCCGATGATCCGTCACGTTTCTGCCAATGGATCAAAAGCTCTAGGTAGTAGGACAACCTAGAATGAGTGCACAATGGTTGCTAAGCACTACGGCGAAGGGAGCGAGACCTTCAACCAGAAAACAAGCACATCTGATCGGCCTTTTACGACTATCCAGCTGGGAACCAAGTCGAAGAGAGCTGTGGGGTTCACCACCTCTGCCGTTGATCAAAGTATCGGTTGCGTGAACAGGTCAATTTTGTACACGGGGTGAAGCTTTAATTCACACGGCTAGTTCGGGCTGGAAGCCACCTTGAAGCCCTACACAAGCATGATCGACGCCCCCTATGCTACACGCTATCTTTATGAGCTCGACTTACCAACTGTGTTATAAGGCTTTTGGTTCGGAATAAAGGAGAAAATATTATATTGACCCCACGTGCCGGTTAAACTTGGATGTATTTCTCAAGGGCTGTCATGATGCAGAAGGCTCCATTTGAACGGGGCAAACTGTTATGTCACATTCGGCCGCGCCTTGTCTCCTCCAGTTTTATGACAGGCCTGGTTCATGGGGAAGCTGACAGAAGGGAGTCCCTAGCTATTGAGCGCCGCAAACTTGCTGAAGACGTACCAAGGGGGGCGCGTTCTGGCTAGGCTATGCGGCTACTGCTTCCGCCCAACCCAGAGGACCTGCGTCTGTTTGCCACAGCTTGCATAAAGCGGCATCGGCTGGTGACAACGTGTTCATTCTGCAGGCTGCCACAAAGTTGCAGCGTCGTCTGGGTTGTTTGATGGCATCCCAAGGGGTGGATCGATCGGTCGCGCGCTCGTGGGATAGCCAGACTAGCATGCTGCACATGTGCGTACCAGGCGGCCTGGAAATGGAATTCCGAGTTGCCCAATCTACTTCAGGAACAGCTGGCTTTCTCAGAATAGCACGGGGGCTATAGCAAGGTAGAAAGAATCTTACGCTCGACTGTCTTTGGGCTGGCCTACCACGGAATCTCGAACCTTGGATCGAGATATTTGTGGCTCCACGGGGCGTGGGTCTGGAACGGGGAGCGGCTTCCAACGATCATAAAACCTATCTTATACGAGGCCCACGGCGCGTCGAGCCGCATCCTAAGTGAGACTGCGAGGTGTTGTACCTAAGCATCTGGCGCTTCCTATTCAGGATGACCCTCCGTGTCGTGTCTCAACTTAACAGGACATACTGGACGGCACTTGAGCTATACTATCGGACCTTAAAGCACGATTTGCGGGGGAAGTGCGAGATTTCTGACATGCCACTAGCTCCTCCAAATTGTTCCTTACGACCGGCATTGCGGGTTCTTGTTCTTGGTGCTTGCCACCAACAAACACCAAGGGTCAGTTGTTCGTGCTGCGGATCCTCAAAGACCTCTAAGGGTCGTCCAAAACAAGCCTCCCATGGTTCCAGGGCGCCACCAGTTATAGGCGTGACCTCCATATTATTTTCTTTACGTTATCCAGATGTACTCAGGCAGCCTTGGAATGCGATCGTCCCGTGAGCTCCGTCGACAAAACTTGCCTGCCCTTATCATATCGAGCGATACTCCCTCTAAGTAAACAAAAAATGGCCACCATAACAACTAATAATGGATCATTTAATATAAAGCTGGAAGAAGATCCGTTCGGAGTTGGTGGCATTGCCAACCGCAAACCAATCCCAAGCTTCCCACACATGGGGAATGTTTGGATCTGTAGTACCATGAATATCACACCCCACAGAGTATAGCCTTGCCGATGTAACCTGCCTCAGCTGCGGCAGCCCGTCGATTCTTTCCGCACAAGCCGTCAAACGGGCGGTTCCGTAGTAATATTTGGCGCTGACACTTATAGGATCCCGTCAGGTGTATTCGTCGGTCGCCCTGTTTGGGTAGAGGCAATGCGAGAGTAGATGAGTGGATCGACGTGTTTTGGTCCAAAGAGGTCTGGATCGCCAGGCTGCTTTTTTGATTGTGTCACCCGTACTGGAAAGATATCGACTTTGTCTTGTTCATGGTTCACTGCAACTTTTCATCTGGGGATGCTGTTGGGAGCCTTGCTCCGGAGTAGAAACGATCCGTAGCTAGTGCGGCGACCAAGACGGCAGACTCATTGCCAGGGGGGTTCTAAAGGGATTTCCTGATTTTGTGCCGCTCCTCGTTACCTCGCTTCATTTCCGTCGTGAGATGGGGTGGGTTCAGCACAGTCACTTCGCCATACCGGCGTGATCATCGTTGGCACGAAGGACAAGGTGGCTCCGCTGCAATATAGCTTCTTCTTCTCACATTGGTATCCTTCTTGATAACGCTTTGCTACCACAACACACTGTGAAATTGCCTCGAGCTGGCGGCGAAAGTTAGGAGATGACAAGTCTAGTAGTTTGCCGCCCATTCGGTCTCACGTTTCTCCAGGATTGGTTTACAAGATGTTGGAGCAAAGGCATTAGTTATTCTCTTAGATATAGCTCATGAAAACAAATTGAACGCAAAATTTAAATAAAAGGCGTCCCGGTTAGAGCTTTGTAAACGATCTCGTGCGTTCATATCTCGCTGAGAAAATAAAAGAGGCCAAACGTTATTTTGGTGTCGTGTCATATGTCTTTAAGTATGTTTCCTCGGCCTACTTTCTGTAGATTCAAGTATTGGGCCTTTTACAGACTGCCAGTGCATGATTTCCGAGTCCGCGTGATTATTACAACAATTCTACTGCTTTTCTGTTCTAAGTTGAAACTTTTTTCCTGGTAGTCGTGGCAAGTTTACTGATGAATCGTCTAGCGAAGGCAGTATATTACAGATCTTTCTCCCAAAACTAAATCCTATTTCGGGTTCTACCCATCTAGCGATACTATTCTCTGGCACTAGATCGTGATGCTTTGTAACTTTAACAATTCCAAATACATTCGCTTCAATTTTCGTCTACTTCAAAGACGAGTACTCGCCTCAACAACAATGGAGTGAGTAGCCAAAACTACATACATCAACTAAGAGTCCCCGCTGCAACAAACACATCTTAGCCAGTTTCTAAAGGAACCCTCGAGCCACCATCTATCTTGACGGCCCTAACGAATTGGACGTCTTAACGGAATCGAGATAATCGATCTCCTTACTATCATCTGCAGACCCCTGACTCGCATCGATGTTACCACTGTCATTCGTCTCACCTATCCGCAAGTCGGTGAGAAGTGGTTTTTTGCATCTAGTTCAATAGCCCCTGAGAGTCATCCTTACCAGACCCTTGGTGCTATACATCATATTTACATGGTGTGCTGCTCTTGGCCCTCTGCGGTCGTACTTGGCGCCGTAGATCACATCCGGCACGGTTGTAAGCTGAGCCTATACCGAAATATGGTGTCCGGTACGAGGAATCCATGTCAAAGGCTCTTGATTGACGTTGCCTTGCGCGCTTCGGCCGCGAGCACCAGTTCAACCGAAATCGTCTCTAAGCCGTATGAAGCCCGCCATTGGGCATTGATAAACTCTTCAGACGTTACCGGCTGCGCAGTTTCACTACTTACGGTCACAGAAAATGACCAGGACACTCCAAAATCGTCGCGCAAGAGTTCGTGAAAGCTCATAAGATTGGCTGCGCATTCGATATGTACACTGGCTGTCTCGTCTTTAGTTCTGCGCAAACCTACGCACAATGGGGCCACGTCGAAGCCCACGCCTCTCGCCTCCCTTCCTCTCCCTCTGCGACTGCCTGGGACGACAAATTCGTGCAGAATGCCTGCTGGTGCCATCACCTGTGGTCAAACTGACCCAAGAGCAATAAACTGAGCATCAGCAGGAGCCAAGGCAAAAGGCTATGTCTCCACAACGGGCCTGGTAGGGGAAGAGAAGAGGGTGGCTGGTGCTGAAAACGGCGAGGGATATTGGACCTAAATTTGGCTCAGTCGACTTCATACACAGTCAGTCGAAGCTGGAAATTGATGTTGTTGCTCTGGTGTCAGTATTTAAATGGATAGAGAGCGAACAATGTGAAGTGGTCCAAACTGTCTCGATTGACTAAAGTGACACAGCGCAAACGTGGTGTGTCCGATTAAATAATGAGGCAGACATACTCGCAGTTGTGCCTGCAGACAAAGAGAGGGAGGCATTGTTTGAAGTAAGGTCACATGCTCATGCTATTCATAACAACCAGACCTCTAAGCCAGCTAGCTACCTAAAGCCAAGTCCCGCGAACGCCATAGACCGTTTGCCTTTTGTTTTTTGTCCAAACAGGCGGGGAATGCCAAAAATTCGATTCCCGATAAAGTGCTTTTGTAAGTGGTATCTTGTTTTCCAGAGGGGTGCCATTTGAGGCAATATGAAAGGCTTCATCCTCCTCATATAACCTATGCGGCGACATCGGCCTTGGTGTCAACCTTCTTGGCCTCGGGCTCAGCAGCACCGTCATCCTCGCGAGCGCGCTTGCCATTGTCGTTCTTATCCTCAGCAACAGGCTCACCCTTGTCGTTTGTAGCCTGAATGGTAGGTCTGCCGCTGCAAAAGGTTAGTTGAATTGTTCACAACCAAGAAAAGGAAATTAATACGTACGCGTTGCGGTCATTGCCGCGCTCGTTAGGGTCCTTGCGGTTCTCCTGGTTGTCACGTCCTCCGCGACGGTCACCACCACGGCCTCTGCCACGGCCACCACCCCGACGGTCCTTGAAGCCGTTCTTCTGGTCGTTGTCGCGACGCTGCTTCCAGTTGTCCTTGTTGTTGAAGTTGCCGCCACGGCCACCTCTTCCACGGCCACGGCCGCGGTCACCGCCATCCTTACCCTCGAAGAATCGGCGGGAGGTGTTGGGCTCGAGCTTGCCGGCGTGGATAAGAGCGCTCTTCTCCTTGACGTAGTCAACCTTGGGCATGATCTTCAGCTCGTGATCCTTCCACTTAGGCTTGGGGTCCAGAGCGAGGAACTTCTGAGCAGCCTCCTCGTCAGGGAATTCGACGAAGACGGAGCCCTTGAAGAGCTTCTCGGCGGTGCGACGGAGACGAACAGCATTGATGGGTCCGAACTGGGTGAAGAAGGCCTCGAGGTCGAACTGAGTAGAGGGCTCCTCGTCGCCGAAACCCTTGACGTACACGCAGCGGGCGTTGTACTTGTCACTGCCGGGGGTGTACGGCTGCTTGCGCTTGATCTGCTCCTCTCCCTCCTCGCCGGTGATCTCGAGGGTGGTGCTCTCCTTCAGTGCAGCGACAACAGCGGAGTAGGGCTGGAAGCGACGCATGCGCTTGAAGGACGTGATGGTCTTGAGAGGAATGGACTTGTTCTCGAAGCCACCAGTAAGCTCCCACAGATACTTGTCGTGGGGGAGGTTGCTGTCGGACAGGTAAAACTCGACCTTTTCACGCACTTGTTAGCTGATACAGTCTCCATGACACAAATCCGGGGCGCGCCTTACCTGCTTGCGGATCTCCACAGGGTCGTCCGTTTCCTGGAGGACGGAGGCATCGAACTTCATGTTGTTGGCGTGGTTCTTGGGGTCGATTTGAGCAGTCGTCTTGAGGACGGTGCTCTTGTTTTCAGACTCTTCAGGCTTGGTCTCAGTCTCCTCCGTCTGGGTGGTCTCCTCGACCTTCGCAGGCTCCTCAGCCTGGACAGGAGCCTCGACGGCAACGGCCTCGACGGGCTTGGTTTCTTCGGCGGCGCTCATTATGTGGCGAGGCGAAAGTCGAATTGGAGAGTTTAAATGTTCTGGAAATGACCAATTAATATTCAAATTTCTCGATAAGTTACTCTCAATCGTAAAGCAATGAGTCTCGTCTCGTAAAATACAATGAGTAACACGGCGACGGAGTCTTTGATCAGGAAGAAAGAATATTGTGTGGCGGGGTACTCGACCACGAAGAGTCAGATTGCAGAGAGAGTGAGTAATTCGGACAAAAGCTTACAGGGTAAAGGAATCAATGCGATTCGACGGCCTTGGTTTATGGTGTTGGGGTTTGCAGGAGCAGGCTGTGTTGCTGATAAGTTGGTCCTTTTTGCCCCGTGGGAGATTTATTTCTTAGCGCAAGAAGATAGAGAAAAGCCGTTACCCCAGTGAGGATTTTGCGACGAGAATTCGCATGCACGAGCGTGAGCTCCAGTTTCTGCCGCAGCGGGTTGCGCGCATTCGATGCACACCGCCCGCAGCGGGTCCCACTTGGCTTGGTGGAGAGACTGAAAAAATCGACCACACAGGTGATAGTGAATAGGCGGGAGGCTGGATACGTACCAGCCTGTTGTTCAAGGGACTCAGTATTAGGTAAGCTAACCCGTTCTGCTGGTCAGGCCACTATACACGTGACCACGTGACAGCTTTCAGTACCTACACTGTGGCACCTGGTACGTATCTGAGAGCCCATTCGGGAGATGCCGTCCCAGCACCAAAATTTCCGTCGCTGCGTCTCATGCTCCTGAAGCTGTCGCCATCCCTACGGCTTCAAGAACGCGACCACGTCCACAACTCAAGTAGCCCAAAATGAGAGGTAGAAAGCCGAGGTGGTACAGCCTCCAGAACATTGTAAGCTTCATTCTTGCTTCTTCGCCCTGCCTCAAAGTCAATTGGCACACCTTCAAAAACCTTATGCGCCCATTTTGCTTTGGTTACAGATACCTGAGCGTCGACGAACGAATGCTAACATTCGTCCTTCTCGCAGAGAATTCGCCAGTCATGGAACAAGCATAATCTTTTCAATTTGTTGAGGAAGAAGCTTGTCATAAACCGTTTTAGCAGGACCTTTTTCCAGCAGAAATGGGCCGCCAAATCCGCAACTCGTGCCTATCATGGCGCTCACATTAAGGAGACGGACTGGTCTCGCATGTTCTCCCGCCGCCTCTACTCCGCCGTCGACATGCCCCCTGAGTATCTAGCCACTTTCGATGGTTCCGAACAAGCCTCCGGTCGCGGATCTGGTCGCGCCGGCCTCACTATCAACGCCAGCAGCTACTCCCGGTACGAAAAGGAAAGGCAGCGGCGCGCCAACGAAGAGCCGACGGGTTCTAGGCTACATCCCAGACAGGCCGATACCGACAGTCGCGGAAAGCTTCTTAGTACGCCTATCAACGAGATGACGCCGTACATGCAGATGGCCTATGCACCACTCGAGAGAAGACTAGATGTCGCCATCTTCCGCGCAATGTTCGCCAGCAGCACACTCCAAGCCAAGCAGTTTTGCACGCACGGCGCCGTCAAGGTCAACGGCAAGACTGTAAGATACTTCTCCCCTTGACACGAAGTCTTGAAACCAGTCGGCTCTTAAGGCACGCGTGATTCTGTAGCCTGGCATCTTTGACTGACAATGACCCTTTTAAGATGCGTTATGGTGCCTACCTGCTCAACCCTGGCGACATGTTCCAGGTTGACGTAGACCACGTTCTCTACGCTACCGGCCGACCCAAGACCCCGGCACACGCAAAGTACCTTGCCGGTGAAGACTGGGAAACCAAGAACGCGTCGCTAAGCTCCAAAAAGGACAAGAGCGCCGACGCCGATGCCGAGACCTCAGAACAAACTGCGGCTGAAGCCCCTGCCGAGGCGGAGACCGAGGATGCTGAAGCCCAGGCCGCTGCCGAGGGCGAAGGCGCCGAGGCCAAGGAGGAACTGACCGAGGAGGAGCGTGCTGCGCAGCACAAGAAGCACCTCAAGTCCCTTGTGCGCTCCGCCAAGGACCTCATCAACGACGGCCAGGGCCTCAACCCGCGCAAGAAGCGCCAGCTCCGCTCTTTCATGAGCGAGGCCAAGCGTGCCATCGCCCAGTCCGGCCGTACCGCCGAGACGGCAACCGTCAGCCCTGACAACATTATGGACCACCTGTCGACCCTGCTCAAGGACTTTAAGCTCGACGGCAGCCAGGTCGAGGCCGTCGCTGCCCCCGAGGAGCAGTCGAAGCAGGAGGCCGAGCAGCCCAAGCCTAGTGCCAAGGAGAAGGCCAACAAGGACACCCTTACCGAGCTCGTCTCCAGCAAGGAGGTGCGCAAGGCCATCGACGGCCTGTCCAAGGAGGAGCAGAACGCACTTGCAAGCCTGCTTCGCAAGGACGCCGAGAACCCCATTGACGAGTCTAAGCCCTACTGGACGCCTTGGCAACCCCGTCGTTACATGGCTCCTTTCGCCTTCATTCCCCGCTACCTCGAGGTGAACCAGAACATCTGTGCCGCCGTCTACCTCCGTCATCCCGTCGCCCGTCGCGGTCTCGCCGAGGTGCCCACTCCCTTCCCTTACGAGACGAACCAGCTGGCCTTCAACTGGTACCTGAAGAGGCGGTAAACGCTGTATTAATGATGCTTGGTGTCGGAAGGTGATGTGTTAAAACAGCGAGAGAAGAGAAAATAGGAGTTGCCCCTGAAAGAGTGTGTCAGGCGGCATTGTACAACAGGATATAGAGCCCAAGCTTGTAGGACGACATGTTAAGGCTTAGATGTAGTCTTATATGTACATCATCACCGGTAGAGAAAATGGAACACCTCTGCCCCCTTGAAATATTGGAGCCTTCGTGATATACGTCGTCCAAGGTACTGCAAGTCTAGATTGCACTAGTGCGATCAACTTATGGATACAAAATTATAAGGATTACACAGATTCAGGAACGGGATACGAGCAATTCTAGGAAACAGTCCTTTTTGTAACCACACAAAAAACTAAGCTAGTAAAGAGAATAGACGTCAAGGAAATCAAAATGCCAAGTAAGCGAAGGCGCCTGTCGTCATGCCAGGCCGTCTTCTACCCCTCCCTCTCCATGACCTCATCCGAATAAAATACAACATCAGGAGGTTGTTGGCTAGACATAGCCTGGATTTTCCATCATCACGGCGCGCTCCCACCCGGTCGCCAGGGTTTTTGTGTCCACAGTTGAGAATACTTGACTGGTCCAACACCAAAAGGCGGCAAGAATATCGAGCGCGGCATCATGGATTATAAGAAAACCCTATTCCGTGGAAAGTCTTTGGGGAAAAGAAATAAAACCACGAGGATACTTTGCTAGCGCAAGTGTGTTCGACCAACCGACCTCATGTCGCTTCCCGAGGTCCTCGTCTCCCATGTCCACCACAGTAGGATAGGCCGCGTCAAGTAGAACTGCAAAAGTGTTCCGAGAACGCCTCTTCGCCAGAATCAAGCCTCGCAGAAGCACTGACTCCTCGCATGGTGCTTTTGCGTCTTTCCATCCATAGTCTGCATAAAGACCCCCTTTGCATGACTGCTTCGTAAAAGACTTTTTGGTGATGTTGGGTTTCCGTATGTGATTAGATGAAGGTTGGTGATTAAAAGAGGTCCAGAGAAAAAGGGGTGATAAGAAAGGACAAGAAGAGAACGGACAAAGAGGCGCGTTGTGCTGGTATTGTATGGGCATCATGGGTACTTAGACATGGGTCGTAGAAATGAGAGAATGCGAGCAGGGTGGCGTCAAGAGACCGGTAGAGAAGTCTTAACGGAGCGAGAAGCCCTTCCGCTTGCCTTCCTTCTCGATGGGCCGACCGCTCTCGACTCTTTGCTTCTTCTCTTCGAGCTCCATTCGTTGACGTTCGAGCTGCTCCTTCATCTCCCTGTGGCGAGAGTAGAGCTCCTCTTCGCTCTGCTTCAGCTTGCTCTCCTTCTCGGCAACCTTCTGCTGGAAGACCATCTTCATCTCGGCCTCCATTTTGGCGAGCTTCTGCTCGTGCAGAGCGCGCTCTTCCTCCTGCTTGACGGCAGGGTTGACCTCCTTGAAAACGCTGGGGTCCTGCGACACGCCCATGCCGATGAGCTTGTCGGTACGGTAGTTCTCGTACAAGCTGTTGTTGGTGTGCTCCTTGAGCTCCTCCATGTGCGTACGGATGAGCATCTGGCGAAGCTTGACGAAGTCGCAGTGCTCCTCGTTGTCGACCTCAATGACACCCCAGGGGTAGCTACGTCCGCGAACCTTGCGTCCATCGGCGTTGGTGATCTCGTTGGTAGCACCGACGACAGCGAACGGGACCTTGGACATGATCTCGTTGTTCTCGGCAATGGTTTCCTCATCGTCGAGCTCGTAGCGGGGGCCCTCGAAGATCTGGATACCGTGGTACTTGATGTCGGACAGGATCTAAGCTCATATTAGCATTTGAGTGTCCACAAGAAAAGTCTTGTCACACATACTCTGGACTTGAAGTTCGCAATCTCCTCATCGGTGAGGGTATCAGCCTTGGCAATGACAGGGATCAGGTTGACCTTGGTGTGAAGGCGGCGCATGACCTCGATGTCGAGGGGCTTCAGGGAGTGGCCAGTAGGCTGGATGAAAAAGACGCAGGCGTGAATGCGGTTGTCAACAATATTCATGCGGTTGACCTTGTTCTCGGCGTCGAGGTATGCGTCGTAACGCTGCTCAATGTTGTCGACAATGGGGCGCCATGACTCGTCGTTGTTGACGAAATCACCGAAGCCCGGAGTGTCAACGACGGTCAGGCGGAGACGAACGCCGGCCTCCTCAATGTCGGCACTGATGGACTGAATGGTAACAGTCTTCGGGATAATGTCCAGGCTAGGACCCTTGCGCTCCTTAGGAGGGTACAGGGAGGTGTTGAAAAGGGTATTGACCAGAGTCGACTTTCCAAGACCAGATTCTCCTATAAATTGAAATCAATCAGCCAATGTCCAATGCTTTCCAAAGCCATCTTGGGCATGAACTTACCGACAACCATTACGTTGAAGTTGAATCCCTTGCGGACACTCTTACGGTGCCATTGATTAGGCAGGTTAGCAAAGCCGACGTAGCCAGTCAGCTTGCGGCGAACAATGTTCCTAAGGTCGCTGGAGGGAGCCGCCACCATGGGGACACCGCCAGCTATGGACGCGTTAGAAATGGCTTCTTCGATTTCGTTCGCAGAAACAAGCTTGCCGGCGGGGGGCGACGCCGGCGCCGCCGATGGCGGCGGGGAGGTAGCAGGAGAACCTTCGGAGGCTGTTAATGCAATCACGTCAGCAATCATGCGCGTTTCAAGACACCTTGTTTGGTAAGTATGCTGGGCAAGGCAGAGGCAAGAGGAGCTTCTGACACTGTGGCCGACTAGAGGAGTCATGTTCGGGCAAGTTGAGCTTCCCATTAGCAGGTTCCAGAGGTCGGGCAGGGATGGAAATTGGCTGTTTGTTTTTCGGAGGGTCCTTCAGATGGCTGTGATAGAGATCATCGTATGATATGGGATGGGATGGACCAATCTTGGGCGCATCATCCACATCGAGCATGCTCTTGTAGTGACGAACGGTACCGGCCGAAGAGGATGAAGATTCCGGAGCATGTCTAATGTTTTCCTTTCTTTTGGCCTGGTCATCTTGGGCCTTTGTTGGCAAGCTGCTGGATCGCTTGGACGCCTCGGGGGTGATGGCCTTGTCAAGCTGAATGCTCCTGGCGCGAGCCTTGACTTGCTGAACCAAGTTCATGGCCATTTCGATTTCGGTTTGTTTGTTTGACCTGAGTAGTGGAGGGGGGGTGGATATCTCTGGTCTACTAATAAAGGACCAAAAAGGGGGAACCCAAGAAACGGTAGATTGGTAGAACGAATGTCGGCGAGTAACGAGAGGTTTGATGTCGTAAAAAGAACCATGAGGTCTGATCGAATGGAGCGAGAACAGAAGAGGTGAAACGGGCTAGCCATCACTTGCCGATGAAGTCGGTTTCTTCTTGCCTTGTGTCTTGCCTTGCCTTGCCTTGCCATAATCTCACGGTTTCGGGAGGGAGGGGCTTACCCATATCGAATACGCGGGGAGCAGTAATGTTTGAGAAGAATTGGTCGAAAAAAAGTGTCTGTAGACCAAAGGGAAGGAGTTAGCTGTGCTGCAGTGCGAAGAGGTCGTTGATGGAAAGCAGTTCCGGCAGGCGAGTTAGGCAGGGAGAAATATTGGCGATGCAGCTAGGGGAGGCGTGATAAAAGCAGACCACGCAGCGGCAGATTCTAGGCCGGACAGTTTGAGGATGGGAAGGTGAAGGCAGGAGGGATAGTTTGTGGGATATGTTCCTCGGCCGAATCATTCATGCCAGGAGAGGTCTTCGGAATAATAAAGGAAACATGTACATACCTGAACGGCTACGAAGTAGTCGCGTGTCAAGGAGCGTCGCAGAAGAAGAAGGTAACGAGAGGAAGGGGGTAAAGGTAGCGGCAAGCAGTGATGGTCTGCGGCGAACAATTGGGGCCTCTCAGGTGTTTGGGAAGAGATACTGGAGATGGTCGACACAGTATCGATGATGTCGAAGGGGAAGGGAAGAATCACAACCTCAGGGAGAGAGAATGTGGTGGTTGCGAGGTGAGGTAAGGTAAGGTAGGTGTAGGTTCTCGATGAACGTACGTTTTAGGTGGAAGGGGAAATTTAGGGTGCGACGGGGACTGGAAAGATTTGGCTGTGCGACCCCGTTTCCAAAGGCTGCACCTGTGCTTCACGTCCCCCGTTTGCTTTTGGGGGTAGCGACTGTACTGCCAGCACCCTTCTGTTTCCAGCGGCAGCAAGTATACAGGGGACCAGCATGTGCTGTGGACGTGGTGGTGTGTTGGGCCTGGCCCGCTGCTGGCTACTGCGCGGCCGACAGGCACGTTGCTGTCCCCTTCCCACTGGGGGGGAGAGCAAAAGGGGGTTGAGGTTGACTAGCCCCGGTCGGGCTAGCTTCGTTTGTGTGGGTCACGGACAGGGATTGTGGATGGAGAAAGAGAATTAGACACCGGGGCTGCCTTCAACGGCAGTCAATGATTGGTCACAAGCGGAGGTCGTAATGAAGCATCAGAAAAAAAAACCCGCCAAAAGGAGGCCCTGGAGATTGGAGAACGACAGAATTGAATTTCGTGAAGACGGGGGAGATTTGCTTGAACCAGAGGCCAGAGCCAAAGCCAGACCACATACTGGAGTGTCTTGACATCCACGCAAACATGCGGGTATCGCCCACCTATGGGATCCCTTTGCGGGAGTATAATAGATTTGAGTGAGTTGCAGTGTCCTGTACGTAGGGACGGGTACTAAGGCATGTCGTGATCCCTTCATGGTTTGGGGGGATGAAGAGGAGGAGGAGGACCCCTAGCCAGAACACGGTGGTCTATCTACATACATACTACTAGTAGCACTTTCAACACTCCTTACTGCCTTACCAGCTGGCATCTGCTCCACTCAAGAGAAGAAGTGCCACCAGTTTGCCGGGCAATGGGGGCCACGGAGGAAACAATCTGGGGCGTTTGGGCAGCCTACTTTTCTGTGTAAGGTGCTCGTACCCAACGAAAAAATATGGTCCAGAAGGTGTCCGTGATTATTCGCGACAATGACAGGTGAACCGTGAGGATGAAACAGACAAGCAGCAGTTTGAATTTTTTTTCAGCTATGTCTTTTTTCCCCCGGTCTGTTTCTCTTGCACATCGGCTCCCGGGACACGTCAATCATTTTACTCTTTTAAAGTACTGTCAGTACTGCGTGCAAGCTGCAAGCTTACGTACTTCATTCTTCGAATTTGGGACGAAGATGAGACGGCCACCTGATTGTTAACTTTGTTGCAGGCGTTGGGTGTCTGCTGTGCTCATTATTCTTTTTTTTTTCTCTCTCTCTACCACTGTCGCTACCTTGGCCAGGGGGGTTCACCAAGTGGGCAAGTAATTAACAGTTGGCTCGCTCTCATTACATAGATGTTCATGGTTCTTCTGGCCGCATTGAGGGCCGCCGGAAAGACATCAATCCGACCTTCAATTTCCACGTCTCAACCATGATCCATGGGATGAAGAAAGAACACCTGCACCAGAGCCTGTGCCAACGCCAGGCCAGGGGATCCAGCACGGTCCGTTATGAGCCACCGTGGGTGCCGGAGTGCGCGTGGGAGGTCGGGTGGAATGGGGGCACGGAAATGGAGGAAGTCACTGACTGACTAACATTATCGCTCACGGAAACCCCGTGCATACTTTCCAAACAAATTCTAGTGTACACGAGTTGGGAGGTGTATATGTACGTGCCTTTCCTCGGTTCCAACATGAAGGACGCGGTGGAGATTTACCTTTTACTTTCCTTACGAAGAAGGATGGCATAGCTGTGCCTTCTTTTCCTCATCTCGCTATGCTTCGCCAACAAGTGCGATGCTGCAGCAGTACCTACCTACAGTACCTACCTGCTCTTAAGGGGGTGTCCCCCTAAAACGAGACCACAGGAGCAGGAAAAGTAGCTGCCGGTACACGGGCCATTTCGTGTCACTGGCTTCACAGGCTCACCCCAGCTCCATTCGCTCCGTTGATATGCTGCAAGCTTCACACCCCCTTCGTCCTCTTGGCCACTTTTACCTGCAGCAAGACCCCGTGTGCCTGCAGGAGTAGTCCCTGGATCGAGGCCACACACCCACCTCCAAGTAGGGCCCTTCAGCCAGCATTGCTCGTTACCTCCCTCGGGACTTGACAGCCTCTCATCCGTGCCACCAAAAATACACAGAGTGTCCCGTCTGCCGAAAGACTGACCCCCGCCGCTAACCGCCTTCACGGCCTTGTTGGCCACACTACAGCAGCAATACGGGTCCTCACTACAGCTCTCCGCAGCCACTGTTAGCCATCCACATCTTCGTACCTCACGTGAAGCTCCCATACGAAGGGGCGCTTGACGACACTTGCAGGTACGAGGTGGTGTTGGCAGCATCTTTGCCCTCTTTTCCTCGAGTAGAATGGCCCCTTCGATTGCTAACAGATAGCGTGTTCAGTCATTGTGTGGGTCTCTGTTGCTCTTTTGAGACTCGACTGGGCCGCTTTGTTAATGCCTTGCGAACTTACACCTGCCCAACTCGCCTAGCAATCATAGACACAAGCGCAGATTTACCCAGATAAGAAACATAATGCAGGTTTGGCAGCCCACCTATCCGTGTTTTGGGTCTCACTGGCTTGCCCAAAAACACTTTGCGTCCCCTTTACACAACCGCTGGCCGCATTGACATTCACGATTAGTTACACAACAGCAAACATAATCCAAATATCAACTGCTCGCTTGAGTTTGAGTGGCATGCTGGCCAACGCCATCGCTTCCGCCACCTAATCTACTGCGAGCAAGCCACCGTTCCATCATGGTCATGTCGTTTTGCTCTTCTCTTTCGCCTTTGGGAACATCCTATCTCTATCCCTGTTGGCCTTGATGATAGCCTCCTTTGCACCTGGCCACATCCTTCTCTTGCCCGTCTCGAACATGCGGTACATGTGCGGCGAATATGCCCCCCACGCTACTAGCCTATAAAAGTTCCGATCCTGCCACCAGAACTTCCATCCTTTCCATCCCCAACCCAGGTATTCATACATACCCGTACCCGCCATTTCATGGACGAACCTCATCCAGGAATGGGGTTGGCCAGACCCAAGAGGTGTTGCCGGGAAGTCTCGAAACCTCCTCCACAGCCACTTCTGGTACGTGGTGATATGCTGGCGCATTTCGGCCTGGGACGGCAACGACGAGTTTCCCGTCCACACTTGCGCGATGGCCATTGATTGGAGCTCCCGGTATGACGCCGCATTATCATTTACAGTGCAGTAGCTTGTGCAAGCGAGCGAGTCTGGGAAGTCTACGGCGAAGATATTTTGATACAGCTCTGGAAGTGGCGGCAGTTTTGAGTCTGAAGCCCGGGTGTGGGACAGCTCCGGCACCAGAGAGAAATCCGGACGATATCCGGTCGCTGCGATGATAACATCCACATCTTCAATGACATTCCCGTCATCAACTTCGACAGCATGCGGTCCTAGGATTCGAGTGGCTCCTTTTACTGACTCGATACGGCCCTCCCGAAGTCGAGAGAAGATGTCGTCGTTAACTACGATGACATTGAGGCTGAGCCCAATACTCGGCGACGGCTCGAAGCCCCATTTCGGGTCTTGTTCCCCTAGTTCTTTGGCGTTCTTTTTGAAGAGAAGATCGCCAGATAGGCTGTATAGACTGGGGAAATGATGCTCCAGCCAATGGCCAAGACGAGAGGTTCGCCATGACAGGACACTGTCAATAGGCCCGTCTCCATTCATGCGGGGGATGACCTTTGCGCCTCTCCTGTGTGAAAGATACACCTTCGAAGCATAATCCGTCAACTCCTGTTCTTCGAGTAAGCCTAGGTAACAAGCAGCATGGCTCGAAATGTACTGACCACAGCGATATCACAGGCGGTGTTTCCCACTCCTATCACTACCACCTTCTTGTCTTTCAGATTCTCAGGCCTGAACACTTATTAGTCATTTCCGTTTGGCCACTTGCATATTGCCATCTCGGTCCTCACCCTTTGTAGGCTTGAGAATGCATAAACTGTCCTTCAAACAGGTTTAAGTTCTCAATATGTGGATAATGAGGCTTCGTTTCGGAACCACTTGCCAGAACGACCTTGTCGAAGGGCCGTGGCGCCCCCTCACCTGCGATATGGACTAACCATCTTCTTTTTTGGGTATCCCGCTCAATCAGCTCTACAACGGCGTTGAAGATAATATTTCTGTAGAGATCAAAGTGCTTCGCGTACATCTTGTAGTAATCTGACCATTCTGTTGCTGAGACGTGAGGGGGGTAGTCTGCTCTCCAGTTGGGTCAAGTCTGGTTATAGCTAAGTTGTAGGCAAGACTACTTACGGTCAGGAAAGGGAAAATCCGACATGGACGACTATCATCACGTTCAGCTGGGCTACATTATATGAAGCCTTAAGCACTCACAATGAAATTGCTAATCTGAGATTTGGTCCCTAGATCATTGTCAGATCGCTTCGCTGGAGAAAGAAAAGTCACTAACATGCTGTCGTGGATGTGACGGAAGGGTCATCGGAATAAGTCCAGAGGCCTCCCACATCTGACCGCCTCTCGAACAGTGTTACATCGAATCCAACCTCACGAAGTTCTTTGAGGGCTGAAAGACCCCCAGGTCCTTTTATTGCCTTCGTTTAGACGAGTTCCAAAGTTATTACATTAGGTTCATACTTACCTGCGCCAATCACGGCGATGGTCGCTGGTGTACGCATGTCGAGACTTCACAGGTTCAAGCTGGCACAAATAATCTCAATGCATGGAGCGTAGGGTCTTAACACGAGTGAAAATGAGGGAATGGTGTAACTTCACGGAGAACTGCTGTCGAGCAGCAAATATTTTCCATGGGAGGCCAAGTCGAGGCGTCAACACCTGATGTGGCAAGTCAGGGTCGGCCGGGTCTCGGAAGCTAGTTAGTATGTCCTTAGGCAGCTTTAAATCATCACAGAAAACTCTCCTCACACCGCACTGTGGAGGGCCAGCAGAGCCGGCATTCCTGGGGAGAGAAAGATGGGATAAGTTGAATTGCACATTCAGCTTTGCGGCAATACTGAAATCTCGTGTTAGAATGCACCGGAGTTCATTTGCCGCTATGGTTACTCATTCATCAGAATGCCTTATATTGCCCATAAAAAGCCTATCCGTTGCCTGGAACATGCATCGGTAGGTTATAGGACTCACTTGCCACCTTCTATCATTCTAAGTCTGGGCAAGCATGAGATATAAAAGATCACAGTGATAACGAGGCCGAGTGGTCTGTTCTAGACCTTCCGAGGTGTTTCCGACAGAAACATGGTCCCTGGTAACCGAACAGATGGTTCATCCATCCGATTTTTAAGCAGTTCTCTTCCAATGAGGCGGACTGTTGGCTTGACATGTCGGAAACGTGAACCCTCAATGCAGCGAATCGTTGGAGACTCTCCTCAGGGGCGACGTTACACTACAGCGCATCCACACTGACCCTTACTATGATCAGGCATGAAGTCGTTTGAGGGTCCTTTCACGGTTCTAGACTCAAAGGGCACTCTATGCGGCGGCAGTGACAATTGCGCGCCGTCATAATCACATGGTAAGGCGACAGGAACTGGGCGCCACAGCGTCGCCAGGGCGGGTGCTCAGATCCACCAATTTGATTGGCGAATTAAGCCTCCCCGGAGCATTCCCAACGGGAGAGTGGAGAAACTAGGCTGTCATAGAGCTTGACCTTGGACTTGGCAAGAATTCACAGGTAAATCCAGGTACCATCTTAATTCATCCGATTGCAGGTCCGCCCCTTCGACCCCCTGTCTGTTCACTGCTTCGATCCACCGATTTCAATCATGCCTCAATGATGTCAAGAGCAGACCAGGGTTAGCAGAGAAGTTGTTGAGTCCGCTGCTTTCCGCCTCATCGCGGCTTTTTTTTCCTTTTCTTTTGGTGGCTGTGTGCCTTGGCCTTGTCTCCTACAGCTTCACCCATATCATTCACTCTTGTAAAACAGATAACTCAAAAGAACATGAGGATAACTTTGTCAGAACCACAACTTTTGAATGCGAAATAGCCAACAACTAAGTTAACTATCCCCCCACGCCACTGCTGATCACCACCACCACCGCCCACCGTTTAGGCTCGTCCGCCCAGTCATGTCCCAGGGCCTCAGCCTCATCCCGCCGAATCCGAGATCGCCATAATGAGGTTATTCGCGGCATATTCCCGCGATTCTGCTCTGTTACTTCGTCGGACAGCGTTTGCAAATGGTGTCGCGAGGTCGCGGAGAAACATTCACAACGTTACAGTCGGGCGCATTAGGACACATGGCCTCCTCGTTCGCAGGCGGCCCACGCTGTCCCGCCAGTCGCAACACGGCTTTTTCACCGCCAGCGACAAGGACGCCGAGGCCGGTAAGAAAAGGAAGACTTCGCTCCCGCTCGCGGTAATTACAGGCGCGCTGTTTGTTTGGTGGCTGTACCCGTCTGACGACTTTCAGAAGTTGTCACTTGCGCAGACGGATAGGAGGAGCGGGTCACCCGGCACTCCGGAGAAAGGGAACAGCAATGGCTCTAACGAAGCGGCTTGGTTTAACTTTGCCCTCAAGTTCGAGACCTTATCCGCTGCTACCGACGTTGAGTGGAGTGCCGACAAGATTGTCGGCCTCATCCTGCCAGAATGGGGCAGACTGGTTCCCGGGTACCTTCGGAAACTTCAGAGGGAGGTGAGTATCCTCTCTCAAAATTGGTCTATTTTGATCTAGTCACACTAACAACTACCAGTTATCCATGTCCCCTGGATCTCTTGCCGATGAGATCTGGCGAGAGGCGCATGACCCCTTCATCAACCCTGAGGTGCAGTATGCCGCTCAAGTGAGAGTATCTAATGATCTCTGTGAGGAGGAGAAAGAGTTCTTGTCCAGGAGGAAAAGAGTCACGACTATGGCCCTGGCCAAATATCTCGATATTGACGAGAAGGACATCCACCCCGACGATGTCCCTACAATTGCCATGTGCGGCTCTGGTGGTGGCCTGAGGGCTCTTGTCGCCGGTACTGGTTCTATGCTCGCTGCTGATGAAGACGGCTTGTTCGACTGTGTGACTTACACCTCCGGTGTCAGTGGATCCTGTTGGCTACAAGTTCTCTACCACTCATCCATATCGCAAGGCAGCCTCGGCCGCGTCCTGCAGCACCTGAAGGCTCGCGCGGGAATCCACATTGCGTACCCGCCGGCCGCTTTCCAGACCTTGCTTTCCGCACCTACTAGCAAGTATCTTCTTAGTGGCCTTGTTGAGAAGCTCAAGGGTGATCCGAATGCCGACTTTGGGCTGGTAGACGTCTACGGTCTTCTTCTCGCCGCAAGATTCCTGGTTCCCAAGGGCGAACTTGAAGTCAGCGAAAGGGATTTCAAACTCTCCAACCAACGCGAATACATCAAATATGGGCAAAATCCGCTGCCCATCTACACGGCTGTCCGCCACGAGATTCCCGACGTCAGCCTCGACGGGGCTGATGCAACAGAGGCGGCCAAGGAGGTTGCCAAGCAGGAAGCCTGGTTCCAATGGTTCGAAATCACTCCTTACGAGTTCTTCTGCGAAGAGTTCTCTGCCGGTATCCCTACCTGGGCGATGGGCCGACGGTTCAACAACGGCGTCGACGTTCCTCCCGAGGAGGGCTTTCATCTGCCCGAGACCCGTATGCCGTTCCTCTTGGGCGTCTTTGGCAGCGCGTTTTGCGCAACCCTCAGTCACTACTACCGCGAAATCAGGCCCCTCGTCCAGAGCTTGACCGGCTTCGGTACATTGGACCAGATGATCTACGGCTATAACGAGGACCTGAGCAAGGTCCACCCCATCGACCCCGGCACGGTGGCCAATTTTGCCTACGGCATGGATGGGAAGCTACCCAACACGACGCCAAAGAGCATTCTTAACACGGAATACATCCAGCTGATGGACGCCGGAATGTCCAACAACCTTCCCATCTACCCTCTGCTGCGCCCTGGCAGAGATGTCGACATCCTCGTTGCATTTGACGCCTCCGCAGACATCAAGACGGACAACTGGCTCGCCGTAGCCGATGGTTACGCCCGTCAGCGCGGCATTAAGGGCTGGCCTGTCGGTGTAGGTTGGCCCAAGGCCAGCGAGTCCTCCTCGCAAGTTAGCAAGGAACTTCAGGAGGCCGAGGCTGCGACCGCTCGCGAAGCAGATCAGAAACTGCGTGAAGCCCAGGATCACCAGAAGGAGCACCAGGCCGAAGAACACCGCCCGAAGCCGGATGAGGACACAAAGAAGGGCCAGGCGGCCAAGTTCTCACCCGGGGACGAGGAATCTGGCGAGCTGGGATACTGTACCGTCTGGGTCGGTACGACGCAAGAGCGCGCCACGGAACCTCCGCCCCCGTCCAAGGCCATTAACGAGTCCACTTCCTGGCAACTCATGGAGCCTGACGCGGGCATCGCCATTGTCTACATGCCCTATCTCGCGAACCCTAAGGTCCCAGGCATCAACCCCGGCACGACCGATTTCCTGAGCACGTGGAACTTTGTTTACACTCCAGAGCAGATCGACAACGTCGTTGCGCTGGCGCGGGCCAACTACGCCGAGGGCCGGGAACAGATACGCTCTACAGTAAGGGCGGTCTACGAGCGTAAAAAGAAGACGAGGCTGGAGAGAGAGGATAAGGCGCGCACGGATAGATATAGAAGACTGGTACAGAAGGGGATGGCGCACAAGTTGGGAGAAGGTGATCAGTTTAGCTGATTTTGTCGCCACGGAGTTATTTTAATGGGGGACAGTGATACCCGGGGGGGCAACGAGAGTTAATTTGTAGAACAGCGCACGTATGTTGATATTGTATAGCACTAGCCAGCATTGTTTCTTGTATATGTCTTTGTCAACATTCATAATAATAACTCTCTATACAAGACCATTCTGACACCACATCTTCCTTCCCTTCTGAAATATCTTATACTGCAAAAACTTCAACAAGACATTGCGTTGTTTTCAAATTCCAAAAAAAAAAAGTTGCCCCGTTTCGAGGAGTGTGTCATTGTTTTTCCAGATCTATTCATCTTACAGAGACATGCGTAACCTTCTACACGTCCTTGTTCAAAAATGTACACTGCCAAACGGCATTTGGGTTTTGCCCGGGTTTCACCTGTTCCCCCCGGCGGTCCTCAACATGACCTCCCCCCCCTTTATCTCATCTCCCCCCCGTCCTCCTCCCAAGGGCAATTACACATGATGCTTATCCCCATAAAAACTTTTTTCCCGCCGTAACCGCCTCCTTTAGATGATCTCACCCATATCGATGTGCACAGGCTGCCACGGCTTCGCTCCCTCGGCAAGCATGTCACTCGGCACCCGGACCTTGGCACCGGGGCTGTACAGGTACCACGCCTTAAGGGCGTTCATAGAGGCCTGTAGGCGCGCGAAGTCCAAGCTGGCGCCGGATCCCTCGCCGAGCTTGTCGTTGCCGCTGTAGATGCCGACAACGTAGACAGGCGTTCTGCTGAGACGACCGGTCTCGCTCTCCAGGCGAGCGACAGGCGGCTCGAAACCCTCACGGGCGCAGAGCATGGCCAGTTCGCGCGTGGGCAGCTTGAAGCTGAAAAGCTTCTCGAGGTCGACCTTACGGCTCAGAATGTGTGCGTCGATGAAGGAACGCACGGCGTCGCGGCCGCAGTGAGTGTAGATAGCACCTGCAACGGCGCGCACAAAGGCAGCATGCGCGTTGTTGCGGAGCTTCTGGTAGCGCTCGCGGATGACAGCCGGGTCAGTCTCATCCGGACGTGGCTCCTTGGGGTTGTGCTCCTGCTCATGCACGACGTCACCGAACTCGTCGTCGAGCACGATACGCGATGACATACCGCGGCGCCACTTGTGCTTGTCGAGGTGGCGGTGCTCCTTGCGCACGTAACCCCAGCGGCCATGGACAATGCCCGCGGCCGGGTCCTGTGACCATTGCAGCAGACCCGAGTCAACTTCCTCACCTGGGTGGACAGTGTTCTCAACACCCCACTGGTTGGCGACGCGATAGAGCGAGTCGGAACCTGAATAGGAACGCATGGCCTCGTAGAGAATAGCCATGGGCAGGCGAGGGTAGTGGCAGACGAGCCATTCAGAGGTGTGATAGTTGATGAGGGAGCCACCGACGACGGCGAGGTTGGCGTTGTTGAAGTTGGGGCTCGGGTCGGCCGAAGGGTCGACTAGGCAGCGCGCGAGGGTCTGCAGAGGGAGCTTCTCGGGGAGGGAGAGACGGGCGTGAAGGGCGGCGAGCTTGGCCGAGCTCAGTGCCTTCTCGGGGAGAGGTGACGGGAGGGGTCTCGGCGTGGTCTCATCGTTGAGGTCTTCGGGGAGGGAGGTAGCTTCCGCTGCGGCGGCGGAGAATCTTGACGTCGTCGATAGTGTCCTGACGCAGCTGCTGCGGCTGTTCTGGGCGAATTGCTGTGTTCTAAAGGAAATAGGCGTCAAGGACGAAGAGGCGTGTGTCCTGGCCTGGGCATTGAGCAGCTGCCCGGTGCATCTTGATATCCTTAACCTCTTCATCGGGGAGGCCTGTTGTCGGAGTACAACCTTGTTTGTCGTAAACGGAAAATGAAAAAAGAGGGTAGAATACAATGATCAATTGGTGTTGTACAGGGTGGTGGCGGCGGAGCAATTGGCTTGCTGGTTGGTTGGATCGCAAAGAGAAAAGTTCCACGTCCCTTCTCTCAGCGCCAGTCTCCCGTCACGAAAAAGTTTCTGGAGCCCGAACGATTGGAGTCGTGTGAGCTCCAATGCTAGGGGGGGATCCGTGCACGAGCCACCGAAGTTGCGCGGAATATTCACACTCCGGGCTTCCGGACTGTATGGGCTCCACTCTAGAGAGATGGTCGAATGGCGTACCTCAGATTACAACGTCAAGATCGGAATCGGCCTGCAAAAGCTCCAAACCTGTCGAGGCGGGAAAGCGATTGTCATCACCACAACATCCAGTCTCTCTCGTTGCAAAGCTAGTCAAGATGGTAAGTTTACGTGTGATTGAGTTTGACGCGCCAATTGCTAACTTCGTGTCTAGGGAGGCGGCCCCAAAGTTCCGTGAGTACTGAGTCCTCGAAGCAATCCCACGAACCGAGTCCCTCGAAAGCAGAAAGTCCGCTCTAACACGTGAGATTAAAGTTACCCCAAGCATGTCTGGTCACCGGCTGGTGGCTGGTACACTCAGCCTGCGAACTGGAGGATGAACACCGCCATCATTGGCACTGTCATGGTTGGCGTTGTTGCCGCCATCTGGAAGATCAGCGCCGAGAAGGAGGTCCGCTACGTGATGCCTCAGGAGGGCCGTTTCTTCCCCAGCAGATAGTACGTTCTATTTTTGAGTGCTTTAGTGCTGGTAACAAAGGCTAACGAGTGCGATTCAGCTGGTCGAAGCAATTGATCGAGTATGACAGAGAACAGGCCGCGAAGAAGGCCAAGGAAACGGACCAGGCACAGGCCATTCAGAACTCATAAACGAATCGGACGGGGAAAATTGTACTTGTATATATGGTACTCAACGAATTGAGGGCCGTGTAATTGCGGCAGTTGCGAACAAAGTGTACTCTCAAGAGCTGCTTATCTGCGCGTTCCAATCAAGCCGAGTTGGGGTGCGAATCAGGGCATTCCAGCCAATGCTTGACGAATTGATTGGGACCGTTATAAATGGGTTCTAGAGGTCGATGTTAGTTTGATGCACGAGTGCTTAAGCTGGGGGTGGCGAAAGCGTATGCTACTGAACACAAGGCGCCATAGATGACAGACTAAGGGATCTGACCATTCACTTCCGCTGTTGCCCTTAGATGGGCATTCTTATGTGCCGACCATATCCGCAGATTACAGGCATATGCACTCTACCTTGATATCTTATTAAATTGTCCCACCTCGTTTCCTTATGATTTTGCTCCACAATCTTCCCTCCTGAAAGGCCGGGAATGAATGGCCAGAGAGGAGAGGCGGTATGACGGATAATTGGGAACTTAAATAGCCGAGCTCGAGAAAGGGAACTGAAGGTACATGATGCGTTAACTTCCAAGATCTCTAGAAAGTGGAATTTCATGAGTTGTAGTAGCGCTAAACACAACTATCCTTGTCTCGAAAGAGCTCGACAGCCATCGCTCAAGTGCTCATGAAGCCACAAAGTTCAGTACTCGCAGAAAGATGATGGAGTTCCTTACTTCTTGTTCCAGTTTCCGAATCATAGTACTGCAACCAACATGACTTGCAAGCTGGTAACGAAAAACTCGGGCTACTTTTTTTGGTGCCTTGTGTTCGACATCTCAAAAGTCCAAGAACATACTATACGCCCAGAGCAGTAGCAGTGAGGGCTAGAGACCCCAGAATCACATTTTCCAAAGCCAATTTCGTATCGTTATCGTCACATGTGCTGGTTATAGCATCGCCTCAGAGAGCAAATCACATTTCTCGCTTTTTCATTTGCAGCCACTGAGTAAAGAAAGGTATTTCGCAACTAGTTTAAGGGTCCTGATGTATATGATGTGTCTTTGACTGGCAGTCTCGGGGTTGTTTCCCAGCAAGTAGCATAGCGTAGGTCGCTTCCTAGACATCTGGTCTCAGTCTGTCCGAGTGGATTTTGACGGTTTCTTTACTGACAAGAACCCATCAGCTGTAATTAAAAAAAAAAAAACTGCGATGAATCTAGTAGGTTAAAACAATCAATGAGGTGCCATTGTCATATTCTACCGCGAGAACTGGCCCTCAATGCTTCTTCCCGCAGCTATGTCTTTCATTTTAAGAGCCCCGGTTTTGCAACTTTGAGCATCGGGCCGACTTTTCCTGGTAAACAGACGCTTCATTCGAATGTCCTGCTCTGTGATTTACAGGATGTGGCAGGTTCAGACGCAGCCTTGCTGCCAGCCAAGCTTCCGCGGGCATCACTACTAACCTCAACGAGGCGCGGTGCTAGCACATTGGTGAGCTTCATGGCAGTAGGTTGATGCTTAATTATTCTGTAGGGATGTAGATTAAGGCACAAAACAGCTCTACATCTATCGAATTTCCCCTTCTTAACGGGAATACCTACGCTGGGTCGGGGATTCCAGACGAAGGAGCCTTCCACCATGCCAGGTAAATGAGGATTATGTGGTTAATCATGATAAAAGGTACTGTAAGTATGCCGACTGGAAGTTTCCAAACCTATCGATTGTGTCTACAGAGATGTTTTACACTGCTCACAAGAGAGGTACGTTTTACACTTGATTCCATTAGAACATGTCTCTCGCATGTTTGTCAAATCCTGAATAGCTTTTCGGCATCAGAATGGGCCATCGAGTTAACATCAGCAGAGTAAGATCCTATTTCTTGTTGTAATAAGCCTTTAGGAGAATGGGTTAATTTAAAAACGAACCTGGATGTCGTTACGGATAGGACAGACGAAAGGCGACAGTAATATTGATGATGGTACCGCCAAGCGTGAAAGTCGGCTGAGCCGCAGTCAAATGGTAAACAAACTGGGAAGCAGGTTTCTGTTGAGCAGCAACCTCTTTTAACTTAAAGAAGAATACACTTTTGACATACTGTCTGCTAGCTTCGAATGCAATCTTTTCAACCTCGAACGTCACTAAGCTTTACACACAGTGACAATAGCCACCGTACCTACAATCAAAGCCTCTCCCCCTTACCAAACTCAACACTCATCGGCTCTCCATAGACTACATCTGTCATTCGTGACGACGACACATCAGATAGAGACCTAGTATCTATAGAGCAGCACTCAAAGGCCCCGTTTCGAGAGGGAAGCAAACCATTGCGACACCTGGCCCGAACCTAGCTACCTCACGAAACCAATGAGGTTTCTGCCTTCACATTGAATTCCTTCAATGATCCATGAGACATTCCCTGGCATACTCATGAGCTTCAACGCAACGTTGACTGACGATATTAGACACGACATCTAACGTGAACCTTGAAGAGTCATTTTGTGGCTGACGTAGGTAGATGGATGTGTTCACAGATGTATTCAACCCTTCAAGGAACCTGAGCCGGGTTCCAAAAGGAAAGAGCAGAGAGAAAGTGTACCGGGAACATTGACTAGGATCCGAACACAGAGGACCTGCGTCATTGCCTCGCTTGGCTAAGTTAGAGCCGAGAAAATTTGCTGAATGAGATTCGCAGCTGTTCCATGCTGGGATGGCCAAGTTCCACTCACACATATCAACGCGGTGGTGGCAACGGTAGGCCCCAATACAAAATAGATATCATCTGGCCGCATCACAAGGAGGAATGCAATTCATAAAAGTCTCAGGATCTCGGGTATGGCATCTCATTGTCTACCTAGCTTGCTCGACACAAGAAGCAGCTCCAGCGTCTTAGTCCTTTCTAGTGGGGCGCGCCCATTTACACGGTCCTCCCTTCATCTGTCCGCATCCTCAGTGCGTCGTCCATTTTGATATCTCATGCCCATGTCTCAATACAAGGCATCCAAAAGGAGCAACGCACCCGCATCGTTCCACCCTATCAGTCGCCTGCTTGCGACGACCACCAGCCACCAGAGCTGCAAGAAAATCAAGAACGAGAAGAGGAAAAAACAAGAGTGGCGCAATATACATTAAGCACTAGGCGCTTCCTTTCCCAGCACTCATCGCCAGTATGCATCTGGCTTTGGTCGAGTCCGGGACGATATATGAATCGAAAATGATTGAACGGGTTTGTTGAATGAGTGTATAGAAGTGTGGTGGAAAAAAACGTTGCTGACTCATAAGGCCGTTGCAACAAAGGTATATCAAAGGTTTGTGTCGTAAAGGAGTGACTTGGAAATAAAAAAACGCACAATTGTCGTTTTTACCCCCATCATCGGATTCATCGTTAGAGTCCAAGTGGAGAAGAAAACAAACTTCCCAAATTCTTTTGTTAGTTCGCAGAAACGCCGTGTCGGTACTGTCCAGAATGCGTAGCAGACCCCAGTCTATCGCCAAACGAGAAAGATAAATCCCAAGTCTTTGTCCCAAGAGACGTTATATACGCAGGGAATCAGTGTATATGAACGGTACTTTTGGTGACATTTAGACGGCCTGGCCTGGGGGAGCCTCGTTGGAAACGTCGCTAGGAGGAGGGGCCTGGCCAGGGACTGGCTTGCGGCCGACAGGTCCCATTGGCGGACCTGGACGTCCTTGTGCTGGGGGTCCGGTAGGGGTCATTCGGCTAGGCTGAGGGATCCTGCTAGGTCCCGGAGGGCTCGCTTTGCGTCCCGGTCCGCCAGGGCTCTGGGGTCTTTGTCCCGGAGGTCCCTGGAATCGAGGGCCAGGGGATTGCGGTCGGCCACGGTGTCCCATTGGGCCGTTGCCAGCCGGAGAGGCAGGCCGTCCGCCGGCAGTCATAGGGCGAGCAGGCGACTCAGGACGAGGGTAAGGCGGGCCACCGTGGGGACCACCCTGAGGAGTCATGGGGCGCTGACCAGGAGGGAAGTTGGGACCGGGGCCGCGAGGATGGCCATTGGGGCCAGGGCCACGAGGAGGGCCGTGGGCGCCGTTAGGACCAGGACCACGAGGAGGTCCCTGAGGCCTAGGCTTGACAGGTCGGGTAGAGAGGCAGGTGCGCGGGACAACACCCTGCTGGGATCTATCCAAGCGGATGCAGAGGGCCTGATAAAACGTTAACGTGAGTTTTTGGTGAGGCACAACTTGTCAGAAAACTTACCCAACCATCATCATATTCGTGAAGGAGGCGCACAAGCTGGCCAGCTCTAAGTTCCATCTCATCTTCAAGGGTAGGCTTGAAGTCAAGCTGCACGCGATGAACAGTCGTGTTAGCAGGTCCACCGGCAGCGGCAATAGCAGCAGAGCCAGTGGAGCCGGTAGACTGGTGGCCAGGGCCAACAGAGTTGGCGCTGAACTCGGTACCAGAAGGGCTGGCGGGGACGGTTGACAGGGGTGCGGGCATAGGCAGGGTGAGATCGAGCGCCTTGGGACCGTCCTTACGGGTCGATGCTTTGCGAACCAAACCTCCGGCAGCAACAGCTCCAGCTCCAGCAGCCACGGCACTAGCAGCAATCGCACCGGCAGCAACAGCAGTACCATCGATAGCACCAGAGGGCGCGGCTCCATTTGCGGCAGCAGCAGGGGAGGCAGCGGCAGGAGCGGGAGCGGGTTCGGGGGTGACAGCAGGCAGGGGCTTCTCGTTGAGGCTTAGAGTGCTTCCAGACTCCTCGGCAATTGTGCCGTTGATTCTTTCAGCTTGGGCGCCGAAGGGGTTAGCAGGGTTTGCACTCTGGCTGGTGAGTGGTCTCTCCCAGGCGCTCTGGCCGGGAGTACGAGCGCCGAGAGCAGCGGCGGGAGCCACGTTTGCGGTGGTGTTGATCTTGCTCTGGCGCTTGTCAAGGTTCAGGTTGGGGAGGAACTGAGTAACAGGGCGGAGGCTGATGCGAGGAGCGCGGGGGTTACCAGTGGTCACAGCGGCGGCGTTACCAAAGTCGCCGTGAAACTTCTCATCCTCATCAGCCAGACGCTGCTGCTCGAGCTGCTTCTTGCGACGGTTGAAGAGGAAGAAGATGAGTAGGAAGACAACCAAAACTCCAGCCAAAACGCCAATGGCAATACCAGCCTTCGCGGCGCCGCTGGTCTCGCCAGTTGATTTCTCGGCGGCAGCCGAGGCAGTTGCGGAAGGGCTCGATGAGGCGGTGACCTCATTCGCATTTGCAGTGGCAGCGGTTCTGGTTGAGCGGGCGATAGTCGGGTCGTCAGTGGCAAGTGCAAGTGTTGTCTGGATGCTCTCAGTGAGGGGCTCCTCAATGACAGAGGGAAGCGATGTGGAAGTGGCTTCGATGCTAGAGGAGGGCGAGGGGGTCTTGATAACGGGGGCGCCGGCTTTTGCGATAGTGGTTCCCTGGGCATCGGTGGTCGATCTCACTCGAGTAGGCAGAGGGGACTCGGCGACAAGGAGCCTCGTCGAGGAGGATGTGGCAGCAGCACGGGGAGCGCCATCGGTGATGGTCTGGTAAATGGTTCGGACCACGGTGGATCGGCCTTCTCTGGTATTAGCCCGTCTGCGCGTAGAAGTGCGAATTTCATCGTCGTCGTCGTCTTGACGCCTGACGTGGCTGTTGTTACCTCCGTTTCCCTCGGTCTTGTCGTCTTCAGCGGCGAAGGGGTTCAAATTGCCAAACTTGTCCCCAAGATCACTCCAGAAGTCGGGGTTCCGAGGCAGGTGCCTGTGGCTTCGGTGGTGGTGAGGCATGCTGGGCAGATTTGGGCCGAGGCGGGCGAATCGAGATGGAGGGATCCAACTAGGCCCAGCCAACAGTCGTCGTAATAAGAATGAATGTTTCGGTAGTCGAGTCGTGAATATCGTGGCCGTGGCTGGGGCGAGGGTATCTGAAATGTGAGGGATGATCTGGCGTGCGCAGGAGAGGCTGGTTGATGGGAATGCTCAAGGGCGTGGCGTGCCAGATGAATGGGGGTATGTTGGTTCGTGATCGTCAAAAGAATGAACAGGCTGTAAATAGGTCCAGCCAGGGAGTCGCGGTGGTTCAGATAAGGTCGTCGTGGAGTGTAGAGACGAGGACTGGTATGCAGAACGTCGTGTCGTGTGTGAGTGAGAGAGGGTGCTGATGTGTGGGATTTCGAATGAATGTAAAGCGGCTCTAGGCCCGGAATGAGAGGAAGGTGAGAAGGCGGGTGAGGGGAGATGTTTGAAGGTCTCACTACCAGCTCACGCAAAGTTCATGGACAATAGACAAATCTAGTAGATTGCCATGAAGACCAGACGGGTGACGTCGTGTGGAGGGAAAGAATGAATGAATCCGCACACAGTGACTCTGCGAAGTGCAAGAGAACACGACCTGAGCCCCAGCGAGTGCAGTCCGAACGAGATGGGGGGATTGGGGAGAAAGAGAGGGACGAAAGTGGGAAATGGCAACGAGAAGAAGGGAACGGGGAAGTCGAGGTTGCAGTCAGTGTAGGTGCAACCCTGGACGAACGGGCAGGGACCCCAAGCAGCGATGGAAGGCTGACAAGGGTATCATCCCAACGCAAGTGGGAGTGAGTAGTGGGTGTGCATGGGTGACGGGGGGTTTAGGGGCGTGACTAGGACGGAGATCCTTGCGCCTCTTCTCTCTCTCTCTCTCTTTCTCTCCCCATCTCTGTCTCTGTCCCTGTCTCTGTCTCTCAGCTAGTACGGAGTAGTACGTAGCAGGCACAGATAATCGCGCTTCCTTTCTACCTGACAAGCCCACACGAGCAATGGAAAGCGTAACCGTGCGGGACAGCATGGCTTACTTCGCCTACAGTCTTTGCCGTGTTAGCGGCCTCTGGGGATGGCTCTTGGCGCCAGAGGCCACTTTTTGGAGGGATTGACATGCTGGGGGGCTCGGATCATATTTTGCACAATTCAAACAATGGGACAAAAACATAACAGGGGGAGACAGAAAAAAAAAAAATGCAACGGCGTCAACGGTTATTCGACAATGCATCTGATTCAAAAAGCCACGCGCCGAGTCAGCGTTTCACCTTTTCGGCTTGTTTCTGTACATCTCCCTGTTTTCGCAAGGAACATGGATGCGTTTTTTTTTTTTTTTGTGGTCTTTGCAAACCAAACATTTGGCGATGGTTGCACGAAAAAAAACAAAAGCTTTTGTGTATGTGTGTGTGTATATGTGTGTCGTCATCCACCTAGCTCCCTATCTAATTCTCATCGCTTCCCTCGATTCCCGAGTTTTAAACCCCCTTGGTCTTTTTGCACAATTCAGCTGGAATTCCCGCACTCGGCCCTGCACTTCCCCCTCCTCCCAAGCCCAAAATCCATCCACACCGGCGCCCATCTTCATCAGCGCAATGCACAGGCAGCACTAGCCAGGGACCCCCCAGCGCCAGCCTGTTGACCAGCGCAGGTACCAGCGCAGGTACGAGTACCGTCTGATTGGCTCTCCAGCACATTCGCGTCCCATAAAATAGACGAAATTGTTTGCTCAGGGTTCACCCCATATTTGTCCAATCACATCACTGAACAGACCACCACAAAAGAGCATTTGCCCGGTCCGAGCTCCAATGGCGGCCCCCAAATACCTTCTCCCCTACTTCGTCACCAACAGGGGCCGGCGCCATTTCTGCCCACGCTGCTTCATACCTGCCCACCTTGTGAGGTGATCGTGGTCGTAGTCAGCCGGCCAAATCGGCCGCTTGCACTTCCAACAACCGCCCATTCCCCTTTTCCCTGCTTTCGAGGCGCCCAATGGCCTTCGGACACCATCTAGCCCGGCCGCTTCAGTTGTTACGTTCCTTTTTTCGAGAAGAGCGGGAGGCTGCTAACGGTGCTTATGCAGGTCATCACCTCATGGCCGCCCAGCTCGAAAGTAATACGGAGTAGAGGCAACATATCAAAATAGAATCTGTCATCACTAGGATCATCGTTGCATTCCCTTCTCTCTTTGTTGGAAAGGCTGGCGTTCTTGCTGAGGCTGAGTTTTGCCTATCATCATCTCGCCATTCGGTCCGGAGGCTTCCCGCCGCCCTACACTCATTAAACACATCGCCCCAACAGCGATACTGCCTATTGCCAAAACACACTGCCCTACGAGCGGCCAACAGGCAAAGAAGAAATCGCGGCCTGCAAAAATCACATAACTCCCATCCTCTGTGCTCATCAATTGGAACATACATCGTTCAAAGGTCCCCTCTCCATCGCTCGACATATGGTGGTCATCATAGCCCCCGGCGCCTAGAGCTTCAGGTTAGTTGCCCATGTATTACACACGACGCGGCCAGAGGTTTCTGCCTGACTCCTCGTGCTTATCTCAGATACGAAACACGTCAGGCCACCTCTTCGCAACTCTCTCGACTTTCATACTTGACCGGACTTTATCCCTTTCACCTCTGACAGGCACTAACACTCACCGTTCGATTTTGACATTGGTTATGCTTGCTTGCTTGCTTCTTCCTAACTACCCTAGCGCACAAAACTTCCGTTTTCCGAAGCGGCACAAACGGGGAAAATTTAGAAAGCGAGAGGAATCCCTTCCGTGGCAGCGTGGAAGGTAACCCGGCTAACGCACTAAGAGTCTTTCTGAAACAGCGGACTGATCCGCCAGAGCCGTTTGGTTCCCCTCACCCATGATTCGCAAATGGGAAATGGGGGCCACGATCTGCCTCCATGTTCCCAAATTCTGCCAAGCCGTCCCACTTCCATCACTACCGAGATGACTTGTCTTCCTCCGCCCAGCCAGCCTTGCCAGCGATCCATGTCCATGATCCATGCTTGGACACGCGGAACAACATGACAAAATCTACGAACCAATTTAACATCGAGACTCCCTGCTTAAAACACCATATACCACAAGCTTGGCTCGCAAACAAAGTCAACAACAGTGTGCTGATGGAGCCCTCCCATTTTCCACGGATACGCGTGTGGACACCGCAACTACGTCAAATACAGAGTCCAACTTCCCGCTCATCATAAGCGTCGCACTCGTGACCAGGATAACTTGGGGAAAAGTTAAAGCAACCACAGGCTGAGTGTTGCAGATCTGCGTTCCTGGTCTCACTCATTTCTTCGTAAAATGACGATCAAAAAGTTCCAGCAAACGGGGCTGACCCAACTTGGCTGGAATTTGACTTTGTTTCGCTCCAGGTTTCTTGGAAACATGGACCGTCTACCCGGATTCGCCCGCCTGCTGCAGGTTTGCTCACTTCTTTTACCTGTTTTCCTCGCCTGCTATTTACAACCTAAGTCGTTCTAAATCGAGTGCCAACACATGATATACAAGGAACCCACGGCCTCTACATTCTTTAAAAAGAAAAAGAAAAAGGTTATCTCGAGCATCAATCTCAGTATGTTCAAGCGTAGGGTCCTGGTGGTCAGCCTCCTCCGGAGAGACGGCAGCGTGACACCTCACAGCCATAGGGTGAAAACTTGGCTAAAAATGGATTTTGTCCAAGTCATGGCTGAACATGTCTTGTCTCGCAATGTTGCGGTCTCAAGTCTAATTGCTACATACAGTGGCCCACCTAACACTTTTTCAAGGTCCTAAGTGAGATTTTGACCTCATCGCTGTCTAGATCGATCAAGGCTAAATGGGCAGCTAGCTCAAGCCACCCGGCACTTCACAGCCCCTGACTTCATTTGCCTGAATCCGCGCCGTCGCGGCCTTGCGGTTAAGCTCAATAAGCCATTGTGTCGCACACACGAATATACGCGACCACGTCGCGTCGCTACCGCTATCTGAAGCTCTCTCAGCTAATCCAACGCGTTCGAGGTTTTCTCTCGGAATCTCCGAGGAGGTGCATGCCGCACGGCCACTCATCTGCTGACAAAATTGATTTCCTCAAACTTCTACTAACGATTTACCGCGGAGGAGGCTGTGCGCCCCATTGGTGCGGTGGCTGTTGTGGCTGTTGTGGCTGTTGTGGCTGCTGTTGGTTCTGTTGGTTCTGTTGCTGCGGTTGACCGTTCTGCGCCTGGTTCTGCTGCATCTGTCCCAACAACGCGGCGAAGAAGGCAGGGTTGATGTATGCTCCTCCCGCGTTCTGTCCCGTCTGTCCATTCTGTGCCGGCCAACCAGGCGGCGGTGGCGGGACTCCGGAGAACCCTTGCTGGCCCGGCTGCTGTGGCAAACCCGGGAATGGGAAGTTGAAAGACGGTGCCGCAGGTGCCGGGGCAGATTGCTGCGGTGGCGCCTGGTAGTTGGCACCGCCCCATTGTCCCTGCTGCTGCTGCTGCTGCTGCTCTTGTGATGTGTGATGCCGTTGCTGGTATCCGTCCCTGGAATCGCGCTGGCCGAAGCCACCCCGGCCACGACCACGCCCTCCTCTGCCCCTATCGCCCCGTCCCCTGGAATCACCACGGCCACCTCTGCGACCGCCAAAACTTCCTGGCTCAGGTTCCTGGCTGAAACTCTGCTGCGTGGGCGGAACCTGCCCGAATCCGGGAGGCCGAGTAAGCGGCTTGTACGGACCATCATCCTCGTCGTCGTAGTTCAGACCACCATCCGTACTCGGGCCTGCGGCGCTGACCTCGTTCCTCAATGGGTGCGGCTCCCTGCCTCCCTTCGCGGGCCTCTCGCCGTTCTTAAATCTTGCGTCCTTCTTCTTTTGCTTGACCTGCCGCTTGTGCTCCGCCTCCTTCTCGTCATCAGAGAACTCCATCTCGTCCTCCGCAATCTCCTCGTCGTGGATGTTACTCGCGTCGGAGCCCTTCAGGTTCTTGAGCGGTTGAGTAAAGACGAATGTCGCGTGCGCAACGGGGTAGTACACCTTGGAGCCGACCACCAGCCCCGCCTCCTTGATATCATCGGCGGTGGAGAACAAAACCGTATACATAGGTTGTAGCACCTTTCCAATCGTCTCCCACACGACTCCAAACACCTTCCTGTCCTCCGTGCACAGCGCCGAACCGGAGTCGAGGACCTGGTACTCGCCTGGCGTAAAGGCCTTGACTACCATGATGTTCTCGACAATCTGGTCCACGACACCCAGCTGCTCGATCTTGTCCTCGGCGGTGAGCGCGATATCCGGTTTGGGAATGGCTTCGACCGCGACCTCGTTCTTAGTGCGGAGGTGGCCGGAGCCGCCTGCCTTACCGGCGTTTTCGCCGCCCTCGTCATCCGAGCCGCCCTCCATCTCCATCAGCATCCGAGCCGTCTCCTCCACGCCGAGGAGCTGGTAGCCCTCGCCGGATTCGGAGTCGTCGTCTGAAGATGAGTCGTCACTGGACGACTCTGAGGAGGATTCGTATGGAGAGGAGTCGATCTCCCATTCCGGGTGCTCGCCTTCGGGGGCAGGTTGGTCTGTGGCGGTGTTGGTGTTGGCGTTTGCGGGGGTCTCAGTTGTAGCGGGAGCAGCCGGCTCAAGGCCGTTGATCATGGCTTCGAGGGCGTCCGTCAAGGAGGGCGGCTCTTCAGCGTCGACGCTCATGGGCTCGGGGCCATTGGGGTTTGCCTGCGCTGCCGGCAAGGGGGGCAGCTGCGGTTCGCTCGTCGGGGCAGATTGTCCCGCCTCGGCAGCGGGCTTGTCTTCCATTTTCGTATCCTCATTCTTCTCTGCCTTTTCGGTGCCGGTGCCGTTCTCGCCTGTGTTGGCGCCCTCAAAGCTCGCCGCTGCTGCGAGGACGTCGGGCGGCAGGGGAGGGAGGGTCTCGTTGGCTTGCGCGAACCCCAGGCCGGGGATCTGAAAGCCAGACATTGCTTCTTTTTGTTGAGTTTACGTCAGTCGCCTGGTAGTATATGCGCTGCTGTTCGTTTCTGAACCGGTCTTTGAGAAGATTCAAGGCACGGCGGTTGTGGTAGAGACGAGCAGACAGACCCTTGGGAACTCGGCGCAAAAAGAAATCGAAGAATTGGGGGACCACCAGGTGAAATTTTAGCGGGGCGATAACGATAAAAAAATAAACTGGACCCTTGTCTCGGCTTTTGGTCAGTGCCGCCCCACCACGCCGTTCACCGAGCAGACCGAGCAATCTAGCGCTTGCTCTGAAGTCTCAATGCCCACCATGTTCAAGCATTTGTCTATAAGAATGATATATTATGTGACTATTAGCTCCTTGGGGCAATCAACTCATTACTTTTATGGTGATGATGAGTATGTATGTCTGTTGTGAGACCTAACTCACTACTTGCAAGCGTCTGTAGGCTTCCCTACGTCAGGGTAGCTTTATCCAAGTCGACGTCCTCATTTAAAAATACAATTTGCTGTTTTTGAACTAAGTTTGTTTTTATTGTTGTCATGTGAGCCGGCATCCTGCACCTCTCAAAGCGCGGATGTTGGTTTTTGGTTAGGTGAAAGTATCTCATCAACACAACCAGCATAACGACACATTAGACCATAATCAAAAACTGTAAGTTCCATTGACATGAAGTAAACGAAACTATAGATCTCATCGGGACTACCTAAACTAGGCAGTAAGCGTTTATCGTAGGCGAGAAATTGACCCAGGGTTGTTGAGAGACTACAAAGTCTCAACATCAATCTCTCATTCCGCGTTTGTTATTCGCACAGTATGGTTGCAAAGGTTTGCAACAAACTGTCAACAAGTACAAATTCAATTCGCTCTGATGAATGCTTTCCTTCTTCTTACATTGAACACAGTCAGGCTGTCACCTAAAAATGTATTAGTCACGTCAACTAAGGGTTAGTAAAGAAGTTGATTTGGGTTTTCTTACAGGGCAATTTCCAACTTCACGATGTTTTCGCTATCGATAATGATCCACACGAGCTTCCAACTAAAAAAGTCGCGTGCATTTAAGTCTGTCCATATGGATAAGATGCAAGCGCTGCTAATGAATTTGGGCCGTGGCATGTCTTGATATGTCTTCTGAGGTTCTCGTTCCGAACGCCTCGGAGTACAGTGGGACAAATAGGACATGCCAGAGAACGTTTCTCATGAACTGCTTTACGATGACGTTCAAGGTCTCTCATCGTACTGAATTTTTTCTTGCAGCCATTCTCGCCACAGCCATGGCGCCTGTCGTGGCAGCGCTTATGTTCTCTAAAAGTGGTCAGCAACCCCTTGTTTTAGCACAGCGAGTTTTGAAGGAAACACACCTTAGGCTCCTACGATCTTTGCAAAGACGACCACAAACAGGACAAACTAAGTCGCTCTTGTTATTTGACGAACTCGGGACAAAGTTATGGTGGCCCAACTCAGTAACCTCAATCGAAGCATCGACGAGAGCTTGAGAAACAACCCTGACGTTATGTGTTTGCTGTTTTCCATCATCGTCGTGGTTGATTCTGAAAGTAGTTTCGCCCAGAAATTGATTCTCCAGCTCGCTTAAGGAGTTGTCGAAGTCAAGATTGAGTGGTATTTCCGTATTTCGCCGCATGTCATTTTCAAAAGTTGCAAATGTTGAGTAGACAGAACGATGGCAATTTTCGAACTGTGGTCCACATTCGTGAACATTAGCTGGCCCAAGAATCCCTGACAAAGCTTGTCCATTAGGATCAATGGTGTTATTGTTGACATAACTTATTCCAGCACACTTCGACTCTTGGTTTAGCAAATTTTGCCACGTTGTATGGTCGCCAATAGAGAAGCCGGAAGCAAACGGATTGGGTGCAAGTGTTGTGCTCTCAAAAGTCGCCTGAGGACCACCATAGCAGTGACTCTCTTGCTGTGGGTGAAGGTAACTATGGCCGTTTGGAACCCAGTTGATCAAACCCTGCCTGTAACAATGAAGAAAAGCATTCTCATCGCATGTAGAAAAATGAACGCCTGTACAAAGAAAACCATAGCTCCCAACCCTATAGTGAACCGCTTGAGACGAACCTAGATTGGACGTCGTCGATACATTGCTCAGTAACCCTGGTATACTGCCAATGTTGTCATTGAACAATCCAACTTCTGGCTCGTATCTTGCTTGACCACTATTCCATTGTGTCGATATAAGTACCAGCTAGGGGCTTTACGAGCCCCCAGCTAGGAAGCCGTCAATTTACCGGATATACGTCAAGGTAAGATGCTGTACAGACCAAGAGTCAGAACGTTTCGATGAACAATTTGGCCGTGAACGAGGGGTCTCACGATGCGAGGTATTCGGACGTCAAACCGACGCCGAAGATGCCGCAAAGCGGCTTTGGCAGGAGAAGTTCGAGGGAGGAAGGAAAGAGGGATTCGCGTGCTTTATATACCTCGTCAGCGCGCTGTGATTGACCCTGCCCCAGGTATCTGGCAAGCAGGCAGCGTGGAGAAGGCCAGGCTTGGTACTGCTACTCCGGTATTGAAAGCAATTTCTATTAGGGAGTTGGTAGAAGAACATGTGTGCCAAGACGAGGCTGTTGAGGCCACGCCTCTGACATGCGGGCAATAGCGAATAGGAGCTTCGCATGCGTGGGTTCGTTCAAGAGAGGCCACACCTTAGCTGAATAATGATATTAAATTCGTTCGGGCCTCACGGGCGTGCCTGGTCAATCTCAGTACATATCCCACCATGTCACGTTTGAACTGTCGGTCAAAGCTGACCAATAATGGTTTTAGAGCTCAAGTCACTAAGTACTGACATCTGAGCAATCTGCATAGATGTGAATGTAGTTATATCTAGTTACTTCAATATTCATGAAATAAATCCGAATTCACTACAGACCTGTCTAAGGCGGGCCTATTGAATTGAAAGTAAACCCTCACCTGAACTCTCCCCGCTGGCTAGCTTGCGAGATATGAAACAGAATAAGGGTGTGGCCAGACGTTCAAGGCCTGGTGACAGAGATCCAGCTTCTCATGGTTGGAACACGAGTCTTGATGAGACCCGCTTTGGTTTACCATCCCAACTGCCAAGTCCAGATCAAGCGATAGGCCAACGATTTCGAATGTGACGCTCAGAATCAACCTGTCTGCCTGTCTAATGGCTTGCTGTCAGAAACAAAACGTTCAAACAGCTGGGCGTGCTGAGGCCATGCCGTCTCGTGTCTTGCCAAGGTGGCAAATAACAAGGCAACAAATAAGACAGCCATTCAAATGGGCCACGCCGCGATGCCTTTCAATAGCCCTCAAAACTTGACAAATAAGAACCTTTCCAAACTAGGACAGCCGCACAGAAAGGCGCACCTCGATGAACAGAATAGCTGAAGCGACGACACTGGCATTCCAGTTCCTGCCGCGTAGCCTTATCAGACCAGCTCAGGTAACCTCACGCCGTTTTGCGAAGTCACCGACTGGAGCGGTTGAACCTCTGCAGATCCTGCTGAAATGACCTGCACCGCGCGGGGCAATAATTTCCTGGAGCTACTCGCCCAATAGCCAGCCGGCAGCCTGACGCAATTGTTGATTTTGCCGCCTGCATTGTGTTGAGGCGTGGCCTACAGCCGTGGCTCCTGCGGCTCTTCAAGACTACATAATCACTGGTGGCTGGATTCCTTGCAATCGATTGCCAGCCATGAGCCACAGCTCACCTATAGTGGAAGAAGAAAAACAAATACGTCATAATGGAAATCCCTAGTCCCATGAATTTTGTTGAGCATACAGTGCGGCCTCTCATGAATTGTTGGGGCCGTTGCATAGGGCAGCTACCTAAAATAGCAAGGCCACAGCCTGGCGTCAAAAGAGTAAAGCGTTCTTCTACTTACACAGGCGTTGCGGATGAGTTGTAGTCCAGACAATGTACATGTGGCCTGCTGACCACCAAAAAAGCGAATCCTTCCCGAAAACATTCCAGTTTCCCATGGGGTATCTTCCGTCAACGCCAATCTACTCAGACAAAAATCCTTTTTCCTTGACCTTCCTAGGTATTACATCAATAACCGCAGACATAGCAACGTCTGCGGCCAGAGTCGGAATCAGTCATGTAAAGGATAGAATAAAAAAAGCGGACATCATTGCTTAGTAGTAGCCGCGATGGCCACCACCCTTGCGACGATCATGGTGGTGGTTGCGACGACCGCCGCCCCAGCCACCACCGTCATGTCGCTTGTTATCACGGTGGTTATTGTTGTTATTGTTGTGGTGGTGGTGATTCTGTCGCTCCGGCTCAAGAGGCACCTCCACCTCAACCTCGTACTCCTCGTACTCATCCTTGTAGTACGACTCAACCTCACGTCGCTCGCATCGAGCTTGCTCAGGATCAAACACAAAGCGCATCGTTCCTTCTTGGCTGCGGCCATTGCGTTTGGCGGAGTTGCTACCAAAGAAGCTGATGTTCTTGAGAACCGACGTGCCGTTGGATAGGTTCTCATCCTCACCACCATCACAGTTGTTGCACCAGTGAGCGTGACGCATAAGCTTAGGGTCATTGTCGACCTCATTGTTAATGATGATCTTAACCTCGATGAACTTGTTTAGATCGAACCGGTTGCCAAGCTTAGTAGACTTGAGGTGCTGGGTGTAAAGGTCCAGGAGGTCAAGCATCGTCTCAACGACGCTCTGGCGAGTTGTATGATAGTCAAGCAGATTGACCTTCTCAATCTTTTCAACGCCAGTACCGGTGAGACGGGAGGACAGTTCGAGCAGACCGAGGGCCATTGCAAAAGTCGGCTGCTTGATGGGAGCAAAGGTCTTGTACAAATCGATGCTCATGTCCATGGCCGTAGCAAACAGGTCCTTGGCATCGTCACCCATGATCCTCTTGGTGGCCTTCAGCAAAGCAGATTGAGGATAACGGCAGCGAAAGTCAAAGCCAACAGTCTCGAGAATCAGGCGCTCAAGGCCAATAATAATCTTGGACGGCTGCTCAAACATCTGCGCGGGATTAGTCTTCGTTCAGTGAAAGGGCGATGATCTTATCAATGTACCTTGTCATCCTGTGTCGTCGGGTGATCGGGATTCTTGATGTTATATGCGGCACACAAAATCTCCTTCGACTTTTTGATGGTGTCCTCCACCTTGCAGGCGAGGAACAGCGAGGCCATGGCGGCATCTTGGTAGTTGTACTCGGCGTCACGGAATGAGAGGCGAAACCAGTGGTAATAGACACATGCGGTATCAAACGTCTTAACCGGGCTGTGGGAAGGTTAGCCATATGCCAAATGAAACCGAACTACTGGGAAGACGTACACATGAAGTACGTTGCGGACATTGTCGATCAGCTGCACACCCTGCAGACGGTAGCTATCTTCTCTAGCCGGATCGCTTTTGTTATCACGGAGCATGCGACGCAAGCGCTGTTCGCTGGTGTACTGGCATGCGACTTGAATGTGGCCAGGGTGAGGTCCCTTGGGAGCCTGTGGCTCGGTAGTAGGCGCTGGGGTCGAGCTGTTAGTGGCCACAGCGTGCTGGGCCTTGGGGCCGGAGGGAGGCATGATGTTCGCGTAACGACGGTCGAGGTAGAAGGGGTCGTCGGAGCTGTGGCTTCCGTCGGAAGATTCAGCAACAGTGGTGCTGGTATCGTCGCAAGAATGAATGTTGCGATGGTCGCGTTGTTCGCTGCTATGCTTGTCGCCTTTGCTGCCCTGTTCGTCCTTGCTTCGACAGCTTTCGTCCTTGTCGGCCTCGTCCTCCGGAATATTCTTGGTATCGTCGCCTTGATTGGTGTTTTTCTTATCCCCTTCGAAACCGGAGCTTCCCCGGTCTGATTTGTCTAAGTCGTCGTTGTCCTCGTCAGGGTCGTATACGTAGGTTCTTTTAGCATTCGGCTTGTAGACCGTTGAGAACCAGCTGTAGTCGTCGTGGAAAACCGCGTCACCCTCAAAAGGCAGATCGAGGATTTGGTTGTCGCCCAAGTTGTTAATCTGCAGTCGCGTGGCGTCTGAGACTGGGTAGTGCAACACGTCCAAAGCTTCCAAGTAAATGTCGGCCAGAGAAGCAGTGGGGTGTAGAAAGGGTGCAGGTGTGACAAATGTTGCATGCCAAAATTGACCTCCGCGTTGCACGGACCAGGTCTGCCAATTGGGGTGGGGCATGGCCCGGAGACGGAGCCGGTTTGGACTAACATGTCGATCCTCGCGTACAAAAACCCGAACAAGCTTCGGGTGGTTACCCATTTGAAGAGTCAAAATGTCAATGTTGTTTCCTTCGTCAAGGAATTTTGAGTCCACAAGGGCTCCGTTGAGGGTGGTCATGCCAGCTGGAATGATTTGAGGCGCCTGAATAAGCCGAGTATTAGCATTGTTATCAGAAAACAGTTGGATTGATATTGAAACAGAAGCAGACTAGTAGTAATAGAGAATGTTGTTAGAGAAAGAAGTGAAATCAGATTACCAGAGACCCCAGGTAACTTGACTTCAAGCAACAAGGTTATGTAGCTCGAGCAATAAAAGATGCTCTAACACCATGCCTTCATCCATGTCTCTCCAGTAGGCCGACTTCTTTGCGGCACATCCAGAGGGATGATACTCAAGGGGAAAACTAAGTGTAAGGGCGTCATAAAAATGAGCTGAGAGCCCAAGTGGCCGTGAAAGGCTATGTTCAGCGAGACTTCTCTAGAACAAGCCCTTCGAGTTTGGCTAGGGCTTCCCACCAGGTGCCTGGCCGAAGCCAATATGTCCCTGAGATCGCCACCCATCGCCCTTCGTGATCAAAATTGCTCGAAGCCCTGATATTTTGCCCACATATGAGAGACGTGCTGAGAAGGACAGCCAAACAGCTTGTTAGGAGGTAAAACAAGAAAACACAAGATGATCAGAAAACATCAGAGGGCACCCTCAGATGACCTGAATTGTGTAGAACAGAGAACAGAAATGTGTATATCTGGAGCTGATAGGGGGAAATGTGAAGCGCTCAAGCTGAAGAAGCGCTCTTCCAAAGTGACTTGAAAACACCCGCTCGACATGATGAACAGGCAGACAAACGAGGCGTTCCTCATGAAGCCGAGGCCAGGCTTTGAACGCATAGACTCACCATGATGACATCGAAGCAAAAGAAGGCCGAGAAAGATCTTCGAGGCACAGAGGCTGGGCCGTCACCGCGAGGCGCGAAAGCAAGTGAGACTTTGTAATCTTGATGCCGAGGAGGTTGAGGTAACAAACAAATTGAGCAACCAAGGCAAGGCGTCTTGTCAGAGAGGTCACCAGAGACCAGCGAAGAAAGATCGAGGTCGCGTCCAGAGATAGCAAAAACAATAAAGTCAAGGTCAAGATGCTGGTTGCGTCTATTTTTTGTTTTTTCAGGGAGTCGACTGGTAACTCCAAAAAGTAGGTACAAAGATTTAATTCTATAGCTCTTTCCTATTCAACCTTCGCCAATGAATTCAAAGAAGTAATGCTGCTCGGCGTCGTCGTGTCAAGGTCCAGCGGAGCCTTCACACAAGCCTTCGTCGAGTCGTAAATGGGTAGACGTAGAGTCTACCCTTTTCATGAGGTGAGACAGTCGAGCCGTCAACTATACATCGGTAGTGCCAGTTAGCATCATGCCGAGACAAGTGTGCAAAACAACAAAGAGGTGAAAGATAAATCAGAGTAGCGCATAGTTTCATTGTAAATGCTCAATCCCGTCTTGAAACATTTTGGAGTGGATGCAGATCATCGTGATGAGAATAAGGGACAAGAGATAAAGAAACTGACATACCTTTACAATGTTGACTGGCAGTCCACCAGGAGCACCGAGCAAACAACTCATCGAATGTCGATAGACCACCCCTTTACGGTACAGGTCTCTGGTATCCTTAGATAGACGACCCGCTGTCTTTGGCTCGATGCTACCAAGGAGCCAGTTTACTCGGTGCAGGTATCCTCAGCCTGGGGGACGCGGCGGTCAATGGCCGGGACCTCAGGCGCAACCGTGTTCGGGTCCATCGTCGGGACCTTGAAGGTTTGGAACGGAGCCGCCAGGGCGGCAACGGGGAAGAGAATGTAAAGAACCTTCGAGAACTGCATGTTGACTGTTGATTTCTGGGGGCAAAATGTTTGGAGATATGCGAGTAGTTGGGAGGAAACAAGAAAATAGAGATGCAAAACGAGGGAACAAGCTGATCAGACTCTATGAGCAGGTGGAGAGACGTTTTTGGGCTTCGATAGTGACTTTAATGTTTCAAAATATCAGTTCGGTGGCATGTCGTCCATACTTATGGGCGAACCACTGCCACAATCAAGATCCGTAACAATCGACCGAACATCTTCTGTCCGAGCCAAGCCCCCCCAAAAGATCGGCCGATCACCGTCTGTCCAGCCACATGTCATTGAGCCGCTTCTTCTTCATGCAGCCTTCGGCGCGTCCAGGTAGCCGTCATCGGCAGTATGAAACAGGGGACCATCTTGGAATGCCCCGAGAAGCGTTTCAGACGGCAGGGAGGCTCCAATGTGGGAGGTAGGGTTGTCAACTTGGGACCCCGAGCCAGCGACAGTCGTCAAGCTCACCATCTGAGAGCCAGTAGCTCTACGCTAGACCAACACTTGAAGGTCTGGCTGGAGACCACTGCCATGCCCGAAGGATTCGGACAGGACTTTGACGGGATGTTGACGGACGTTTGACTGGTGGTCGAACGTGAACTGAGGAGCTTTGGAGCTAAAAGAAGGCATTGTGGTTGGAGCTCTGAGACGCTAACGCTTTTAGGCGAGAAAATCCCGTGACCTGAACGTGGCACGGACCGTTTTTCTGCAAGACCCAGCGTGAACGGCCTTTCGGAACATCTTCGAGACCTTTGGCGCTGTCCGTGGCCAATGAGAAGCTTGAGCGATAGGCCTAAGGCGATAGCAAGCTCACCCAGCCTCACAGGCTCCAACAGCTGTGCTTAGGCCCTGCCGGTGTCGTCAGCTTCCCTTGCCACAACCATACCCTTTTGGCATCCGGAGTCCTCTCCAAGAACGACTCCATTGTTTCCCCCAACATCAGGTTGGATTCTTAGCCTAGCACTGATCGCCTTTAGAACAAGTCTATTAGCAAGCACAATGAAGTCCCTGTCTATTTCTCGGCTCCTCACGGCCGGCTCCCTGGCGACCGTCGCATACTCCGCCGCCGTCCAGAGGCCCCTCTCGGACGACAACGACGACCACCCCATCCCCCTCATTATTTGGCATGGTCTGGGCGACTCGTACAACGGAGATGGCATCAAGCAGGTCGGCGAGCTTGCGGAGGCTATCAACCCAGGTACCTTCGTCTACAACATCAAGATTGGTGCCGACCCCAACAGCGACCGGTCCGCTACCTTCTTTGGCAATGTGACGACCCAGCTCGAGCAGGTCTGCGAGGAGCTTGCTGCTCACCCAATTCTCTCGACCGCGCCCGCTGTCGATGCCATCGGCTTCAGCCAGGGCGGTCAGTTCCTCCGCGGCTACGTCGAGCGCTGCAACAACCCCCCGGTCCGTAGTCTGGTCACCTACGGCAGTCAGCATAACGGTATTGTCGAATTCAAGGCCTGTGGTGACTCGGACTTCCTTTGCAAGGGCGCTATGGCCTTGCTACGCTTCAACACGTGGTCGGGCTTCGTCCAGAATCGCCTCGTCCCTGCCCAGTACTACCGTGACCCGGCTCCCGACCAGTACGAGAAGTACCTTGAGTCGTCCAACTTCCTGGCCGACATCAACAATGAGCGTGAGTTGAAGAACGTCAACTATAAGAAGAACCTCGCCAGCCTGGCCAACTTTGTCATGGTTATGTTCGAGGAGGACACCACTGTCATTCCCAAGGAGACGGCTTGGTTCGAGGAGGTCAACGGCACTGAGAGCCTGCCGCTTCGCGCCCGTCAAATTTACAAGGAGGATTGGATTGGTCTTAGAGAGCTTGATCGCAAGGGAGCGCTCCGCTTCCGCCAGATTCCTGGCGACCACATGGAACTGACGCAGAAGAATCTGAACAAGACCATTTCTGAGTTTTTCGGACCCTTCAAGAAGCGCTTCGACGCCGAGACCAAGGCAACTTTTGCCTCTGAGGAGCTGTAAAGCTAGAACACGGTATGATTAATGGGATAATGGCGCGAGCATAGGTAAAAGGGCAAATTGTACACTAGGTCTGATTGATAAATCCCTGACACACGAGTTCTCTGGTTATTTTGTCTGAACCAACGCCGTACGCCTCAAACCATGCATGGTATAATCCCGCACGAATCCCCCTCCAATTTTTTTGCCTTCTTTTTGCTATAAATGGCACAGTCTAGTTATCCAGGGCGGCCTTGGCCTTGGCCTTCTGCTTCTTCAACTTCTCCTTGCGCTCCGTCGCGATCTTCTTGTCGAGCTTGTCGTCGTTGCTCTCGGGCAGGGCCTTTGGCGCAGTCTTCTTGGCCTTCTTGGCCGTGGGCTTGCTCTCCTGCTCCTCTTCCTCGGCGGCGGCCTCGACGGACTTGCGCTTCTTGCCGACGTTGGCCTTCTCCTTGATGGCCTTTGCCTCCTCGCTGTTGTCGGCGACAATGTCCTTGTCCTCGAGCCAGAGCTCGTCAGTCAGCCAAATGGGCAGAGCGGCAGTCTCCTGGCCCTTGATGTAGATGCTCTTGACGTTCTGCCACTTCTGGGGCACCCACTTCTCGACCAGGGCCTTGACGACGGCCTCGACGTTCTCGGCGATCTGGTCGGCCTTGAAGCCGGCGTAGCCTATCCGGATGGCGGTGTTGGTCGAGGGTGTCAGGCTGACAAGAGCAGAGCCGATGGCCTTCTCGATCTCGGCGGCAATGTCCTGCGCAGTGCCGGCCCTAACGGTGCCGGGGGTCTTCTCCTGCTGCTTCTGGCGCTTGCCGTCGACGCGGCCAGGCTTAGGAGACAGAACGACGGGGATAGGGCGCTTGGCGGTGGACTTGTAGAAGGTCTTGCCGAGAACCTTGGGCAGGCGGTTGACGATACGGTCGTCGGCGAGGAAAATTTCGTGCTCGGCATAGAGCTTGCGCTGGGCCTCGTACTGCTTCCACTTGGACTTGAGCTTGCCGACATCGACAACGCGGGTGATGCGCTTGCGCAGGGCCTCAGGGAACTCGTCGGATGCGACAATGTTCTTGTAAGCACGCTGGGGGTCGGCGGTGATGAGGCAAATGGTCGACTCCTCATCGGTGTTGAGAGGGTGCGGCAGAGCGATCTTGCCAGGCTTGAGGCGGGTGGTGTCGGCGATGTGGCGCTTCGTCGTGAGGGTCAGCCAGACGGGCGACTGGGCAATGTTGGCCTCATCTTCGGGGTCGGCGAGCAGGTTCTTCTTGCCGGACTCTTCAGTCTTCTCCTTGGCGGCCTTCTTGATGTGAGCCAGAAGGGCCTTGGACGCCTTCAGGGTCTGTATACTTTGCGATTAGCGATGGCGGCCTTCTAAGAGCGAGTGGCGATTGGAATTGACGAGGTATCTCACCTGTTCAGGATCAATTGCAGGCACAACATCTTTCGACGCGACGGCGACAGTCTTTGAGGGGGCCATGACTACAGATGTTGATGTGGAGCGTCTGTTTGTTCTGGCTGTAGAGAATGGGATGCAGAACGTCGCTACAGGTAAAGTTGGCGGGGATTTTTTTGGCGGTCGTCCAAAATTTTTTGGACAGGGATCATGAGTTATCGGGGGTTGCAGACCGCCGGAGCCGATGGCGCACGGGCCGTGGCTTCTTATCGATAGTAGAAAAGAAGGAAAAAAAAACTTATCAACGGATCTAGTCTGATAAGCTCACCGGTTGTCTTGACCGAGGTGAGTTCGGTGAAGACTTTCAAGCAACTATTGCACGCGGCCGAGCTACCTCATGTGTGAAAGACCACAGAACAATGCAAAACTAGTGGTCACAAAGCCATCAGAGTATCATCGAGAATTTCATCAGAGTTGCTGAATTGGAATTTCGCTGCGCGTTCTCTTCGTGGGAGTTGACTCTATTATGACGCGTTCATTGGCTTTAAGATATCGCGTCTTGAAGTCGGAGTGCATGCAAGCCAGCCAGGTTAGGGCTGAGCAGGTGAGAGATGCATTCAGTCATTACCCCTCTGCAGGCCCTTTATGCCCACTGGTCATTGTTTAGCAATTAACAAACCCTCCGGATGCTGACTGAACGTTACCATGGTCCACTGACGGGTGCTGATACCAATTGGTTTTTTTTGATAGATTGGTTCTGTCTCACTCTGAAAACGGGCCCTGGTAAGCCTGCCTGGAGTACGAGAACAGTGGGACCGGATGCCGAGAGCGCCAACGGTATTTCCAATCCAATTGGGAACGGCGGCATCATTTAAATCTGTCAAAGCCTCAGCGGGTCGTGTGAGCAGGAGCGCGACTTGCGTTAGTGATGCGGGGTGGACGCGGCCATGACTGACGAGCTCAGCACAGCTCGGCTGTCTACCTCCTGACACTCATTTCCCAAAGCCACCCGTCAACTTTGCCATTTCACGCACGGGGTTTGACGGGAACGTGTTGCAAAACAAGGCAATGAGCCACAATACATGAGGAAAAGGGATCATTGTGGTAAAGTTTGGTGAGTATTATATCATCATCGGGCGAGACAGGGTTCTTGGGCTGAGAACACTTTACGCGAACCAACACGTCCCAGCGATGCGCCGTTTCAACCCCCTTCAGCACAACTGCAACTTTATGTATCTAAGCCCAGATCAAGGGCATTTCCTGGCTCGTGTTTCCATAACCCAGTCAGAGAGCGGATCAGGTCTCACTAAGACGGATAGGCAGCACATGCTTGTGGTAGAAAAGGGAAGAGGGAAGAAAGGGAAGCTGCACTTGCGGCCAATAAATACAAGGTATTACCACGATCCATGTGACCAACAAGACGAGCATCGGCCCAAATGCTGGAAGCGAGGTTCGGCGAGCGAGGGAGACACAGGGATGGTGAAATGTCAGGGAAAAGGGCAGGTGAGAATGCATGCTCTAATACAGAGCAGTGCAGTACTAATGTACTATGCAATTTACAAAGCCTCTTGACACGCTTCACAGCCCGGCCAGGCTTTGGCTTGCCAGGGTCAAACCGCTGGAACCATTGGAGGGATGGCTCGATGTGTGGGCTGCCCGCGGCGGTTCTCGGCGCTAAGTTACGTTCTTCAGCGTTCTGCGCCGTTGGGCTGTCCCCGTAAGAAAAGGATGAACGGATGCTGACCACTGCTTCCAGAGAGACGCGCACCGGAAGTGGACGTGAGTCGTAGTTTTTTTTCTTTGGTGGAGACGCGATTTGGGAGGTTGGAACGATAGACTCTGACGGGGATGAGGGGCATTTATGCCCGTTGTGAGGTCAGAGGCTGCGAGATTTTTGCAACATAGATGGCTGGTTAGTAAGGGGGAAAAAAGAGCGGTCTACCAAAAGTGTAAATTAGACAAAAGTGAAAATGGTTATGAAAAGAAGCAAGCAAGGCAAGCCAACTACTCTCAAGAGACCTTGAATACTGGTGATGCTTATCAGCCCAATTGCACAATTAGAGATTGAAACATCCATTAAAGCTCAATTAGCGGCCCGCGTCAACGCCCCGGGTCGAGACCTAGAAACAACCGAGCGCCACATTTAGTGCTTGTAACGAACAGGGAGCACGCTAAGTCCACTGTAATGTGACAATTTACAGCGTGCTCCAGAGTACCTGCACCCAGAGCTCCACCCGCAAGCACAACTCCTTGCACAGCACAATCGGTGGACGCGGGGGACGCGATCAACGCCAACGCGCAAGAACACGCTTTGCTCCTCCCATACTAATGGAAGGGGCCATCAAAAAGGTCCCGTCCCCATTCTGCACCACCTGGTCACGCACACTTCGGGCCTCCTTCCACCAGACCTGCAACCACTTTGATAGTTTTTTTTCGCAGCCCTTTCACAAGAATAATTTCTTGGTAAACCTCACTCCTCTTTCACAATCCTCTTGTATATCCATCGAACCCTTCCACTCTTGTCGACCCAGGCACCACGACCACTTACACGCGATTCCACTTTACACCAAAACCCCACGCCCTGATATCAGAAACCGAGAACCGCGCCCACGCAAAACGCGCCCTACCCAACGCGGTGAAAAGACATATATAGGGAAAGAAAAAAAGACATATCACGAAGAACAAGAACAGGGAATAGCACCTACCTTTCTTGGGGACCATTATTCTTCTGGCTGGGCATGCCTGTGTAGCCGCAATGATGGACTCATCGCCTCAATCCAAGAACCCGGAGCCCACCCTTCCCATGGCCGGTACCAAGCGTCCCGCTCCGAGCCTTCTACCGGCATTCGAACCTCTGTCTTCTTCTCCGGGCTTCCCTCGACCTTCTAAGCGGCAAGCTCGCCCCGGTTCCATGGGAGGAAACAATGCCTATCTCAAGTATCCTACACCAATTCCGACCTCGAGCACCGGTATTCTCTCTTCTTCTCCACCCCGCGTTCATCAGCGCCCCGGTGGGCCCTCCCGAGCCGCTTCTACCACTTCGGAGCGTACACCACTCGGTGCCGTTGCTTCAATTGAGCTCAATGAGAACGGCGATACTCTCCTAATGGGCCGCTCTAGCAACTCGTCCCATTACCAGCTCTCCGCTAACCGCCTCGTGTCTCGTGTGCACGTCAAGGCACGCTACGTGCCCGCTCCTTCGGCCCTGGAGCCGAACAAAATGGAGATTGTGTGCAACGGCTGGAACGGGTTGAAATTGCACAGCCAGGGCAAAACGTGGGAACTCCAAAAGGGCGATTCATTCACCTCTGAGACCGAAGGTAGCGAAATCATGCTTGACGTCCAGGATGCTCGTGTCATGATCCTTTGGCCGAAGCGGGATCAGCGTACCCGGCTTGCCAGCCCCGAGTCTTCGTGGGACGGCTCCCCGCCCCGATCCAATGCTCGCGCGGCGGCTGCCAACCTACTGCAATCGAGCCCTCTGCGCCATACCTCGCGAATCGAGTCTCCGGATTCTCCCACGCCTGCACATATGACCAGCTCCCAGCGCCTGCAAGCTCTCCTCCCGACTGATGATGGAGAAGTCCACATCTATGAAGATTCGAGCGCAGACGAGCCGGAGCTTCCCAAGCTTGCTGATTCGAGTGCCAAGATTGGCCAGAGCTTTGCGACCGAGGTGACCAACTCATTCTCATCTGACCTTAGCGAGCCAGAGGACAATGATCCTGACGAGGAGAATGACCCCATTGTCCACTCTTTTGGCCCATTTGGAGCTGACATCTCCAACCGCCTTGCCTCCGTTCTGGCATCATCCCCTAAATATCCGTCTTCCAAACAGTCACGTCTGCCTACGCTCCATGACGAGTCTAACCCTTCCAGCCCGATTTCGGCACCGCTGAAGTCGCCTGAGGAGAAGAAGCCGAGGGAGCCTCCTTATGAGAATCCTGCCGTGCGCAACCATGTCGTCAACCAGCTCGCCTTCTCCCGTCTGTCGTCAAACCCGCTCTCAGCCATTATGAATAACCTCCCAACGGAACAGAAGAAGGGTCTCGCAAAGGAACAGCTTCGAAGCCTTCTGGAGAACACAGCTTGCATCGGTATCATCCGACGCCAGGGTAAAGATGCTGCTGGCAAACCACTTGAGAGCGAGTACTATTATGTTCCTGAGGCCGACGATGATGAGCAACGCCGATTCGCCGTCACCGATGGCCTGCGGAAGCCTAGTCTGAGAGCCTGCCGAAAGCAGCACAAGGTAAGCTCTGTCAAATCGTTGTGGAGTATTGTAGAAGTTGAAACTGACACGCGGGGCTCATCAGCAATATTATTGGAAACGCCCGCGCACACCTTGAATAACCCTTGCTTTTGCTTTCGCCCCATGTGTTTATTTTATGGCACCCGACAAATTTGCTTGAGCCGAGCTGATGCCATGCACGCACAGGGCATGGCAGCGCTCGCATCGTCTATTCTATCGTCCATACCCTGGCTTCAACCCTCCCGTTTGGCAACTTGTATCAGCTGCATAGCGCAAGGCGTTTTATGGATTTTTTGTTTTGAATTTTTCTGTACGATTCACACTAGTATACCTCGGGTCCCCTTATTATTATCCCCAACGATTCCCATACACACCCGCTAGATGAGACAATGCATTCCTCCCGGTCCAGGTAACGATTCGGAGCGAGCAGTGCATTATTAGGTTGAATGATTCATTCATGTTGGCGGGCTTTTTTTGTGTTGGAAGGAATGAACTGGACGGGCGGGCTGGGCGGTGGGAAAACGGATTGACGAGGTGATGGTGGAAATGTAAAAGTTGACGACACGCTTGAACAGATGTGATAAATAAAAATCAATTTCCCAACTCTGGCGATCCAGCTAAAAATTGAACCCTAATTGCTCCTGCATTCCAACGCCATGGTAAACTGACGGCTCAACAACACGACCGGTTGCAAGGCAGAAGTAAGGTTTATGCATTGACCGTTCGACTGGCTGTTGGCTTATCAGCCCTACCAACCTCAAGGTTTCTAGCCTGTGTCGTCATATAACATTAGAGATCGATGCTCTCTCTGCATTTGATCGCAGATATGACGAACCGGTAAACATTTAAACCTCATAGTAAGCTTTCATTCGACAAGCAAACACAAATACAACTCAAATGTCACGACCACGAGAGTGCCGGAAGTGTGGTTGCACCCAGAGGAAGCTCATGTGGGTCTACCACACCCCCGGCCCCATGCCGATAACGTCCGATAAGCTAAAGCGGAGGTCGGCGACCGGGCCTCGACCGCTAGTCTTACCCCGCAATGACGGCGGTGGTTGTCTGAAGCTTGAAGCTGGAGCATCTCAAGTCTGTCTGCTCTCCCTCCCCCATCCTTTTTCCACTGTGAGCTGTTACTCAGTTGCCGGCACACACCCCATCTGCTTATCCCCCAAGAGGAGCCAAAGGACACCCAAAAGACACCATTGGCCTGTGAGATGAAAGACAATCGGTTCGGATGTAGCTCTGTACGTAATAAAGCATACCCTACCCACTAGAAGTTTTCAGAAGCTTGTGATAATGGTGGTTGTGGTGTGGTTACAAAAAAAATAAAAGGCCCGCCGGTGGCAACCTCAGCGGCGAAAAATGATGTTATTGCGCGCTGATGGGGTGGGATCGTCGTCTCATGCAATTGCCCAATACGAACCGTCGCATCAAAGAAACAAACGAAAGCCAGACGAAGCTTCTTGCTTGCCCCCCCCTTTACCACGTAGTAAGCTATCCAATCTACCATGCCTAATCCCGACACGGAAGTGGTGTGTTGCAGGTAGGGTGATACGGCTTGAGCTGAGCTGAGGCGTCATCCTACTGGTTGCATGAAGAGGGGTTTTGAGGGTGGGGGGGGGGGGGGGGTAGGTGCGGACGGGTTAGAGCTTGAGGACGCATTGGACCCTGAAAGTGGAAAGATCCAGAGGGAATGGGCTGCTGCTGCTGCTGCTGCTGTTTTTTTATGTTAAAAAGGGAAAACGTTCCCTCCGGCCTTTTTACTTTCAACGTGACATGATATGACCTGAGCAATTTCTTCTCATTCCTCGTAGCCGTGTGTGTAAACAATTCCGACTCCTCATCTACACCTCAACCTAAACGCCCACTTAGAAGCTCGATCTTCAACCTCTCAGTGCATCTTTAACCGTCCTCGAGTTATTGCAAACACCGAAATTCTTCCACATCCACTAAAACCAAAAAAGTAACCAACAAGAGAGAAATGTCGTCCCAATCATCTACCATGAACACGGCACCCCACAAGGACATCACGAGCGATCAGAGCTCCTCCCACGCCGCCGCCGACGCCGTCCGCGCCATCGAGCGCACCAACAGCTGGAAACCTTCCTTTGAGCGCCGCCAGAGCTGGAACAAGGAGGACCAGAAGCGCGCGTTGCAGATGAGCCACATCGAGGACGTCAAAACTGGTCCCGGCTTCACCGAGCGCGGCTAAATGCGCCGATGGCGAACTACTACAACACCAATGTCAAAAAATGAAAGGGACGTTTACGATTATTACAAAGGGGAGTCGCCGTTATGGATAGCTGATGTAGCGGCATGTGGACAGTCTGACCAACGAACAGATTAGCAAATCGGTGTTAGTCTGAGAGCACCGCAAGGATTAAGAGGGGGGGGGGGGGGGGGGGGGGGGGGGGCATGGCGTTCAAAATTGCATGATCATCGCAAGCACACCTGTATTCTACCACACACGCATCATTTTAAATATTTTCAACTCTCATTGTGTGCCGTCAGTTCCTACGACCCTGCCCTTCTGGTCAGTCGGCCAGCCTGAGGATCAACTGAAGTGCTCGACATGAGTGGTGTCGAGAAAGGACCAATCGCATCATTGTGAGTACTATTGGTACATGTGAGAAGGGATCCTGAGAATGCTTGTACCCATGTCAAATCCTACAAACCGTCGTAAGGTATATAATCCATCCATAAACATGCCAAAACCGCAAAGGTCAAATCCACCGTGGCTCTACCTACAGCCCCTTCGGACCTCGCCCATCGCTGCCCCCCGTCTTAAAATATTCTCCAACCACACCGATAGCGTAAGAAATACCACCCACCCAAGCAGCGCCCAAGATCATCCTCTTCGCCCTGCTCTTCTTCGGCCGCTGAGAAGGCTTGAAGTCTTGGCTGTCGCAAGAAATCGTGTCTTGTCTACTCAGCGAGCTGAAGGGGGGTGGAGGCTTGTTCTCCGCTTCTGCTCCGGGGTAATCATAGTTGAGGTAGCCTGTAGGACTGGAAGAGTAAGCGCTTGGTACTACGGGGTCGCTCCCCATCATGTCGATGGGGTTCACCTTTGGCGCCTGGTAGGTTGTTGGCTTTTCGATCGTAGGGGCATAAGGGGCAGTGGTCTGCTCCCCAGAGGCCACCTCTGCCTCACGAACCTTGCGGAAAACCAGGACGTCTCCGCTTCCGGAGACGATTTCATAACCTTCCTTCTGGAGAGGGCTAAAGTAAGGGAAAAATTTGGTGGGGTTCGACAGACGGAGAAGAACCTCGGCCGGTGTCAGTGGCGTTGCGCTGTCCGGAACAACGGATGTCGTCTCAGCTGTGTTGATGGCCTGCATAGTGGGGTCGTAGGCTAGAATCCTATAGACGACAGGCTCGCGAAGAGGTTCCTTGGCCGTGGATGATACTACACCCTCTGACTTCGCAGCGGCAACTGCCTCTTGTGCCGAAGACATGGAACCGGCGGTGGCATCTGCCACTGTGCCGTATGAACGGACGTAAGCAGGCCAAGTTTGTCTGCCATTGCACTCCTCAGAGTAGCTTATTTCAAGTCCTTGTGGCTCTGTTGAGTAAGGGTCCGAGAGACCCTGCTTTCCTGCAACCCAAGCTTGCGACTTAAACGCGGAGGACCTGTTCAACGCAGGCTCCAATCGCGGAAAGCTTTCATCAAAGGAAGCAGCCTCGACCTCATCACCTTGAGGAGCTTGATACTTGCTATCCTCTGCTCTTAGACTCTCTGTCATGACCTTACTCCATGATCCAGAGAAATCTTCTGGAAAGTCTCTGACGTAGTTTCCGATCAAATCTTCTTTAGGTTGAAGGTTCTCCCACGCCTTGCTTTTGGCTTTGCGCAGGCTCACACGAGCTGCCTTGCTAGATATATCCCAGTTCACTTCGTAGCGAGGAAGGTCAGCCTCGAGCATTTGTCTGTTAGTAGTGCTGTAGCCTCTGCGAGACTGGCCAGAAGAAGTCGGGATTTTGGCCCGAACGTCGCTAGCGCGGAGCAGGTCCAAGTCGTCAGCTCTTTCTTGTTCAGTCACATAGGTATTCAAAATACGTCGGTTCGCCTTGGCAGCAAGTTCCGCGTCGAAATCACTTAGACCTTTAGAAACAGGGTCGATTTGTTCGATGGGCTGGCCATCAGGCTCATTATACCGATAAGATTGGTATTTCTTGGCCTCGTCAAAAGTTGTTTGGTCCCAATCTGGCTTGGGTCGTTGATTTTCAGGTTCATCATACTGGATCGGTTTGTGATTGGCCATATCTTCCGGTGCGATTGGAGCAATCACACTCTCCGGTAGCTGACCATCGCCTCTCTTGAAAGCCACTGGGCCATATGTACCCAGGTCTTTGTATTGCTTCGCGGCCTCCTCAGGGTGTACAGGCGGTTTCCCATGAGGCTCATTCCACCCAACTGGCTCGTACTTTCCTAGATCCGTGTACACCTTTGAGGCTTCTTCCGGGTGTACTGGGGCTTGACCGTGCGGCTCACGATACGCCATAGGACCATAGCGATCCAAGTCAGTGTAAGCCTTTGAGGCTTCCTCAGGGTGAACCGGGGGTTCCCCGTGAGGCTCGTTGTAGCCCATGGGTCCATACTTGTGGAGATCATCATAGTCTTTTGACTTTTCCTCGTCGCTTAGAGGGCGCGCGCCTTCGGGTTCGTTGAAGCCGCTCGGGCCATATTTGTGGAGGTCATCGTAGGACGATCTCGCATCCGCACCCTCAGCAATTGCCTTTTCGTTGTGCATGACTGGGCCGTATTTACCCAGGTCTTCATATTTTTCGTTTGCTGCTGGAACCTCTGCATTCTCGTTGTGCATAACGGGGCGGTACTTGTCAAGATCCTCATACGCCGGCTGGGAGAGCTCTTCTGGTGGCCCCTCCGTGATTGATGGGTTGGCATATTTATGGAGGTCTTCATACTTGGGTTCTGACTCTGTGTCTTCAATGAAGTCCCTGAGGCCAACCGGCTTGTATTTATCCAAGTCATCATACTTTGGCTCTTCTGAAAGTTGTTCAGCGTCGAGCTTCTGATCCATGACTGGTTTGTACTTGTCGAGATCCGCATACTGTGGAGTCTCTCCACTGGACCCAGCGTCTGCCCATGGGGTACCATCAAGTGGAACTTGGTCGTATTGCTTAAGTTCTTCGGCCGGAGGTGGCCCGTCCTCAAAATAAGGCTCATGGGCCGCCTTGGACGAGTTGTCAAAGACTGACTCTGGAGCCGACATTGACTGGACCTTTCGGTTTGTGATTGGATCAATTTCGGATTCTTCACTCCGGCTGGCAGACGTTGTCGACTTGCCCCGAGTCTGGTTACCCAAATAGTTGCGAATGTTCTGCAGAGGGGATTGCCACAAGTCATATTCGTAGGAACTGGTGCGCTTTCCAGTGAATAGGGCATTTATGGCGCTGCGCTCGACATCCTCAATATTCTGGCCAGGCCGGGCTCCAGAGGCATCGTCGGATCCAGACTTTACTTTGCTGTCGTTCACGTATTTTCCTTTAGAGTGGGTATGACAGTGTCTGATCCAGCACTGCGCCATCATCTTCTTCATCACTATTCTTGAATCTTCACCACGCATGCTGGGGTCCCACGAAAGCTTCCGATTTATCGATTCCATGTATTTGTAACCGGCAGCGTGCTGACGCTGTCGCAGCTGACGCTGGAACTCGGCATCCAGGTAATTAGACCAGGGTCGGAAGCGGAAACCGCGAGTCTGGCCATAATGGCTCGCCTTCGTTGGTGCCGGTTTCGCATGGACTGGACTCCTCACTGCAGAGACCCTGCTGACGTGAAGGCCGCCCGCGCGGAGCGAGGAACGGGGGATGTTGGTAAGCATGGTGATGAACGAAAGCTTCGAGTATTTACCATGCTACCACCACTAGGAATGGCGTAAATCAGCATCAGTTAGCGAAATAGGTGTGACGGCAGAGGGTTATCTCTACACATCGGGCGGGTGGCCAATCGCGGCAGCTTGGGGAGTTGCCTAAAAGGCACGTGAATAAACCGGAGCGACTTACACGATGAAGACGTGAAGAGAGAAACTACGTGATGAAGCACCCGCATGTAGGCCGTAAAATTGAATGCTTCAAGAACGAGGAGCTTAAGAGGTATGAAGGTAGGAAGTTAGAATAGATCCGCCACCTCCGCCTGCAAAGAGGGTGAGGAAGGTTGGCAGGCAAAGGTAGGACACAGAGAGTTCATAAGGGTAGAGAGATCGATTGAGAGCGATGGGCAGATCAGAGGGAGCAGCAGCGGCAATGAGCTGCGACTGGCCGGCTTGGGTAGGTAGAATGCTGGGCGGATCCACAGTTACCGCTCCCTAGCGCTCTTCCCGCAGTGAGCAGAGTGGGCACCGTGAGCTCAGAGTGCTGAGCAGCCTGCAGTCACTGGCCGATACTTGCTGGAACAGTGGAGAGTGTTTAGCAGTGCAGTTTGCGGGGTAGCCTCTGAGGCCGCTTGAAACCATGAGCAACCTTGGATGGGCGACCCCAAGACCGAGGGGGGTGCTTCCTCCTAACACGAGCGAACAGGGTGCCCTTGCTCCAGTTCAGTGTTGCTGCGTACGAAGTAGGTACATAGCACCATGTATCCCTCCAGGCCCTCCTACGTAGTGTGGTAGGTAGAATGAGGTCTCTGGCTGGGGCTGGTAGTGGGGTTAATTGAAGTCGTAATCGTCGTAGTAACCCAATCAGCATATTGGGATAAGCCAGGGGTAACAAAGCACGGCCGCAAGGGCTCACAAAGGAGACCCAGAGGCCAGCAGCCAGATAAGTCACGTGCATGTGTCTTACCTATGACCGCATCACCTCTTGGGGCCTGGGGCGAATCGTAGCTTTGGTGGGGCAGCTAGACCAATTTCATTCGCCGCAAATGCGACCCGGCCAAAAATCTATCGGCCTGAGTCAACTGGGCACTTTGACATTTGCGGCGCCTTACCAAGCAAACTTCCCGAGGCTGCGATGCGAAATAGGCCTTCTATTTGTCTCTACACCACTTTTATGCGTTCCTTTTCTCTTCGTTGCATTTATAGGCTGCGATCTGTCTACTGACAAAATTTATATTTATTCTGTCTTTTTTTTGGCGTCAACGTTGGCTGTCAATTCGTCGTCATTGCGTTCTTTCTAGAATATACGTTCAGTGGCGCATTTCTGCACTGTACCCCGCCAACGTCATTTTCGAGCTCTGGCGCCTTATTGCGCTTTAGCCCACAACTACGCAGCGTCAACGACTTTGCATAGCACACCACGCATTACACTAACCACCAGATCATGTCGCGTGCCTTTGGAAAAGCTGGCCGCTCGGCCGGCGCAAAGGGTTTTGGGATACCTGCGCGAGGGGGCTTCGGCGGCTTCTCCTCATCAAACAGTAGCGGGTTGTCCTATCTTGCCGAACCCCCCGACTTTTCCTCCCTTTCCGATGCGAACGTCGTTGTTTCCTTCAAGAACACACTCAAGAAAGATGCTACTACCAAGGCAAAGGCACTGGAGGAGCTTTTGGCCTATGTGCAGGCTCATCCGTACGAGAAGGAGGGGGGTACAGAAGAGGCAGTCTTGGAAGCATGGGTGCGTGATCCCCGGGTGATAATCTTTGATGAACTGTTGGTAATGTATGTAACAGGTACAAATATACCCTCGTATTTCTATAGACAATTCGCGTCGCGTCCGCGAACTCTCTCACACCCTGCAGTTCGAGTTGATGAAGTCAGCCCGGAAGCGCATGGAAAGGCATGTCCCCAAAGTAGTTGGTACCTGGTTGGCTGGCCTCTATGATAAGGACCGTGTGGTCTCGAGAGCGGCGAATGATGGGATATCCTCCTTCCTCAATAGCCCGGAGAAGGTCGCATTGTTCTGGAAGAAATGCCAGTCTCAAATTTTGGCATATGCGACCGATGCTATCCAGGAGACAAAGGATACCTTAAGCGACGAGAGATCAACCACACCCGACGACGCCGAGACAAAGTACCTTCGAGTCGTAGGGGCAAGTCTTTCTCTTGTTCTCGGCCTCCTCCAGAAGCTGGAGCCGGCCGATATCCAGAAGGAAGAGGAGGCATACGACACCTTTTTTGCCGAGGACAAGGTCTGGAAGAGTGTAACTATGGCCGACAATTCAGTCAGAAAGACTGCCTGCCAGCTTCTGTGGATATGTCTGGACAAGAGATTTGATTCGGTGTCGTCTCAGATCTCTCGGCTGAAGAAAATCTTCATCGTGGAGGGTTTGAAGAGCAGCCAAGTGGGTTCAGCTGTTGAATACGTCCGGGTCCTCACAAAGCTCACCACCAAATTCCCCGAAATTTGGACCAGCTCTAGTGACAAGAAGACCCCGATCTTTAGGTTGAATGGCTTCTTGGAGAGAGGATCTCAGGGCAGCTCTGCCAAATACTGGGAATGTCTGGAACATCTCATTGTGGCCATCCCCGCTGAACACTTCACTGTAGAAGCCTCTACGGATGCTTTGAAGTCGATGAGATCTGGTATCACACACAGAGAAGAGCCACGTTTCAACGCACCTACTGCCTGGACATGCTACGTCCATGTAGCAAAGCACTTCCTGAAGAATATCTCCGAAGATGGTCCTCGAACCAAGCTTGTCCAGGACCACTTGTTCCCCTTACTCGAGCACTTTCTCTTCCCAACTCCTGAAAACGCGGCCTGGGAGATTGGCGGTGCTGGACGTCTGGGTGTCCTGAGCGAGGTTTTCGGTGTTGCCGCTGACTCTTCGTCTTCCGGCCTGATCCAGGCGACCACCGAGAAACTGGAGAGTCTTTCATCCGCATTCTGCACCAGGATATCTAACTCTCTGCCGGAAGTCTCACAGGGTTACGAGAAGTCCCAAGAGGCAATTGCTTCCGAGGGCGACCGATGGTTCAATCTTGTTGGTCAGGTCCAGACAAAGAGTAAGGCCTCTACAACTGGCCCAGCACAACTTCTGATCGGCCCTTCCAAAGCTATCATTACTTGCTCTCTAAATCTGCTGGCGAATAGGAATCTCAAGCCATTCGGCGCAGCCGGAGTGCTATATAACGTTGGGAAAAGTGCCCCACGTCTTTGGGAAGACGCCGAAGCGGCCCAATTATTGGAGCAGTTCCTTTTGACACAGGGTCGGGATCGTATGGACGTCTTGATGGCCTCTCGGTCGGCATCGGACCTCCTAAGCTGTGTGTCTATTCTAGGTTCCCTGGAGGGCCAGAAGACCGCTTACGCTTCTATTTGGAATACGTGGATCGATGCGTTGTTAACCTTGTCTGATGAGACACTAGCAGTCAAGGGCATTGAGAGACTGATAGCAAACCGTAATGCGTCATCTCTTTCCAGATCACATGAGCAGCTCCAGAAGTTCCTGGAAGCAAAATGTTCGAACGCCGCCCGCGGTGAGTCGGACACTTGGAGTCTTTTCGAGGCAGCCCTTGGCAACGATGCCATTACGGAGCCTACGGCGAAGCAGCTTGTCGACAACACCATTGCACTATTGGCGCAGGACAAGCAAAATTCGACACATGCTCTTCGGGCGTTGGAAATTATTTCCAATAACAAACCAGGACTTCTCTCTCAAGACGAATCAACCCATATGGCTGTTATTGCTGAGCTACTCGGACTCGCTGAACTTGATGACAAAGCAGTTTCTTCTCGTGCTACATCTTTGAGAGCTCTACTGGAACAACCTGCAGACGGCACCTCGCCACTGGTTACAATCATACAAAGAAATCTCGAAGACGCTGGGCCACAATCACTCGGAATTGATACTCTCGTCCAGCAGGCTTTGCAGGCATCTAAGACGGGGTCCGTGAGCTCAGAAGACTTGTTCCCTAGTACAAATGTCTGGATGCAGCAACTTTCGAGCTTTTTACAAGGGCCCCTCAACCCGTCTCTGTCGATTACGAGCAGCTTGGGTGGTGCTCACTTTTTAGTTCAGCCCTCCGAACCGGCACAGCGCATTCGGGTGCGCAGAGACCGAGATGGATACTCTATCCCTGCTAGAATGGCAGCATATACCTCCAAGCTGTTGTCGTCTGATATCTCGGTGTCAACACTGCCAGAGAGCTTCCAAGTTGAATTGCTCTATCTCCTTTGCGTCTCGATCCAGATGATTTCCGATCAAATCACCCTAACGGACGAGAACAGGCTCTTTTTGAACCTGAATGCTGGAGATGCTTTGGCAGCTGCTGAAGACTTTGTGTCATCCACAAGGGTGACCATTAACGCCATCGTAGATGAAGCCAAAGGCTGGAGAGAGGGCTCAGAAGCCGGCTCAACGAAGTTGGTGAATGGCCTTATTGCTATCATGACTCAGGAAACGAAAGATCTCACGCCCCTGGGTCTCTACAGCTCCAGAGCTCTGAGTGAGCTCCTCCAAACTCTCACCGAGAAGCATGGCTTCCCCGCTGCTGGCGACGAAAAGATTGCTCAGCTTGCCACTTTGAGGGCCACCCCGCAAACGATCCTCTCGGCCACGGCAGTGCTTACCGGCTTTGGTGAGAGTCTGGAGTCATCCAAGGCTATTAACAACCTTTGCAACCGCCTTGTTAGTGACGTTGCCGGCGCAAGTATAGAACCCGAGAAGGCCGAGAAGGCACTTATGATACTCGTGCTTCTCAATGCCTGCCTGCAGATTTACGAGGTCGGTGAGGTCCCTGTGGCCAACAACCGTATTGTTTTCGCAGTCCGCCAAATCACGTCCTGGCTGGATGATACCCTCAACCTCACCCCGGCGTTGTCCGCTGAGATCTGCCGTGTGTTGCAGAGACTCCTCCCTCCCATCAAGGATGTCTACGGCCCACACTGGGAGAAGACAATTGAGTTCTCCACTGCCCTCTGGGCGAAGGCGTCGGATGACCGTCTCGATGCGTCACTACCTTATATTCACACATCATTGAAGCTCATGACAGCCTTGGAGACTCTGTCAGAGCCAAATGACGACTTGGAAGACGCCTTGAAGGAGTTTGCAGAGACTAAGTCGCTGTCCCTCATTGAGCTTCTCAAGTTGACACGTGAGAAGAGCACCCAACCGCTGGAGATCGTGGATGCTATCATTTGCAGACAAGTTAAGAAGATTCCCCTGAAGCACATCAGCGACCTCTCGGATCTATATGGTCTTATCGCCGCCGACTCTCGCTCAATCCAGACTGCAGCCTTCAACATTCTCCACCATGCCTTGCCAGCGAGGCAGGAAGAGCTCTCAGTAAACGTGCTCCTTGAAAAGACCGATGCCCGCCTTCCAGATGAGCTCGTATCTTTGCTCCTCGACGCCCCGACTCTTGAGCGCTACCCAGACGAAATCCTTGCGCAGTTTCCCTTGGCAATCCGCTCGTATCTGCTTTCGTGGCACCTAATCTTCGACGCTTTCAGCACAGCATCGCTCAAGGTCCGTAACGACTACACCGAGCACCTCAAGACGGAGAACTACATCTCACCGTTGCTGGACTTCACATTTGACGTGCTTGGTCACTCTGCTGCGCACCCGCTCAACCTTGAACGCGAGGGCCTGACGGTGCAGCACATTACGTCCTACGACCTCTCTCTTGCGGACGCCGAGTCCGAAGAGCGTAATCTGCACTGGCTGCTTGTACATCTGTACTATCTCACCCTGAAGTACACGCCTGGCCTCTTCAAGAACTGGTACCTCGACTGCCGCTCCAAGCAGACGCGTATCGCTGTCGAAGGATGGATGACGCGGTACTTCTCGCCCATCATCGTCTCGGACGCCCTCGACGAGGTCGCCGCGTGGGCCGCCTCTCAAGAGCCTCCCGCAGACGACGATGAGAAGGAGCTTGTTGTCAAGGTCAGCAAGACGGGCAAGGAAATCACGGCGGGCTACGAGGTCGACGAGAGCTTGGCATCGATCGCGGTCAAGGTGCCCCCGAGCTACCCCATCGAAGGCGTCAGTGTCGTCGGCGTGAACCGGGTGGCTGTAAGCGAGAAGAAGTGGCAGAGTTGGCTCCTCACGACGCAGGGTGTTATTACGTTTTCCGTAAGTTACCAAAACCCCACCTCCCCCTCCCCCTTTCCCCCTCGCACTTTTATTGAACATGACTTATTCTAACGGCCAAAAAATAGAACGGAAGCATCATTGACGGCCTGTCCGCCTTCAAGCGCAACATCGTCGGCGCGCTCAAGGGCCAGAGCGAGTGCGCCATCTGCTACTCCATCATTTCGACGGACAAGAAGATGCCGGACAAGCGGTGCCAGACCTGCAAGAACCTGTTCCACAGGACCTGTCTGTACAAGTGGTTCCAGAGCAGTAACCAGAATACGTGCCCTCTGTGCCGTAACCCGATCGATTACCTGGGGGCGGACACCAAGGCGCGCAGGGGTTGAGGGAGCGGTTGTGGTAGGATGGAGAGACATGAATGACCAAGACGGACACGAGAAACAACGAGAAAACGAGGAGTGACGGAGGAGGTGGAGAATGTGGGAAAAAGCATGTCATCGGTGGCTGCCGTTTTTTTTTTTTTTGTTTCTTTAATGTAGATCAGACTTAGACGGCATCAAGGCTGCGGAAAAAGAAAAAAGCAGAGGCGGTTGTGGTTTAGATGGATGAATACAAGACGTATGTATTTCCGGATCCTCTGCGCAACTCACACCGCGAATGGTTTTGTGATTGCACTGTGTTGGTTATTTACCTCAGATTGCAAATACATATTTCTTTTCCAGGACTAAGCATGTATATATACTGCGAGACGTCTAAGAACCTGGTTTATAGAGGAAGTACAGATGCAATGAATGTTTACGACGTACATATATCTATATGTTGTATAATCAAATCAACAAGCATGTACCAACGCAACGAGAAAAAACATCAAAACGGTACCGCGCGCCTCACACAGCCTCTAACAAATTAGACATCTCATTCGCAAGGCGGGTAAGGAAGTCACGGACCCTATACTGTAGAGCTGCGACTTCCATCTCCCGTTGCATCCGAGCCTCTTCTGAGTTAAAGGCATTGTGGCTGGTGAAGGGTTGTTGGTTGGCGAAGAGGTTCTGATTGACGATGGGGTTTTGGTTGGTGAAAGGGTTTTGGTTGACGGTAGGGTATTGGTTGGTGAAGGGGTTCTGTTTGGTAAAAGGGTTCCGTTTGGTAAAGGGGTTCTGGTTGACGGTAGGGTTTTGGTTAAAGGGGTCTTCAATTCCAAAGGGGCTATTCGCAACATTGGTCCCCTCATCTACATCGATATCCATCGTGTCGAAATCGCCAACATTGTACATTTGCAGCATGTGTGCGTAGGCGCTGCGGCTTAACCCGCGCCGGCCAACGCGGCCCTTCCGCTTGCGAACCTTGACAGGCCGAGCAGCGGCCCATTTGGCGATGCCAGAGGTCTTGGAAATCTGCTTCTGCTGGTTCGCCTGCTGCCCGTGTACCTGTTGCATTCGGCTCTGCTCGTGTTGATTCGCGGTCCATCTCGACTTCTTTCTCGCCGGCGGAGACGGCTCAACCGTCGTTTTCAGCTTCCGTTCAGCTCTTGCTGTCGCCTCTTCCTGTTCCTTCTGTTTCCTTGCTGCCCTGACCGCGTTATCCTCGCAGCCCCAGCATGAAGAGCTCTTTTTTGCTGACCTGTGCACGCCGCAATGCGCGCACTCAATGATGCATCCCTTCTTGAGACATCTGCCCGAATTTGGTGTGTGGCAGAAGGGACAGTGGTGAGTAGTCAGCCCGCCCGGGGTCCTAGCTGGCACGTCTGCGATAGCTATTTTGCCGTTTCTGTTGGCGTCACCCTCTCTGCGTCTGGAGCCATCGTCGTCATATGCAAGGCAGCTGGTGTCTGGTACGGCTTGGGTACCGACGTTGGGTCCGTTGCGCTGCTTTTGCGTAGAACTGCCCATGGTTCGATAAGATATGCTAGCTGTAAACGATGGATTTATAGAGGTAGCACCTCGCTTCGTGTCTGGGCAAGTGACACTGTTGGCAAGTATCTTGATGGTTCGAGTGACATTGTGGAGGCTGTCTGCATTAATATCGCAATCAAGTAGGCATAGGCCTTTTGTCCTATCGGACGCCCTGGGAGACTTGTAACAGGACAGCAGTCTTTCAGGTCTCGACGGCTGCGGCCCATACACAAACAAATAGTCTTGACACAATGCACTGTTGAAACACAATGGTGTTCAAGTCCCTTTGACTGGCACGGCCATCAAGAAGGCAATTTGTCTCCCACCTATCCATGGCATTGTTCATCTATATCGCAAGAGGTTGATCGGAGTCTTGGGGCTTTGCCTCATTGGGTTCATTCAAGCACTTGTGCTGCAAGGCCTGGTGGATTATTAGAGACCAACTGTCGACACAACTAGCATTCGACTTACTTGTTCAGCGGTCAATCTCCCGGAATCAAAGCGAACCAGGCTCGCAATTAGATCCAGCACTTTCGGATCCGCCTCGGGCAGGATGGCCTCCCAGGGCTGGCCGTCAAACATGCGGTACATCTCGAACGGCGGTGTCTTAAAACTCGCGGCTTCAGGCCAGGTGTCCCTCGTGGGTGTACCGAGAGTCTTAAAGATGCTCAAGATCAAACCCAGCTGGTTTCCGTCTTCGTGCGCTGGTCTCGATTCAAACAAAGGCTTCGGAGGGTCGCGGACACATTCAGCAAGCATCGTCCCAGCGGCCCACATGTCGACAGACGGGCCGTAAGCTTTGTGACCAAAGAGTGCTTCAGGTGCCCGATACGGGCCGGTTCCAATGTCTAGAATCTTGCTGTTAGCCGGCTCGGAGACGGCCGACATGGTGGGGTGCCAGGCCGTTCCGAAATCTGAAAGATAGGCAGGTCCATCTGGTCCGTCCAACAAAATAGCCTCCGGTTTGACGTCTCTGTGGATAATGCCCTGGCTGTGGATATCTTTCAGGGCAGTAAAAATTTCCCGGAAGAGACGGCGGAGTCGGGGGAGCGGCAGAGCCCCTTGGTCAATGACATGGGCAAGTGTAAATGGCTTGTAGGGAAAAACAAGGACGAATCTTTGTTCTTGATCTCGGAACGTTTCAAGCAACGGGATGCACGGCCGCCTCAAGGTCGCAAGGATCTTGGCCTCGCGGTGAGGGTTGTGTGGCTCGATATTGTGTGTCTCTACGATGACCTTCAGAGCACGATCTTTGCATCGGTAAACCTCTGAAGTGAGGCCAGTTGCAACAGGCAAGCAGTTCTTGTAAGAGCCGATGGTGACACCGATGCCATCATCGGACTGGTTGGCAGGTGCTGTGGCCTCTTGAAGAGCCAGGTTGGCTGCGCCGACTAGCTGACAGATCTCATCATATTGGGCCTTGAGATAATAATCAGAACAACTATAAATAGAAGTTGGTGGAAGTTTGAACTTTGGGCGCAGTTACTTTTGAGGAAGAGTCCTTGTAAGCTTGATTCTCAACCGAAAATGCTTCAGACTGTGATGTTGCCTTGGCATCTGGGTTGGCAGCTTCCAGAACTGCCTTTCTACGAAAAGTATAAGTTGAAGATCGAGATGCGATACACACAGCAGTCCGACTTACATTTTCTGTATGTTCTCATAACGCTCGGATGCCGACAGCTGGGTCCTCCAATCCGGGTGGTTGTCAGCCATGGGAGGCAACCAAGGGATCTGGAAGTTTGAGGTTGATGGGCGAATTAAGCAAGACAGCAAGGATGGATGGTGTTTGGCAAATGGCCTTTGGCAAGCGTCTCGCAATGGTGGGTTGTGTTAGTGAGCACCAAGCAAGAGGAAGCAGCGAGGATTGGTGTGGTAAGCGTCCGGAGTACTTTCCATTCCACCGACCAGAAAGCGGTGCGGAAATTTTACCGTGTGCAAAAATGATGGATTGACTGTCCGGGGCCGGGCCCGCTAGCAGTGTCCCCGCCGCCATCTCCGGGGCCCCTACAGTGTGGTTTGGGTTTCGACGCAATTGACAAGCCCCCGTTTTCAGTTTTGCTTACATAAACAAAATCGGGCGTCGCAATTTCACGGGTACCTGACGAAGGCGTTCCTCTGGCGTCAATTTGTGTCTTGCTTATTTCTTCATCCTTGTCCTAGCTTCCCCTGGCTTGAATAGGCTTGAGAGCCTACTCAATTACCAGGATGGCTAGTGTACACGACACTCGAGCCTCGATGATAGTGTACAAGCGGAGGAGATTTTGGTCAGATTTCTCCAGCAGGTTCTCATTCGGCGATGAAGCTGCAACTTTCAAGAGCCTTGTGATGTAAATAATGGCTGAAAGTGTAATTCATGCAAAGTCGGCGTCGGCGACAAGGATGATGCGGCTCAGATCTTGAGCTCTCGCGTGCTGGCTTAGCTGCCATGTGTTAATTGAATTTCGGTCAGAATTATGGCGCGGCCGCGACACGTCAGGGTGCTTCCCGCCATCCAATACAGGCACCGATTTCTGAACCTTGCCAGAGGCGGCATCCTGTGTAATGAGGCCCTAAACAGGTTACTACAAAAAGCGTTCAGCTAGCTACTCCGTTTGTTGCTTAGAGTTGGCGGAACGCGTTTCTCCCAAGTTATGCAAGCTGGCGCCGCCGTTGTTTCCAACGCCAAGGGAGTAAGCACTACGTTGCTTTTCTTGGCCTTGGGCAGCATCTCGAAGCACACAGGGTGATCTTCCGCCATTAGCTGGAATTGGAATTGAGCCTTCTGACGGAACTGAGTTATCCGCCGGTAATACCTTGAGAAACACAGGTTGGGAAGACATACTAGACCAGGACCGTAAGGCGCGTGACGTATTGCAGAACTCCCCTCCGAGCTAGCCCGTTTCGAGTACAGGGGCCTTGTCAGGCCTGAGTACATTCAGACCATAGCGAAGCAAGAGAGATTGGCACTCCGTAAATGGTACTGTTGTCTGCAAGGGTGGGGGACCGAGGCGAATTGGAGTTGATGACTATGCTGTACTAACTCTCATGTGCAGCTAGGCTTCGAATGAAGGGCTGTCTCTGTAAGGCCTTGTCCGCTGCTCCCGGGCCAGTTTTTCCATCCCAAATGTAATAATTCGAATCACCTAGTGGGTATGCGCCGAACTTTTCCGACAACACTTGGGCCAATTGGTTGCGTCTGATTGGAAATAAAAATAATAACTAAAGGTAAAGGAATATAAAGGGAAGGGAAAAAAAAAAGAGTTCGAAGGAGATGGTGAGACAGTCGTAGATGAAGGAAGAAGGTACAGGATAATTAATAGTGGCTACACAGTAATACGCCGTACTCAGCACACCAGCTGCGAAAGACGCTTTCAACGCACAGAAGTGGACTGCGGACCCCACAAGCAGTGTAGTGTAAAGTGAGCTCAGCCCAAGTCCAGCCAGCCTACCATTGAGGGTGGGTGGTGTCTACGCAGCAAGGGAACATTGGGGCCATTAGGCCGGCCCTTGCCTTCCACTCCCCCCCCAAACCCAGCCTGGTCCACTCCACACTCTCCATCATCAGTCCAGGGGACCTTCCCGGTGTTCCCTTCCAACCCTTCCCATTGCCTGGCTGTGACTGCCTCGTACGTATTAGCGACAACAGCAGTGTATTCCCTGTCTTGTCTGGTCTGGCCTTGCTCGCTGGCTGCGCCGAACTTGTTCCATCTATCCAATCCGCTCGATTCCCTCCATCCATCTCGCAACCCACCACTACCACTACTAAACTCGCCCTCCCACGATGCGAATGCTCCTCATCTTGGCGACACCTTCTACAGCATTATAGACAGCATCGCTATGCGCGCTACTTCTCTCTTTACTTGCATTCATCGTATATGATTTCGCGCGCCGTAATTAGACACAATGGATGATCTTGCAAGGGCCGAATACCCTGCCATGCTGGTAAAGCCCCCCCCATTCTATCCGTCGTCATTGTTTCCCCCCTCAAATCACAATCCAGCCACCAAGCAACAGGCCCAAGGCTGCACCAGGTGCCTCGCATGATTCCTCTATCACTGCAATGTTCTGCGATTCTGAAAGCGCATTGTTTGCGGCTTGTTTGCTTACCATGACTGTCCTTTGTTTAGGCACACCTCCAGCCGACGCAGGCCGTTAATGTCCTGAACGATCGCGTGAAGAGAATAACCAGGATCAACACCGAGATCGCAGACTGGTTGCAGGTAACGCGACACCCAGGAACACCTCACCAGGAGACACTGGAAACTAAACAAGCCTTTACAGGAGCGCCGACGGGTCGAGGAGCAATATGTTCAGGGCCTCAGAAAGCTGCTCACTTTCAAAGTTCCTAACCACCAGTCAGAGCTTGGGTAGGTCGCCTCTTCTCGACTTTCAAGCTCAATTACAGCAAAAATATGTCTAACCGCCTACCAGTGTTTTCTCTGGCCCCTGGGACAAGATTTTACAATCCGTCGATGCGACCGCCCACTCCCACCACCTTTTCTCGAGCCAGCTAGACAAAGATGTCGAGGGTCCCCTGCGCAACTTTCAGTCTCGGAAAGAGATGCAGAACATGCAGACCATCTCCGCCAACCTGACCGCCATGGCTCGAGATCTCGAGGAGGCACAGAAGAAGACGGATGCATTGACTAAGAAGGGCCCGAAGACGAATGCCCAGAAAATGGCCGATGCCACCGCCAAACTCGAACAGGCCACTCAGCAATGGGATTCCCAGGCCCCCTTCATCTTTGAGACCCTTCAAGCACTTGACGAACAGCGAGTGAACCAACTGCGCGACCTCTTGACCCAGTATCAGACCCACGAAAGCGATCAGGCGCAGCGAGCCCAGACCAAGGCTGCCGACACGTTGGCTGCGATGCTGGAGATCAGCACCGAGCAGGAAATTGCGAGCTTCAAGGAGAAGGTCGTTTCTGGAAGACCGAAGATGGAGAAGAGGGTCACAACATCGAGGCAATCTTCGGGTCTCCCGGCAAGCCAGACTTTGGCACCGCCGCCATCTAGCTCGGGACATCACGATGACGACACAAGTGATTATTCGGTACCTGTTGAAAACAAGACTGGTATGACGATGCTATGAGGCTTATGAGTTTGAACCAGATAGCTAACAGCGTACCGCAGAGTCGAAATTGCGTAGTCGAATTGGCACGATGCTCGGTCGGCGCCGACAGAGTATACACGGCGGATTCGGGCCGATATCTCCACAGAAGACCGGCGGCGGCGCTCCCTCGTTCGGCCGTGGTCTTAGTAGCAGCCACAGCAACACTCATGTTCGCTCAGGTCTCTCTCCTAGGGCCTCTTCGAATAACTTGGCCGAGACGAACAACCGACTATCTGCTCTGCAGGAAACTCCCGACTCCCCTAGGCCACCCCAGTCAGCCGGTAATGATAGGCCAACGACCCACGAAGGCACCAATGGCTTCGGAGAAGTGCCAGAATCCGCTCGGTTGGGTTCATCCGCTGGCACAGTCAATGGAACCCACGATACCGATGCCCTGGATGTGCCTCCTCCTGCAGGACCACCTCCATCGCAAGCTAAGGAGCCTGAAGCCAAGGACTCTGAGGGCTTCACGATCCCCCCACCTGCGGATGACCCGATATCCCAGGCCCAGCGCGAGGCTGCGGAGGACAGTGAGCAAATGTTTAAGCTTAACATCCAGAGCTCGCCCATTGCGGAAGAGGACGCCGACGCCAAGGAGGCTGCCCTGTCGAACGTTGCCAACACCTTGACACAAATGGCCGCCCCATCACGCAAAATGGGAACGGTGCGAGGCCGGAGAGACGTGAGGAACACTATATATGTGCCGCCGCCAAACGTCCCCGAGCTGACCAACGATAACCCGTTCCCGACATCTCCCTCACTACCCAGCCAGTCATCCAAGCCAACGACCGTGGCCGCACTTGCGTCGGAGGCAAGTATTGCAGCGACGTCAGATACCCAATCTATTCGGTCAGCGAATTCACTCATGAGTCTTGCTCACTTGAAGCATCCTGAGATGCATGAGCCTGGTCTCAACGCGTCGATCATTGAGACTGTTTCCGCAACATTTGAAGATGGAGAGGTGAAGAATGCCAAGGTTCACGGCGAGATTGCTTTCGCGTACCATGCCACTGGCGATGCTGCTCAGGGTAGGTGTTTTCATAGAAGCCAAGGAAGTTACAGAGCTAACCAGAATCAGACCGCGAGACTATCCGTATCAACAACTTCCCCAACTTGGAAGTCATTGGACCGAACCGTATCTTCGTCCAGAACAGCTCTGACAAACCTGATGAGTTCCATCTGGATGTGTCGCACCTCAACAAGACAGCTACTGCGTTTACATATCGCGTACACACCGGGGAGTCTGGATTGGGAGCTCACGTGCCTTTGTTGCTCCGTCCTGCCTGGAAGCCCCAGGGCGACAAGCTTGGTCTCCTTTTGCAGTACTCGCTCAATCCCGCTTGTAAACTGACGGCACCCGTCACGCTCCAGAATGTCGTGCTTGTCGCTACATATGAAGGTGCTAAGGCATCTGGAGCGCAGACTAAGCCGTCAGGAACCCATCTCAAGGAGAAGCATCTAGTGTACTGGCGCCTCGGAGACTTGACCCTTACAGCTGAGACACAGAAGATTGTCTGCCGCATTATTGGTGCCGAAAACGCCGAGCCCAAGCCGGGACACATCGAGGCTAGATGGGAATACACTCCCGAGTCACTCAGCAGCGGCATCTCCATTTCGAGAGTGGAAGAGACGAAGGGCAAGGGCAAGGAGGAGGAGGCTGACCCCTTCGCGGACGATAATCCAACATCACCTGCCCTGCCAGCCGACCAGCAGTGGGTAGACGTTAAAGTAGTGAAGAAGATCACGAGTGGCAAGTACGAGGCCAAGTGATTGGCAGAAAGTCATAATGAGGATGAAGAGTGTTTGGAGGTGTACATAATCTTGTTGGAAGTGGTAGATTTTGATTGAAGGACATTTACATAGCGAGCGTATGCAGTGTGCTACGGCACACTGGAGAGAGAGAGGAGAAAAGGACATTCCCAAACGAGTTTTTTTTTTGTCTGATAAATTGTTTTCTTCGTATTTAACTTCCTCCACAGAGGCATATTGATCTTGTTCTTGGGCCGTCAAAGGACGATGGGGGGGGGGGGGGGGCGGACCTGGATTGTAGGTAGCTTTTGTACCGATATGATGAAAAGAAGAAGAGGTCTTTTTTTGAAAATCTAGTGGTTTCGACTCGTACAGTGGCTGACGAAAAGAAAAAAGACACATAAGACACACATCAAGCATAGTGAGTGTGAGTGATTAACAACATGATGAAGCAATGAAAGCCATTTGTCATTATGTAACTATTCGTCCAGCGTCTGCACCTTCGTCCCAGTCCAGGGTCCAAGGTAAGGTATCTCGTAAATAAGAAAAAAAATCTACACCGGCCCAGGAAAAACAACAACAACAACCAGAAGCCGTGGTTAGATGCGAGGAGTTCCCCTTCCACTATGCCTCCTTCCTTGATCGGGGGGGAAATATGTAACAACTTTCTCCGTCTATTTATCCAGCAACAATTCATCTATTCAGCAGAGTTCTGATTTCTCGAATGCTCCTCGTAAAATTCTAGTGTGAGAGCGGCCAAGAAGCCAGGGATACACCCCTTCTCGCGCACCCAGAAACCAATCTGGTCACCGATACGACGCGCAAAGGCGCTCCGCGGTCCGCCGCCGACTTTCATTGTGCCCTTTTCGCCGTCAAATACAATGGAGTTCTCGTACTCGTCCGTCTGGGAGGGGTAGAAGGTGGATTCGACACGCATCTTTCCGTTGGGCATGAACATGACGGTCCAGCCAAGGGTGGAGAAGATGGCCTCCTTGAACTCGAGCGACTTCTTGGACCAGACTTCCTTGAGACGCTTGGCGGACTTTTGTGCGGATGCCGTCTCGGCGCGGGCTTCTTCTACCAAACGGTTCGCAGCATCGAGCTGGCTGAAGGGCACCAGGCGGACTGAAGGGTCCGAGCGGAGCTGGGCGAGCAGGTCTGCGTTTTCTTGCTTGAGGGCGTTAAGGGTAGACATCTTGATAGCCTCAAAATCAGAGGTGGGGTTGGAGCGGAGGGAAAGGATGCGAGTCTTGGACTGGGCCTTGAGAGCCTTGAGCTGCTCTTGGACGACAGAGAGCTCCTTTTGGGAAAGAGCGTGCTGGGTCTGGATTGCCGACAGCTGGTCTTGGAGCTTTCGGTTCTTGCGGGTGAGAAGGCCGAGCTGTTCGTGAACTGCTTCGTCATTTTCGTCGCGAGGACGCTTGGTACCGGCGACCGCCGGTGCTGGCTGGGCGGCGCCACCAGACTCAATGGCAGACATTTCCGTTTGTAGAGTCTGCACTTCGGATCTGTACTTGTCGACGAGGTCCTCGAGCTCCTGAATGCGGCGAGCTCTTGTCTCGTCAACAGCCTCTGGTTGGAAGGCCTCGTCCTCTGCATCGAACGTCTTGAGTTGTGCGCGCAGGTATTCGACCTCCTTCACTGCAAGGACCCGTTGGCGCTCGGTACGTAGGCGGGCCTTGTCGACATTCTGAGTCGTAGCAGCGGTCTTTGCCTCTGCGAGTTGTGACTTGAGAGTAGCATGCTCTTGTTGGAGAGAGCTCAAAACGGATTCTTGCGATGCAAGCTCAGCCTGGAGGGCGCCGATCTTCTCGACATGGGACGCAGAGCTTAAGCGTTCTTGGATGAGAGCGCGCGCAACGGCTTCAGGGGAATCGAACTCGGCTTCGGTGCCGGTGCTAGCCAGGTAGGCCGTCCAGGCAAGGCGCTCATCTTCAAGACGCTGACGTTGAAGGCGGGCTTCAGCCAACTCTGTCTCGAGAGACTGGGCGGCTTCGAGCTTACGCTGAAGGGATCGCTTCTCCTCTTCAACGACTTCGACGGCCCGGTGAATCTGGCGCAGGTGTTTCAGCTCAGAGAGCTGTTCGCGGTTGGTGGCCTCGAGGTTGCGAATGTGCGTAACCTGCTCTGATAATTCGCGCTTGATGATAGCCATGGTATCGGCATCGCCCGTTTGGGCTTTGAGTCGGAGCACCTCCGCTTCGAGGTTTCCCACGATATTGTCCTTTTCGACGAGCTGGGACTGAACCTGCTGCAGCGTAGCCTCTCGGGCCTGCGATTCCTGTTCCAATTCTTGTGTAGACTTTTGCGCGGCCTGTAGTTGCATCTCGAGGTCGAGTGTTTTCTTCTCGCTGATGCGAGCGGCTTCATCCTTTGTGCTTGATAAATCCTCCAATTGTTCCTGAAGCAGACGTGCTTCCTCTTCGGCATTTCGTGCTCTCTTCTCAAGGCTCGATTTCTCTTCAGAAGCACTGTCGCGCAGGTCGTTCAATTCCTTCTGCGCATTCTCCAACTGGCGCAGGGCTTGCGACTTTTCGCTCTCGGCTGCCTGTTTCGCAGTGAAATCGGCTTGGGCGCGGCGGCGCTGGTCCTCGAGCTCGGCATTATGTCGGGCATCTGCCATTTGTTTTTCTTGCTCGAATGTGCTGATTGTGTACCGGAGGGTGCCCAACTCAGCCTTGAGCTCTTCAATCACCTGTCGTTGAGACTCATATTCGGCGGCGTCCGGCGGTGCCATGTTTTCTTTCGAGCTCTCGCGTGAGGCGGCGCGAACAGAACTTTGACGGGAGGCAGGGCGACTATTCGCATCGCCTCCAGTGAAGAGGTTATATGTAGGTTGTGTTGCGCGGAACTAAAGTTTTTCTGTCAGTGTTTGCCGGGATGGGGGGGGCTTTGTTTTTGTTTATTTTGGGGGTCGTACTCTGGATTCCCGTAGTGAAGTATGAGGTCTTGGAAGCGCGCTTCCGCCAGTGCTATTTCGAAAACGATTTGTTACTGAGCCTCTCCGTCCCGGAGGGTCACCAGAAGGTGTATGCGACCTCATCGCGGCGATGTCGTAGTTATGGCTTGAGAAGTGTCTTGGAGATAGACCGATGTTTTGGCGGGCGCGGGAAGCTTCGGTTGCCAGAGAAGAGATCACGTGATATCGTGACAAGGTCCCTGTCGCTCAGGCCCAATTGACTTGCCTGCCAACCTTGTCGCTTCCCCGCGGTGTGGCTTTCGCCTTAGCTGAACGAGCTGATCTTGGAGCTTTTGATTGCATCTGTATCAGGAACCCTTGTCTGTTATCTTTTGGTGTTCAGTATCTTTCACCTTTGAGCAATAATTCAAATCACAAGAATTTTCTTCTCTTCTTCGGCTTTGCCTATCAATTGAGAATCTTCTGCTGCTTCCATTTTTTTCCTACTAAGCCCTAGATCTTTGAGATCCAATTGCTATAATGAGTTTAATGGCTAGATCGTTGATGCACAGTGGTATGGTAATCTTTTCAACGCCAATCTAACCGCTTGCAGCCTATGGTACCTTCTTATGTTCTTTATAAAGACACCAAGTAAGTAATCTCTTTCGTTCATTTGTTCTTTATATAGGTATGGCACTAACTTTTAAGACATATCCAGCATGTGCCTGTTTCCGACTTGAGCCTCTGGAGGTGAGTGTAACTGTCTACGTAGTAGATCACAGCCCTTTCAAAAATCTGGCTGAAAGAAGACAATCTCCCACAGCACTGTTTACTGGAGTCTCAAGACCCACAGCTATGTACTTTTGGAAATCAAAAGTCAACTCCTTTTAGCTGGCTTACGATTACCTCATACCTCATCAAAAAATTACTCTGCCAAAGAATGAGACAGAATGACAACAATGACAACCCAGACCCAGTGGCCCTACACTACGGCTAAAGGGGGCAGGGCGGGACGGTGAACAGGGACACCAGCTGCACCATGACGTGATCCCCACATCTCACATGTGTGGAAGCTTGTTCCTGTCTTGGCCTTCTGCACGGATCATTTGGCGCTCCGTGTACCACTTGCTCCTATCGTATGCTTGGCCAAGCTCTTTTGCTGGAAGGAGATTTCAGCGATAGCTTCAACTCCTTCGAAGCCCCTCCACAAACCCCCAACGACGACGCCGAGCTCTTTCCTTAGCCTGGCAAGCCCTGCGCGACAATTCAATTGGAAATACTGTGAAGGAAAAGCTCAGTCTGTTGGGGCAAGAGAACCGGGGCATCAGTCAGCAACTGCAAAGATTATCCGTAATAGCCGAACTCGAACCCGAAGCGAACCTTTTGTCGAAAGCGATTCCACGACCAACTAGCGATACTCCGAATTTATAGAGCAATTTGAAAGGATCACAATTGAATTTGAGGATACAGTAGCCTGAGCAATTGGATTCTGGGGCATAAAGCTGAGCGTGTTGCGACAAACAACGTCCTGACGTAGTCCGGACCAGCGGCTTCGACTGTGGACATTGTTGTGCCCGCTTCTCGTGCTGTGAATCGTCTTCCCACCTTGGATGGACCAGCGCAACAAATACTTGATTGAGTTGCTTTGACCTCATTTTCTTTTGTTCTCTTTCCCCCTTAAAACCACTTTCATTTTGCTCTTGGCAAATACAAAATCATTGCAATGATGATGTCGCGCCTCTTGGTAAGTCGCCCTTGCGCTCATAATACTTAGAATACAGCTGGAATCCATGTGCTGATGTCTAGGGTAGCTTCAGCCCATAAGGGCTGGTCAAAACCAGTCCATTCGCCCCGCTGTCACGTCTGCCTTCGGCGTGGCTCCCGCATGGTCTTCGTCCCGTTGGTACTCCTCAACCGAAGGTGCAAAGAAGGACGAGAGCAAGGGCAACCAGAGCGACCAGCAGGATCCTGCTCTACCTTACACCCACCGGGGTTCGGCCATCAACTTCAACTGGGCCCGTGAAGCCGACAAGGCGCGTAGAAACGGCCCTACCTTGTCTGAAGAGAACTGGGAGGACCATGCCAACGCTAAGATCGAGGAATTCGAGGAGCTCCCTTACAAGGAGTTTGGCATTAACCAGCACATGGAAGTCAACGCCGAGTTCAAGAAGGTTTTGACTGAGGTTGTCCGGGAGTTCCGCGCACCCATCATGTACGCTATGGCCTACGGGTCCGGCGTATTCCCTCAGTCTAAAGTCAGTCGAAGTGTCAGCGACGAAGAGTTCCGCGCCGTTCATCCGAAGCCATCGCCTGCGCTGATGGAGGTTCAGAAGGGCGGGCCCAAAATGATTGATTTCATCTTCGGCGTGACGCACACTCAGCACTGGCACTCGCTCAACATACGCCAACATCGCGACCACTACTCTGGTCTTGCCAGTTTCGGTTCAGGCCTCGTCTCTACTTTCCAAGACCGTTGGGGCGCTGGTGTCTACTTCAACCCCTATGTCACGAAGAAGGGCATGCTTATCAAGTATGGCGTCACCTCCATTGACAACCTCTGCACCGACTTGTCCACTTGGAACAACCTTTATCTCGCTGGACGACTCCAGAAGCCGGTTAAGATCCTGCGCGATCATCCTCGAGTCCGCCTCGCGAACCAAGTCAACCTCATCTCCGCAGTCCGAACTGCCCTTCTGCTACTGCCTCCAAAGTTCACCGAGAAAGAGCTCTACTCGACCATTGCTCGCATCTCGTACCTCGGTGACCCCCGCATGTCTCTCCCTACCGAAAACAAGAGCAAGATCTCCAACATCGTCGACAACAACATGGTCTCTTTCCGCAAACTCTACGGCCCTCTATTGAACACTCTTCCGAATGTCGACTTTGCTGAGGGAGCTGACCAACAGACCAAGCACGCGTCTGACCCTGAGTATGATGCCTCCATGCACCAAGATATGGACCCCGTCAAGCGCGGCAACATGGTCCGCCGTCTGCCCAAGTCCTTCCGTTCACGTCTGTATTTCCAATACCAGAAGAAATTCATGGTTCCGGCTGCCGAATTCAAGGCCATGATTGAAGCGTCGAAAGAAGAAGACGATGTGAGCTTTAAGCGCCGCGAGGGTGGCGGTTTCGAGCGGCGAATCGTACAGGACGACCCTGAGGAGCTCCAGCACTATATCCGTCAGGTCATCAAGCAGACGGTCAACTGGCCTGCCACTGCACAATCAGTCAAGAGCTTCTTCACTGCTGGTGTCCGCCGCTCCATTCGCTATCTGTCTGAAAAGTGGGCCAAGTACAACGAGGGTAAGGCCAAGGACAAGGCCAAGGCCAAGACCGATGAGCAGAAGAAGACGGAGTAGACCGTTGTGCCTGCGGCTATGACAACGGATTAACATTGATCTCGTTAGTTGACGGGGTCGATCCTGAGACCGCTCGGCTAAGGGTCGCAGTGCCTACGACATTCAGCATGCGATGTTTTGACGGCTGATACATAGAAACCTTTTCACCTCGACGCATTTTAGCATCGACCTGTATATTTTACGCAAAAGCAATGAGTGATGCAAGCTCTTTTTGCTAGGGCACATTCAACAGACCACACCGGCAATGACAACGATGGTATCGAATGTCTGCAGGCAGAGCCTAATGGCTTTGCTGTAGGCCTCGTTACGTGCCTGTCTCTTGATTCCGGTGTCTTGGATCTAGCTCATTTTGCCTTTTTCTTTCATTTGTCTATTGTCGCCAAGGAAAACCTGCATCAGCATAGGGAGTCGGTCCCGACTTAGAATTAGGGAAAAGCTCGGTTGTGGTGGTCTTTCTTCTTCATCTTCCTGCGACGCTCCGTCAAGAGAGCGATCTGAAGCCAGCTTTTGGAAGGACTATCAGGATTCGACCATAAAGCCCAGATACTCAGTTCAGCCTGGAGGTTCTCGAGAAGGCTGCGTGCCGAAGTGGTCGTGAAGGGGAGATGATTCTGGCGTTGAAGGCTTGTAACAAAGTATTACCAGGGAAAACCTGAAGGCCATTTTTGGCAGATGTGACTGAGACGCGACGAGGTCGCCAGTTGATACTTGACCTTTACAACTTCCCTGCATGGCCTTTAGGTGTATGAACTTCTTCAGGTCACATTTTTTTGACTTTTGGAGTCTCGTGGCGTCATATCAGCTGGTGCAAGTTGCTAACTAGTTCATGCCATTGTCGTAAAGTTTGTGATTATTACATCGGGTGGTAACCCGGCTAATAGTATACAGATTGTAGTTCATTACATCATTTCCGAAAAGACATCAACAAACTTTTTTACCACTTCTTCTTGGCGTACTCGGCAGCGCCGTCAATGATCTTGTCGGTGAAGCCCTCGCTCTTCTTGTCTTTCTTGTCATTGCTGCTGCTGCTGCTGCCGCCGCCTAGGATTCCGCCGAGGAAACCGCCGCCGCTGCTCTTCTTGTCATCCCGGTCGTAGCTATCGCGTCCTGTAATGGAGCATTGTTAGTGTCGGTTCTTGATGATTTTTTCTGTGTGAGTAAAAAAACTTACGGCCGTGGGAGGGGCGACCTCCGTATGAATCTGAAGGGCCGTAATCGTCACGGCGTCCGCCGCTGCTGTGGTGTTCGCGTCCGCCCCCGTAGTCGTCACGGCGGCCACCTCCGTAGTCATCGCGGCGGCCACCTCCGCCGTAGCCACCGCCAGGAGGGCCATAGTCATCACGTCTGCCGCCACCACCGTAGCCGCCAGGGCCGCCGCTTCCATAGCTGTCGCGGGGAGGGCCGCCGTAGCCGCCGCCGCCGCCACCACCTCCGTAGTTGTCTCGACCTCCGCCATAGCCCCCGGGACCACCGCTTCCGTAGCTGTCCCGGCCGCCGCCGTAACCTCCGGGGCCGCCACTGCCGTAGCTCTCGTGACCTCCGTATCCACCTCCGCGGCGGTCATAGTCACCACCACCGCCGCCGTAACCGCCGGAGGGGCCGTAGTTTTCGTGTCTGCCGGAATGCATTGTGTTGTGGTTTAAGAGGGGTATATGATATAATATGAAAGGTTGTTTGTGTGATTGGACTTTGGTATCTTTCGATGACTTGAATGAATGGCTGGACTCTAGGAGGCTAAGCAAAGCGGTTATATATAGACGGTCATCACAACATTCTCGCCATCAGAAGGCCAAGGACGCGACGATAGTTCTGTCAAGGCCTGTTTCTCTACGACGTCAAATCCCACCATTGCCCCCATCAAAAGACATCACCAAGCATCAAGTCCAGGGGTCCATCATTTGGCTAAAGACGTCAAGCTTCTAGGGACTCGTAACACTTCCAGGCGGTCGAGCTGGGAAGATCTCCAGCCAAGTGCCGTCCAAGTGCCGTGATGCCGACCTTGGATTACCATCGAATCAACAGAGCTTCTGGGTTGGCATATATTACAAGGCCAGTGGGCATAATTGGTGAGCCGCATCGTTTCCATCTGATCTCATAGCCCGACGGTCATTTCCCGAGAAGGGAAAAGGCGCGTGGGTCCATTCAGCGGCAAGGCAAGGATACCAGGACTGGGAAGAGGCGTCAGTTAGGGGCGGGTGGCGATGTGGAGACGCCTGTTGTTACGGGTTGAACACGAACGTCGAAGGGCCAGGTCCAGGTCCAGGTCCAGGTACATAAACTTGGATATGGATATGCTTTGGGTTTTATTTATGGCAAGGACCCTGCCTTTGGGCGGTTGATCTTCGTCAGCCACGTTTTGATTTTCATAACGGGCCTTTGGTGGGAAATATCACGGCTATTTCGTGGTCTCGGAGAGGAGATGAAAGACGGACGAAATCCAAACTGTCCTGGTTCGGCATGTTTCTGGAAGCGTTTCGGTCGGCGTTGGCATGACGCAGAAGGTGGTTGGGGGGAGAAAACACGAGACAGTCAAGTCGTTGCCAAGTTTTTCTGTCGACAAGTCTGCTTATATAATAATAATCAAAATAACGAATTGTGCACGAAACACTGACACAGGGTCGGACAGTGACAAGTGGCCCGTGGCAGTGGCAGCGGTAATGGCAGTGACAGACAGCAAAAGCTAAAAAGGTACCTGAACCAGGTGTTCCTTCTCAGAGTTGGAAGGGACGTTTGGGGGGAGAGGAAAAAAAGAAGCAAAAAAAGAAGGAAGTCAGGGTCTTCCCAGCCACACAAAACGATACAGCTTGGAATGGCAAATGGAACAATTGCAAGTGGAATTTGCTGCATCAATGGGCCAAACATTGCCAATTCCCGAATCCCCCTCTCATCCAACCACTGGTCGCTCTAGGCCGCCTTGTCCGACAGCTCCTCCAAGGTCTGCCCGACCACACGCTGTCGCATGCATATTGCCCCATTTGCCTTTGGCCTTTGGCATCCCGTGCAACCCAACAGAGGCACCCTCCACCTGGAAACAGACTGCAAAAGCCTCCATTTCGCACCGCCCGAGACCGATGAAGGTGCAGTCGTGCGGCGTAGACTCTGGGCGAGCTCTACACCAACCGTTAGTCCTACACAGACCTAGAGAGTACAGGATCTGAGGGAGCAAACTCCAGCACCCGAGACACGACTACGTGGTACACACAAAAGGCACTTTGGCTAATACGAATAGCGAGAGCAATTAGACGTGATCACCCCTCCAAGCTCGGCCCAGACCCAACACACCTCAGTCTCAATGCTTCTCCCTCGCGTGCCCATTCCACCACTGCAAACCCCTCGGGCACATCCTTGCTAAAGATGCTTGGCAGACCGGACTTGTCTTCCCGCACACAGCCAACGGTGTGAGCGTCAAGACCGACTAATTAAGCCTGTCAGTTTGCCAGATGGCTCCCCGCAAAGACCAGGGAGCGCGTGGCCTACTGCTTCCATGCCCTGGACTTGTCACCTGCAATTGGATCGATTTGGGTCATTCACCTGCAGTCCTGTGCCATCACCCGTCCATTATCCTGCCATCCTGCTCATCCATACTGACTACAGCCAAACAGCCCACCTTTTTCCCGCCCGCTTCTTTTCTCTCCAGCCCGCCGCCCTCCCCCCATCCCGTTCGTCTTGCTGCACCTTCTAGAGGACAAGTTCTTCTTCTCTTTAGCTTCTTTCCCCGCTGGAACAGCCGGCTGGTTGGTTGGGAAAAGAACCGAGATCCAGAGAAACCGCAGCAGACAGTCCTCGACTTTGTTTCCCTCCTCCATCTTGCATACTATCGTCGCCCTTCCCCGCCGGACCGGCCGTCTTTTACTTGGCCGTTTTCGGGTGTAACACGACGACGGATGGTAGTTTAAACAACATAAAGAAACCTATAAGGGAAACAAAAGCAACAACAATTCCCCGACCCCGGCTGTTACTCTCTTTTTACCTTCCCTTGCTCACCCCGCCGAGTTGGCGTTGCAATACCACGTCCGATAGCCCCGACCGGCTGATCATCAAGACAAATAAATAAAAAAAACCACCACTCCGACAACCCCAGTGGATGATCTCACGATAGGGCTACCGGATCTCACTGAGCGACCGAGGCGACTCTCCGCCGTGCAAGCATGGCGCGCCCGCGCATTCCCGCCCTCTATGGCATCCTTCAATTCTGCCTCCGGCTGACCCTCGTGGTCTTTGAGGTCTGCGCCCTCGCCGCTCTTATTACGCTTTCACGATACGACTTCCATTATCCTATAGGATATGTTGCAGTGAGTACAAGCATTTTGCAAGACGAATTAAAGCCCCATATCGATTCAGCTGCTGATGACTGCAACCACGTTTAGTCCGCCCTCGGCATCATTTACTCCATGACGGAAATGGTCACTCTCGCCAACTCGACCGGTCAGATTCCCCGCATGCGCACCGGCGCCCTCGTCGTCGCCGACTTCATCCTTTTTGTCCTAGGCCTATTCTCTTTCTTCTACTTCATCATTCTCAACGGCTGGCGCACCGGCAGCCCTAATCGCGAGTACCGAGCCTGGCGCAACGATCCCCTGCGAGTTGAAAAGGCGACCTGGGCGCCGTGGTACATGTGGTTACAGCTCATCGCTGCCGTTCTGCACTTTCTGTACATGTTGATGCATTGCGTTGATGCCTGCAAACAAGCTCCACAGCAGGCTAGGAGACGGCAGATGAGGAGGAGACAAAGAGAGGCAGAGAGGATGGCAGCCAGAGATCCCGAGACAGCACAGGTTACAGCGAGCTAGCGACTTTGGATGGAAAAATAATGAGTATGTTTTGGATTTGGAATTTAGGACTCGGGTGTTTAGGCGTTGGGAAAGGTTGGAGAATTTCCTGGTCGTTTGCATCGGAGATGTCATGACCTGGAGTAAGTAAGGGCTGGTCTAGACCTGGGATGCGAATGCTAAACTTATGGTCGTGAGCGCGTGAGCAAGCTCTTTGTCAAAAGCTGTCACGCTGGGATTTCTGTGCCGCCGAAATGGAGGCGAGCTCCATGCGGTTTACGTTACATTTACTTACCGAAGAATATTTGGTCATCATATAGGAAGCGTTGTATATGGCCTCTCGGTATCTAGTAGCATCTATACTTGCACATATCGCTGGGTCTTCGATATATCTAGAAAGAAAGAAAGAAAAAGACCTTGTTGTTCTCGTTCACCGTTGTTCGCACCTACCGTCCAAAGTCCGATTCATCCCAGCCTTCGGCCAATTCCTTCATCCGGACTTGGAGCACAGAAGAGCAGAGGAAGCTTTTGGGTAACTTTTTTGGTAACCATTGAGTTGAAAGTTATATTGCCAAAAGCTCGGATGAGCTCGAAACGCAGCTGCGCGCGTTGCGTTCTTTTAACGCCCGCGGAAGATTCGACTGAACACGTATTTTGTGTGTTCTTTCAGGGTCCTAATGCAAGGGGGGTGTTACTTGCGTGGCTCGTAACGCCCAGAATTGCTTTGCCCTTGGCTCATTAGTCTACTAGTGACCGCTTCCGGTCTCATTGGGTTATCTTATGCTGAGCTACAGGTAAATCCCACCCATCGACTGGACTTCAACTTCACCAACGACTTTGCAAACTCCCCCCTCCTCCCCTCTACGAGATTGATCGGACGGGGCTTGGGGGGTTCAACCCTCCTTCCCGCTTTGACACTTCCCGCCGGCGCATGTCAGTGTAGCGGCTAGACGTGCCTGACAAGGGTTCACGGACGTTTGGATCGACAGGTCCGATGGAAGGGGTGTTCAAGAGGCTAGCTAGCCCAGCAAGATTCGGGGCGTATCGACAACCCAACCCAACGGAGTCCGATGGGAAAGAAGTGTATCAGGGGGGGGGGGACTCCGCGAGTAGGTGGAAGCGTAATCTTTCGACGGCAGTATACTTCCTGGGCGCGCACGCCGTCGGTTGTCTCGGACGGTTCCTCGGGAGAGAGCAAAAATGTGTCCGTCCACTCACTCGTCAGCGTGTGTGTCTGAGCTCGGGGGACTCAACTCAACTCTCACAAACATTTTGACGAAAAAAAAAAGAAGCCGTCGTCAGGCGTTTTTTTTTTTTTGTTTTCCTTCTCTACACAGCTACTGCTACCAACCAACGACCTTCTCCCCTTGCCAAGATGCCCACTTACTGCTTCTGCTCCCCAACCTTGACCACGGCCCTCCCCTTCCCACCATCAACCCACCTGCCCGCCTCCTCCTCCCCTCCAAGTTCAAGCCATCCCCTAGTGCCCTCAGGCGCGTCCCATTCCACTGTCGCAACGCCCTTTGCCACCTCCCACTTGGCGCTGAACTTGCCCAGCACAGTCGTGAACCCGGCCTGCGCCGCGTCCAACTCCCCGAACACGGGCTTCAACCGCCACTCTTGTCCAGCAGGGCGAGTGACGCGCAGGCCGACGAGGTACTCTGTCAACGTGCTCGTCGGGCCGCTGCTCCAACCGTGCGCGTGGCTCACGTAGCTGGGGTCGTTGGTGTAACCTCTCGAGCTGCGGTACCCGAACGAGCCGTCGACGAGGTATCCCTCGATGACGGTCGACTGCGTGCCGTTGGGGTGCGCGAGGTACCAGCCCCAGCTGTCGCGGATGAGCTTCAGCGCTCTGTCGGCGCGGCCCGCGACGAAGTGTGCCTCCAGCTCGATGCTGGAGATGAAGGGCGAGATGTTGCCCGGTAGTTCCGGCGACGCGGGGCCGATGGGCGTCCAGTTCTCCGTCAGCACCGACGAGATGGATGCCGCTTCGGGGGACGAAGGGTCGACTACGCCAAACGCCACGGCGTAGCTGTTCGCGTCCTGCGGGTAAAGCGTCCTGTTCTTGTATCCATCGAAGAAGGCGCCTTTCTTCTCGTCCCAGAGGTGCGTCTTGATTGCGCCCTTGAGCTCTTCCGCGCGGGCGAGCCACGTCGCCGTGAGGTTTGTGCATTTGGACGAGTTGGACGGCGCAATCTCCGCGAGGAACGCGCCCGTGGTGAGCGTGCGGTAGAGGAGCATGTTCGGGGCGCTGCCGTTCATCGAGTTGATGTAGCGCGCCCAGTCGCCCGTCGCCGTCGCGTTGAGGATGCCCGTGTCGGGGATGATTTTGGCGTAGATGTACTTCATCGCCTTGAGGTACGTCGCCCAGTTGTCCGCCAACCAGGCGAGGTCGCCCGAGAAGAGGACGTAGTTGTACGCGCCTATCATCGTCCACATGTGGTATGTGTCGCTCGTGGCGTCGAGGTACGGCGGGCCGGCTCGGGGGAAGATGCCGGAGGGTTGCTGGAAGTTGAACATTGTCTGGATCGCGTTCTTGGCGCTCTCGAGGTCGCCCGTGCTGACGAAGGCAGAGGGCACGGCGACGCCCATGTCGCCGGGCCAGATCCAGCGGTCACGCTTCGCGCCGTCGAGGAGCAGAGAGGAGCCGACGCCGAGCCAGGCATCGTTGAACCAGGACCCGTTCCACACGGCTTCCGTGAGGACACGGCCGGTCTCCGGGGGAGCGGCGTTGGTCTGGAGGGTGTAGGCGCCGCTGTACCAGATCTTGTTGAGTTGGTCAGAGGAGGAGTGGAAGTAGCCCTGGTACGCGCGGAGGTTGGACCACGTCGGCTGGAAGACGATTTCGAGGGATACGTCGTCTATGGAGAGTGACACGGGAGAGGAAGAGTTCGTGAGGAGATAGAGTGTGAGGTAGCGGAAGCCTCCACGGAGCTGGGCAAAGGGAACGGTGTAGGAGCCTTCGCCCTGGGCCGTGATGTTGTGGAAGAGGGCCCCGTCGGTGCTGATGAGTGCCTGACCCGGACCGCGGTAGTTTCCGTTGGAGTTATCGGAGTACTCGCCGATCCAATTCTTCGCTTCCGTCCAGGCGAGGCCGAGGACAGCGGGCTCGCCGTCTGCTCCGGTAAGGGTGTAGTTGACGGTCGTAATGCCGCCTACCAGCACGCCGAAATCAAAGACGAGGGCCGAGCCATTGCCCTTGAGGGTCGATGTGCCGGGGAACTCGCTGACGACATTTCCAGTCGAGAGGGATAGCACAGATTTCGGTCTCGCAGTGCGTGAGTCTGGGGCGTAGATGTTTGCGTCCCATGGGCCTGGGAACGAGGCCTCTGTCGGGTGCGTACATGTTGCGTTTCGCCAGCAGGATGACGCCAGTGAGCTGGCGATCAGCCCGAGACCTGGGAGAAGGTGCTTGACCAGGACCATGTTGGGCCAGTGTCGTCTATCTGGAGCTTTGGGGTGAAGGGCACCGCGCGGGTTTGGGATTTAGACGACCGTCCGGAGCCTTTTAGAGCAAAAAAAAAACATCGCGACATGCTATACCGAACAAGGTCTCCAGGTCCAAGGTCCTGGGATTCGATTGATGGACGTGAATAATTAGCCTAGGCAGCAAATCCTAGCTCAAAATCCCCGCAATATCCCCTCAAACCGGGTGTAATTGATAGTTCTGCCCCGAGGTCATAGTGCACGAGACGAAGCGGTAATCCCCCGGTAGATGGGGCTCCTCTCGGTGACTTCGGGACAAAGTTAAGTGGTGAGTTTCCTGCAGTTCACCACCCCGGATTACCTGCTCGAGAGGAGAGGTCAAAGGACCAATCTGCGTACTTTGATACGAGTCAAGCCACGTCGGGAACACAAATAAGACTGTCGTTAAGCGCCATTTCTGTCAGATTGGGCGCGAGGTCAAAGTCAATTGCAAGGGAAAGCCTTGGATTTGAAGAGAAGCGTCGTCATGGCGGAGAAAGTCAAGAGAAGGAGAGAAATGAGGAGCAAGGGGGGGAAGGTAGTGTGCGGGGTAGCCATATTGGCTGGACTTTCCATCTGGAGGTGCAAGACCGGGGATGTGGGGAAACCTGGAGAAAGTGGAAACAGCGTTTCTTGGGGGGTGCCTCATTGTGGTTCGTCTGAACAATTCATCTTACTTTTACTATTGGAAACATAATCTTATCGTACATATTAACGCTTAGCATCAGATTTCTCCTGTTGAGATGGAAATGCCGAAAACATATCCACGAGCTTATCCAACGGTGCTGCCATCAATCCCGCAACCGTCTCAAATGGCGGCTTGTTTGGTGCAGCAGGATGGCTCTTGGTCGGTGTGAACATTTTGGTTCGCTCAAAGCTGGTGGCCAAGGCCTCTGACTTGTCATTGTCAATGGCCTTCTCAAGCTTGACTAGGTCTTCCTCCTCTTCTTCCTTGATGTGTTCCTTGAGATCCTTCATGAGCGATTCGATAGTGGGAAGGAAGTCGGGGTCGCTAGACTTTAGTTTTTGGAACTTGTAGAGCTTCTCTTTGACCTGTTTTCATACGTCATTAGACTAACCATTTCTCGAGTCAAGTGTGAAGGGGGAACTCACGGTTTGATGCTCTGAGCGGTCCTTATCAGCCAGGGCCTTACCCCCTGACACCTCTTTCTCTAGGGCAGGGTAGATGACAAGCTCCTCGCTGATGGAGTGCCGTGCCAGCTCCCAGACGAAAAGGTTCTGGAAACGAGTCTGCGCGTCGAGGTCCGTTGAGTCGATGATGCGCTGGTAGTACGCCTCCAGCTCACGGTGGTCTTCCTTAATGGCGTCTGATACGCGACCCATGATGAATGGCGTCGCGTGGAATTGGCGGCGGACCCATGGCGAGGCGGTTACAGGTCTGACTGAGGAAACTCTGACAGTTCTACTCAGAGTAGGAACGGCGGAGGTTAGGCGGAACATCTTGATCACTTATATGCTGTGTACTTTGCAATGGACAATATCTTGACGGGTTTGCGTGGACTATCTAGCACGGCAAACTTGGCTTCTACTTATGCTCTGAAGAACTACGGGACTGATCATACGAGGACAGTGAAATAATCCCTTGGGTCATTGAACCGTAATGGTGACCACTTTTGGTTAAATGGGCGCTGCCAAAACGCATCATGCATTCATCGCCCTGTCTGAGTGTGTTTGAGTTCCGGATCATGAGCGGCGACTGGTCTTGCCATTCCAGTGAAATAGTAAGGAATCGCGGTACCCAATCATCTTGAATCTTTTCAAAGCATTCGAAAATCATTTGTCGGTGCTTTCAGGTCCCATTAGAGCGGGCCATCTGCTCCGGCTGGGGCCGCGACAGGGTTGGCGATGTGTTTCGTCATCATGAACGAAATCCACAAAGTATCGGGGGCCTAGAACTGCCCCAACAGCATCATGAGAGAGTGACAGAGGGGAAAAGAAGCCACTTTCGCCTAAGAGAAGCGAACCGCTGTTTTAGCGCCTGTGATTAAATTATTAAATTGAGTGACTTCACATGTTCAAGGGTACAATTTACCACCCGCCAAAAGGCCTCGCCCTCACTTTTTTGCCTGTTCATGGAAGTCTTACACCGCATACCGAGCCGATCTTACACACTTCCTAAATAATTTCACCTCAAGTGGTTTCACCTCGAGTGTTAGTATTACCAAGGATTACAATCGATTTGTCTCACAAAACACAAGTTAACCAATGGTAAATAACTGCTCATTTGGAGCTTCTTTGAAAACGAGAATATAGAGAAAGGTAGTATTTACACATCGAGATTCACAAACTCTGCGAGCCTACTGCTTCGCAATAGTGATCTCGGCCTTTCCACTCGAAAGATCGATCTGGAATCCACCTCTGGCCTTGGTAGCCCCGGCAATCGAGAATGAAGCACTCTTCGCCGCCGGCTCGGTAAGCCAAACAATGGCGGACGATGCCTTCAACGCAGCCTCCGTGGCGGCAGCGCTCACACTCAGCTTCACGGTCTTGGCCTGGCGGTCGTAGGTGATGGTGTCGATGGCTCCGGCGCTCAAAGAGATCTTGAGACCCAAGTCGGCGACGAACACCCGGCGGCGGACCGCATCTCTCGGCTCAGCGACGACAGCCTTGTCGCTAGATTCGATGACGTTACCGCCAAAGACAACCTCGCCGTACTTCTCGGTGTTGACAATGTACACGGTCTGGCCGAGGCCGAGACCCAGGAATCCGAGGCCGTAGTCGCCGGTGTAGTTATCCCACTTGAGGTTCCAGGTGTAAGAGTGGAATGCCGCGGAGGGGAAGCCCTCCTTGTCGATGTTGCTCAGGGGGGCAAAGTTTCCGGCATAGGCGACGCGGATGGCGTTGAAGTCGGTCGGGTTCTTCTCGTAGTAGTGCAGCAGAGGAAGGGAGTTCAGGCCAGATCCGTAGTGGTGGATCTGGCGCTCATTGCCCTGAAGCTTGCCGCCGTAGTTGAAGTCCCAGTATCGTCGGGCGTTGCCGTTGTATCCCCAATGGGCCACAGTGGGCATGTAGGCCACGATGCTGTGGATGGCCTTGGTCGCGGTCTTTGCCAGGCCGAAGTAGCTGTTGACGTTAGTGAGATCACCCCAAATATCAACTCGATTCGACTTACTCGGTCCAGTAGTAGACGCCTTCCTGTCCGGTGCTGTCCCAAGCCATTTCACTTCCAAACGGCACAGCCTGGCTGTCCCAGTGTTCCGCACGATACTTCATGGAGGCCTCGAGAGCAGTGAACTCCTGCGTCATGTTCTCGCGCTTGAGATCCTCGAGCAATTCGCCGAAAACAGTCTCGCCCATGAGGCCGGTCAAACCGTAATCACAGCCTTCCGTCTTGTTGCTCAGGCAGTGCTGGACGGTGTTGAACGCCTGGTTGATGTACCAGGTCCAGTCAGAGCGGGTCTTGACTTCGGGATGGGCCCTTGCCACCCGATACATGGTCCAGTATGCGATAACGGGGTGAACGTAGTTGTACGCACGGGTGGTCGTGTACGCTCTCTCCTTGTTCCAAGTCATCCAGCTGCTGTAATCCGGGCCGGAAGCATACTGGAAATCGATCTTGCCAGGCTCATAGTAGAACGTACTAGCTCTGACAGCGAAAGAGTCTGGTGGCTGAATAGTCCCAACGACGGTGTCGTGAACGAACGCGTCCAGGACCTCGATCTCTCGGCTGACGGGCTGGATATAGAGCTTGGTGGCAGCGGCAATGTACGCACCAGTACCTCCTTCGTCACTCAGTCCCGCAATCCAGGAACGGAACTCTTGAGAAACGATGGCGTTGGCCTCGCGGTCGTACGTCATGATGGAGGGGGCTCGGCCAAAGGGATCCTTCTCATCAGTAAAGTGGGCGGCGGTGGTGAGGAAGTGGCCCATATCCGCAACAGTTTGCGTGGCCGGCTTGATGATGTAGTAGTGGACCACCTGCGTCTTGCCGTCTTCGTAGGTGATGGTGACCTTGTTTCTGCCCCAGCTACCGTTCTCGGGGGTGAGCAGGTAGGGAGAGCCCTTGGCTGCCTCATCTTGCTTGATTGTGAAAGCACCGGCGCTGTCGATGGACTTCACTGGGGATGAGTGCGTGAGATACAGACGGGCAGTTAGATCGGAAGGAATAACATATCCCGGAAGACCAATAGCGAGAGGAATGCCCGCCTTCTCAACAGCATCTTCAATGGTCTGGATACTTTCCGCGATTGAAAACCTGAGGCCGACAGAATACGCCTCACCGGCCTTCAAAGTCTTCGACGTGGGCTTGTTCCAGGAATCAGCACCTTCCCAATCCACGTCCGCCCAGCCTTGAGAGTGAATCGTCCACTCATAGGTGGCCTCGTAGGTCTGCGAACCGTACCCAAAGTCTCCCTCCGGCTCATCAACGTATCTCCATGCTTCAAGGGGACTTTTGCCAAGGGGTGTAACGACTAGAGCGTTTCCGGTTCCCACAACTGGCGATACACGAACATATCCGGCGTCGAGTCCGATGTATGGGTCCGCAAGAGAGCAATGCTGCTGAAGGTTCTCAGGATCGCGGGTGGAGAAGATGTTGTTAATGGCGACAGGCAGGCCGAGCGATCCGAGCTCAACATCGTCCTTACCAGTGTTGGTTAGGTTTACGCGGAGAGCGAGGCCTTCGCCATCCTTGAGCCATTCCCTGGTGACTTTGAGAGGAATGCCGGAAGGGAGCGTAGGGGCAAGATCAGCGGCGGCGAGGACGCCAGGAGCAAGATCTTTCAGCGCTGTGACGGCCTTTCTATCTTTGGCGGACGCAACCAAGGTCCAGTTGCCGCGGCCTGCGACTTTGTAATGGAAATTGACATCTCCAAGATGGTTGGCGTAGGCGGTATGCGTCAGGTTTGCGAGGAAGTCCGAAGGAAGAAAGTCGAAGCCGGATCCAACCTTCATCGAAGCGAGCGTCTGGGAGTCGCGAACGATCTGGCCAGTGACCTGACCAGCTTCGTAGTCGATGAAGCCATTGGCGAGGCCAAGGACGTCTGGAGTTTGGCCGTTGACGAAAGCCGCGAGAGCCAGCGCCACGGACGGCGCATAGCTGAAAGACCGAAACATAGTGCAGGAAGTTTCGTAAACCCCGTGTTTACGAAACGAATGTACTGTCTATATTCCGTGCGTAGATCGAACACGCTTTGGAAAGGCGCCGGCCTGGCTTTAAGTCCCCATCAAAGGGAAAATGCGGATGAAGCCTTGCCAAGCCATCTTGCCCCTTCAATTGGGCCGGCAAAAGCCTATTTTATGACATCAAGGAGACATGCCCCTATCGTACCATCAGTTGCGGAGAGCCAAACGTAATGAAAGAAGTTCGGCATTAGTTTATACGAAGGGGAAACACGAGAGCGCAGGGAAGCACCTGATTCCATTCGGTTATTACAGAGTAGTAAGTGATCGACGGGTGAGTTCCCCCCCTGATATTATAGTGGTCCTCGCTAGAACTTCATCTAAGGTACTTACATGCAACTGAGCGGAGCCAACAATGATCACGGGGGAGTGCTTGGGTACTTCCCTGTTCTTTTCAACCGGACTCGGCAACTCCATGGTGAATTCGACCCGAAAACCAAACCGAAAATCAACTCTAGACTCTAGACTTTGTTTTTGCTGGGACGAACATCTGTTCTCATCTTGCCCCACTAAGGAGAAGGGGTCAGCGCACGTAACATTAACTTGAGGGTTTAGAGTTAATAGCGTTACTATTAGACGGTTGATTTCGGGGCACATGTCTCTTTCTAGATGAGACGCGAACTCAATCATGAAGAGTTAATAAAAAAGAAAGTAATATATACTTATTTCGAAGGTGCTCCATCTCCAATTTCTTCAGTTTGGATGAATGGCCATCAAAACCGAAATGCAAAAAAAAAAAACCAGCGCTAAGCACTCGCTCAAACCTTATTTTTCAAACTCTATTCTTGTTCATTCACCATTGAAAAGGACATCCATTCATTATCCTCCCACTCCATCGAGTTGACTACGTCGATTAATTGTTGCGCAGTCAAATCTTCCGCTTGACTGCTGGTGCTACCATCCTTGGTAAACTCGGGGTATACTGCAACCGTTTCCGTTTGGATCGGGTTCGGAACGGCCACCGTGGAGCCCGTTGGTTGCCAGCCAGTTTCCGGGGCCGAACTGGTTGAATCGCTAGATCTGCGCGGCTGGGTCATGATGAAGTCCCCGAGCATCTCTTCCAACTTTTGCATCTCGCTTTTCCGAAACTCGGCTATTAGATTGCCACTGACTACCATTTCCTCGAGTATGGCGTTTGACTTTTGAAGCCATGGAATCTGGCTCTCTATCAAGCGAGAATCAACAGCACGGGCGACAAGGAGGGCAACCGTGGATACGAAGAGAGAGTCGAGGTCGAGCGGAAGGAATGTTTCTTTGAAGTTGATCAGTTTACGCCACTTACTAATTCCTGAGTCCGTTAAACTTACCTAGTAGTCCCTGGCCTCGGAGTCTATCGAGGATGTTGAGAATCTGTATGGAAGATTCCGCACACATTTGAAGAGGGTTCCGGACTTTCGGGGATGCCATCAGCGAGTCGGCTTCAAGGGGTGATTCGAATCTTTTAATGAGACAACATAGCAGCAACGGTCTTGTTGCAAGAACAATGCACTTGATGTAGATGTCAGCTTGCAAAAGTACAAGTTGGAATTGACGAGAGTCTTACCTGGTAATAAGAAAGGTGCAAGTGAGCAGAGAGCCTGGAGATACCGTCAAAACGCTCGTCCGCATGTAGCGGGAACGATGTTCGTAGCTCATCAGCAACCGCTACAACGCTTTGAAGCACCGCTTTTGTGCCCAGCACAAATCTCTTGCTGAGCCTTCCTGTTGTGCCGTAAACAGCTGTAGAGAAGTTTAGTTAGTCATTCTCTAGTCGATAGAAAGGAGTAACTAACTGCTACTGATCTCGGCAATAATACGAGCAAACTTGATCTGCATGCTCAGTGCCGTCGTGCGTTGTACGGAGCCCGAATATGACGGAAGCTGGCAGTAAACACCTTCGTCTAGAGTCGACTGAGGGAGCCCCATCAGCGAACTCATTTGTCGGTCTAAAACATAAACCGTCCACCAGATCTTGCGGCACCTCTGAACAAGTTCTGGACCCAGATCCATTACCGGCATGTCTGTGTGCATTCCATGATTCATCGCCATACTTTTAGCTTGGCCAATCTATCCGGAGGTTAGCAAGATGTAAAAGGGCCGCTATTGAAAGGCTGCTAAAGTAAGCTTACGAAGTTGTGAGCGGCATGACGGAAGTCCAAGGCTTGGTAATACCAAGCAATAGCACATAGAATCTCGGATGATAAAATCGGTTCCTTGCACAGAGCGGTGACATCCGGCAAGAGCTGGAGAGCCCTGGCAAAGAATTCTGCGCCTGAAGGTCTCTTCCCTTGGTTCTTTCGCTGGATGAGACTCTTGCCAAAGGCAAGGATAACGAGGAAGTGGATATACCAAAGGCTGGTATCTTCTGCTCTGTCAGCGGAAGATTTGGCATAGAAATTGTGCATATTGGTCATGAATTCGTCCACCTCAAAAAGATGGAACAATTGACCGCAGTGAAACTTGACCGCATTGATAAGGAAGATGGCATAGTCAATACTGGGTATCAACCTGTTATCCAATGTCTGGGAGACCCGAGAGCCATCCCATCCAAGTTCATAGGCGCAACCGTCGAAAAGAAGGCTATTTGTAGGGAGTGGTGCTTGGCAGACGTGTTCATGGGTAACACTGAGCACTTGACGAGAAAATGACCAGTTTGATGAAGCACCGAGGAAGTCTAAAGCCATCCGAATGTCAGCCTCGCAACCCTTCTGTACCAAGCCCATGTACGGAAGGGTAAAAGCCTACAAGCCATTCCATTTGACGCCGATAGGCAATAGCGTGATGGTGTTGCTGTAAGTGGATTTGTGAGGTCAGGATCATCTCCATCCTGTTGGCCCCTGAACGGAGAGCCCCGCCGAACTGCGCCAGGGCCGTGGTAACTTTGCCTACGCTGCTCATCGAATTGTGAAGCATCCGCGTATTCATCTGTAAGAAGTCAGCACGTTCGTGGATTCTTATTAAGGAGAGTCAAGCAAGCGCGCCTTCTTGTTGGGCTCCTGTGCGTCCAGCACTAGCGTCACTACTTCTTAGACTCTGCTCGGCAAATGCCCTCGCTTGAAGCCTTTCCAAACGTGCAATCTTTTGCTGAAGCTCAGACAGATATCTGTACGCATGAAAGTCAGTATTACTATCAGCAATGAGAGCCTAGACTTGAGGTGCTCACCCTTGCGTTACCATAACCTTATTATCGCGCTCGTCAAATATGCATGTCAGCCGCCGCTGCGTGCAGTTGTTGCACGGATGCAATCCAGAGCATTTGATCTTTTGCCTCCGACATCGCGAGCATCTATTGAGGCAAACAGCAACTGTCAGTACGCATTACCGAGACGACTGTTCAATATCGGTCACTCACGCGTATGATGATCGCTTTGTGATCCGTCGCTGAGTGTTTGAAGACTCCATTGTGCACTATTCCGCGTTAGAAGGCATCAATGGTCTTGGTATCTCCATAGTAGGTAGGTATCCCAAATGGACAACGGCCCAGATACCCCAGATATCCGTCGTTTCGCAGTAGTGCGGGGTTGGCGGCGCCTCCCCATCGGTCTTCCGCCCGACACCTCTGACAAGCTTTAGATAAGAGATAGGTACCGATAGGAGCGCTTATCTGGGGCGATCCCAGGACTCCCTATCTCCAGATTCCTCTTCCAGTATTTTGTCGTGTCATTGCAATGCCGGGTGGTTGGTGGGATGCGGGGTGCACATTGCTCCGTCCGTTCCGCTATTTGATATCTTGGCCTATGGCCCGTTGCCAGCCGGGAATTCCTTGCCGATGGCTTGCTGATAGTTTAGAGGATATGCAATCTAGCCCCCAATTGGACTTGATTGCAAGAATACTTTTGTTGGTCATCGTGGGGGAACCAATGAAAGATTGTGCAGAAGCAGGGGATGCCTGGATAAGCACCGATTGGACAACAGCGAGCTCGTGACCGCCTTCAGACCTCCTTCCGCTTCTGAACGGAGAGAAGACTTCCTCTTGACGTCTATCTATTTAGATTGTCTGTCGTTGGAGGTGGTGTGTTATTTGCGTTGGTTATCAGTGTTTCTGTGGCCGACCTTGAGGGAATTAATGCGGGTTTCCATGCAACATCAAAAGTTTCCTTTTATTTGCGAAGGCATTTGGCATGAATAATCTGTTTCTAAGTAGCATTACGAAAGAAAAGGCTTCAAAAGTAGGAAGTCTGAATGCGTCACCTCTTTACCGCTGAAATTATGTGTGACGTCGAGTTTACACTGCATTCTGAGTAACGACGGACCAACAAGCTACTTTTCGTCCAGCATGTAGCAAGCAACTCCTGAAACCTAAGCCCTAGGGAAACAAAAGACAACACTTTCGAGGAGTAACTAGATTGTATACAAGATTTGGCATCGGGCAGTAGTTTAGGACTAGAAAAGCTTACCTTTCGACAATCTAATCAGCATGTACTGTTCTGTCAAAGAATAACGCAGCTCTGTCAGCATGGAAACCTGTTCTTGGCGTTGTTGATGACTTCTAGTCATGTTTTGATCGAAATTCTTTCTTGTATAACTGTCCTCACCTCATAAAATAGTGGCAAACTATGGGAAAAGTCGTTCTTGTTGTCAGAGTTCAACTATTGTGACGTTTGGATCTCTGACGGGGCCATTGGTGGAGAGATTTTGACTCCTCTTCCAATTGTCGGGCTTCATGTATCGGCAACGGCTATAGCCGCTTAATGTCTCACATACTTTTTGTCTCACATACTTTTGGGAATACCTATTCAGGCAAATAGCCAGTCTAATTTAGCTCCAGCTGTTGTGGGCAGAAAGAATGAACTGAGCTTGGTGTTATCCCCCCCCCCCCCAATGGTCGCCTTGACCACACCCTCAGCTTGGTTGATGGAAGTCAGAATGACAACAACCCCACTTGATATCTGCGTCCCACTAAGGCACAAATGTTACCTGTAATAACGCAGTCTCAGACAGCAATTGACCCATAGAGGCAAACAGGAGGGTTAAAGAATTCTTCAACATTCTTTGACAATACACAGCGTCTAAGTAAGGTAGGATATGATGACTACAGTATGCTGCAGTCGTCTCTTGACAGTCTGTTGTAGGTACGAAGGAGGGCATACGAAGTGATTCTTCTTAGTAAACAATTGGTGGAATCAAAAAAAGGCCAAGAAAATCAGTCACGGATGATGGAGAAAATTGAGGTAGTTCTGACTTGGGAAAAGGGTGGTATGAGGCCGGAACATCCGATCAACAAGTCGCGGGACGCCGGCAGAGAGTCCGAAGTAACGTATGATATTGCAAATGATCTACATGTTTCCTAACCAGCATCTAGCCACACCAACTCCAAGGCAACTAGGGTTGCACATCCAGTGTGGGGATCAGGAATTGGCGATTCCTTGGCAACTCATGGCGATTGGGGCGCGTAGCTCCATTCAACCAGTCTGAGGTTGAAGTAAGCTCCCCCGCTTTCCACACATGGCAGGCAAATTCTCCGTAGCGACGCGAACCTACCCGGCGTGACGTAATTAGGAGCTGATACAGGATTGTGATAACACTCGGTTGATCAGACGGTCTTCCGTTGCGTTGCGAAAAAAGCATCAAAGAGACAAACAATATCGGGTGGAATACCGCCTAATCGGCAGCAAGGCCTATGCAAGTCGGGAGCAGGTATCGTGTGTAAACGAGACGCAAAATGTTAGCCGTTGAGGAACGAAGAGTAGTATTCTACTTATTCGATGGCAAGGTTTCCAGAGCTGTCAATATTCAAGAATTATATTTAGTGGCATCGCCAACACGAGGGACAGCGGCTTTCTTTCTAACGATGTTAAGCTCGCTGATTTGAATCTCTTGATTTCATTAGTATATCGCTACTATGAAGTTGAATCTTTGTGCTACATTCCACGTCCTCGCTGTGGTGCCAGTCTTTGGCGCTGTCCTACCGAGACAGGCACCTGGCGAGGCGGAGGGGGTGACAACCATCACCAGTCCCGGTGGCTCTCAAATCCGTTTCAAGGAGCCCGGGAAAGAAGGCATCTGTGAAACTACACCTGGGGTCAACTCGTACAGTGGATATATTGATATTGCTCCCGACGTCCACGTCTTTTTCTGGTTCTTTGAGTCACGAAGAGATCCAGCGAATGATCCTGTACGCATCTATGAACTTTCTTTGGAAAATGTGAAACTAATTGTATTCGTTTAGGTTACTCTTTGGCTCAATGGTGGGCCTGGTTCTGACTCTCTCATCGGCTTGTTCGAGGAGATTGGGCCTTGCGAAGTTGTCGAAAATATGACAACTGTTCTACGAGATTATTCGTGGACGGAAATCTCCAATGTTCTTTTCCTCTCTCAGCCAGTTGGAACAGGTATTTCTTCTGATACTTCAGTGAGATGTCTCTGTGGCTGACAGCAAAAGGCTTCTCCTACAGCGAGAAGGAGGTAGGGTTTCTAGAGCCAACCTATCTCAGCGTGGAAAAGAAACCGGCAAACCCCCAGCAGCGGGAGGGCCGCTGGGCAGTCATCGACCCCACAAAAGAGGATACAAGCCGCCTGGCAGCCATAACCTGCTGGGAGGTTCTGCAAGGTTTCTACGATGCTTTGCCGCAGTTGAGCCCGTCAAACATTTCCTCCGTTGACTTTCATCTTTGGGCTGGTGAGCTCTCTCGTGACACCCAGTATTAATTTGTCCGACTGACGAATTCTCAGAATCATTTGGCGGACATTGGGGCCCTGCTTTCTACAATCTATTCAACGAGAAGAACTCGGAACTTGAGGAAAACCCGGCCAAAGGGCGTAAACTCAACTTGAAAAGCCTTGGTATTGTGAACGGTATCGTGGATGAACACGTCCAAACGCGTTACTTGCTTGACTTTACTCGAGCAGAGAACAACGGCTATGGCATTGACCTCATCAACGACACCATCTACGAGTATGGAAAGTGGAACCGAGACCGCCCGGGTGGCTGCCAGGAGAAGCTCGACTACTGTGACTGGCTTGAGCGAGATTCCATAGTCCGCCGATCCGCTTGCTCAGCAGCTCAATTCATCTGTCAGTCTGACGTTGAGGGAATGTTCTACACCTTTAACCTCGAGGGCCGCGGTACTTACGACATTGTGAGTTTAAATGAGTTAAAATTCCTGGCAAGTTAAATACTGATGTCGACCAGCGTTTCCGTTCAGGAGAGGATGTTCCCCCCAACTACTGGCGAGTAAGTAACGCATCATGGGGAAACTAATGCTTAAAGATCACTGACCGTTGAAAAGCCATATCTTAATACCGGTCCAGTCCAGAATGCACTTGGTGTTGACCTCAACTACACCTCAAACAATCTCCTCTACACAGCCTACACTTTATCTGGAGACTTCGCAGTGGGGTACCTTCCAGATGTTGAGAAGTTGCTAGAACTTGATGTACAAGTTGCCCTTGTCTTTGGAGATGCAGATTACATTTGCAACTGGATAGGTGGCGAGGCCCTTTCTCTTGCGGCTGAGTGGTCTGGGGCTGAAAACTTCCGTGATGCCGGCTATACTCCTCTAATGGTTGATGGGGTTGCATATGGCGAGACTAGACAGTACGGCAAGCTGAGTTTCACTCGTGTCTGGAATGCGGGGCATGAAATTCCTTGTAAGAACCACGTTTTGCGTTTTGTTTTCGAATTCTGAAGCGTATTTCTGACAACTGCAGATTTCCAACCTGCGGCTTCCTTCCAAATTTTCAACCGAACTACCAACCGCTTCGATATTGCGACTGGAGAAGTTGAAATCACTTCTGACAGCACTTTCAAGACCAACGGCACTGCTAAAACGACGAAGACAACCACTCTACCTCCCTTGCCAGCCAAAACTGAAGCTTAAACGGCTGGGATATTAATAACCGCGTTTCGTGGTGACTAGCTTGAAATGGAAAGCGTCTTCATATTGATTCATTCACTCCCGGTGCCAAGCAGACATAGTTAACTCTTTTCAAACGATGCCCTTTAGCTAGTCTTGCTTGACTTGAAATCTGAATTTGATGAAAAAAACAATGTGCCTCTGCTTGTCTTCGGAAATAAACGTTCAACACTTGTTTTATTCTGCTCCAAGTCACAAAAGACGAGAACAAGTTGAGAAAATATTTAACCATGACGTGGTCATGGTTAGAGCTAGGCTTTTGATTGTGACAGGCAAGTTAACTTCAACGGGAAATTGCTGCATATCATCTTGATTTAAAGTCCTTACCACTTTTTATAACAATAATATCATGCTGAAACAATTAAAGCCCTCGTATTGAGTAACTTGTAGTAACATTTCAAGGACAGGTATGTTATGTCTATGTCTCCACGACAGGGAACTGGGCTATATGAAGCTTTGCAGTCCCATACGGTACCAACTTGGCTTTGAATGGCTCACCCTGAAAATTTCTCTCCACTTCATGAGGGTCTGCTGCTGTTCCGTTCTGGGTAGGCCAGTTGACCCAAGCGGCTGTCACCTCAAGGTGCACAGGAGAAGCTCCCGAACTCCAGATCGGGTCAGGAAGGCCTCCGACTTCCCTCTCAGTTCCTTCAGTATCAGACCAAGGATGCTTCTGCTCTTTGATGATAGCATTAATTCCTTTTGTTGGGTCGACAGCAATGTTCCAGTTTGATTCAGGGAGATAGTCGTGGTCGCATGCTTGCCTCATCCAGGCCTGATCTTCACAAGTGCCCACAGCCGCAACCTCAGCGCAGTCGGAAGACTGGTCTTTATAGTTACGCGGTAGTCTAGACTTAGTCTTGAAGTCGATTTCAAATGCATAAAGCAGAGGCCCGCAGTGTATGCTGACGGAGTTGTTCTCGTGCTTCTTAATCTGAACTTCGGCGCCAATGGTGACAAACACCTCAAATTTGCCCTTTTCGGGTATGTTTACGCCATGAAGATTCTCAGCTAGATTTTCTGTGTTTGTTACAAATCGTTGTATTTTGGGAGGAGACTTTGATGATGATTCTTTGAACTCAATCGTTGAAAATGTGGACGCCCAAGCTGGGACACGGATCAGAAACTCAAAAGGTTTGTCGGTTGTGATGGTATAGTGTAGTGCGCAAGGAACGAAGGGGTAGTTCGACTCGCAATTGATGCTAATCCCATCAAATTCCAGTCTGGATGGGATCAAGAATGCATGGACAATTGAAGGCGATCCTTCAGTGGTTCTCTTGCACAGAAATGCGTTCATCAGAAACTTTGGATAGGCGGTTGGGTGGTTGACTGTACAACATGGCTAATTTTGTGGATAAGCAATTGAACAAAGATGGTGAGAAGTGAAAAACTTACGAATTCAGGCTCAAGGCCGAAAACATTAGCGTAGCGACAAACGTCATAAAACGGCGTCTTCTCGCCTTCAGGCACTTCAAGCTCCCGAGCCCATGGCTGATTGACTTGTGTGATATACTGATGGCTCCACCAATCCGCACTAATACCGGCTGGAATAGCATTAAACGCTGCAGAGTCAACCATGTCCGCGAAGTGGTTGTCCCCGAAGAGCTGGAAAAGATAAGAGAGAGAAAACATAAGTTCGACCGAACAGCACAACTCAGAGCCACGCTGAGGAGAAAGACCTCCGATATACTCATCGCTACTGATGGAACCTGCGGCTGTGCCGTGGAACTGGAAGGTCTTACTGACGGCATCTCTGCAAAGAGATGCAAGCTCTTCCGATGGTTCCATACGATATAGATGGGCTGGGTATCTGAGGCCTGAATTCGCTGTTAGCTAGCTGTCTTTCGCTTTCAGGGAAAGAAGAAGCATTGAAGCCTTACCTTGAGCAACATTGACACCATGCTTGAAATTCAACGACTTGTGCCTCACTGAAGGGGTTTGAGGAAAGTCTTCACCGAAGAACTTCGTCCAATCTCTCTCCGCAATACGAGATCCTTCCCACATCATATCCATGACCTCCCATATGATCCGCCGGTCTTCGAAGTCATTGGTTTGTTCATAGAGCCACTGAAGTGTAAGTGCCAGCTCGTGAGCTCGTGCAACTCCAAATAGTTGCAAGTCGAACACATCGTCTTCTTGTGGTATGTAACCTTGATGATTATTTTGCAGCATGCTGTGAACCAACCGCACAAACCGAAAGATAGCTTCAAGAATAACAGTACGCCTTGAAGAATCTGCAATAGCATGGTTCATCAGTCCTTGGAGAAGAAGACATCGCGCCCAAATTCCACGAGTATGCGCCGTTTGCTCTGGCCCTAGCCACCCATCTTCCGCTTGATGTTTGAGCGTGTAGTCCACGAAGTAATTGGCCTGCTTCTTGATTTCCAAAAACAGCTCAGGGTCGCAATCTCTATCCAGAGTATATGCGAGGGGTACAATATAGTTGTACCAGTACGGTGCTGCCTCATTCAAGGGGGTGTACTCCCATGTCCCTCCAAGCCAAGTGCTCTCTTTGACGAAGCGATAGAAGTGGAACAGATTACCACCGAGGCCTTTAGCGCTGAGTCGGAGTTGATCCCTGAACCATCCATTCGGCTTAATCGCGCCCAACGGATACAGCTCATACTTGAAAGGGACAAGACGCTTGTTGAACGATTCATCGGAAGACATGGTAGGATACTAGATGAACCCAATGCAAAGCATCCCAATACTGTAATGATGGTAAAATGGTTCTGGAACAACAAAAAAACTTTCATATAAATTGAGAAGGATCATGGCGTAACTGTTTCTTGCTCACCATCAGGTCTTGATAACAAACGCTTCAGCAGCACAACCTCTAACTGCTATGTTCTGTAGGCCATCGAGACATGTTGAGCCCTCATGCAATGTGTCGTTGGGTGCGGGGTGACCCTTGAAGACCAACGCACTTGGCTTCCGAGCAAATCAATGCAGAAATGTTGCATTCAGCTATCTGTTTCGTGGGGTAATTGGGGATTGGGCTGGCCATATGCAAGATCGGGATGGTCTCCGGACGCTACGGGGCGCCAAGCCGGGCCACAGTACCGATGCCCTGCACTTCGTTCGGGGCCGATGCAGGGTACACCTTGCGTTACAGTGGTCGACGAGGACATATGTGAGGGGTCAGGCTTTGTACACTAATGGTATGATTATCCAGCCTTTCTGGACGTCTGGCATTGACGTTCTCACCGCGTAGCTTAGGGCCAGCTTATTGGGTTGTTGATTTGCACCATGCCGGACTTGCGGAATTCGTTTTCCTAAGTCTCGGCTCCATTCACTGGAAGACAAGTTTATGAACTATTATAACTCGATTGCAACCTATATCTGCGCTGATGATGGATTTTGAACGTGAGCTGACTCCTCGATTGTTCAATAACGTAGCTTCTACCCAAATTCAATCCTTTAGACGACAGAACAGCCTGATGACAGTAGTAAGGACTTATTTGAACAGCTAAAATGGATTGCAACAGCTTCTTCTCAATTCGTGCACCGAGTTGGAACGGTTAAAGAACCCTAAGTGATAATTGTTGTTTATCGCCTAACCATAGTGTTCGCTGGAAAACATGTGTAACCCAACGTTTCCTCTCTGTATAATAATAGGGAGGCTGAAAAACATGCGTGTCTTATGTCCTGTCTCATTATTTGCTGATTCAACCACGTAAGAAAAGTGATAGTGCATCATCTCATAACTCTCTAAACTCAGCCGCAGCCACTTCAGCTGAGATACAAATTTTGCGCGCTCAATGTCACATAACATCTAGTTGTGCTCATGATGGAGCATCACATGCAATCTCCGTTGACCACAGAATCGGAAAATCTGAATGGGACGATTGAACAGGGTCAACAGAATCAAGAGCAGGCGAAATCTGCACTAGGGCCACAGAGGCCCTCTCCAGACAGCTCTACACTCCATCCCACGGCAAGGGTTGAACAAAATTCGTTGCGAAAATTATTGGTCCAAATGGAGTCGCAATCTAAAACGAACGGCCTGGATTCGTCAAGTAGTTCCGGATACACCAGTCTTACGGACCCAAGCGTGTGTATTCGCCTGCTTGCCTTCCAAAGACCGCAAGCCAGCCCTTCAGACACGACCGAAATTCATTGCACTCTCCATACCTTTGTCCTTGTTCAAGCGCCATCGTACAACACCATATCCTATACATGGGGTCCGCCGACGCCCGCAACTACTGTTCATATTGATGGCCGTCCTATGAATGTCCGGCCGAACTGCGCGGCAGTTCTTCGCCAAGCTCAGAGATACAACCCTAAGGCTTACTACTGGATCGATGCGATCTGCATAGATCAAAACAATCTGCAAGAGAAAAGCCAACAGGTCCAAATGATGAGCGATATATTTAGCCGCGGCGAGCTCGTGGTGGCGTATGCCGGGGAGCACGCGAATGACAGCCGGTTTCTGTATGATACCTTGCAAGAGAGTGCGGGTTTGTTTAAGACAGTAGGTGGCCTGGAGACGAGGTGGAGAATTCACGGCTTGTTAACGCTTAGGCTGAGGATATGGATGTTTTCAAGGAGCAAAGATGTCATTGTGAGGCTTTATTCAGCTCTAGATGCCTTCTTGAAGCGAAACTATTTTCGTCGGGTCTGGGTATTTCAGGAACTGTTCTTAGGACGACGAGTCGATATCCATTGCGGAAGTGACTTCCTACCGATACAGTTGTTACATGGGTTAAGGCTGGCTTGTGAGTTCTGGGGCAAAGATGATGATATGAGTCGTTGGGTCACTCAAGGGCTCCGCGTTCTGAGGTTCGGGAATACTACATCTCGATCCTATAACGGTGGTTTCCAAGGATATACCCCAAACGATAATACCCTTGTGGCAGCTGGATCCTTCAACATGGAGCTGCTTGAACTACCGACCCTCATTCTAAAAGTATCTAATCTGGAGTGCGAGAACAGACTGGACAAGGTCTACGGGATTCTTTCCATGGTACGATGGAACGACAATGAGAAGCCTATTCGGACGGATTACACCAAAGATCGATTTGATTTGGCGCTAGAGACTCTTGAAGTAATTGCGAGGCGACGTGTTCCGAATCTCATATCATACGGCGAAAGAGTAGCGAGAAACTTAGATCTACTTGAAGACCCGTCACCCAAGCTAAAAGAAGCTATCCAAAAGCGAGGAGTCCCGCCAGTTATGCCGGAGGCGAGCGACTTCGCGGAAACCCGAGAGCTCACAGACACTGGGTTCAATCCCAACTCAAGATCTCGGATTGTTTTTGAAGGGTGTCGACTTACGAAGAACGGGAAGGGCGAATGGGGGTTTCAGGCGACCAACGACAGAGGTAATGCCGAGGAAACCACTGGGCCGTATCACTCCAAGCGGCCTCACCAGTGGCCGGTCTCTGTGACAACCATGGATCTGTTAGGAGACGCACCTATTCTGATTCCAAAGCGTGCCCAAGACGGAGATTGGTGTCTGTACATGAAGTGGAGTAGGATCGAGGCGGACACCCTGATACTCATCGCAAGAGAGCACGTAGATAAACGCCATTTGTGGATTGTTGGCAAAGGCTGGGGCGAGCGACCAGTTACGTTGGGGCAGGAAAACGGCGAGTCGCGCAATTTCCACGTGTATTTGGGCGCAGAAGATGCCATGGTCATTTCGATCCAGTGCCCGATGCATTCATGGCCGTCCACTACGCTTCGCGGAATCCAGAATTTCATCGAGAGTGGTGTCTGCGGCAGCCCTGGGTCCTCTTATGCAGAGCTAGATTGGTCATGAACATAATCTAATTACGATTTACCCAAGAGAACCACTAAAATCTACTTGGCTGGCTTCATACCGGGTGATTTATTTCGCGAACGAAAATGGGGACTTCAACCGCCTCCAAACTTCGCGCTTCACAGCAGCATGCTCATCAGTCGTCCGCAAGACCGCATCCCTATTTTCCACTGCTCTGCGAAGCAAGTACGCCAGACACTCTCCCATGCTACCCCATGTAGAACACTTGAACACGTCCGGACCACCAAGCCCCTCATTCTTCTCCTGCAGAAGCGAGAAGCTTACTTGGTCGGACATGCCGTGAAGCTGGCCAAACGCAATTGGTACTGTCGGCTTGCCGTTCTTGACACGCTCCTGGTGCAACTTCAGCGCAGCAAAGAGACTCTCTTTGTTGTGGCTAGCCAGAAGCAGGTCTACGGAGGGGAATGGTACAGACCCCGGAGAATCACCGCCGAACTCGCCGATCTGTCTCCTGACGGCGCCCTGGGAAATGTAGTTGTAGGCGTCGTCCGTGTCTTGCTTCGTATCGTGAATGCGGGATCTGTTGTCAGACAGGATATAAGCTCCTCGTACGAGTTTGAGACCTAGGGTGAAACCGTCTTTGCTGGCTTCCGACAGATGGTTAATGATGTTGTCCGGCGTACTCTTGAGGTAGGCCTGGTAGGTGTTGTAAATAGCGGCGTAACCGTCCCGGTTGAATTTGCGCATGAGTTCAAGAGTGACGCGATCAATGGCTTTCTGGAAGTGCTGCGACTCTGCATCAACGATGATCTTGATGCCGCGCTGTTTGCATGTTGTGGCGATCTCCTCTAGAGCATCTTGCATCTGTTGTGGAGGGAACTCGTCAGCTGCGAATGCTGATGTCACATCGCGGCCCGCCCCGGTCAGCCTAAACCGCCATCAGTACTTGTAACATGCTCACTATTAGGCATTCGATACGCACTTAATGGCAAGGTAATCACCCTCGCCAACCTGAGCCGCGGTCTCCAAGGTGCCACACCTCCAAGACTCAATCTCAGGGTCAAGACCGTCGATACTGGAAGTGCTTGACACCTTTCCTGTCTCATGAGATGACTGAGTCAAGTGGTCAAAGACGGTCTCTTTGGCGTAAGTGAGAATTACACCCTTGAATCCGAGTCCCTTTAGCCGCTGAACGCATGCCTTCGTCTGCTCTGCCGTCTCTCCAGCACAGAATTGGTCGTAAAAAGTCTTTCGAAGGATACTGTGAAGTATGGGGTTGCGGTCGACATCAAACAGGAAACTTCGACCTGGCTTAGCAAGAAAAGATAGGGTATAGAGCGAAGGGATGAGGAGGAATCTGTTCGATGAGATGGTGGTGATGAGTAATGATCTAAGGAGAGTCCCCGTAGACAAGATTGAAAGAGGAAAGCCGGCCAATGATTTACGTGCTGTACTACTCTTCGGCTCAAGGCTTCTGGTATCAGGTATCGCCGCGTGTGGTGAGCCAGCTCCGAGGCCTTGTCTTGGCTGTGTTGGCTTGCCGTAGTGTCGCTTGCTAGATGCTGCAAGTGCTGGGAACGTCCACGGCCTCTTGGCGGCAAAAGGGCCGACGGTAATCTTCATGTCAGGCCAAAAAGCTAAATCGTCTGAAATGTGTTGTTGGAGTCGCAAGTAAGGACAAGTGCGTACGATTCTGGGTGAGCCCGTGACCTTCCATAACAGAAAGCACAACGGCTGATGTATGTTTCTAAATGCTCATCATCTTCCCCGCCTCAATTCATCGTATCGGATCTGGCCGTACTACCATCCCTTCTCCAATCCATCTATCCGGTCCGATTTACGGAAGTAGCGGCATGGCCATCCTGGTGTCAGCAGGGTCACATGTAGGCTTGGGATGTTCATACCAATCGGGGCATTTCCCAATCTTCCATCTTGGATAGACAACTTGATATGATTTGGTGTTTATCGACTTGGCGGATGGACACCATCAGCCCTTCCCCGCATTGGCATCGCACAGCTGGCCGAACAGGGAGTAAGCTTGAACGACTGGGCTGCAGTGCGGTATCTTGGTCCGTATGTCTCGATGCTAGAGTGCTACGTGATAGATAGCATGTAATCGAATACACACGTAGAGAAGATAAGGATAAGTCACCTGCCCTAAGAAGCGGTATATGATACTGCGGTAGATTTCCCTTTTGGGAAGTCTCTTGACGAGGGTACCGGAAAGGGCTCCGGGTAGACCCACTTTCCGGACGCCTCCCCGATATGATATACCCCGCCATCGATCAACACCGACCAGAAGGACTTCACTTATCGATTATGAACTATCTTCTTGTTTTTCACTTGCCTTATCGCATCAAGACGATGATTTGTTCATTTCATCAGTTGTCATAGCGAAGAGCCTTTCAATGATCACACCAAGGACTAGCATTGAACTTTCTCACAACTCATGGAAATTTTGTGTCAAAACTGCTACTCACAGTTGAGCAGCCCAGAACTACTGGGTACAGTCGTTTTGACTTTCTTCCAATGTGTTACTTCCCATACATTGTGCTCACGTGAATCTTTTCCCGAAAGATTGGAGTCCAGTGTTTATCCAGTCACTTTCTTGTAACCATGTCCTACCTCTTTCAATTGTGATAGCTCATCAGGCCTTTCAGTTTTGATCAATGGTATAGATGAAAGCGAACACCACAAGTAGGATTCAACAGAAGCGTAACATTTTGCTTGTTTGTAATCTGAAAGGAAGTTTAGCAATGAACCAGGGCAATCTATGCACCGGTAAATGCTCATTAGATCGCATGTACTTTGAGGCTTAGCTCACTGTTAAAATTCTGATTTCTTCTTTTTCTTTATGATTATCTAAGTGCAGCAACTGAAAGCTGTAACAGATTTTAGTACCTCCATCTCGAGGTGAAGCTCACTTCACCAAGAAAAAAGCTCAAATAAAACCTTCCTCTCAGCGACCGATATCCTAGGTCATTCTCGCAGACGTGATAATCACAACGAATCGCAAGGCCATTATTAGTGGCTCTGTGATGGTTTTCTAAATGCTGCGTGGATATTTGTGGTCATCATTCCACAACCAGAAGACATTTTCCTATCTGGAATGGTTACCATTAAAGGCAGGCTTGTTTGGCGCTGCTTTGACAATAGTTGTAGCGGGATGGAGGGAGCGTTACTGGGCCAAGTACCGCAATATCTGTTTTACCAGCCGCGAGGTTTGCGAGCCGTTGAAGGCCCCTGCAACGCTATTGAAGTAACGACCTTACTTCTTGCGCTTGAGAAGACAATGCCGGCCCCAGGTTCTCTTAAACTTCTCAGGAATGAAGGGTAGATCAGGAACCCAGAGCGCTCTGGCCAAGAAGTGTGTGTTTGCTGTATCCAGGAACGGAATACACTTTACGATTTCCCAATGCTCTTCATCGGCAATGTAGTCGGGCTCGTTGGGTGGCAAAGGGTCGTGTCTCTCAGGGTATTGCGTGTCCACCAAGAAGCCACACACTCTGTGATCTACGTACTTGCCCATATCTTCTTCGTTTCTGTCATTCAAGCCACTGGTAGGCATCCAAGTGCCGCTCCAGAAGCCAAAGCCAGTGCGGGCTTCAGAGAACTCTCCAGGCAGCAATCCTCGGAACTCAGACCGGATGAACTTGGCGTGCATATCCCGAGGCAGGAAGTAGGAGGAAGGAAAGCGATACCACTCCTTGCCGAAGCAAACATTATCGCCACGCACACCGATGCCCTGTTCCCCGCTGACACCAGCCCCCAAGGGCGAGTAAAGCCTTAGTGGAGCAGAGTAAGCGGACCAGATGCCATAAACACGTGAAAGGCTGATGTCAAATGAAAGCAAGAGGACAAGAGTGACGGTAAGTAGCTTCAGCTTGGCAGGAATCTTGCCAACCAGAGTCTTAGGGTCCGATGAGCCAAGCGCCGTGAGAATGATGTGCAGAGACATAGCCGCGTTTAGCGTGAGGAACGGATAAGCGGGATACATGAAACGCTCTTCCTTATGAGGCTGGAGTGTGAAGATGCCGAGCCAAAGATAGAAGGGGGAGATGAAGACGAGGGCACGCAGGCCTGTCTGGAACCCTTGGCCTGAAGGTGAAACGATCTTCTGCAGCAGAAATAGGGGCAAGCAAAGGAGTGCCAGGATGAACCAGATGTTGAAGTTCAAGGTCAGGTTGCGGAAGTAAAAGGTCCAAGGCTCTGTGCCATACAGCTCCGGGCCGCCGGTCTCTGAGAAGATGTTGTACTTGACAATGTTCCAGGCGGCAACCTCAATCTTCTTGTAGAAGAAAGTGTTGATGCAACCATCGAAGAACTAATACGATAAAGATTAGAAAGCGGCTCAGACGGTTCAGCGAGAAACTTACCAGGACAATAAGGCCGGCGATAATGCCTCGAAAGACACGGATGATGGCCTCGATGAAGCGGTCCTTGTCACTCAGCACGGCAAACAAAGCTTCTTCAATAAGGAATGGGGCACATAGAGCCGCGGCGAATGGCCAACCCACGATGGCTCCCACTGCAAACCAAAAAATACCTTGAGCTGTCTTCAAACCGCCACGCCAATTCATGAAGGAAGCAGCGCCCAGCATAGCCATGTACATGGCAAAGCTAGAGGGCAGAAAAGCAGTGCTGGCATGGAAATTGCCGGGGCTGAAGATGGTTGCCAGGATGAAGAAGAGGCCAATGCGTGCGTTGAGAGTAAGGCTGATGACACGGAAGAGCAGGGTTTGGCACAGGGCACAGCTGAAAGCAAGAACATAACGAATGAAGTAGAACTCGGAGACCTATGGCAGTCAGCACCACTGGGCAGCATATTGGCGATGCAAAGGGGACTTACTTTGGTGGACTGTGGCAATAGACGACGGATGTTTCCAACAATGGCATGTAAACTGACATACAGCCAGCTGCGGATGGCATAGGTAGGGGAGTACTCCCAAGTCTGAAGACCGTAGCCGTGGGAGAGGTAGTGTGTGGGCTCGTAGTAGTTGAATGTCTCATCGCAGTCTTGGATTGGGGCAAACAGAGCGGAGATTATATTGGCAGCCAGGAAACAATAGAATGCCGAGATAGGCTCAATGGCGAAGGCACTGGGCGGCCTGTTGGAAGAATATTGTTAGTGGAGAGATTCGATAGGCTGTGGAGGGCGCCAGGAACCAGATTGACTTACTTCTTCCTCGCATGTCCCGCTTCAGGATGGACAAAGTCCCTTCGGGGAGGGGCAGCTTTTGGCGGCATCGTAGCGGGCTTGTCGCAGTCGGCAGGGTTGGCGAACGACACGAGGCCGTAGAGACAATCAGATGTGGTTGTGATGCCACGGAGCTCCAATTCTCAACATTTTAGAAGAGCGGGAAGCTTGTGACGCCACAGCTCCCCCAATTGAGCAGGGGTCTTGCAGGCGCACCGTTTACAATAGAAAGGAGAAACTGTGCATTGATACTATCAGCTGCCGAGGCAGTACAGTGTCTAGATTTGAGTGACGGCGGGAAATTTCCATTGGTCAAAGCTTGGCGGATCGTGGGGCGGGCAGCTGGCGCACGGACCAGACCTCGATGATGACGAACAGAAGGAAGCCGAAGATTGTGGCTTGACACCAACAGGGAAGTCCGGGATTATTACAGCACATTAGCGTCAGGTGGGGATGAAAGAAGAGCTTCTGGGAAGTGTGGCCAGGCCAAGGCAGGAGCAACCAGACCCAGAGACCCAGACCAGACCTGCCGGCGCAGACCCCCTTCATCATCATCATCAGCAGCGCATCAGAGCATCCACATGCTTTTTCCTTAGCGGCCGGCGCTTGCTGATATTGTGCTAATCGCTGAGGGAGCACGGATTCCCTCCCGTCGTCTCATCTTTGCTTCTACCTCAAAGGTGCCTCGCTCAGATGTTCCTTGCTACTGGTACTGACGGGATAGGATAAACAAATCAAACAAAAATACGGTCTCGGGTAATTTTTTTTTCTTTTTTTCTTTTCCATGCACAGTAAATGACATGTGAGTCCCGTCGCATTGATCAAATGTGTCGTCTATGTGACATTTTAATGAGCCCTGTCTCTGTCCGTCATAAAATCTGGAGCTTCCATATCCAATCCCTTCCCTCGTCCGTCACAGACCGCAGATCTGCCGCCGAACAGCCCAGAACCCTGGACTTTGCTGCTCATTCGATCGGGCTGTCGTAACCGCTGTGCTGTTTCGGTAGAGCGCTGTAATCCCCTCCCTCGTTTTCCCACCTAACCTTAGACTAGTCCCTGGAAGAACCGCACAGAGGAGGAAAGAAATAAAAATAAAAATAAAAAATAAAGCACAGAAACCGACCAAACAGGAGCACGCAGAAGGAAACAGTGACGCACTGACGCACCGACCACCGCTTGCCCAGTCCAGGCTCCATTTTCCCTCCACCTCCTCCGCCTTTGGACCAGCCACTCCACCATCACCTCGAGTTCTTGCGCATTCTGGCCAGCTTTCCCCCAAGTCAACTCCTGCATCATCACCAAATCCTCACACGACAGTTTTCTCACCACTGCAGCTCCTTCGACGCACTGCGTTTCCCCCCGATACCAATACCGAATACTGCAATCCCGGATTTCAACATCTATTGCGCCCTTGACAGTTTCACATTCTCGCACCATGGCACCCCCTCCGCCCGCCAACATCCCTCTGACCCAGAGGCTTCTGCTCCTCGCCCAGACGCTGCAGTGTACGTACACATATACTCATCAATCTATATCTGGCTACATGATGATGTGCTAACCGCCGCGTTTTTCAACAGTTGCGTGGTTTGCCGGGTATGTACAAACCACTCCATTTGAACCGATCGAGGTCCTTCGCTCTCCCTGCGACTCTTGAGAACATTCATGGCGCGGGGTGGAGAAGCCCGATGGCTTGATTTTTTGGCGACAGAAACGTCACTGTAATCCAACTCCGACTAATCATAAGGCATACAGGCACTTGACTTTGATCATCTCCGTTGTTCGCTATTCCCTCTCATACTTCACCTTCAACTACTACAGCAGAGTTGCCCGCTGGAGCTACCGACTCACCTTCCTCTCCGCCGCTCTTACCTACGGCATCGTTGTCTACAAGACGTTGAGAGCCCGCAGCAAGGCTGGAGCTAAGACCCCCCAAAGCCCCTTGGCTCTCATTGCAGACGAGAATGTCCAATATCTCGGTGAGCCTCGTCCGTTCACACTTCCATGGTGGCCTATTCTAACCATGTTCCGCAGCAATGTCCCTGGTCTGGCTTCTCTCCCCCCAGTACCCTCTGGCCATGCTCCCCTACGCCATCTACTCCGTCTTCCACGTCGCTACCTACACGCGCGCCAATGTGATTCCCACTGTCACTCCTCCTAAGCCCATTACTCCGGCCGCTGGTGCTTCTCCTAGTGCCAAGCCCCAATATGCGCACAACCCCATTGCCGACAAGATTGGCGCTTTCGTTAAGGAGTACTACGATGCTTCCATGTCCGTTGTCTCCTCGCTGGAGATCCTCCTTTGGGTTCGCCTCCTTCTTTCTGCCATCACCTTCCAGCGCCGTTCCTGGATTCTGATTGCCATCTACACTGCGTTCCTTCGTGCCCGCTTCTCCCAGAGCACTCACGTCCAGAACTCGTTCGCTCTGTTCGAGTCTCGCGTCGACTCTGCCGTCGGCAACCAGGGCACCCCCCCTGCCGCTCGTCAGGCCTGGGATACCGTTAAGGGAGGCGCTCGCCAGTTCTACGCCTACACCGACCCCAACCGGTACCTTAGCGGCACCTCCGTCCCCAAGAAGACCTCGTAAAGACATGAACGAGGCGGTCAGAGTGCTTTAACAAATCCTTCGGGCTTCTTTCTGCACTCTGCTTACGTCTTAATTACGCGATACCATATCCATAGCGGCTCAGCCGATGCGACGGGCCAGGCTGCAACTCCAGCCAAGATAAGAATGTTTCTTTGGAAGGGGTGATGTTTATAAGAAACGTGTGGGGCTGAGGATACACGGAAAGTTAAGGAGTGGAGAGGTTCACGGTCGGCTAAAGTTCAAACGGCTTTTCCACGATTCATTCAGGCTATCGGAGTGTCGGCGAGTGTGGGACCTGGACGTACCCCGGGTTGCTCTCTGCATTACACTATGATTTTAGGTTTCCCGTTCCGCTCTCTGGCTCTGGTCACTGTCTACTAGTTTGTTTGCACAATACACTAAAATCCACAAGATTATAGATTTCAAAATCAGTCATGTTGGTGATGTGGGTGTGATACCGTAGCGATGGTACCATGAGGGCTGAGCACATGCTGCCAAGCAATTGGAAAACGGACGCCCTAGCCACACCAAAAGTGGCGTAGCGTAGCCTCTCCCCAGTAAACCCCACTATCAATGACGTCGCCTGCCATATCGCTCACCGACGTCAAGGCTCTATGAGCTGCACGCGACCAAGGCGCAGCTGAGAAACCGAGAACAAACGTCAGGAGGCCTCGACTAAACTCTACCCCCTGGGCTGTCCATTTAAACAACCACACTGCAACGATCTCTTATTTTCTTGGCGCGCGCGACCCCGTTGTAAACCTTGCTCCGCTTTCCAGTGTCGCATTCAAAGTTTCTTCCAGCATGGCTTCTTTATTGCGACAGATCGTCGCAGGGCCACGAGCGCGGCATGCCGAGTCTGATTTAGACCTTTGCTACGTAACTTCCAACATCATTGCAACGTGAGTTGATACTTTCCTGCCACTTTGGCGCCGTTGGTTCTCATATTTGTGGTACAGTTCTGGGCCGTCAGGGACGTACCCCCAACGAGCCTACCGAAACCCTCTTGACCGACTTGTCACATTCCTCGACTCGAAGCATAAGGATAACTGGGCGATATGGGAGTTTCGCGCAGAAGGTACGGGATATCCTGACGAAGAGGTCTACGGTCGCGTAAGGCACTACCCATGGCCCGACCACCATCCGCCTCCGTTCCGGCTGATCCCCATGATCATGGCCAGCATGCGCAACTGGCTCAATGGCGGCGATCTGGAGCAGGGGGATGTCGGTGTAGGTGCCGTGGATAGGAACGAAGGAAAGGATGTCGAGGGCGACAATAAACGGGTGGTGGTCGTGCACTGCAAGGCTGGCAAGGGTCGTAGCGGGACGGTTTCATGCAGTTACCTCATCTCAGAGTGTGGATGGAAGCCGGAGGAGGCGCTGACTAGATTCACCGAAAGGAGAATGCGGCCCAAATTCGGTGCTGGTGTCTCGATTCCAAGTCAGTTAAGGACGATAACCTACGTGGACCGGTGGACGAAAGGCGGGAAGAAGTATGTTGATCGGCCTGTCGAGATTGTCGAGATACACGTCTGGGGCCTGCGGAGCGGAGTCAAGTTTGACGTCGAGGGTTTTGAGGACGAGGGGAAGAAGATCAAGGTTTTCCACACGTTCAAGAAAAGCGAGAGGGTCGTGGTTGAGGGCGACGCGCCAGGTGGAGGTGGTGTCGCGCGCATGGTGACTGATCTCGCCAGCGCCAGCGTCAAACCTGTGGAAAAGGCCCCCGAAGAGGCGCCGCTGGCAGAACACACCAATGCGAACAGCGGACACAAGAACGAGTCCGACAAAAAGGCTTCTGAAGAAGCAGACGACTTGAAGCCGTCACGAAGCGATTCTAAGAAGCTGCGCAACGCCAAAACCACCTCCCTTATCAGGGACCCAGCCACTTCTAGTCCGGGCCAAAAACGAAGCGAAACCGAGGCGCAGCCGGCTGCGTCTTCGACCAATAAGGAAGCCGATGCTTCGGAGGCAGAGCCCGGTGGTATGGCTGTCATCCTGGTGCCAAAAGACCCGATCCGAATTCCCAACAGCGACGTCAACATCTCCGTCGAGCGCCGTAACCGTACATCAGCATCAATGGGCCTGACGATGGTCACTGCTGTTGCTCACGTTTGGTTCAACATTTTCTTTGAGGGCAACGGACCGGAACAAAATGGGGAACCTGATGATAGCGGTGTTTTTGAGATTGATTGGGATGCGATGGATGGCATCAAGGGTTCCAGCAGGAAGGGTTCACGTGCATTCGATAAGATTTCTGTCGTCTGGAGGGTCGTAGACACCCAAAGTGCCAAAGAGGGAAGCGAGGCGGTTGGACTTCCGGAAGGCGATGTTGTCCACCAACCTTCTGCTGATTCCCCGGTGCCACAGATGAAGCCGGCCGACTGGAAGGGTGGGAACAAGGAAGACCCTGCGGCCGAAAAGCATCTCGGCCTCCGAAATGAGAGCCCTAACAGTGCAGATGTTAGCAGAGCCAGCAGTGTGAAGGATCAAGTTATCAAGGACGGCAACGATACCGACTCCCTCGAGGGCGTCAAGACAAGTGGGCCGTACGGGGAGGAAGAGTTGGATGCAGACGATGTAGATGTCGCAAAGGTTACGAAAGAGGTAGAACAGACTAGCTCGAAACCGGTGGATCCCGGGCCGGAGCTGTTGGATGCGCCTGACACCGCGACCGGGACTACGGCACAGGGGACTACACAGGTAAAGCACTAGGCGACGAAACATGTCTGAACAGTTACCTTGACATGTGTGTTTTGTTGGTGATACCAAGGCGGAGGGCGCATGGCTTAACTTAGATGTTAGAAATAATTGTACTACTACTTTTTTTCGCATCAAACCAGGAGGAACCTAGAACGTGAATTATGAGTTGGATTGGGTGGTGTATGCCTTGCGGCGGACCTTCATAGGCTGGCTGGGCGAATGCCGCCACGTCAGTAAGCCTGACAGCTTGATGTGATTCGTGTTTATGAACAGTGCATATTCAACTGCAAGCCAAGCCACTCAGCCTGGGAGCAACTCCAGGACTTTTTCTAGGGATGAGGGGGTCCGCCACCTGGGCATCTTTCCATACGACATCCTCTGCCTTACGATTAACTTTAATCTTTCTGGAAACCGAACGAATGTATCTGGCTGCATTACTGCCTCCTTGCGAAATATCAAGTTGAAAGACACATTCGCTCTTACACTGAGAATGGCCGACCCTCTGGCCATCTTGGGCAGCGTCGCAGCCTCTTTCCAGCTGGTGGAAGTCGCAGCGAAAACCTTGCTCGGCACATTAAAGTTCGTCCGGGAGCTTCGCGACATTCCGCGAAAGACGGCCGCCCAGCTCGACGATGTCGACAGATCCACGGAAAGAGTACGGTACATGTGCACTTCCGTCCTCGGCGCAGGGTCCGTCGCCGTGGACAATGTCGACTCTGCAATCCTTGCCCGCCTGTCGACCTGCGCTGACGGCTTACGTTCAGCGTTGGATGAAGCGCAAGGAATGCTGAAGCCGCTGGTTGATGGTTATGATGCAGCAAAGAATAAACCTGTGCGGCGGCTTTGGAATGCCGTGGTGTCGACGACTCGGGAATCTTCTATTCTGGACAGACTTCAGAAAATTGATAAGCTCAACTTGGAGATGGTTGGGGAACTGCAAATTGCGGGGTTTGCAGTGCAAGCTGATATTCGGTTTGTTATATTCTGTGTTTAATAGCGGATTCGTATTGTGTCAAGCTGACGGTTCTAAGATCCACACTAGGTCAGACTTCGACTTTGGCGAGTAATCATCACGACGAATGTATGGATCGCCTCGATGCTTTGGTCGAGTCAGATATAGACAGTCGAGAAGCCATCGATGCGAGTCACGACGAGATGGTTGCCGGCTTTCGGGCCATCAGTATCTCCAGTGATAAAATGATCACTGCAACTAGTTGTGTGCAGCGCAGCATATCTCAAGTCAGCAGTAACATCGATATCTTGGGAGAGAAGACGGACTCAATATACCAGCACACTTCAGCCATGACCGAAGGAATGAACGCTCAGTTCCGAATGACACGTACTGATATGCAGAGGCTCATAAGCCAAAGCGAAAGTAGGATGAACAAGGAGCTTCAAGACGTACGCGACCAACTGATTGCTGTCCTTACGGGATCGGAAAGTCCAAGTGAGGCATCTTCACGGACGAGCATCTCAGGTATTCTCAACCGCAGTGCCGAAGAGCAGCGACTGCTTCAAATCAGCACCCAGGTGGCTTTGATGCGTCGCCCTACTGCTCTAAGGGACGCCTGGGGTAATTCGATCAACACAAGGCAACGCTTTCTGCCTTGTTGCTGTCGGCCAAGAACGACTTCAGAAATCACGAGTATCTGGGGATTGAGACTCAGGTCTTCAAGGAGGTCAGAGCACCGTGAAAGCTGCCAGTATTATAAGAATGGACAACAATCATGGGCCTACTCTTTTGGTGCCAGTTTCTATCCCCTACTGGGAAGAACTATCGAAATGGCTCTTGGCGCTGCCACTGGACCTGGGGTATGGAGCGTGACACCCTCTTTGAGAATCTCCAAAGTCGTAAAACGCTCAGAATCGCCAATCTTCCAAGCATTTTCAATGCTCCCAGAATCCTGCGCAACTTGGGTAATTGAATCTTTCTCCCCAAATGATGCCTACTTTCGGACATATTAGACTGATCATGACGCAATACAGAGCAATGACGACCATCGATTGATTTGGGCACCTTGCCTGGCACAACATCTCGAGGTTCTTAACGGAAACATTCAGAAACAAGTTTCCCTTGGGCGATTCTCTGGATATGAAGTTGGCGAGGATGGATACACACTATTATTTGTAAGATATTTAGTTTCACATTTCCAAAAGCGTTCTAACGGCGATAGGAGCTATTCCATCTTATCATCCTGCTCAAACAGCAATGGAGCTCCTTTCAATTACAACTTCATATGCTCCTGAATACAATCATAATGTCTGGCGTAGATATCAATGCAAGAACTAATGCGGCAAGTTATGTTATAGGGGGTATGGAAGATCATGAGAGCGACTCCTATTCAATGTACGTTCTTCTGTTAACAAATCGTATTTCGGAGCAAATGCTAGAGATGGTTACTTACTAACAGACGCCGATACCAACGTGAATTGCTTGTTGGTGACCGCCATATAACAGCAAGCCAGTTACTCCTAGATGACGGGTTTGGTCACCATGATTTCCTTGGCCCGAAAATGCCCTTCTATGAGGACCTTGTTAGGCATGGTATGATCGAAGACCTTCGTTCTACTAATACGAGGCGTTATACGATCTTGAAGGGCACATATAGAATACAGTTTCTGCGTAGGCACTTGGAAGTCGCAGAGGGCAAGAAAACCCCTTCATTAGCAAACTGAAATCGATGTCTAACATTTGAGGGTTTAGCTATTGGTTATGACGAACTAGCTTTGGCCATCCTCCGTCGATCTCAAGGCGATGTCTTAACACTTTCGAGCAGACAATCCGCCCACCGTATCAAGGAGCCATATGAAAGCTTCTTTAGTTACGTCGAACTTGCATTGGGATGGACGAAAGGTATGGAGTGTCTCATGCAGCTTGGTTTTGATGTAAGGCCAGCTATTGCCACGGCATGTGAAAGTAGCGATACAGAATCCTTGCGCTGTCTTCTCAAAGCCAAACAAGCTATATTTACGGGCTTTGATCCCTTGTCATATCGCCCTGAAGTACATGGTTCAAACTGGCTTCTTCGTAGAGCCTCTAGGTCCAAGAACCGAGAAATCCAATCCTTAGTTGTCTCGGCATTGAAAGCTAAGCGAAAGCTTCTCTCCACTCTATTTCACGAGACCTTTACAGAAGAGGAATATAGCATGGCACGGGAGGGACTTGAAGAAAATCTCTTCATGGATGGTAAAGCATCTGCGGGTTACAATCGGTTGCAGAAAAAGACAACGATTCCCGATGAGCTCGATTGTTGCTGCATGGCTCTACCATATCATTTCCCGACTTCTTGTCTGCTAAGAGTAGATTTTCTTGATCTGATTTTCGACGCGGGGTTTTTAGATGTTGATGTGCAGGATGCCGCCGGAGAAACGCCACTGACATTCAACATCAAGCATTTATCCTTCCTCTCCGGATATGAAGAGGAATATGGATACTGCGGCATACGTGAAGTTGCAGAATGGTTTATTAGCCACGGTGCAAAGATGGCGAACGATGCGCAAGAATTGTGGCCGAACATTCTTTTCTACCTCGCTGGTTACCGATCCGCGTCCGCAGTCTATGAGGAGATCGATTGCAACAAAGTCATCGCCACAAATCTGGCTGCCATGCACCTCCACGCAACAACAGATAGCTGCCGCTGTTTCTGCTCCTCCTGTGGATGTACGCCAGTGCACGTTTTGCTGCGTTGCCATGCTGCTTTTCGTAAAAATAGGTGCACCGAGGGAAAGGGCCGATTGAAACTCTTGAAATTATGGGTTGAGGAATGGGCTATCGGCGTTGACGATCAAATAACTCTCGCCAGAGAATTATGCCGGTTGGAACTTTTTGAACGACTGGGAATGGCGCATACATGTTGCAGACGGAATAGTTGGCCACAGACCACAAGCAACGGGAAAATATTACCGTTCTGTTCACCATCGAGCTCTGAGATTGAGCTGATGCAGAGCGATGATGCTAACTATAAGGAACAACTCGATAGCCTCATGTTTCATTACTATCTGTGGAGCAAGAAGGTTGGAAATGATGCAGAAAGTTTTCAACAAGCTTGGTGGACAGCCGTTGATGAAATATTGCCCCCCTTACCGTTGTTGAAAGGACTATGTGAGCGATGCTGCTCCTTTGACCTTGAGGGCGTCTCCGAACTGAGACAGGCGAAAGCAGAGAGTGAGAAAGAAGCCTTGAGAAGAAACGGTTTCGATGATTCTGAAGATTTTCTAAACGTCATCAACGTTTACTTTACTAGGTACAAAGCGTAATTGGGAGATTTTCAATGCTGGAACTGGAACATCCACTGAGTATCAGCAGAAGGGGGTTTAGTGCTAGGTAGCAAGACCCTTCTGCAATATTATGGGAAGCTTGTTGTCAAACATATGACATATCCATGGACTTGAGGTACTATCCCTTTTTTCATGGATAGGCAACAGGCACCGGTAGCGGGTTCTGTGACTTCACACAGCTCGGACAGTATGCTATTCTCGTTGATTCAATCAGGTTTTGCCTGTCACGCTTTCGCATTGCGATGACTCAGACATAATTTTCTCTTCTTGTAAAGTTGGTAACAAACCTAACCCCAAGGACCGAGAGGCAAATGCTGGCAACTTCGCTTACAGTGGACCACGAATTCATTCACTGGAGATACTTCTGTAACGTCAAAATTCCGAGGCATCCGCTACCTGGGAGAACCTCGACTTAGACTGAAGCGGACTTACAACACCCGAACCGATTACCTCAAGCAGTTATCATTTCACGGGCTCATCTGATTGACTTGAGCGGTGATGGGAGGCAACTTTTTGATTCTTGTCTCCGCTCCTTCTGCGCGTGATGATGGAAGCATTTAATTAGATGCAGGTTCCAAAGGAATCCCGTATAACCTCCGAACCTCGGACTCTGAACGAATGGTTGGACTTGGTATGTAGACGGAGGATTGATCTGCGGCACCAAAATTCTCGTACCGCCATGAAGAGAGGCTTGTTAAACCAACTATCTCGCACTATGGACCAATTATGGACTTGCAGTAATAGGCACAAGGCTGATCGTAGTGAAAGGTTACAGTGATTGATTACGCCGTCTACAAGGTACTTGGTGAGGCTGTGCACCAGGGCTTATTCCTCTTCAATCCACTACTGTGTCGTCTGTAGCCTGATCATCTCCATGGCTAACTTAGATAATTACACTTATCTCACGGCGCTTAACTTGAAAAAGTCCGAGCGAGCGAATGAAATTGCTCAATTAATGCGAAGGGAACTTCCTGATGACCTGGTCCGGTCGCAATGTTGTGTTTTTGTACCACTTACGAGCAATATGCGAGGCAACGAATGGTTGAGATAATGGAAACACGAGTAAATAACGAGACTCAATTCCATAGCATAGGAACTATTCATTACCAAATGAAAGTGTGCAAAAAGCCCCAAAAATGAATTTAAAAGGCTGACACCGCCGCCGACTAACAGGACTTGAAAACTCATCACCCTCATCATCATCAGCAATAACACCAGCAAACATCATAGCTATACACCAACCATAAGAATATTCTCTAAACACCCAAAGCTTGAGCACATCAACATCCAAAATGAAGACCTCTATTGCCTGCCTTGCTGCCTCCCTTCTCTCTACCGCTTTCGCCCTACCGTCTGCGGGCAACAGTGCCATCGAGGCTAGAGCCGGCAAGGTCAAGTTCAACCAATATAGAAACATGGCCGACTGGTAAGGCTGTGATACTCCTTTGAGAACTCAAAGATCAATATGAGCTGATGTATCTTCAAACCATAGCCAAAATGACGCAGGCATTCTTTACCATGCTGCCCCCGTCTCTGGTCGGTGCTATGACATTGATGACCAGACTGGCGCGTTTTTTTACAACCCTGGCATCTTCACTCAAGTTCACCGTATGTCTCACTCTCGTATTATTCTTTTTGAACTTTTGAGACGCAATTCTGGGCTAATATGTAGTTGGAACTAGTCTACCAGAACAAGGGATGCAGCGGCGCCAGCCAGAAGCTATCTCTTCGCGGAAGCTGCTTAGACAGGGTTGGCAAGGGGTCCATCAAGATGTGGTAAGAGGATTGTATTTGAGATAGAAATGTTACCAGAACGAGTGTCGGGTGCCGGTAAAGAGCCACTATTTGTATTCTTGTTGGCTTTTCTCTCTTTCTTCAATGACTGACAGTCGTTACCTTGTTGAAGCTCATTTTTAGACTACATAAAAAATACAAAAGCTTTCACTATAATTATTAAGTAACGATGAAGCAGCTGTTAGTCATGTTGGTGTGAAGAATGTAATCAAATGGGAAACACTCCTGTCTTTACTTTTCCTCCACTAGTCTTTGATACTATATCTAAACTAATAAAACATCGTTTGAAATCCAATTCCTGTCTTTTATTCTTCAAAGAATGATTTATGGGGTACGGCAATCCAACTTCGCGTTAGATTAGCGAGTCATGTGTTCTTAGCGGATTCCTCGGACAACTGTTGTATGTCAGAGAAGTGCTTGCGGTGTTTTCGGGTACTGAAAACCCCGCGGAAGTGACAGAAGAGCCCTTGTCGGTGTCTGAGTCGGAATTGATGCTAAGGTACGTCAAAACTGTGGCCTGCAGATGCTTTGGCGACTCTTCAGTTGGGGCAGTTCATAGAGTCAAGCAATGTTATAAAATTGTAAAGCTGCAGAGCTGTGGCTTTCTACCGATACCAGTTGATCACCCATAACTTTGGCTTGTTCCATGTGAAGGGTGGCAAAAACCGAGAATAAACGATTGCTAGCTCTAAGTATTTTTCCGTTTTTGAAAGAGGTTATTTCCGCGTAAACCAAATCGCCGAAGCTCGGCTTTGTGGGGGACCCGTCCGGCCGATCACGGGCGTGGCCGCGATAGAAACTTTACCTCAACATTACGAGGCTGCCGCACCGATGCTGCGACAGGAATCCGCGAAGCCACCCGTCATGGTCGTGTTTTCACTGCATAGGTGCACGAGTACGCCCAAGGCAGTGATTGGTTAAACATTGTCCGTTTCTGACCTACCGACTAGCTTCTTACACGTTCGCTCAAACCGGTGGGATGGTTGGCCTGAACAAGCCTAAAAACTTTAATAGCCCCTCTCATCTTACTGTTTCGTCTCACAATCAGGCGGGTTTTCTTGTCGAATTCAGATGTGATACGCGCACGAGACACTGCGGCTGTACAAAAATGGAGGGAATCCTAGGAGCCAAAATACCTTATCGAAGTCGACCCAGAGCTTCTTGACTCAAAGTTGTTCAGGCACACCGTGATGGTGTGGTATGCTACCTTGCAAATTCAATATTATGGATCATATTAGCATAACTCTGAGTTGTTTAAGTATGGCTGAGATCAGCTAATTGTAAATCCTCATGTGTATGTGAAGTTTCGCCATCTCAGCCATCATAGACGTCGGTGTGCAGCCAATTTTCATCCAAAATGAACAACCCGTGGTTTATGCAGATGCTGCTGAGGGCCATTGTATTCATCACGGCTGCAGCGGCCGTGAAGATTCCTCAGCCAGTTGGTCCAGTACAGCAACAATTACCCGCCACGATTCAATGGTCGGCTTGCCCGACGGACATTAGGCCGTTTCGAAATGTTAATGCCACCCAACAGCTACAGTGTGCCAACCTCTCGGTGCCATTAGATCACAATAATGCGCAGGCAGAAAGTCCAAAAGTTCAACTGGGAATCGTCAAATTACCGGCAACTGGCCAGCGAGTTGGAAATCTTTTTGTAAATCCTGGTGGACCAGGAGGCGCCGCGTCGAGCATGGTTCTTAGCATGGCTGCGAAAAGACTCTACATCAGTGATGCTGTACGCCAGTCTTTCGACATTATCGGGATGGACCCGCGCGGTGTCGGCTTAAGTACGCCGCAGAAGTGCGATACCAACCTTGCCAATCAGCCCAGTGCATTTGATGCAACAACTCCTGAAGGCTTTCAGAAATTGTTTGAATACAATAAGGCTCTAGGAGAATCATGTCGAACCATGACTGGGCCTGTATTCGACAATATGGATACAATATCTGTAGCGAAGGACATGGAGGCTGTGAGGATCGGTGAGTGATAATTTCATAATTACTTTATATGAGAGTTACTGATGCAATAGCAGCTACTGGAGGGGAGCCGATGAATTACTTTGGTGTCTCTTATGGAACTCAATTAGGCGCTCAATACGCAGCTCTTTTCCCATCGACAATACGAGCTATGGCTCTTGATGGAATGCTGCAGCATACCGGCGCCTTCGCGTCAAACATCATGACACAAGCAACATCGCTAGATGCGACAATCCAAGCATTCTTCAGGTTTTGCGAAGCCAATGGTACTAATTGCGGTGAGGGAGGCCAGAATATAAGGCAGACCTGGAACAAAGTCATCGAGGTCGCTGGTGCCGGACAACTCAAGGCAGCCGAATGTGACGGGACCATCAAGACACGATGCGTTCCCCTTGCTACGGTATCCGACGTGTTGGGCGTTGCTCGGTCTACACTGGAGTTCCCCCAGGACCGCCCAGCTTTTGCAGAATTTCTCAAACTGGGAGCCACAGGCAACGGATCATTCTTCACCCCAGGCCTTCTTTCAGGTGATACCTTTACCGACTCTCGCTCGCTATCAATCACGAACGTGCAGTGCCAAGACGGCCACTTCTTCGCGGCTAAAGACCATGTCGAAGTCCAACGCGTCGCGGACATGACACGTTCTTTCACAGTTACTCCTGGGATGGGGGAGTTCTGGCACCGTGTGATCGACTGTACTGGGTATCCTGTCAAGATCACCAACCCGCGGACGGCACTGAATGTTAAAGGGACGCAGAATCCGGTGTTACTTGTGCACTCCCGTTTTGATCCAGCTACGAGTTTTGTCTACGCTGCTGGTATGATGGAAGAGTTCCAGAACGCCACTTTGGTTTTGCGAGAGGGATCCGGGCATACAAGCTATCTTCTTCGAGGGGATGCGTCACGAGTAGTTGATGATTACCTGATTAACCTAAAGATTCCGCCAGCCGGTACAGTTACGCAAAGCTGATCATTTAGTTAGTTGAATAAAAGAAAAAGCGCACAAAACACTTCAGTGTTTTCTAAATGACGAGATTCAAGTGCCTTAGAAGATTCTCAAAAGCCCAGTCACTAGTGTCCCAGTTTCACAATTAATAGCTTCGATGTATTTCACCATTGAACCAATTACTCTTCCAAATTTCCGATATTGTTCCATTCCAAGTTTTTTTTTCGTAACTAGCATCAAACTCCGCTGCTCGTCCGTCGGTCTTTTCTCACTTGTCTGGATAGAGAGTAGATTTACCATAAACGGCCTGGGCTTAGTCCAAATACAATCCTAGCTACAGACTACTCAACCTCCCGAACAACTTGCTTCACTTGCTAAACGCTCTATATGGTAGTTGCCCTTAAAATAGTCAAAATCTTAGCTGAGGAAGTAAACCTCGTAAGACCGACGTCCGCGGGTATCCCGTACGTCTACCATAACGATACTGCCCGCTGCTATTCTAGCGAGGTTTTCCTGTCTGCCTGCTGGCCAAGCACATGTTGTTTCAGGCAATCAGAAAGGTCGCTCCCAGACAACTTTTACATACGAGTAAGCTAGTTTAGCTGCTATGCTGGTGATTCCTAAGGTACCTTAACAGAAATGTGATGGCAGTTAGTGTGCGAAGGGCTGCTGTTGGTTTTCTCTGCATCCCATGTAGTTGGTGTGGTTTTATGGTATAAAAAGCAGGTCGAACGCATTTATTGGCTCATTTGCTAGTTGAATTGCTCCCCAAACTAAGGCTCACCTCGATGACACTTTACTAGCTTAAAGCAGCCAGCTTAAGTGCGGCTGCTGTACCTGAGGAGCAGAGTGAGCTGTCGCTGTCATGTTTGGGACATTTTCAACATAAGGCAATCCAGAGTTCTTGGTACCAGGTAAGTGGAAGGTCTTACTGTTCGTGATGATAGTACGAAGTGTATGATAGTCATCAACTTGGCACCCACATGCGGAGATGAAGAAATATGAACATTGCAATGGAATAAATACTCAAAGATACCTATTTAACAAAAGGCCAAGCAGCCGCGCAAAAGACTTGACATACAATAAAGATACAAGTGGGGTATTGACATGGAGAGAGCTCCTTTGTCTCAGTCACCAAAAACTGACCTCTCGGTATACAAAAGTAGACGCCTCCAAATACGTGTACGTGGAGACTAATGCAATATGACCAACTCTGCAAGCTCTGTTGACAGATCAAGAAGCAGTAGTTGGCGGGGCCTGCAGAACCCATTCTCCAATTATTTTGATTGTCTTTTGTATCTTGATCTCGGCATCCTCCATCAGAACCGGATCACGGACGAGTCCACCAATGTTTTGGTCGAATCCGTGGATGGTGTCAGGCACCAGCAACCACTTGTATCGGCTACCGTCCGTGTTCGACACTTCGAAATGGAATCTCTCGTCATCTAGAATGAGTTCACCCTTACCCGCGGCCTCCTCTTTGCCCACAATCGCAGGTGGGGCAGGACGCCCGGCCAATTTGTGAATTAGAACTTGAGCTTCATGGGCGAGTAGGTCGAGTTCACAGCCAATCATGAAGATCTGCTTGGGTAAAGCCTCCTTGGGGGCATAAGCAGGGCTCAGCAATGGATTGCGAGCGTTGTCGCCAGGAACCTTGTAGCTCCAATCGAATACCGGCGCCATGCCAAGTAGCATGTCCCTGTCCTTTGAGCGGAAGCCACCCAAATCGGGCTTGTATCTTCGTGCTTTCGCCTTCTCCTCCGACGGAATAGAAAGATCGACACATGGATACATGGGAACAATGGCAGACAAGTGCTTCTTGACAGCTTCTCGTTGAGAGACCGCGAGACATAGATTTCCTCCAGCCGACCAACCGGCCAAGCTGACTCTAGTTCGATCTAGAGGCAAAGACTCGTCTTTCAGCGCTGCAAGGAAAAGTTCCTCACAGTCGTAGATTGGTCCGGGAAAGGGGTTGCCTGGAGCTTTGGCGTAGTTTAGTCCAATCACGATGGAATGATGCAGCGAAGCATAAATTGCGTTCCAGTCATCATTGTCATTAGGGGTGCCGAGCACGAATCCTCCTCCATGGATAGTGAACAGAACAGGTAAGGTGTTTTTGGACGTCTTGTCAAAGCACTTTGGAAAGAAAATTCTGGAACCATCATGTCAGCTACAACCTGAACCAGACGAAGGCCATGCTCAACATCTGCATACCTGACAGGAAGATTTGGCCGACACTCATAGGTTTTCACAAAGTCCGGGCGATGTTCAGGCGGGATGACATGCGCTTTGATGTCGCGGAGGAACATGGCTGGCTTTACTACGAGATTCTGTATCGCATAGGCCGTGGCCCCATATCTAAGCATTGACAGCAGTGGCGCCTGCTCGATGAGCAGTGAGCCGCTTGGATTTGATGTCGTGGTATTATTCTGATCGTCGGCCATGGTGACAGCTACGCACAGGTTCGAGTTTTGGGTTCGGTTGCGCAGATGCTCGTGTGGTTGCAGGTGGAGGGAGCGAGCGGGGTTGGAATGGGAAAGATGAATGGTGGGAGCGGCTCGGTAGTTGTATACTCATGCACTTCGGTTTCGCATTAACGGCTCTCTGGGCCATCACGGGATCACACCGAGTACGATACTAATACGAAGCGGACTTCTGTTAGACGAAAGAATGCGAGGACGACGTCATGCATGTCGACGAGATCCAAAGGTGGCTAGGAGGACGATTTGCCTACATGATTCGGGCAGTAATCCATCAAGAACGCTCGTCAATCTCAAAACGCTATTGAAGGAGACAAACTAAGCAGTGCTATGATCGCCTATTTGAAGCTCTCAAGACAGGGTTCTGGATTGTTAGTTCCGGTTTGACCCCACTAAAGTTGCAGATTTCGGGAAATTTCTGGCGAGCAGGGCTACACCGTGATGGTGTCGCCTTAACGCACGTACCTATGTTCTCGAACAAATGACTCGAACAGAGAACGCAGCAATGACTTGTAAACTCAGATTTCAGTTTCTTGAAGGCACTGGGGATTGGCAACAACTTGCTTCAGTTACAACGCGTTCCCATCGAATGACTACGCAACGACGAATTAGAGGTAGATCATAACAAGGCCATGGAATTACTGCTGTAATGCATGTGTTGGCGTCAGCAAGTATGTTTTGTGATTGACCAGCTTGGATCACGTGATGAGCCCGTGCACCCACCTCAAGTCTGTAAGACTCAGGCCGTTTATTTCTCAATCATCTCATAAAGGTACGGCTTCGTCACGAAACTCATTAACTATTTAAATAAAATGAATAGAAGAATTTTTAACTTATATTGTGACTTTCCCTTAATCTCTAGTATCGTTCTTAAAAGCTAATAGTGTGACTACTAACCCACACCTGTTCCTAAAGATTTTGTTTAGCTAAATAATGTTCTAACTTCAAGTCCTAACTTTCGTTAGGTAGTAATATTTATTCAAATAAACGTAAATGATACTGCGTGTACGGACTAGAAGAAGAGTTGCTCCTGTCGTGGCCTATGCGCAACGTCTATCGCTACGTACTAGTACTGTACCAAACGTTTAAAATTTTTCATTAGCTAGGCTCGATGCTGGCAAATAACACATGAGCTTCTAGTGATATCGGAGTTTAAGGGTGTCTCTGAGACCGAAGTTTAATTATGTAGACCGTATCTCAGAACATCAGGCCGATTGTGCTTTGTTCCTGGAAGCTATATGAGGCTAACTTGGGAGGAGATAATACACTCAATCGACAAGGATGAAATAAGTGGCGCTTGAAGGGTTGAAAGCAAAATAGGATTACATTTTTAAAATACAACTTAGAGCTAATACTTTATGGAGTGCAGAACTCCTGCCGAGTGCTCTCTATAATCTATTAATGCAATTAAGCTAGTTTTGACTAGCTTTTATCCGGATGCAGGCTTCAATCCAACATCAAACTGAAAGCCCTGAGTAGGGGGCTAGGGCCTTAGCCTACTCTATTATCGGTTTGGTGGTTTCACTTTTTGGATATTGACAACGCCACTTTAATATAGAGAACAACAGTTGTATGCATAAGTCAAATACATTCTACGACATATGTAGTGCCCATAGCCCATATCCCATATCCGCTCTCTGCCTCGCATTACGCGTCAGATCCACACATTAGATATTGTAACATGTCGATTTATAAGTGAAGAATCCACTAGATTGCTCATTTGCAATATTTCTTTGATTTCTAAGCATTAACTTGAGCAGCTTGTTGTTTTACAAATTGATGAGACCCAGAAAAGGCAATACATGATCCACCCGCAGGGCGTGGTTTAACAACACACGCTGCCTTACATGTCTAGATGTGCTGCCATTTTGTAAGCACTTCTCCACTGCAACCCTTGGCAAAGAGCCAAACACATAATATAAATCAGCTGTCCATTCAGGCACTCCAGACGCTATTTGGCGTAAAAGTTTAGCCAAAGCAACTTTATTCTACATATTCGTCAAATTACTAGCCGAACACTATCCATTCTCAACTGCTCAAGACAGGTCTCTACGCGATTCTTACTCCTGAAACCTTCACCTACGCGATGCTTGCTGCCGAAGATTTCATCTACACGATGCCAGCCTCCCTTGCCAAGCATGGCCTCTCTCTTACGCGAATCCCCAGCGGGCCAGCTGCTGCGCTTAGTCACTCGCAACAGGATTCTCCTCTATCCGGAGGAAAAGCCCGATTTCAAGTTCCCAGAAGCGTGGCTTAGCGTCATTAACGGGAAAGATGAACAGCCGGTATCTGACGCTCATGCCGGGCAGCTATCCTCTTCTTCGTACCTGTCCAACGAGGAGGAGAGTCAGCTATCTAACCCACACGGCATCACTAGCAGCGACTGCAATGGCCGTGGCTCGAATGCCGCTTCCTCTTCGATGAAGCCAAACCAAAGCAAGACACGAGATGAGACGGATCCGTCCACGGAGGAGCTCGCAAAGGTCGACAACGAGCAAGAACTCAACGAATCAACATCTCTACCCATATCCCCGAGGATGGAGAATGGTGTTATTCTGGTCGACTGGTATACTAGCAATGACGCGGATAACCCGCTGAATTGGTCCCATTTCCGTCGTGGCCTCATCACCTTCTTTCTTTACCTCTACACTTCTGTTATATACATGTCGTCAGCGATTTATACCCCATCCCAGAATGGAGTGATGGAAGAGTTCGAAGTCAACCACGCTCAGTCTGCGTTAGGTCTAGCACTGTTCGTCCTTGGGTGAGACTTGACAGAACAACACTAGTCCCTGTCTAGCTAGCTAATCTAAGAGTCAGATATGGTATTGGGCCTTTACTCTTCAGCCCTCTTGGCGAGGTCCCGTCTTTCGGCCGCAGTTGGGTGTACATTATCACGATGTTCCTCTACGTCGTGGTCTCTATTCCTACTGTTCTGGTTTCAAACTATCCCGGTCTTATGGTGTTGCGCTTCCTCCAAGGGTTCCTCGGCTCACCGTGCTTGGCTTCGGGTGGAGCAACGCTGGGAGATATGTACGATTTGATCGACCTGCCGTACGCGCTAATAGGTTGGGTTTCAGCCGTGTGGTGCGGTCCGGCTCTGTAAGATGGTTTTCTCCTCCTTATTCACGGTACGCAACTAACCATGGACACTGTCTAGGGGACCCCTAATTGCTGGTTGGTCTGTATCTGTCATGGGATGGCGTTGGTCACTCCTCGAGGCCTTGTGGGCGGCCTCGTTCATGTTCGTAATTATGCTCTTCTTTCTGCCTGAGACGTCCCAAGACCATATTCTATTGAGGCGTGCACAACGGCTGCGTCGCCTTACAGGGGATGAACGTCTGATGTCCAAGAGCGAAATGAACGAGGCGAAACTCAAATTCAGGGAGGTTGTCGGTGAAGCCCTTTTCAGTAAGTCTGCCATTACCCCTGCGATAGTACCGACTAATTCCTGCTTAGAACCCATGGAGATTACGTTTAAGGATCCAGCCATGATCTTCTTGCAAGTTTACACATCAATTGTGTACGGAATATATTACTCGTACTTCGAGGTCTTTCCTCTAGTGTACCAAGATATTTTCGGCATGTCGGTCGGCCAAATGGGTATCGTGTTTCAGTGTATCTTCGTGGCTAACGCCATCGGTATCGCCATGTACGTTGCTTACCTGGCATTCTACCTCAATCCACGCATCCGGACATGCGGGTTTCCCGTACCTGAGGTTCGCATGGTCCCTTCCATGCTTACCTCATTCGGTGTTACCGGCGGCCTCTTCATCTTTGCCTGGACGGCCCGCCCGAATTACCCCTGGATCGCCAGCGTTATCGGCATCACCGTATACAGCTCCAATCTCTTCATTGTAATGCAATGCATCTTTGTCTACATCCCGGTGTCGTGAGTATTACCCGTGTTAAGATTGTCTCTTAAGAGGAATACTCACCAATTTGCAGATACCCGAAGTACTCGGCGAGCCTTTTTGCTGCAAACGATTTCTTCCGCAGCTCTTTGGCATTCGGCTGCGTTCTTTTCGGCCGACCGCTCTTCGTTAACCTTGGAGTTGATCGCGGAGTTTCGATTCTGGCTGGTCTGTCAGGACTCGGTATAATAGGTGTATGGATCTTGTACTTTTATGGCGGGAAGCTGCGATCAATGTCCAGGTTCGCCACCAAGGACTAACATGCTACGGTTACCGTATTCGGAATTGCCTAAGAGAATACGGTCTGGAATCGGTCTACCGCTTGGAAAGACGAGAAGAAGATTGTCGGGAAGTGAATACATCCGCGATTTTCACCAAGTCTAGTAAAAACCACCGAACGAGTTCTTTTTCAACAAATCTTGGATCGGTTACTAAAGAGATTTCAACACTATTTCTCTTTGAATAAAAGCTGTAATTAAACTGCCCTTAAGTATGGACTATGGCAAATAGAGTTTAAATGGAAGAAAATTACTACAATACGAGCGGAAACTACTATGAGTTAGGGCAGCGGGGAGACAGCACTTGGACGAATGATATAGAGATTGGACAACATTTTAAACACCACTTAGCGTGCCTCGGGCTCAGTGACGATCTTCCACATCCACTTTGTCGCTGTAAACTGGCACTCCACAGTGTTTGTTTCGGTGTCAAGGTGCTGTACAGAGTGAAGAGGTCGGGTAGGTATACAAAGATAACGGCATTGATCTCTAGCCTCCGTAATGCCCCGTGGCATTAAGGGGGGTTTGGGTCTCCAACAAAGGTCTGGCATATGAGTCCATCCTGGTCGAGTTACTCGATTGCCAAGAGCTGCCCCGCTTCCTTTGGCACTGATATGCTTGAGAGAGGGCAGAATAAATGCCGAGTTTCTTGGATCCCAAGGTTAATTTAGGTGTTCAGCTTTGCAGAACCCGACGACCGCGCCCCTGCTCATAGATGCTTATATCATCGCCAGCCAGCCCAAACCTTTCCGTCCCGTTCAGCCTTGATTCGTAATCCAAATGCAGTTGCCTCATCTTCCTCGCCTCGGTGTCGCTGCTTTTAGCTTAGATAATTCTGCCTGCGGTAAGCGGGGTGAGAACGACGAGTATAATGCAAACCTTACGAGCTTGCCGGGAAATGCAGAGCTCCTAGGATATTACCAATCGAATTTTTCATTCATGTTCCGGGATTCAGACGCTGAAGCTTGGAGCCAGCCAACTATTCCCGGAAACAGGGGATTCTGGTAGGTCAAGTAAGTGGTCTGGTCATTCGATCTGTGTCAGGCATGACTACAATGGCTACGCATTCTTAGACCATGAATCCTAGGATGTAGAGGCCCATAGGAGAGGCTGCTCTGCTTTTCATAAGAAAGGTAAAATTGCACTGCGCCGGAAGCACTGAACGCCCGGATTACGGGCTTGCCAAGGAGGAGGATTAGCAAACCGTTCCAGGAATGATGAGTTACGGAGGAATGCCATTGTTGCTTGATCCTAGGGTCTTCAGAGAAGCTTATCAACCCGTCAACCAAGCTTAGCATAAGTAGCTAGTTGTTAGTCTGCGGGTACAGAGCGGCCAATCACACAAAGTGATGCCGACCATTAACCCATACTTCGAACATAACGCCCAACTACGGAGGAGAGTTTTGAGCGTTAGATTACATCAAAGAATAAAAATCGGTTTTATCTCCGTACAAACGAGTCTAAAAATGCTACGATTGTTCTCATAAAATAGACGCAATTAGGAAGACAATAATCAAAATTGCTTGCAGGTTACAACGAGCTGCATGTGGTTTAATCATTGGACGTCGATTAACAAACGTCGAACGTACTGCAGGAAACCAAGGCTGCTAGCTCCTAAGAAACAAAATGGTAATATAAAGGATGAGCTTTCGGCGATACACTATAGGTATTTTTGGAATGGTACGTTTCTTCCTTTCAGTTTCCGTACCTAGTTCACCCAAGCATATTGCCATACAACTTAAAGTATACTTCCCATTTGATTAAAGTTACGACACTTTCCAGGCCATGTCTACCTCACGGCAAGTCTAGAAGTAGGCCCAAAACTAGGCTTTAAATACCAAGAGACACGAGATTGAAGCAAGTGCGCTAAAATAGGGTTGTTTGCGAGAGTTTTACGTAACCTAAACTCGTGAAATCTCAATGTGGCTAACTATTTGATCCCGCCGTGTTTCCTGATTCTACTGCTAAACTAATCACAGACCGAGACGTATTCATCCGTATCAAAAACCTAAGCAAAACGACAGAAGCACCAACTCGACTGCCCAAGTCTCCAAAACTCTCCGCCCATACAGTCATGAATGTAACACCCACCAACATACTCCCAAGTATCATCACCCTGAAGCCTGGTAGTAGATGGGACTCGACAACCTTGTAATATGGCCAAAGAGTCTCCACAACGGGCATGTGCTGGGGCCCAACCAAGTCGACCGCCTTCAGAAACAAAGAAACATCGACTCCCATAAATTTGATCAAATGTGTTCTTGAAAGGATAAGCGTGAGGTCGCAAGATCATCCAGTACGTCATGAAGCGAACAAAGTCCTGGTGGTATAACTTTGTACAAAATAGCTTCAGCAGCAGATACCAATAGCAGAAAGACATCCCAAAGCTATCGTCTGATTCTCACTCGTAGGATGAAGCTACTTCAATGCGGTTATATAGCAGAGTCCGCCAAACGCGTTGAACGTTGCCCCTGACATAACGTTCTGGTCCCGTATATGTGGTTCTGCAAGCAGTCGGGCTCGGTGAACAAAAGATGGAGTTCTGATGGCTAAGTCATGTGCATCATCCCATCCCGCTCGAAGGGCGCTCAAATGGTCATTTTCTTCTCTCGGGAGCTTGGACATTTGGGCCTTGACCATATCCGAAAGGGGCATCATTGCTTTGATTTTGTCGAAGACAGAGGCTTTCATGTGTAGTTCTCTAACCTATTCCTTGATTAGCAACATAAGCCAATGTTTAGCTTTGTGTCATATTAGATGCCATGATAGGAATAAGGTAGCACCCCTTGTGATAAAGATAGGGAGGGCTCGGCGTTATTGGGTGTTGCAGCCCTCCATCTGGATCTTCAACAATGATCTGAATTTCGGCCTCCATAAAGTCTTTTTTTCGGCGAAGACTGCTTGTCGAAAAGTGAGGGCTGAAAGCAATACCTCTAAGCTGATCCGAGTAGAAGTTAGGAACCCAAGACGGTATGTGCAAAGATGCACTCCGGATTGTTATGGATGGACAATCATCCAAGGCATCCGAACAAACCCTCAAAGTTCGGTATCTGATGACTTTCCATTATGCTCATTGGACCAGCTTGTGACACCACCTGTTCCAAGGTCCTTGAATAGTCAACAAAATGTGTCCAGAGCTCGGCAGATATGCCCGCAATAGCAAAACAACGATCTCTATCATCCGTGGCCTGCATGCCAAGGGAGTTTATCAGATGAAACGAGATAGGAAGCTTCTGACGTGCCGCATCCAGTATACAAACACTTGCGAGTTTGATTTTTTGTTTCTAGAGAATTGACAGCTCCTTCTGTACACCGTTTAATGTCGCAAATGAGAGCGTCTTTGCAGTCGCCCGTACCCTGGGCCGTCTGAGCCAGCTGCTTGCGCGTATGAACGCTCACATGAGACGACCAGAGGCTGATCTTCTGTTTCTCGTGGTCCAATTGAATTGCCAATTCGGCCATGTCGTTGGGGAAACTTTTGATTTCGTGGATAAGCCGCGAGAACTGAACTATTCTCTTTAATGAGGCCGGAGGCATCAATGACCAAGGGAAAATTCAAAGTGTGCCGCGAGGGCTACACGCTTAACGTTTCTGATAGACTTCACGGCCTGAATATCTGACTGAGCTTAATGTGCTCCCATTGGTCAACCAAGCCCCTATATTATTCCTCAGTATCGTTGTGATTCGAGTTCCCACAACTAGGCTAAATATGCAAGGCGGCTATCCTTGGGTTCTGCTTTACAACACTACCGGCGAAGGACATTCAAATTCATTCATTATACGATACCAAAACACATAGATAATTGAATAGCTTAGCCACATATTCCAGTTCAGAAACTGAGCATTCTAGATACTAGACGGATGCGGCATGGCTGGAGGCATGGGAACGCTAGGAAAGACAATGTCTCAGGCTCTGGAGGCAGCACCCGGTAGCCGGTAGCCACATGGGCCAGGCCGCTCGTTATCAATTCAGCAGGTCTCATCTTTCCCCTTATACATAATAAGTGTTTGCTAGCGACAAAGGCCACGGCTATTGTATCTGCTTAAAATAGGCGTCTCTAAAGCCAATATTCCTTTGGCAAAGTAGTTTGAAGAGTGTGTATTAATGAATTCGATGAAAAGGTATTAGGGTTTCTGCCTCTCTCATTCCAGCTATATTACTCACCTTTTCGTAAATATGCTGATCGCTTGCCTCGATAAAGTGACCTTTCAGCCACGAAATCGTCATGGCATCAAAAAACTGCCGTGAGCTGCCTAAGAAGTGTTGGGTATACGGGGAGTCCCATCGCGGGTAGGATTCCACTGCCGAACCTCCAATGCTCTAGCCGAGTGGCTGATGTCTCAAACCCCTCAATTAACCACCATTCTACAGAATGGCATGATGACCCAGTTGTAGCCACAAAGTGCCAGATAGATCCTCATTCGTCGGAATTGCGCAATCCTTTGAGTTTAGAGCATTCAGGAACAGGAAGTAGAGACGGGAGCTGAAGACGGGCCGCGTATGTCTCTCTCTCCCCGCGTGCAAGCGGGGAACATGTGCTTGGCAGATGGCCCAACTAGTGAAGCCAAGCCACGGCTGCAGCCCAGACCACAAGTTGTGCCTTCAACCGGGATGGCTGGAACAGAAGGCGTCTATGTGTTGTCGGTTGCGATCTGCCTTATACGACACGATCCTTCATTTCAACCACTGATGGATGGTGATTCCGTGATCATGGCCTCATTCCTACGACCGAAACCCTGGAAACGTGGCTGGCTGAAATACCAGCCAAAAACATCCCACTCACCGAGTTGCAATGTTTCGGTGTCTGGTCACTCGCATTCTCTGACTGGAGCGCCATTGAGGTGGCTTTTGACGAATTCAGCGACAGTGTGTTCCGTGGTATGTCAGCTCGAGAAGTCATCGACAGCATCTTCCCACCGGTACTTATTGTAAAGGCAAGCCCTTTCTGATATTCACATTCTATGCTATAAGAAGCAGACCTGTCTCCGCATCACAAAGATCTACCATGACTCTCATCAACTCAATCACAAACCTGCCTTTCCGCAAACCTGCCCAAATCCCTCAAGAATCTTCACCTTCGTTGACGTCAAGCTCATCTGACACCATGGCCTTCCTTGTCCCCGTTAAGGAGTCTGATATCTCCATCGTCTACGATACCAACCACCGCAAGCTCGTGCTCGGGGCAAGGGGCGAGATCCCCAAGGTCTGGTTCACCCCTTTCTTCCAGCAGGAGACATTGCTTGGCGGCCTGAGCTTCTCCATCCGCGACTTCGCCGGTGGTGTCCCCGCCCAGAAGGGGGACAAGTCTTTCGATATCTCCCTTGACTTCCCGATCAACCTGCCTCTGCAGCACTTCAACAACAAAACTGTCCAGATCGAGACCGCCAACGGCAGTTTCCCCATCGAGATCAAGTACACTGGCTTTGCACCGCCCCCTGTCATCAGAGGGGGCAAGGACAACGAGGAGGAGGGTACCACCACCCGAAGCGTCCTGACTCCGATTAATAACTTCCTTCCTGCCCCTCCCCATGTCTTGCGCATTACGGCGCAGATCCCCAGGATTGAGGCGCCCGCTACTTACGACATCAAGCCTTCCTATAACCAGGTCTTTCTTGAGTTGGTTGATACGACGGCCCAGGAGGGAAGCATCTCCTGGACCTTTAAGTGGAGGGAGCTTCCTACTGCTGAGGGCACAAACCCCCAGCTGATTGACGTCACCACCCACATCTACAACGGCCTCGTCGGCCATGCCGCCCACAACTCCTACGTCATCCAGGGCCACATTGTTCACTTCGTCGTTTTCGACAAGAAGTAAGGATAGCCACATCCGACCTCTGAGTGGCCTTTTCAATGGAATTCACATGTCTACTTAGGGGTACCAACGTGGTTCTTGGCAGGGATGTCGTCGAAGGTGGTTGGCATATGGTGTGAACCTGCAGTGGACCTTAGCTCTTTTCCCATAAGTTGGTTATCCGACTTAATTTAGTTATCTAATAATAATATGCATTACTTTTGTGAAAGACTCTGCCAAGTTTGTGAGTGGCTACAAACCATGTATCTTGTGAGACTGTGTGATACAGCTAATCTTCCTTTATTCGTTTTGCGGTACTAAAATCCGTGTAATTCTCAGTTTGCCAAAGGTTCTATTCCGTCACTGTTGGTTAAATTGTGTGAGAGGGCGTTAGGGTCTGTCCCCAACACTGCGGGAGCCGAGGAAGTTTGTCAAACACAAAGCACGGTTGTTGAGGCTGGTTACGACTATAAATTATCTGTAAAACAAGTCGTCTCACTTGAGCAAGTTGATAGTAGACCATTCTTCTAATTTGAGAGACTGACCACATCACAATTTCCCTGCTAATAGTTTCGAAAAGAGCGTAATAGCCCTGTCTCGAAGGAAAGAGCTGCAGGAAGCATATTGGCAATGGCATTGGTCCTATACGTTGAAAGTTTACTCAAAACCAATCGAAACAAGTGTGGATGCCTGCAGTTAACAACTCATTGGTATGGAGTGGAAACAAGCGTCTGATCTTCCACTGACCTGGTTCAGATCATGGAGACACGTCGTCACTGAGTTTACGTTAGTGGAGTTCTCGCCTCCACTAGAGAGAAGAGATCTAGGGTCTCTCTTTCCGGATTGCTTTCATACCTCCAGAATGGCATCGGAAGCATGTTCTTTCACGTCCTGAGTATGAATGCTCAACCATCCTTCAGGGTTACTAAAATCCCTCCGAAGCAGTCTTTTACGAGTACAAAGAACCTAGAAAGTCTCCCGTACTACAGGAAATAGAAGCAGTTGCTAGGCCTAGTGGAACCCAGATCGAGTCCAGAGACATAATTCCAACGGGGAGCAGACTTGCGAGAATTCTCATTCTTATTTCGAGGTCGGCATTGGGAATGGCAACTCCATTGCATCGTCTCATCTCGTATAACGTAACATACAGCCCTGCAGGCAATTGGAACTCTGTGAAGTTGACTGGAACATACCAATCCATAATTGGCAGAATAGCGGGGCTCAAGCATGGTAGCAAATTGACAGAGAGATCAGATTGGCCGTTAGGGACTGAGCCGTTATCAACACCGGGATTCTGAGAGTCACTAATCTCATGACATCGGACCACAAGCCGGCGAAGATAACATTCATAAAAGCCGTATCTGACAGTGAACTCATAATATGCGTTTAAACTCCTATACCAGATGACTCCAGTTGGTGCACAAAAGCTTGTGTTTAGTAGTTTTTTCAGATGTCCTTTGCTCGCGGAACAACCTCATCATGGAGATGATTAAATTAGTCGACTGGGTATGTACCGGGGACTTGAGATCTGGAAATGTTGCTAACACGGAGCTTAACTAGCTAACCGGCTTCCGCGGTCGCCCTCGGAATCCGAGTAAATAGATTATTAGGACGGAAAGTTGGGGATTTACAACCACTAGTATTGAACGGACATTAAGCCGAAATGCCGGCATGGTTGTCACAAGCGGTCAGGGCAACCAACTGGACCAAGAGGCACAAGCTTTGACATTAACGAACCGTCGTCATGTCCCTTGTAATGGGAGCATACAATAGAGGATGTTAACTACAGAATGCCCTGAGGTACCGATCCGTCTTCCCATGACCAGTCATTTATACGATCTATACGACTCTCTCGGACTCTTGGGTTAGGCACTAGAGCTCCGGGATTGTCGGTTACCGGACTGTAATCAAGGCGCAAACTCAAAGAAATTGCCCTCCACTCTTGAGAAATATCAATACAGGAGTTCGATTCAGAAACTCCAGCTGTTGACATTACTACAGAAAAGACTATATATGACATTGTTGTCCCATCTCAGCTGCGCCAATTTTGTCGAACCCATACATCCTAGACGAATTCTCTATACAAAGTCAGTACTGCAAAACAACATACACAACTGAACGCAACAGTATTGCTAACGCTATCAAGCAGGAGTAACCACATCAGCGTACAACACTTCAGTCAAAGAATCAGAATCCAGCATGAAGCTTCATCTGACCGCTGTCTTGATGGCTCAAGCACTTGGAACACTTGCGTTTACGAATGTTGTTTGCCAGGGTTTCTCCGGAGCAACCGCATGGGATGCCCAGTGGGCTGCAATCAACAGGAGGGACGAGTTGCACCTCGGGACAAAGGGTTTCTGGAACGGGGGGGTCGTGACTTGCAACGATGGCGCGGGAACCCGTCAGGTCTTTGCCTTTTGCCGCTCGGACCCTTATGACAGTCAATTTACGACGAAAGTGAAGAATAATGGAGTTGTGGCTTGCGCGAAGAACCCCTTTCCTGCCTGCAACGCCTGCTAACAGTGGCGGTGACTCCTGAAGTTATTTCCTGTATGCGGAATAGATAGTCGATATGTAAACTGTAAATATCAAATGGATATATATAGAGGTGTCTACTAGTTCTCCGAGGATGTTGGAGCTTCGGCTATTTTCAAGGTCTTATTCGAACGATTATTTTTATTAGTCGGTTTAGGGGTGGGTATACGGATTGAAGCCAGCGGCATTACGGACAAGGCTTCTCGGCGGAGAAAGCATGTTGAGCCTCAAAATGTATGCCTCTTGTGCTGTCTGTGTTGCTTGATGTCTGATCAGGCCTGAAAGCTATGGGAAAAGCTATTTTATATGCGTTGGGCTGACTAAACCTCTCGCGCCAGTACGCCCTTGTGCCCTGCCCTGTACCATCATGTATCTCTTGTTGTGAGAGGGAAAAGTGGTAAGAGAAAGGGGGCGGCTGTACTGCAGTTTATTGGCACTCGATGGAATAAGGTTGGAGGTTTAGCTGGTACAAGTGTCGACCCGACAGCTAGAAGCTCTGCCCGGTATTTCAAAACCAAGATCGGTTATTTAGAGGAAGTAAAAGTCGTAACAAGGTCTCTATTGGTGAGCCAGTGGAGAGGATCATTACTGAGTAGGACAAAAGGTGCCCGGTTGGAGCCGATGAACTAACAGCAGCAGTCAATCACCCTATGGGCAGGCTGTCCATGTCATGGATGAAGCAAGTGTTGGCGAGATCCAGCATCATCATCTATCCCCATCCATCCAGCTCACTTCCTCCTTACGCAACGGGCCGATCACCGGGCTACTCGTACACAAAGCAAAAAGGTGACCCCCCGATCGTGTCAATCAGCTCCTGCAACGGCCTCGGCACGTTGAGCGGCGAGATGTCCATCACGTCGTCGAGTGTCATGTCCCGGCTCGGAGGAAAGTTGTTCATCGTGCCCGTGCCGAAGATGCCCTTCTCGCGTCAATACCGCACCTCGCCCGTCTCGTCTTCATTACAAAGTAGTGGAAGAAACTTACCTGTCTATTCTCCCAGTCCAGGTTCTGCCATACAAAGTACAGCCGGTCAATCTGCCCGTGGTGCAGATAAAAACCAGGCTCCAGCGGCGACCAGTAAAAGTCACCACCCGGATCACCGCCTTATCCCCAGGTTAGCCAGTTTTCTCCTCCCTCTCTCTCTGCTTCCATCCCGCGGTATAGGAAACTCACTGATGGCGAAATGCCCCCCACCGTGCACTCCTATCCCCAGCGGTGCTGCTGGCGGGTACCGTTTGTCGCCCTGCAGCAGCGCCTGAAAGGCCTCGATGTTCGGCGCGTCGATAATGACATCGGTAGTGTTGCGCAGGCTGGCCCACAGCGCGCAGATGCCGGTGTTCAGATCCCGCTTCAAGCACCGTGGGTTGTGCTTCAGGGGATCAGGCCATCCTGACGGGCCAAGGTTGACCGAGAAGTCGGACAAGAAGCCGGACACGCAGCCGCCACCGGAGCCTGCAGGGACGCCGGGAAAGGGCGGGGGGTGGCCGGGGATGAACTCGCCATCGCCGCCGAGCGACGTCTCGGAGCCGTCGAAGAGAGGAGACGCGGACATGTTGTGGGCGTCGAGACCCCACTCCCAGTAGGGGAAGGTTCCTTACAGAGAGGTCAGTGAGCTTTGGAAGAGGGAGAGAAGGAGGTGGAAGAAAAATCACCTTTGTAGCCGCATTTTGTGCGGAAAGCCTCTTCATATGTGTAGACGTAGTATCTGTGAAAGAGGAGAAAAGAGGCCTAGCAGATTAGCTCGCGTAAGTGTACCACAGATGTGGTCGGACACGGATGACATACCGTGAGATGTACGTAGGGGGTCAAATGGTAGTGCAGCACGCCAAAGTCATCAAAGGCAGACCTAGGATGGCGTCGTCAGCGAGTTCGGCTCACATTAACGTCCCACACCCACTTCTGGGCACCCCCCACATTTGGGCACCCCATTTACACCAAAAACGCCGTTTTTCGAAATTCTATATTAAACTAACTACTATACTTACTAAGAAAAGAAAATATATATAAACTATGTTAAGTATAATTATAGCCATCTAATTTTTTATAAAGGTTTGAATATAATAATAGTTATAATATAGAAGTTTAAAACTAAAAGCTTTAAAATGTTAGTAGATACTAGTAACTTACTAGTATTCCTTAACATTAGAAAAATATATTTTCGCTCATATATACTTATTTAAAAAATCTAGGAAATTAATATTTATACTTATTAAAAGTATATAATTATATCTAAAAGAGATTTAAAAGTATTACTTTAGTAAATATAGTATAATTAAGGGTTAAAATTCTATAATAGAAACTTTTCTTAAGGGAAATTTTAAAATATTATTCTAAGCTTAAAGAATTTTTTACTAAGTATAAGAATATATAAATCTACTATATCTTACTTAAAAATTCTAATCATATTAGTTAAATATCTCTACCTATTTTATATATTAAGATATAGGCTAGGTAAATTAGTATTATAAATGTTAAACCTTGAATTTATAATACTTATTATCAATAATACTAGTATATAGCTACTTAAGTATTATAATTAAGTCTTAATCTATTTAACATATATTTATTCTCTTTAATAAGTAAAGTATTTAGTTTAATATAGAATTTCGAAAAACGGCGTTTTTGGTGTAAATGGGGTGCCCAAATGTGGGGGGTGCCCAGAAGTGGGTGTGGGACGTTAAGGACGCGGGCTGGTGTACTTTGCGCCGTCCACATAACCATACACCGACTCCGTCCGCATAAGGCACTCGATTGCCTCGCGGAACGCAATTCTCTCGGCACCGGGAATCTTTCTCCTTGAGGCAATGTAGGTCAGCGACTGCCTTCAAGGTCGTCTGCCACATGAGGAGAAAAATACCATTCCCTGCGGACGTGGACGTTATCTTTGGTGCAGCCCGACGTCGACGTCTCAGCGGATAGCCTAGCCATGGCATTGGCGTAGGCCGTCTTGCTGAGTTCCGCGAGCACCTTGCCCGAGTCGATGTCTTCCTGGGAATAGTCGGCGGCAAGAGACGCCCCGACGAGAGAGCTCGCCAAGAGCGCTGTTATCCACACGAACCTCATGGCGGCTGGCGGTGAGCTGTGACTTTGGAGGTGAAAGCTGAAAACATACTCAGAGGTTGCGGCGTGTAGCCTAGGTTATATTTGCAGAGCGCAGCCGAGACGGAGGGACTTCCGTCCATTCCTCGACCATGTGTCTGCGAGATTCGGGGCATATTGTCTTGGCGTCTGCGAAGGCAAGGGTTCAACCGTAGAGTTCTAGGCTGTTGGGGGCGAAGAAAGCGTTGCTGACTGCATGCATATCAGTAAGCTTGCTTGGTGGCTGCAGAATAGCCGGCCCTGGGATGCAGGAGAGAGGCGCGATACAACATGCAAAATGAACTTGTATAAAGGCGTGCAGGGTGCGCTATAGGTAGGACCGAGATCCTTGCGCGGCGGGCGGCTAACTACCAGATAAAGGCAATATGGGAGGCAAATACGACGACAAGTACATAAGAACCCAGCTATGCCATCTCTTTCGGCGTGGCTGGCTGTCGACGTCTGCCGGGCGGGGAGGGCACAAGCATCGTTGCATGCTCCGCATAAGCGAGGCTTGTTGGAGAGGGGTATCGCTGCAGTACGAAAAGAATTTTCATATGGCTTTAAGCGTCTTGGAATGCAGGAAACTGACATGCCTACGTCCGACTGCTACGTTGAGGCTTGGCGGCTGGGGAGTCGCTGGCGGAAGAGACATCGCTTCGAGTTCGTATCTCGTACCCGGACGCAGAAGCCTACAGGGTCAAGCATTTACGACTTGGGAGATCAAGATGCACAGGACACGGAGCGACAGATTGGTGGAAGTTAAAAACAACGTTGTATTTGCCAGGGGGCAGGGGGCCAGGCGACGGCTTCTATACGACCGCCGCCTCTCGACCGCGTTCTCCTCGTCGGTCATCACAGCCTCCTCGCCGCCAACCCGGCCAACCACCTTGGAGCTCCTGAAAACACCATGACGATAGTCAGGGATGTCACGCCGAGGGCAAAACTCATCCACTCAGCAGCACACAGGCCGTCCAGCGAGGGTTAGCCCCACAGCAACACGCGGTCAGCATGCTCGACGGCAACACCACACTCACGGGCTATGATGACGGTCTGGATAGCAGTGGATATAGCCAGGCCGATAGTGTGGCCGATCTGGCCGACAGCGTTAATCAGGGATTACTCAAGATAAGTAGTCGATAGGTAGGTAACAACAACAACAACAGTCAGCACACCCATGATACCCGTAGGGATAAAACGCAACGTCGTCTATGGCACCAACAGGCCCTAGTGGCCCTAGAAGGAGTAAGTGGCATAGATAAGGAGGTTATTAAAGGGCGAGAACAAGAGCACTATCTATAATAACCAACACTACGCAGAAGTGCGAGTTATAAAACATAAACATCTTCATCAGCAGCCACCAGTCCATCTTAAACTCAAGGTGGTACTACCAGAAAGACGAAACCGGTAAGGATGACGATCAACACGACGATAAGCATAGGGATCCACAGCGTCGCCAACCCCACGATGTTACCATCAGTCAGGGCCAGCAGTAGGGCCAGCAGGCTGACGGTGACGAGCAGGCCGCCGATCCAGTCGACGGACGGCTTGGAGTGGGTTGACCGGGCCCGGATCGGCAGCTCCGGGGGAGACGGTGGCGGTGGGATAACGAAGAAACCGGCGACCACCATGGCGCCGGCCCGGCTGGTTATAACAATAAACAACCACTTCCAGCCGGTGTACTGGGTGATGAAGCCAGTGATTAGGTTTCTAAAGATACTACCCAGCGGGGCGCCAGCGATATAGATACTGAAAGTAGAGTTCTTAGCTTTACCCGGCGGGAACGTAGTGCCTAGGATACTAACAGGGGTAGGTATGTTAGTGGTAGCGCCTAGGTCCTATAATCTGCGGAATAGGTCGAAAGTAAACCTCATTAAGCACAAAAGCGTTAACAATTGTCAAGATGGCCACACCCAGGCCGGGCCGGCGACAAAGATGGGCCGCTTACTGCACAGGTTAGCAATACGGCCCCAGAGCAGCAGGAAGTAGCCGAAGGTCAGCGTATAGCCTGACACGATCTACTACTAACTACTACGACTCGGGAATGCCCAGGTCGTGGCCGATGGTCCGCAGGATGATGACCAAGGCCTGGATCAAGAGCTTGTTCATGAAGGACGAGCGTGTGACCGTGGCCACGAGCGCGATGGAGCACGCCTTGGACAGTGTGTTCGCACGTGCCCCCTCGTCGTTGGTGTCGTCGGCGATGGTTGACGATCTGGTCGACGACGCCGGATACTAGGGCAGAGGCCGGTGCCGCTTCCGAGAGGTGGACGGAGAGCTACGGGCATTGCCGCTGTTCTGACAACGCTCAGCCCGGAACAGTCTGTCCATGCCAAGTTGCCGTTCAGCAGTGCTGGTGAGCGGCGCGCGTTGTATTGAGTCTCCGTCGCATTCTTGTTGAAATTATGCCGACTGTTTGATCATGGTACGGTTCATGGTGTAGCGCAATAGTGGTATTTGATACTGATAGGAGTAGCCGAAATCAATGTTGCTTGCTTGCTTCCGAGTCCTCATGTATTTGTACTTCTGCCCTCTGTAATCGTTGTCTCGCACCGGCATCTCCAGATACTGTCACAACGAACATGCTAAGATTCGTCAACGCCATCTAGAGTTTGCCCCGTCCTCCGTCGGTACGTCAGGTACCCGTGTTCATCCCGATGCTGTCCGCGCAGCCTGCTCAAGATGGGCTGCCAGAATGGGACACTCCCATACAGCTCCTGCAAAGCGCCATCGCTCTTTAAGGCGGCGACAGTATTCCCCCCAGCGTCTATGAGATCGGCCGCAATCGTCCCAAAAGTGGCCCAGCGGTGCCTAACACGCTCCACCTCTTCTTTCTTGAAGCCGTTTAGCAACATCTCCCGCCCCCGGTTCTCCTCCGCGCCCGTCATCTCCTCGCTGAGAATCTCCAGCCGGCGCATCACTAAGGACAGCGCTGTGTCTCCCGGTGCGGCCTTGGGGCTCGTGGTCATTAGCGCGTTCTTCTCCGACCGGTTTTTCGCCATGTGCACCCGCCAGCTGAGGACCTCGCTCCCCGCCGCCCCGGGTGACGCTTCCAGCCAGTGGTCAGTGTCGCTTCCGCTTCGCAGCAGAGCCTTGACGGCCTCGACGTCTCCCTGGTGGGCGGCAGCCATGAGAGGCGTCACGCCTTCGCAGACGGCGTCCGGGCGTGCGCCGTATTCTATGAGCACAGCGGCGACATCTCCGGGGGCGTAGTGGAGCGGCGTTGCGCCGTGGTCGTCCGCGACGTTGGGGTCCGCGGCCAGCTCGAGAAGCCTCGTGGCCAGGGCGGTGGTGCCGCTTTTGGACGCCATCAAGAGTGGTGTGTCGCCGCTGCCGTCACGCAAGTTCACCTCGGCGCCGTCCTTGAGCAGCGTGTTCAGGATGATGTAGGGGTAGTCCCGGAGCCGGGGCTCGCAGTACTTCCGGCAGGCGAACTGAAACGCCGTCTCGTTCCTGGGGCCGTAGCGCCGCGTCCTGTCGTAGGCCCCTGCGCCGCGGAGCATGTTGAAGACCTTGTAGTCGGGAATGCCGATGGCGAGAAAAAAGGGCGGGATGTCGTTGTCGGGGTTGGCTAGTACATCGGCCCCCAGGTCAACGAGCAGGCCGGCCAATTCCACGAAGCCCCTGTCCTGTTGTAGACAGAGCTGCAGTGGGCTGGGGAAGCCGGGCACGCTGGGACTATTGGGATGTGCGCCGTGCTCGGTCAGCAGAGTCCATGCCAGCCGCTCGTGATTTTGCTGGATGGCCGTTTGCAAGAGAGTCATCCCGTTATCCAACGAGGCATCGATGTGAGGGAGGTAGTTCGTAAAGTAAATGATAGGATCACACATGCATGTTCTGGGTGGCGAACGGCATGTGTCAGTAAATATGTGCGTGATGGCCGAGCGAGCAATGGCGTTCAAGCTGAATTCGGCCGCCATCGGGTCCAGGAACTGGTTGTAGCGGTCACCCGTACCAAAAGGAAGACTGCCTAGACCGATGAATCGCAGGACAGCAGACTGATCGATACTGCGCAGAGCGTGCATGCAATTCATGAGGTAGACCGGCACTAGTGGGCCCAGAGCTTCTCCAGAGAGGTTGAACTCTTGACGACCTCCCTCAACATCCAGGCCGTTTGCGGCCATGGCCTGGTTCCTTTCGTCTGCCTCGGCTAGGCGAACTGTTGTCGATAGGACCTCGCTTAAGCTATCCGTGTCTGAGTTGAGTAGGAGATGTCTGAAGAGAAAGCCGTGGTTGTTGTGAATGGCCCATTCTGCAGTGGAGGCGGCGGAGCCAGCATCCCAAGGGAGGGAGCCTGCAATGGATGGTACGGATCCGGTAAGTAATACCTTCCAGAGAGAGTACACAGCGGGATCAATTGCCTCGGAGAAGCTCTTGGACATGATCAGCCAGTATGCTTTGGCGTAGGGCAGAAAGAGCTGTACGTCGTCGTGGACTTTAAATCTGTGTGCTAGCAAGTCGGACGCCAGACGCTCCAGGTCCATCTTGGAGACGCTGGAGTGTTTATCCTTGGACAAAATTCTCATGACCTTCTGAGAGAGCCTGTTAGATGGCATGGCCGACTCGGCCACCATTTGGGGGACCCGGGCGAAGGAGACCTTTTGCGCCGTCGAGACCCGGTTCTCGAAGACGCTGTAGTTTAGATACGTCACGCAAACCGCACCTAAAGTGACCTCGGACTCCTGGAAGTCAAAGTGAAAGGGCGCCGCGCTCCGGATCGCGGGCCGGCCGGCAAGGTGCAGGAGAGCGCTGTGGTGGATGAACCTGACGCCGAGATCCTCCTCGTCGATGTCGAGAAGACTGCCGCCGTACTGCGATGCTAGGGTGTGCCCGGAACCGACAAGGCTCAAGGAGTTCCATGCTAAGATTCCGGGCTCAACATTGACGGCCACACGTAACTCGTCTAGGGATAGGCACGGGTCGGCAGCGGCGACAAGTTGGAAGATCCTGGAATCGTATCTGTGGTCCGGAATCCTCAGGAGGGCCTGGTCGAAGGCCTCTGGGAGGTTGCGGGGTAGGTTGTTCAAAATGTTTAATATGTCGGCCTCGGACCGAAGCTCTTGGGTGTATTTTGGGCAGATGGCTTCGATCTGGAGGGACAGCCACAGGAACATGCCCTGGCAGCCCACCAGTAGCTGCCTTGTGATCAGCTGTTCCAGTTCAGCGGAGAACGGCCTGATCAACTTCCACCGCTCCACCTCTGCCGATATAAAACTGAGGATATCACCAGAGCGGTCTGCATGCTCCATGGAAAGCGTCGCGTTGATCTGCATCGTGGATTCCGCGATTGTCTTGCATCTCGACGTTGGTCGAGAGGAACAGAATAGCCGAATGTGCCTAGCATTCATGAGACGCTTCATCTGTATGAACAGCTCGTCCATCTCCTCGTGCGGAGCTTCATCGAGACCATCCAGCACAAACACTCCCTCCCAGTCCGGCGGGGTAATGTCCAAGATGAGTTGAGTGTAGGCTTCGGGGTTGGCTGTGGTGGGAGAGCCGTCGCTGCGATCTAAAAACTGTTCGATTGTTGATGCGAGGACCGGACTACTCAGGACCTGGTAGGCAATGCTTCCGAGTATGCTATCCACGTTCAGCGTCTTTTGGTTATTGCTTTTGCAGAAAAAGTACGAGACAGTCCGGGGCCTTTGTTTAGGAGGGGCGGCTGCTACGAAGTTAGTCTCATTGCCGGTAAGTCGATTGTGAAATTGGCAGGTGAAGAATGACGGGAAAATGAATAATGGAAGATAGGGTGACGGAGACAGGGAATACAGATGCTGAGTACAAGACTTTGCATAGAGTTGGGCAACACTTACAGCTGGAGCTCGGGTCCCCTCTGGTCAGGACTAGGTCAGCAATGGCAGAAGCCATGGTGATGGTCTTTCCAGACCCCAGGTTGCCCTGCAGCCAAATGACAGAAGAAACGAGGCACTTTAGCCATTTTTGATACTCTCGGTCTTTGAGTATCCAGTTTGAGGTCCCTTTCTTTCGTTCTCGACGCCATATGGAGTCGAACTCTTTTTGGTCCGGGCATAGGGATTCGAGGATACGATGTTTGCGAGCTTCCCGGTTGCGCTTTGCAGCTTCTCGTGACGTTGCTATTTGCAGTCTATTGAGCCGTTCCAGACTGGACGAATGCTCTTGAAGAGTCGACTTGGCCACGAGCATGGCTGTGCGCTTCTCGATTAGCCGACCCCACTCGGCGAGGTCCGACTCCAACGGCTTGAAGACGGAATCGAACGAGGAGCCGAACGAGGAGGCAACTTGCGAGGCGAGCGATTTCCTAGCGTGGGTGACGATCTTCTTACTGATGTCGACAATAACAATGATATACTCGCACATGTAGCCCTGGACTTGTCGACATTGGGGGAAGAGCATGGCGAAGTCCTGGTGCAGTGAAACGGAGCGTCCAATCCTCAGGAGCAAGTTTGAGACCTTGTCAAAGTACGACAGGAAACTCAGGGAAACCTGTCATTGTTAGAAGATTTGCGGCCGTCCAGTCTTCTCACACATCTCCGACTCCACTCCTCGGATATCGACGAAAGATGATGTATGACCAGCCATGATGAATTGACATACCTCTAAAGCCATCCGCACGGCGGCCCAGACACCGCATGCGAGGAGATTCTGTGAGCCGCCGATCAAAACATCGCCAATGGGGGCAAACTGGCGGATGCGGTCGAGGATGGCGACCAGACGGGTGGCGTAGGGCCGCCAGGACTTGTGGCGGCGGGCGCCGTCGCGGTTGATCTCCTCGGTGAGCTGGACGACCTCGAGGGCGTTGGGCGGACGCCGCGTCTGCAGGTTCTTGAACTTGGCGTGTCTGTCCTTGTCGCCGCTCAGGCAGACGCTGAACTCGGAGATGGCCTGGGCCAGGCGAATTTCCGGCTTGAGCTTGCCAACGGTGCCGACCGCCGTCGATAGGTTCTCCATGGCTGCCGGCAGGTTTCGTGGTCCCGGGCGGTGTTTTCCCGGGATCTACTTCATACATGCGCAGACTGTAGATGGTTGAGTTGAGTCTCAGGGGATGTGACGGCTCACGGCTATATTCCTGTCAGGACGGGCCGCAAACAAGGCTTTCAGGCTGCTGACATCTTCGGCACAGCCTGATCCAGCGACCACCCTTCGGGCGGGATTCGCGGGGAGATGGGATAGGCCGGGGCTTTCTCGAACCGAGTTGCGGGCCTGCGGTGTTGGCTTTGAAGAGGAAAAACAGCCAGCAGGCTGCAATGCCACACAGCTGGAGTTGAGGTGGCATGAGGAGGGGCATCGTTAAGGCGCTAAACGAGGCGGTGGTAGAGCTGACCCTGGCCACATGCGGGAGCCCACAGCCTGATGGGGGCCGAAATTGCACACACAGCAACTCGGAGAGTAGTGCTGACAGTCATGTGAGGGCTTTGGTGTCATCTTGGCCCTCCCTGCAACAGGACTGTGCCGTATTTGAGCGCAAGCTGAAAAAAAGGGGAGAAAAGAATGGGGAAACCTCCGGCACTTTGCCTGATTTGTATGAGCTTAGCTGTAAGTTCCTATTAGAACCCTAGCCTTGGAACGACGTTCAAAAGGTTGGCATCTCTAGTTGATGTCGGCTCTGTGATTAGCCTTGGATGCATCAACCAATGGGGAGACTCAGGTTAGATGAGCCAATTCCATCGGGAGCTAGGCAATGACTATTTGGGCATAAACAATGACCACCAGGTAGCCATCCGCTATTCAAACATCGTCCTGGACGCTCCGACATGGCACGTGGGAATTAACGTTTCGGTCCGCGCCGTGGCATGGAGTCTAATATGACTCCAGGAACAAGTCTCATCTAAGTCTGCGCATCTCATCCCTGCGCATGATTTTTATGGTAGCATAATGTGGGCGAAAATGACTATGGGTTCAATTTTCCTCAACCACGCCTATTTCTAGATGACATGAACTGTAGAAACTATCGAATACCTTCTCCTGATTATGAATAGAGGAAGGAGATTTCCATTATACCTTTTTTGCTAGTTTCTGTGATGCCCCGATGTTGTCGATGTTTACGAATGTCTTATTAGAACTTAGCTATACTCTCTTCTTCCTAAATGGCATAGTAATCTCTGGTTTAGCTTTAAATTTACTAGCCTGCCTCTCTGTTATAATAGCAAACCTATTCTTCTTATTAATAGCTTTCTCTAGCTTCCTAAGTATATGTTATGACCCGTCTAAGAGGAAGTTGTCGTTGGTCCGTTGATGAGAAGCCTTCGGATACTGTTGTATAATTCGCTTTCTTTCAACCGATACTCTAGAGTAAAAACCTACGGAAAATCGATGTATAACGTCGCACACCCACTTCTCGCACACCCCCACATTTCGCACACCCATAAATTGGGTCATCATGAGGTATTCATCAACTTCATAACTATAAGTCTGATTCGTCTCCTGCAACTGTGATACTATCGCCAGTTTTAATAGGTAATTCAGGCTCGCTAGATTCATCTGAGCTATCCTCAATTTCGCCAGCCTCAATTTGGGCTTTGTGAATTGCCTCAATGTTGGCAAACTTCGAATTTGGGCTCATTTGGACCTTACGCCGCTTCCGTACCATTCTAGCCTCAACTTCTGCTTCCAACATTGCAATCTTCTTCTCTGCTGTAGCCAATTGATAGTCCTTTTCATCAAATCCCTTTTGAACCTTCCGAAACAACAGTCGCTGCGTTTGCTGATCTTTATCCAACTTGCTGAATAAGCTAAGTTGATCATATAGATCAACTGTCTTCTTGGGCGTTGACCAGGCTACTATGGATGTAGCAGATGCCCAGTTTTCGTCTTTTCCACCATCAGAGGCCCTCATAGGCGTAGAATAGCCTGGCTTTGAGGGCTTGGAAGCATTCTCAAGCAGTAGAGGGCTCATGAGCGGTCGAGCTATCGAAATGGGCCATAGTCCTGTTGCTTTCCAGCCGCTTCTGATATTCTTGCTTGAAAATGCCATCTGGCGTGCTTTTCCATAGCAGGTAAGAAAGTTCCGTTTGCCTACAACTGTAGAATCGTTGTGTTGAATGAGGTATCCAAGCTCTTTTCGATAGGTCGCCTTGAGAGGCCCAAAGACTGCTTGGTCTAGAGGTTGGAGAACGTGGGATGTATGTGGCGGTAGGAAAAGGAGATATATCTTGTGTTTATAACAGAGATACATAAATTCTGTTGTTTCATGACTGCCATGACCGTCTAGGATCAATAGTCTCTGCTCAGAGGGATGATCAGGCTTAGTCAGAGGGATAAAGATGTTCTCAAGCCATTCCACAGCTGTAGAGTCTGAAGTCCAGCCATTCTCAGTTGCTGTGAACTTCCAACCACTGTAAATATCACGTTTATGGATATCAAGAGGAAACCATTGTTGTTGAACCGATTTCCCTCGATAAATAACAAGTGGAGGAAGCGCCTGACCAGTTGCAGAGACACACTCAAGCATAGTTGTCCAAGCCCGAGACCCAGGCTGTTTTTTTCGCATTGATGAGCTTTCTGATGATCCCAGTACTAAGCCATTTGATCCTCTGCCTTCTAGGATACCAGTTTCATCCATGTTATAGCGATGATGTGGTTTGATCGCCTTGATCTCTGGAAGGGCGAGTTGTTGAAACCATTGCCTGATTACATTAGTTGAGGCCCCATTGACACGCTTAGAATCGATGGCTCTAGCTCTATGAACCTTGATTGATGGATTTCTCTTAATAAAGAACTGAATCCAGTTTCTCCCAAGTGGCTGGGTAGTGCCTCTGATGTCTAGGATTCGCTGGGCAAATTCCTTGAGTTGTTGATGTGTTGGCGGCAGCCCTAACGCCGCCTGGATACGCACCCATTCAGCTAAGTGACTTTCCTGTGCTGGAGATAGCTTCTGGAAGCTAGAGAAAGCTACATTTCTTGCCTGTGAACCCTTTAATCGAGACTGGAGGGTTGATGGTGGAATTCCAGCATCATGAGCTGCCTTTCGGACACTCTGCCCACTTGCAACTGCATTGAGAGCTTGATTGACTTCTGTTTCCGTATACTGGCCCATTAAGCGTATAAGAGTAACTATTCAAAGAATTATAATAATCGCTGTAAAAGTGGTGAAGATATTAAAGAATGTTGAAGAGGGTAAAATTCTACATGAGCGATTTATGGGTGTGCGAAATGTGGGGGTGTGCGAGAAGTGGGTGTGCGACGTTATACATATGTATACACCATCTGAGAACAGACCGTTGATTTTCGCCTAAACCCTTACCAAATATTATATTAGATTCGCAGCTTTTTTCTCTTTAACGCGACTCAGTACCGCTTAGATAGCGTTAGAATCAAAACCACAGCCCTTGTCATCGTTGGAACTCCCAATTCCGGTTACTACGAGCCAACCCAGAAAGCCCGGCTGTTTCTCGGTCCGCAGTCAGCAGTCGAGTCGCAGCTTTTTACGCAGTAGATAAACTTTTACCTGCCTGTGACTAATTCGCCGGAAACTAATTCTACTACATAATAGAGCGGCCTCGACTCAACCCAGCCGCACGCTATAGAACTCTCCAACACTGACCGGGTAGCCCGCAGTGATGCTTTGGTTCAATTAACTGGTTCATCGGTCGGAGCTAAATCGGTCTTGTTCAACAGGAAGGAGGCGACAAGCGGGGCCCGGTCGATCTGAACCGTCGACCCTCTCATCCAAAACCTTAATGCTCATCGAGCGGAAACTTTAACAGCGTGATCTCAAGCATTTCCGCCGTCCTAACTCTCAACCCCGCCCAGCTGTCGCGTGCTTTGTGATTCCAATGCGATCTCTCCGCAAAGTCAGTCTTAGTAAACTTTTTTCCAGCATGATTGCGCAGGCACAGATCGCAATTATCAAGCATTGCCGAGTGTCACTAACGAGGTGCTGACAGTTGTATGTGCTATACCACGAGCCGCGCCCCCTCATAACGAGTAGACATGCTCGTAAACAACTACGTCGCGTGTTACACGAAACGAATACCTAGTAGAAAAATCTTCGAAGGCGGACTTTCGGGTTCTTGGCTCACCTGCTGTTGCAAAGATTGCCTGGAATTTATACTAGATGCGACAGGCGGTGACCGGAGCTGTCCTGGGTTTTGCTTGTGCCAAATAAAGGCCGCCTAGGGGACGTTAACTGACTTTCCGACAGGGTTAATAAACCAAAGGGTTAAAGTTGGCAGTGTCAGCCCGGCCATAGCAGGACCGTTGCTGGCGGCCGTAAACTCCGCAACTCTATCTTATATGAACAAGAAGATTCGCTAGCATATTGTTAGTTTCTGTTGCAAAAGCCAGAAGACGTAGCAGTGGAAGTGGCCATCTTGACGGCCTAGACAACACGCCCTGCCCCCGTTATACGGCCTCTAGCTGCCGCGTGTGGCACTCCAATCGTCACACCCAAATGACCTACCAAAAGGCAGCTTCCTCTCTCAACTGCTACGCCTCACACTTCCACTCTATGCTATAACAACCTACAAACATCTTACTTTTCAGTACAGTTGAGCTATTGAGAGCCCTCTTTTGCCCCCCTACCCGTATGGGTATCCCTGTGATACTAACGGTTTCCTATCTGTCAGTCGTGCCAGGTGCTAGTACTTCGCGGCGCTATGGCCTCGATTGGGGCCACTATGCGAGGAATCTTATCGTATTTTTGTGGAGAATAGGAGTTGCTTGTTCTAGAGAGGGCCGCGGCCGCTAAGTTCTTGTATGGAACTTCTCAAGCAAGAAGTCTTGTAAATCGCCCGGAGATCGCCATTGAAGCGGCGTACTTATTATCTATATTTAGCTCCAAGGTATTCACCTTATGGAACTCTTTTAGGTATAAAACGGGCAAACCGAGATTGTTGAGTTTTGAGTGTGGTATAGCGTATAGAGCCTGTCTTCTGTATACTGCTGAAGCGATGCTTTGATTGAAGAGTATCCTATTCTTGCTTGGGCTTATTGAATGTTATGAAATCTGA